CCAGTCATCTAAAATAAGCCGAGTCATCAAGAATAAGCTACGTCATCCAGAATAAGATGGATGGATAAAACAGGAAGGTAGGATACGATAGAATGGGAAGGAACGATAGGAAAGAATAAGAAAGAAGGATAGGATAGAACAGAATAGGAAGAAAGGATATGATAGGAGAGGATAGGAAGGAAAGGATACGAAGGAAGGATAGGATAGGATAGGATCAGATAGGAAGGATGGATGAATTTTTCAATATTTTCTTCTCTACTCTTGACTTTCTATCAGGATACCATCAGATCGATTTTCCGAAATTTCAAAACGCCATAACTTCCGAACCGGAAGTCGGATGTAAATTTGATTTAAAGTTTCGGATTCCTGACAAAATTTAACCCCTAATTCATAACTCATACGTTAAATTTGGCGAATTTTTATTTTGACCTACTTTTTGGACACGCCATTTCTTCGAAACCGGAAGTCGGATCGAAAATTGGTTTGCAGACTCGAATTCCTGAGAAAATTCTACCCTTAATTCATAACTCATATGTTAAATTTGGAGAACTTTTTTTTTTACCTACTTTTCGGACACCATATCTTAAAAGTGGGTCGAAATACTTTCTGACGGCAAAAGGCTTACACTATTAGCACACTCTTTTCTACCTGTATACAAAATTTTGAAGCAAATCATTTAAATATAGTGTCAGAATCGCAAAAATAAGGAAAAACTATGAATTTGACCTAGATTTTGACCTAGGGATTTTGGTGTCCAAATTTTGAAGTTGGGTAGCCTTCGAGGTCCCCTTCTTTCATAGGCTTTCATTATTTTAAGCTGTACTTAGTTTATATCTCGTATTTTACACTTCAAAAAAATCTTTTATCCCATTGACATAACATGGGGCACCAAATTTAGCGATTTTTGAGCTTTCAAAATGTCATAACTTCCGAACCGGAAGTCGGATCGAAATTTGGTTTGCAGATTCGGATTCCTGAGAAAATTCTATACTTAATTCATAACTCAAACGTTAAATTTGGAGAATTTTTTATTTTGACCTACTTTTCGGACACCATATCTCAAAAGTGGGTCAAAATACTTTCTGACGGCAAAAGGCTAACACTATTAGCACACTCTTGGCTACATGTATACAAAATTTCGAATAATATAATTAATCTGTAGTGTCAGAATCGCAAAAATAAGGAAAAACTTTGAATTTGACCTAGATTTTGACCTAGGCATTTTGGTGTCCAAATTTTTATGAAAAGAAGGTTTTGAGGTCCCTTTCTTCTATGGGCTTCCATTATGTTTAGCTGTGCTTAGTTTATATCTCGTATTTTACACTTCAAAAAAATATTTTTTCCCATTGAATTAACATGGGGCACCAAATTTAGCGATTTTTGAATTTTCAAAACACCATAACTTCTGAACCGGAAGTCAGATCGAAATTTGGTTTTCAGATTCGGAATCCTGAGAAAATTTCCTATAAGACTGATATCATGGACATTGGATTCGGAGAACTTTTTTTTGGACCTCGTTTTCGGACACTGATATCTCGAAATCGGTTTGAGATACCAAAAAACTAAATCGACCCTAGATTTTCTACTTTTTTATGAGGAACACAATGAAAAAAAACCAGATCCAAAATATTGAAGGACGACCGAGAAAATCGAAAAAAGTGACAAAGTACTGGATTTGACCTAGTTCTTGACCTTTGACCTAGATAAAAAATTGACCCAATTTCCCACCAACTAGATACTGAACCTAAATAAACTGTATTATGGTCCTTACTGGATACCTCATAGTTATTGAAAAAACTCCTAAAGAATAATAAGAATAAGAATAAGAATAAGAATAAGAAGAATACTGGCAAAAACAATAGACTCCAGATTGACATCTGGAGTCTAATAAACAACACTAAAATTCATAAACAATAAGTTTAGTCACACAATATGCAAATATACAAGCATGTATTCACCTAACAAAATGATATTCTATAAATAAAAAAATTAACATTATTCCGCAAATCTGGAAACCTTAAATACCTACCCGGCCTCCCAAATAAGCATAATAAAACTTTAATATTGATTTCATGACATAGTGTTATATACCAAATTGTTCGAAAATGGATTACCTTCAAAATGATATATACAGGGTGGTCCAAAACAAGTGAACCCCTGCAACAGGCTACAATTTTCTTAATTCATGCATGAGTTGGCTCATATTATCACATGTTGTAGAGAAAGGTCTAAAATTTTGGTTGATGCCATAATTTATTCTTAGTCTTAAATTTTGAAAAAATTACAAGCGTTTAACAAACATGCCTGGAAATTAGATATTGTACAAAATTTTACAAATGTGAATCATGGAAATTGTTGAAACACATTGGATAATCTTAAACAGCTTTCAGTTAGAGATATAAGTTTAAAACCCTACCATATGACAAAAGGGACACTATTCAAGCAGAAAACACATTTCACACTTTCATTGATCATTTTGAAGCATTTTTAACTGTTCAACAGTTCAGGGGTATGTTACCTACATCAACAGTTAGAGAGGGGTCTCTTATGGAAGGAACTTGCCCCCTGTGACCAGGAATCTGATAACCCCTTCATCAAATATCTTTAAAAAATCAAAAGAAAATCCAATATTCAATGTTTTGAGCCATATATCATAAGAATTGGTCCATGATTTATGAAGATATTGACATTTCAAGATCATATAGGGGTATGTTCATGATTTCACTGGAAAATGTTTTCGTCTGTGGAAGCTCAGCACATTTCTTTGGATCACAATAACTTTGCAACTAACAAATGTAGGATGCTAGTTTTAAGCCATAATGTGCAAGATTTAAAATTGAACAAAGTCAGAAAATATTAGTTCTTTAAGACAGCAGCTTAAAAAATTCTCAGGGGAAAGGTGTTAAAGGGTTGAAGAATCGCGGATATTGAAAATCACAATTTGTCCATTTTCAGTAATGTTTGGTTAAGGCTTATAATTTCTGCAAATTTCAAGACTAAGAAAAATGTATGGTATCAACATAAATTTTAGACCTTCCTCTACAACATGTGAAAATGAAAAAAAGTTCCTGCAAGTAATAAGGGAAATATGGCCAGTTGCAGGGTTTCACTTTTTTGGACCACCCTGTAAATCAATGTATGATATTGAACATAGCTATTTTCATTCTGATTTAAAGTTGGGTATTGTTTTTTTGGCCCACCCTGTATATCTCGTATGTGAAGTATTAAAGATTGCAATGGATGCAATCATTTTCTTTGGAATCGATATAAAAGTATTCTGGCACTTATAATGACTAAGATTAGCAAGCAACATTTATCATTTCGGGTAAAGGCCAAACATTCATCATAGGGAACGTCAAATGGCATTCAAAATATGATATCATCAAAAGACACGCAGCGTGGGCAATGAGGGAATGAAAAACATCATTCAAAGTTGTATGGTTATGTGTCGGTCATTGAAATAAAAGAAAGCATAGCATTGTGAATAGAAATGTAAAGGTTAAATGCATCGCTATTCCCACAAAGTTATAACATGATCACATGTGAAACTGAGAGTGAAATATATTGTTTCTTGGTTTGGCAATGAATCATTCTTTGCTGTAATTTTAAATATAATCATAAAAATATGAAAACAACTAACTTTTGATTGTACGTTTATATTTCACATAATTTTAAAGCCATTTTGTATCCTCCAACACATACCTAATAAAGTTTTACAAAGACAACTCAAATAATTCAAAAATTAAATAATGATGATCTAAACACTTTTATTAAGTTTTTTCATTTCTCAAAATAAGAATCTAAAAATATTTTTTCCAAAAGATGATATTTTAATGTTTGGAGGATACAAAATATTGGACAGGCTCATCTAGACAACTTGAATTCACGACAGAAATACCTACACTCGATCATATATCTCCATCGTCTGCAATCGAAGATGTGTCATCAAAATGTACCTTGGGGCATAGCTTTCACCAAAATAATGCATCAATAGTGTATTAATATGTCCGATGTGTTGGAGGATACAAATATTTGACAAATCGTATACATATAGTAAAACATACTTAATTATGTGACTAAGACATATCAAACATCCCGCTCTCAAGAGTTGGTAGCACATACATTTTATTAACATGCTCAAAAATATCGACGCAATCGATACATTCTATGTTAAGAAATCCGAGTTTATATTTGCCGAAAAAAAATTCTTAATTGTCTAAAAATCCATCATTAAAGTGATATTTTTTAAAAAGATAAGCAATATTCCAAACAGGTACCTTGTAGTAATGATTGCTTAAAGTCTAGTCAACATGAAATCAACATACTGTATATGTTGCAGTCTCTAGTACAACAACAGGTTTTCAAAATATCAATTATCGTAAATTGTCCCATAAATATAAAATATCTACCAAAAATCATCTAGTCTACTTATTCTATTGCCTCAAGTCATTGCGTCGCTATAAAATGAGGTTCACAACTATCAACTTATACTTCATTTTTATTTGGTTTTATCTTCACATGTGTGAATATAATCGAATACCAAACACGGCTAGTTTATATATATATAACAAATTCAAATTCAAAAATGACTGCTAACTCCGCACTGCGCGCACATGATATCCACACCAAGGGTTTTCTGCATGCACCGGCTGCATATGGTGCTACAGTGTATGTTGATAGATGTTATGTTTTAAACCAACATAGGAATATATAATAATCGATTTTGTAACTCATTTCATAATCATAAATAAATAACTCAGGCCTATGCTAATCAATCTTTAACTTTTATCGGTTTAAATAACCATAAATCATTTACAATGTAACGTCCTCAATTTTTACGACTTTCTGCTTATTTACAACCTTGGAGTCCTGGGGATGCGATGTCTGTAATCCACTTCTTTGTAATGTCATGTCTCACATGTTGCTTCGCAGGAAACATATCCTTATTCAAACAGCAGATAAAGAGCAAATGTAACGGAGTTGATTATTATAAGGTGACCGACAGCAAGGACCTTTTCGAAATATGCAAAACTGTAAGTTATTTGAGGTATTTTCACACGAAATATAAGTTTAACTTCTATACAAAATGGTATTTAAAACTGAAAAATGTGATGAACTTTCAATTATAGGCTACATTAAGGAATCCAGTGATTTGACTAAATCAACAATCAGAATCTTCTAGGGGTCAACATATGTATACAATTGAATATACTCGTAGAGGCAGATTTCCCCAATTCCCCTTTTCTTGAGGCTAAACTAGTTTTTCTTCATCTTACTTATTTCTTTTTTTGAGACTTCTAATATACTTGACACCTTATCCTTTGTATCTTTTTGGCAAACTGTATAAGATGTCGGTCTTGGACTATAATTTGAGGCATGGTTATGGCATTGTAAAACTGTGTCTTCAAATATTGTTCTGACAAATGCATATTTTCACTTAGATTCCGAATGTCTAATATATTCTTTGTGACTTTTCTGAGATTTTTTTAATAAAAACGTATGAAGATTTTTTTAATCCCATTTTAGGAACCTTTGCGAAAAAGATGTCCAAATCTTCATCAAATTATATCTCAAATGTATGGAGTACATAAAAGATGCCAAATAAAAAAAATACATTGACGTTTATACATTATTTAGGTAAAAGCAGATTATCTCGCAAGGTATGGCTATGTTGATGAATGGAAATGCAAATATTTTGTCAAAAGAGGAGACATTTTCGGTATTAAGGTACTTAATAATACACTTGCAATATACCTGAATGAAACCAAAGGGATTTATATGCCATATACAGGGTGACCCAAAAAACAGAACCCTCCAAAAATGAAATAATTTCCCATATCCTCATTCTTAGAAACCTCCCTCGATAGGTGTAAGCTGATCATTTTTTCCAATCAGGTGTTTAACAATTCTCTTTTCTTCCTCTTTCAGCCCATTATTTAACATTTGACTTTAAAATCACATGTAATGCAATGGTCTTGACTGATCATTCTACTGATCATTCTCTCAATGATTTCTCAATGAATTCATTGGATGGAATTTCGTACAGCGTTTAAGGTGTTCTTGCTCAGAGGCCAGGAATTTAAGTCATCTGATCTTTTAACAGGTGCTTTACCATTGCCTATTCTTCATTTTTATTTAGTCTCAATGTTGATTTTCCGAAATTGGAGACATTCTAAGATCATCCATGATATCACAAATAATCAATTTTGCGTAACAAACTTGATACCATGTTATCATCCATAGATTCTAGTTTATATTGTACATAAAAAATAGGGTTGATAGGACAGATATTTAAGAAATTATTACACTTTTAGAGGGTTCCGTTTTTTGGGTCACCCTGTAGTTTAGAAATTAATCCTAGAATTTCTCACAATTTGTAAACATTTGTTACTAAAACAATTGATGGAAACTATACTTCATTGGTGTCAATGTATAACTGATAATAGCAAAAATACCCTTAATATTGTCCATGTATATCTGGGATCAAAATTCCGAGACTAATCTGATAATATAACATAATGTATTAGTAATGAATCATTAAACCTAGGATTTATTTATTTAGATAAAGATCAACTCTTCTAGAGGAATACCCCGAAAATTCATTCATATCTTAGTTGACAACACTGGCAAATTAAGTTCACAACAAAAAGGATTCTTCAAAATGAGTGATTGCATTCTTTTGAATGGTATGTATAATCAGTAGTAAATCCATTGAGTGACACCATTTTTCTAATTTCATTAATTAACTTTTTCTTATAAACACAGTGTATTGAGTTACATATATTCTATATCATTACTCAAATCAATACTTCTTGAAATATACTGACTGGTTTCTATTTGCAAGAATTGGACTGTATTTTTGTATGCCCACAGTGCTAGTACATTGCGTAATGTTTTAATAAGGTTTCTCCTTAGGTATCACTAAAAAGAACAATAAGCCCTGCAGTCCTCATTACATGCTCGCTACGTGTGTTTTCAACAAAACAGCTCATTCAGGCGCGGTAGCACTCACATAATTATTTTGAAAGACACCACGGTTTATTGCAATCGAGCTCCTGTGGTGCACTTGCAACAAGCCGACGCGGTTGACACACACAAGCAGCGGACAAGATTGGTACAACGTAATTAGCGGTTTAAGTGCGCTTGGATGAACTGTTCTTGTTGAAAACGTGCAAGCATATAATTTGCAACGCTTGGGCTCATTATATGGTTCTTTTTCGTGATACATAGGGGGAATACTTATTATATAATCAATCTTTAACTTTTATCGGTTTAAATAACCATAGATCATTTACAATGTAACGTCCTCAATTTTTACGACTTTCTGCTTATTTACAACCTTGGAGTCCTGGGGATGCGATGTCTGTAATCCACTTCTTTGTAATGTCATGTCTCACATGTTGCTTCGCAGGAAACATATCCTTATTCAAACAGCAGATGAAGAGCAAATGTAACGGAGTTGATTATTATAAGGTGACCGACAGCAAGGACCTTTTCGAAATATGCAAAACTGTAAGTTATTTGAGGTATTTTCACACGAAATATAAGTTTAACTTCTATACAAAATGGTATTTAAAACTGAAAAATGTGATGAACTTTCAATTATAGGCTACATTAAGGAATCCAGTGATTTGACTAAATCAACAATCAGAATCTTCTAGGGGTGATCAACATATGTATACAATTGAATATACTCGTAGAGGCAGATTTCCCCAATTCCCCTTTTCTTGAGGCTAAACTAGTTTTTCTTCATCTTACTTATTTCTTTTTTTGAGACTTCTAATATACTTGACACCTTATCCTTTGTATCTTTTTGGCAAACTGTATAAGATGTCGGTCTTGGACTATAATTTGAGGCATGGTTATAGCATTGTAAAACTGTGTCTTCAAATATTGTTCTGACAAATGCATATTTTCACTTAGATTCCGAATGTCTAATATATTCTTTGTGACTTTTCTGAGATTTTTTTAATAAAAACGTATGAAGATTTTTTAATCCCATTTTAGGAACCTTTGCGAAAAAGATGTCCAAATCTTCATCAAATTATATCTCAAATGTATGGAGTACATAAAAGATGCCAAATAAAAAAATACATTGACGTTTATACATTATTTAGGTAAAAGCAGATTATCTCGCAAGGTATGGCTATGTTGATGAATGGAAATGCAAATATTTTGTCAAAAGAGGAGACATTTTCGGTATTAAGGTACTTAATAATACACTTGCAATATACCTGAATGAAACCAAAGGGATTTATATGCCATATACAGGGTGACCCAAAAAACAGAACCCTCCAAAAATGAAATAATTTCCCATATCCTCATTCTTAGAAACCTCCCTCGATAGGTGTAAGCTGATCATTTTTTCCAATCAGGTGTTTAACAATTCTCTTTTCTTCCTCTTTCAGCCCATTATTTAACATTTGACTTTAAAATCACATGTAATGCAATGGTCTTGACTGATCATTCTACTGATCATTCTCTCAATGATTTCTCAATGAATTCATTGGATGGAATATCGTACAGCGTTTAAGGTGTTCTTGCTCAGAGGCCAGGAATTTAAGTCATCTGATCTTTTACCAGGTGCTTTACCATTGCCTATTCTTCATTTTTATTTAGTCTCAATGTTGATTTTCCGAAATTGGAGACATTCTAAGATCATCCATGATATCACAAATAATCAATTTTGCGTAACAAACTTGATACCATGTTATCATCCATAGATTCTAGTTTATATTGTACATAAAAAATTGGGTTGATAGGACAGATATTTAAGAAATTATTACACTTTTAGAGGGTTCCGTTTTTTGGGTCACCCTGTAGTTTAGAAATTAATCCTAGAATTTCTCACAATTTGTAAACATTTGTTACTAAAACAGTTGATGGAAACTATACTTCATTGGTGTCAATGTATAACTGATAATAGCAAAAATACCCTTAATATTGTCCATGTATATCTGGGATCAAAATTCCGAGACTAATCTGATAATATAACATAATGTATTAGTACTGAATCATTAAACCTAGGATTTATTTATTTAGATAAAGATCAACTCTTCTAGAGGAATACCCCGAAAATTCATTCATATCTTAGTTGACAACACTGGCAAATTAATTTCACAACAAAAAGGATTCTTCAAAATGAGTGATTGCATTCTTTTGAATGGTATGTATAATCAGTAGTATATCCATTGAGTGACACCATTTTTCTAATTTCATTAATTAACTTTTTCTTATAAACACAGTGTATTGAGTTACATATATTCTATATCATTACTCAAATCAATACTTCTTGAAATATACTGACTGGTTTCTATTTGCAAGAATTGGACTGTATTTTTGTATGCCCACAGTGCTAGTACATTGCGTAATGTTTTAATAAGGTTTCTCCTTAGGTATCACTAAAAAGAACAATAAGCCCTGCAGTCCTCATTACATGCTCGCTACGTGTGTTTTCAACAAAACAGCTCATTCAGGCGCGGTAGCACTCACATAATTATTTTGAAAGACACCACGGTTTATTGCAATCGAGCTCCTGTGGTGCACTTGCAACAAGCCGACGCGGTTGACACACACAAGCAGCGGACAAGATTGGTACAACGTAATTAGCGGTTTAAGTGCGCTTGGATGAACTGTTCTTGTTGAAAACGTGCAAGCATATAATTTGCAACGCTTGGGCTCATTATATGGTTCTTTTTCGTGATACATAGGGGGAATACTTATTATATATTTTATGCAATACACTGAATTGCACCGCGGGAAGTTCAAAAACGCAGCCCTAATCTGAGTAGCTTCTAGCAATGCCTTCATTAGGTGCACTTTAAATGAGCCTGGCCATTGGAAAACCGGTCTTATCACAAAAATTAGAATTGTGCTACAGAGCCAAAAATGTGCTCAAGATTAAGAGGAAAATGTGCTAAATTCAAATCAGTCTTTTGGTCTATATCTGCAAGAAAAAATTGTTAAGACATCATGGCTCATTTGAAAAGTATCTTTGTGCTTTTTAAGATAAACAAAAAATCAAAATATTGAAAAATATGTGATAAGACCCCTTTTCCTCTGGCCTGGCTCAAATAGTGGTGCGAAATTTTTCTAGAATATTGGGAGCACTATGGTAACCTCTTGGGTGGTACGCGGTACTCACAATTGGACGAGATAAATGCGGGCAACGTCGGCAATCTGACGATAGCTTGGACATTCCGATATGGCCCTAGTCCCTGGGGGTATGCAGCTGACAGGTTATTTCTAAAGGATCAACAGGCTCCTATCATGGTGGATGACGGCTCGAAGCATGGTATTATTTTAGTATTTTTCATAACAGATAATTAATGTCTCTGATTTCCTAGTTTGTATTTTATCACCAAGATGTAAGTAGTACATGTTCTCTCATCATTGAGGCACGCCAGAGGGGGGCCTAGTTTAATTTTCCATTGCATTCTTAAATTCTTAAAAAATAAAACATGAGAGATATTAATACAAAACTTAAATTGAATGAAAGTAGAGCACATTCATCATATGATGTTTATCATAATTCATGATCATAAGTGGAGAGACTGCAAAGGTTGAAGAAAATTGAGACCCACAGTTTAATTTTTGTATCCTAGGAAATGATCTATTGATACTTTGCACCCCATGGTGAGCTATTGTTGCAGTAAACCCAACAACTGGTGTCGAGGTCTGGAGAAACAATGATGGGGTAACAGTCCATAGGTGTGTGAAATGCATGTTAAGGTTTACTTTCTTGATTCAAGATGGCAGAAGAATTAGAACATATCGCTTCTCAAATCTTTTCAAACCTTTGTGGCGGTCTTAGTCCACCGTAAAGCTAAGTTCACACCAACGGCGTTTTGATAGCGCTTTAAAGCGCCGTGTAAAGCCGCTTTGCACGCCGTTTTAAAGCGCCATCAAAGCGCCGTCGGTGTGAACTTAGCTTAAGATGGCTAAATGGCTTAAGATGGCTAATTGACGTTATTGAGAAAATTCGAGAACGTTATTAGTTCCATTGTTCCCACTTGCGGTGAATTATTATCAACTAAACCTTAAAGCTAAGTTCACACCAACGGCGCTTTAAAGTGGCGTGCAAAGTCGCTTTGCACGGCGCTTTTAAGCGCCATCAAAGCGCCGTTGGTGTGAACTTAGCTTTACTCAGAATTTCTATATACAATCATGGGTTATATACGCGGTACTGCGTTGGTAGTTTGAAACTATTCAACAATTGGATAAAGACCGAGATGTCATAATTTATGGCGCGATAAATGACCGATGATTTTTTCTGATCATTGTTAAAAGACCGAATCGAAATTGCAGAGCGATTGAGGTCTTTTGCAATAGGCAGAATAAAATCGGAGCTTATTGTATATGTTTGCCAAAAATCATAGAATCGATCGTTGTCTTTGTTACGATTCAAATATGATAAGCTGCAAACACCAGAAAAACGACTTTTCGCATTCTGGATGAAGTTGTCGATCCTTCTGAATTAAAAATAGTTTAAATGTCAACTTCCGATTGCAAACTTTTGGATTATTCATATTACTCGGGCTATGTGATACCTTAATAAATTATCAGGTTCGGCAATAACAAATTTTTGTCTCCAGAGTTGGCTATGCAAACACATGTCGGGGTGTGGCATCATGGGTTGACCCAACCAAGTCACGTGGTACACTGTGTAAACGTTCGATCTATCTCCCTACGATAGATCACAGACTGCTAGCAGTTGATGCTGCAACTGGGCAGAATTGCACGGAATTTGGTGATAAGGTAAAATTTCAGTTGCAGTGCCATTGTTGATTATGCAATTGTATGAATGGTATAAACATCTTCATACATGCACATACGCACTGCGTTTGGGTTATGTTAGCCGAGTCTATTTATTGTTTAATTTACATTTCATTAGGCTGTATTTTTGTATGCCTGCGGTGCTAGTGAATTACGCAATATTTTAATGAGTTTTCTCCCAGGCATCACTAAAAACAACAATAAGCCCTACAGTGCTCATTACATGCTCATGTGTTTCTCATTCAAGCGCATTTACACTTGTGTAATTTTTTTTGAAAGACATCATGGTTAATTGCAATCAAACTCCTGTGGTGCATTAGCAACAAGCCGGCGTGGTTTACATACGCGGTTAGCCGACAAGATTGACACATCGTAATTAGCGGTGTAAGTCCGCTTGGATCTGCTGTTTTTGTTGGAAACGTGTGACCAGGTAATTTGCACATAGGGGGATTATTGTTCTTTTTCGTGATACCGAGGAGGAAAACTTAAATATTATGCAATTCACTAGCTCCGCGGGCAGTTAAAAAACGCAGCCTAGTTCTTTTACAAATTGGTTTTAACTTTAACAACGCCCTCCATAAGCAAACTTAAGATTCATACATTGTCAAGCTTTGATATGCTATCAAGTGGAAACTTCTGTTTGCCAAACGCATTGATGGGAGTCTATCATGTAGTTCAGCAGAGTCTTATTATCATATCATTATCATATCATATCCAAAGAAAATAAACGAAAATTTATTAAGTAATACACAAGATATATTTATCATTATGTATTGCAGTCGCGATCGTATTACATATTGTAGGGGATTGTCGATCTAAAGGTAGCAAGTCCGACTGTGAAATGCATGTGGTATCTGAATCCACCAGCAGTTGTGAGAGATGTTTTGATCCTTGGACAAGGTAAATATTCATGAAAATGTACTTAAAAGACAGAAGAAGTGAGTAGCTCCTATAATTTTTTGGTATTGGCTTTGTATTTATGAACATAATTTATTAAAATCACGCCCATCAACGGCGCTTTGCACGTCGCATTAAAGCGCCATCAAAGCGCCGTTGGTGTGAACGTTGCTTTACATTGAAAGATGCATTTGTATGTGTTTGTATTGAAGCCATCGATGACAGCTGCGACTTGGATACTCCTAAGGGGGTTGTCCCAGCCTTTCATGCGCGGACTGGAGAGTTCATGTGGAAGTTCGTGATTGTACCCACGGACCCAAACGACCCAGCTATGAAAACGTACAGCAATGGCACAGAAAATGTGGGCGCTGGTAACGCATGGGCTCCCTTAAGTGGCGATAACGAACTCGGTAAGATACATACATATACTGCAGTTTACCGAGTCGATATAGACAGGGTGACCCAAGAAAGCTAGAGGGTAGCGTTCCTTGGGGCCATGCCACACTCTGCACATAGGCCCATTCAATGCAAGTACAGGGTGTTAAAAACGCAACCCGAAGAAATCGCTATATCTTGAAAAATACTGGTTCAATTATATTCATATTTTCAGGAAATAAAGAAGAGACTGTGTATGTACAGCTCCTGTAAATGGTTAGTTGTAAAACATGATGCCCTGGACACCTGCTCAAAAGATAGTTGACTAGGAAAATACGAAAAACGCTGTCAGGGGTGACTGCAACCGCAAAAAATTAAATAACTTCCTAACCATAGTGTTTTGGCTCTTCAAATTTGGCAAAAATCATCTTCATTCACTGTATGGTAAATCTGTAGAGTGAAATCAAAATCACTTCAGGGACTTTACAGTTATGGTTGAAATGCTTTTAAATCACAGTCAAACGCCCTGGTTCAGGGAGACTATATAAGCACAAATGCCATAAGGGAAGGGTGACTAAAACTTTCAGGAAACCCAACAAGAAAAGCAAACTGTAGGTGTAAGTCTGTCATAAGAAAAATAGACCCTATATCGGGTGTCCCAAAAAAATGAGACACTTTTTGCCACGTATTTTCTCGGCAACTGATGAACCAAATTTTTTGAAAACTTACACAAAGTAGCCCAGGAGTATCATTAGCAAGGTACAGAAATGTGACAAAGATCAGATAAATGTTATATGAGTACTAAGAAATTCAAGATAGCATGTCAAAATGTCCCATACCGGAGCAATACAATGAGAATTTTCATCGCGTTTGTACCAAAAAATGGGAAGGAATTTGACAAGTGATTTCTCAGCAATAGATGAGCCAAATTATTTGAAAACTTTACTTGAGGCACTTTAGATTGGCTTGATATTATGTGTGAATTGTTGAATTAAAAACAGTATGTAAAAATAACCAATATTGATGTAAATCTCACTTATTAATCCTTTTCATGCAAAATACCATTCTGTATTTATTCTAACAATATCACCTCCAATGAATTTTAAGAATGAATGCATTTTGGATATTTGGGAAGAATGAAATGAATTAAGTAGAAATGACACACAGACAAGCTATTTTGACTTATTTACAAATTAATGCTATCACCTGATAGCTGGTACAAACACTATAACAGAGGTCTCATCGCAGAGCTCCGGTATGGTGATTTTTGACATGCTATTTTGAATCTCTTCTTACTCGCACAATATTTACTTGATCTTTTTTATATTTGTACAACTTGCTAATGATACTATCAGGCTAATTTGTACAAATTCTCCGTGTATTTGGTTTATTAGTTGCCGAGAAAATACTTGGCAAAAAGTGTCTCATTTTTTGGGACATCCGATATATCCCAAAACCATGATCTAACGTGAAAAGAAACAATGTCTAACATCCCCCTCTCCCCTCCAATCGAGAACCAATATCACAATCCAGGACCCGAACACCAAGGGACATTTCATTCATACTGAAGTCATGTTGAAGAAAAATTGAAAAATTGATAGCCAATACTCATAACATCAAAAATAGTTGTAGATACTAGTACTCATAAAATATAGAGTAATCAATCTCAAATGATGTGGGATAGATAAAATCCAGTCTCGAAGTCCATAGGCAATTCAAAGGGTCAACATCCGTTCGCTAAGCCATCATCATAATCCATAAAACACAACAATTCACAATAATCATCAGGAGAAAACTATGGCTGGTTTCAATTCCTATTTCTCAACCATTAATGCCATAGCCGGGATCCACCTCAAAAGGTGCCAAGTGAAAAAATTGTGAGTTCATTGCCAATTTGTTATACCAATCCTACATCCTTCAGCATCTCAAGTGGTAAAATTTTGAATTTCAAAATTAATGACTTGTACTTTCCAGCAAAGACCAGAAAGGGTTTCTTAAGTTTTTTACAAGTATAACCTTGTCCTAATGAAGCCATTTTGACCATGACTGTAAAGTCCTTGGAGTGATTTTATTGAAACTCCACAAATTTACCACGCATTGAATGAGGATAATTTGTGCTAAATTTGAAGTGCCAAAACACCATGGTTAGAAAGTTATTTGGTTTTATTGCTGTGGCAGTCACCTCTGACTGCGTTTTCATATTTTCCTAGTACAACTGTCACTTGAGCAGGTGTCCAAGGCATCATGTTTTAATTTACAACTTACTGACGACAGAAGCTATACATGCACAGTCTCTTCTTTCTTTTCCTGAAAAAATGAACATAATTAAATTTAGTATTTTCCAAGATATAGTAATTTTCCATTCACGTTTTTCGTATTTTGCTAGTACAACTGTCTTTTGAGCAAGTGTCAAAGATTTCATGTTTTACAACTAATTAACAAAATGGGCTATACATACACAGTCTCTTCTTTCTATCCTGAAAATATGAACATAATTGGATTAGTATTTTTCAAGATATAGCGATTTCTTTGAGTTGCGTTTTTTGAACACCCTGTGGCTCTGTAAAACTTTTGTAAAATGTTCTGCTCTAATCACAAATAAAAAGATATATAGAAAATAAAACAAAATCTAATGATAAGCTCTTGCCAGAAAGATTGGCTATAAGTCGATAGGAGGGGGTAAATGTTAGCATGTTTTTATAACCTCAAAAGTCGGCAGATTACTTTCTACTAAAGATTACAAACTCAAAATAATCAATATTGACCATATTATCCCATACTTTGCTAATTATAGTAAGCAAAAAAGAGAAATGGGCGTACAAGGTATATACCTTTATGGGTTAACTTCAATGTCGACCGACTTTTCTACATTTTTTTGAAAAAATCTAGATCGAAAGATATACTGATGCATAACAAAATATGTGAAAATTAGAAATCTCAAATTGATCAAGTCTCAACAAGTAGATTCGTGTTGGTGAGTATTGGTAGAAACCGTTTTCAATAGTCAGAAAATGGATTCTTAAACTTTTAAAATTATCTTTTCGGCCATTGTGCGTGTCTACTCGTGTTTTTATTTATTTTGGGTTTTAGGCCTGGTTTACCTTCCAACAAGTTCCGCTAATATTGATCACATGGGAACACATAGAATCGGTGACAACCACTACTGCAATTCACTTGTTGCTTTGAATGTCAGCAATGGGGAAATCGTCTGGTTCAGGCAATTTGTGCACCATGATGTGTTTGACTACGTAAGTTAAATGCATGACTTTTCTGATTGAATGGAAATTGCACCAACTGTACATGATGTTTTTGACTATGTAAGTAACCAATTAAATGTCTACACTGAAACGAAAAAAACTAAGCTCGAATGTCATCGCACAATCTATCAGGTTACAGTAGTTTGTTTTTCTATGGCCTAAAGGACTGTCAACTGTCACTGTTTCGGTGGGCTTACGTGTAAATTGCTTTAAAAATCAAAGAAAAAACAAAAATATCCAAAGGATCCGTTACCCCATGTACCTAAATATGCCCCCGAAGGTTTCATTGTAAAATAACATGGAAATAGTTGCTTTTATCAATTATGAACATATCCAAAACAAAATTAGAATTGAGATTAAAACTTAGGGTCATTCAGTGCATTTAAGTTTGACCATGCAAATTATTCTAAATATCATTTTAGGGATATCTTAGTCTAAACTCATGACTATTTTAAGTTTGTTGACCATTCAATCAATCGATATATCAAAATATCAATAAGCTAGGAATTATGAAGAGAAAGTAATTATATTAGTTTTAATTCAATCAATGAATACGGTGATCATTGAAAATAACATGGAAATAGTTACTTTTATCAATTATGAACATATCCTAAATGAAATTAGGTCATTTGGATTAAAACTAAGGTCATTCAGTGTATTTAAGTTTGACCATGCAAATTATTCTAAATACCATTTTAGGGGTATCTTAGTCTTAGTTTTAATTTATTTAAATCAATGAGACTGGGGTAAAAAACAACCCACTGCAGAAAAGTGAGCTGCCATTGTTTTGGTCGCGTATATATTATCCTCCTTTTTCTTTATCGTATAGTTACTACTTGTCATCTAACATAGCATGTAAACTAGGTAGACGTCTAAGTTAAAAGAAATTACCATGCTTTGCAGGACCTTGTTTATCAAAATGAACACATCTCTAACCAATCAAACTATCAAAATGGGATTTATGGAGAAAATATGAATCAAATTTATTAATATTTTCACATCACGTGCATTATAATGAAACTTGTTTCAGGACATAAACAACCAACCAATAGTTGGTGAAATAACACGCGATGGCAAGAGACGGAAAGTTATTATCCAGGTAACGAAGTAAAGTCCCTCCATAAGTTTGGACCGTAAGTCCTTATTTTTAGCACACCAAAGCCTGTTGATTTGAATTTTGTTCCTTAATCGTTAAAACAATAGTTATTAATTCAAATCAGTTTAAATATCTTTTGTAGCTAAACGTATAAAAATAATATCATTCAAGATCAATTTATATGTTTACAAATCGAAATTCGTTTCTAAACTTAATCTTAAGTTTTTAAGCCGTCCTTAATCCTTAAAGCTTATTTCGGAAAACCTCTTAGAATTGGGTTTGCATACATGGCTAACTACCACCAATTACATTATAGATCATCCCATTATATTCCAACATTATCGCTTCACCAACCTCGATATTTAATAACATACATTATAACATACCTGTGATGATGTATAGTGCAAAGTGTACACAAGACAGCGGGCCAATATAACTTTTGAAAAGCCCGCGCCCGCTAACTTTCTAATTGGTCAAGGCGCTGACGTCATAACCAATCAATCGAAGATAAAACTGCGCGAGCAATTTTTCTAAACTCATTTCAATCATTTTCAAACCATTTGTTTGTCAATTCTATAAGAAAACGGTACTCTCTGACCAGTCTTCATCATCATAGGTATGTTATAAATCGTTTATGTCACTATCGTGGCACATATGCCCTCGGTTCTCAGAGATCAATGTCCCTCCCAAGGTCGGGCCATATATCACTGTGACCTCGGGCATATATGCCACGATAGTGACATAACCTCTAATTACTGTACATACTTCATTATATGTTAATTTCTTTTGTTCATTGATATGAATTTATATCGGGAATTTGATGACTGTTTTTAAGATTCAGGTGAAGTTACCAACCCGATCATCAATTTATAGTGATTTCAAGCTAGCATTTCAGTGAACAAAATTATCATATGATTAGCCAAGAAGGTGCTAATGCAGGTCAAAACGTTGACCTTGCGAAGGTTGCATTTTGTTCTTCTTGGTGAAATTGCTTTAGTGCAATGATATTTTAGTGACATTTTTTCAATTTTGAAAAAAGTTAAGCACAAGACGAAATGAATTGTGAGTGAGTGATTGAATGCACCCATGTATGCTAGCTTTTGAATTCGGGGGTCTGTTCTCGTTGAAAGTCTTATTAAAATTCCCGTCCTTAATTCTGGAAATCGTGGATTGAATTTCTTAAGTATATGCATGTTGGTAAAATTTCAGGGTACTAAAATGGGATTCATATTTGTGTTAGACGCCACAAACGGTGAACCTGTATTTGGCATAAAAGAACAACCAGTTCCTTCATTCTCAGAGGTATGTCAGGGGCTTAGCCCTGATCAAAATAATTCATCTATGTATTTCGATTGGTTTGAAAAATGAGTTAAAAGGGCAATAATACTATCATACTATACGTAATTTTCGGAGATTCTGTCCAAAAACATCTGCATTTTCCCGGATAAGATTGTCTCAATATCTGTGGCTCGATAGTTGAAAATTTCATTTAGAATGCAGGAGTAAGGATAATGTACTACCGACCACAAGTAATGCTCCTAGAGATACATAAGTCTTAACTGCAATGATAATCCTTCACAGTTACAGTTATCTTATTAAAATCTTTTTTAATAACAATGTTTACAAAAACATAATATAAATGTATTTAAGGTATTTATTGCTGTACCTTAAAAAATGTAGAATAATAATGGTTATTACCCCGGGCTTAGAATGTGTACCAAACGAAATAACACGATATCCGGGTCAGATGATGTATGTAATTGAGGAGCCAAATGATTGGATGGATTTTACAAACGATGTCTGACAGATGTTAAAAACACATTATTAAAATCCATGTACGGAATCGTTCAATTAATTTCCGCCTGAACTATTCTGATAGATACAAAACGTGTTTAAGGCCCCCTCACATATGAGTGAATCCATAAAAAACGCAGCCTGGCACATGGGGCAAAGAACGAATGGCTATAGACATCCCTTGGGTCACTTAACATTTTTTGAAAAATGCATTGTCGTTAATATCCTTGATATCTAGGATCAAATTGTAGATAAATATGTATATTTTAAGAAATACTAATAAAAAGCATTCAATATTCCCGATGTATGTATATTTTGGTCGATTTTGGAGATACATGTATGTATCACTTCCTGTGAGAATAGGCATTTTTATCAGTTTCAGAAAATGTCTCCAGAATGTATAAACCAAACTTGGCAGATGTCCAATTGCTTATTTGTATAACTCTATACACTCACTGGATTAATATTCCATACAAATAAATAGTCATATTTCAATAGTCATTGAGTGGGGATTAGTTATGTTTGCAATTGTGTTGACCTACTTATTTTTTGCTTTGTTCATATAATGCCTGGTTCTTACCTAGTAAAGTTAAACGTAGTAAGGGAATAGTGTACTTCTAAGGTACTTCTTGAGATATGTAAAAATCTAGGTAAGGACCAGGCGTTGTGCAAAAATGGAACTTTTATGCAATTTCTAGTAAAATGATGTCAGCCATTTTAAAAATCCAAATAATGATTGTGACAATTGATTTATTTTTTTGTATATTTTCTTACTTCATATGATCATTTCATGAACTAATATGTGTGCTTGCACTGAAGCATGACTTCTAGAGAATCGTGTATTTCACCATGGCTCTAAACAACATAACATATAATTCCTTTCTATACATTCATATAAATGTACATGCAAAATTGAGATGATCATATTTAAAAAAAATCCAGCTCAACTTTATTGTGCAGAAAAAAATATTTGGCACAATCAGGAGATAGGAAAATAACATTTGCTAATAAATTGCCCAAAGCAAAGGGAGCTGTATGAGTGAACTGCAATCACTCAGTGCCCCCTATATGGAGACAGAGGGTCACATCTAAATCGCAGTGGACTCTCTTGAGGGCATTTTACTGAAGATGATGTATGTCAACTCACTTTGGTGTATATCAAGCCAACCAATCTAAACGATACACAGACAACCACCTTCAAGTATATGGGATATATACCATCATTGTTAAGAAAGAAACATATGGCCTCATTTGTGTAAATATCCAGTACAAGGTTTGTGTTCTCGAAATCTCACTATACATTATATGGGTGGAGCACAACTCAGATCCAGAGATGTATGTAATAGTACTGATACAATCACTGGATGTTGTTCATGCCCAGTTGGGAGTAAGGCTGTAGGTTCATGTGCACACGGTATAAAAGCAAAAGGAATGCACAAAGTTTGACATTTTAAATTCAAAAGATATGCCTGAAATGTTGTCATCTAAAGAAAATAATGATGGCTCATAGAGTCTCTTGTGATGAACAAACACATGAATGTGCTCATCTACACTTTTAAAGATTGAAGTACAACACTTGTTTTAAGTCCAGAGTAACCTTTTAGAAATTGTTATATTTTATGTGTTTTCAAATGTCCCCTTTTGTGCTTCCTCACTGTGATGTGAATAAATTCAGTATTTTACTGCCACTTTAATGCAAACTGTATGTGAGCAATTGATCTCAAGAAAGCAGATCAATATATAATTAATTGATATGCATTTTTGACTTGTTAATTAACCAACGACAGTGCAATTGCCCCAATCATGGACTATGGATCAGGAGTTTGGGGATATAAGGAATTTAGCAAACCACAGCTAGTACAAAATCGAGCAATGCGAACATTTCTTGGCCTTGGTAAATACGCTCCCCTTCCAGCAATTTACGGTGATATGGGATGGATACCGCCTAACATCAGACACCGATTGGAGATCTAGATGGTGAGACTCTTTATTAGACTAAGCAAAATGCCTAGAGATAGGCTGACTAGAAGAATTTTCGACTTTGATTATGAAAATGCTATCTTAGGACACAAATGTTGGTGCAAGGATGTAAGTAAAATATTTATATCTGCTAATTTGCTACGTGAATATGAAACGAGACACTTTGGAGATAGTTTATTACTCATCCTCGATTCTGTTAAAACAGCGGAACTACAACGATACATCGAAGAAACTTAAGATCGCCAATATGCCAAAACTAAGGACTTATAGGACATTTAAAACATCATTTGGAACAGAAGATTATGTCAAGAACTGTTTACCAAGGACATTCAGATCATTGCTTGCAAAATCAAGATCAGGCACACTACCATTAATGCTGGAGAATGGAAGATATAGATCCACCCCAGTTGACCAGAGACTGCTTACATTGTAAGAATGATAATACGAGGGTTGATCATAAAGTTCTCATAATATCTCTCTAATTTCTTTATTTTTCAATACTTTTCTATGAAATTTTCACAGAATGTGCAGCATGGAATGGTATATTAATCCAGCAAACAATATTTAGAATAACACAAACATTAAATAAGAAATGGTTGCCATAGTAACTTGAAATCAAGGCACCCGGGGCAAATAAAAAAACTAGATAGAATAGCCCCCATTAACCATGTTTAAATACATAATAAGTTGTCAAATAAGCTATCAAACACATTAAATTGTCAAATAATATAATAATATGTGCTCTTGACTGTTGTGATATGTTATAATGGTCATGTGAATTGTGTGATCGCATAATGGATGATTGTTATGCTTCATTAGAAGTGACTGTTAGACCCCATGACTTTTGTCAAATATCCTGAGGAAAATTGATTTTGCCCCTTTAGTTCATTTTTAACATGTACAGACCACAAACAGGGGGTATCTTTGTTGATATCTTAAAAATATATTTGTTTTAGATCATGTTTAGTCTGACCAAAGGATCTTATAAACTTAACATAACATTTTATCAGTATGAATTTTATTTTTCTGAAGATCTCTACATCTATTGCATTCTCTTACTCAGTCATTTCTGATCATCAGCTTTGAGTGTCAGACTCTGGTATCACATCTAATGAAGCATGAAATCATCCCCTATGACATCACCTAATTTACACGATTGATTTATTTAATTGTTAAAGCACTTTACAACATATTAAAGTTAACATTTTAACGTGTTTGGAAATTCATGAGAGTTTATTATGTGTGTAAACATGGTTAATGAAGCTCAATCTCTCAATTATTTTTATTTGCCCCGGGTGCCTTGATTTCCCGCTACTATGGCAACCGTTTCTTATTTAATATTTCTGTTAAACTAAATATTTTTTGCTGAATTAATAAGACATTCTATGCTGTACATTCTGTGAAAATTTCATTGGAATATATTGAAAAATAAAGAAATTAGAGAGATATTATGAGAACTTTATGATCAACCCTCGTATATCCATTATTGAGGACGAGTTCCACTTTTTACTAGTATGCCCATCATATAACAACTTACGAGATGACTTATTTTTGTCTGTTAAACGTATTTTACAAAAACAAGAACTTATTATTGATGATGAACTTTTGAAACTTTTATTACATGATTTTACATTAGTGCGCCATACTGGAAAATTCCTGAATGCTGCTCTTATCAAAAGAGCAAGCTTCGTTTAATAATCTTATAATATTGTTTTCAAATATATTGTACAATGCGCCCGATAAGCCTAAAATAGGCTGGGTATTCTATACGTGGCACTTAAATAAATAAATATACATACATACAATTACTTAATGTGTTTTGTAATATTGCCCCTTGTTCTTTCTCATTGTGATGTAAATTAATAAACTCAATATTCTTTTCTGACACATTTCTGACACATCTCATTGAAGTATAAAGAAGATCACTAGTCAATATTGAATGTGAATGTTGCCCATTACGCTTTGTCACTATTCACCAAGAAGATCAATTTAAAAAAGTCTTGAAGGACTGTAAATAATGATTATTTTGATAATAATTAATTAGAAACAGTGACAATAATGATGTGAAAAGAGTGATATTTCCTTCAAAAGGTCATTCTATACATGTTAATAGAATGACCTATATTTTGAAATATAAATGTCAGAATGACCTAATCTTTGGATCTGGTTATCAAACAAATTCCCTTCTTTGATAACCTATACGATTTCTTTTAAATATCTTGGGGGCTAATATGGGGTCTTAAAGACACTCGTCCTTTGTCAATTCTGATGAATCTTGGGAGAGAATGTTACAACATCTGTTACATAATTTCAAAACATAACGATTGGTAATGTTAGATAACTATTTGTTGGGAATGATTTACGAAGTGTGACGAATGGCTACTTTTATTCAAGAGATGCGTTGGGTCTCGCAAAAACGTTGATCTCCACCTCAGCGATTAACAACGCAAACATGCGAACTTAAGCGCAATTGTGCGTATGCTACCGAATCTGAACGAAGCTTTTCGAAAAGCTAAATCTATACAAATAACTTTAAAACGAGATTTTAAAGCTATTTACAGAAGCAATACCTCCATTTTCAATGCGTAAGTATTCGTTACTGTTCGTACATGTTCGCCAACTGTCGCAAAGATTCGTAATGGGATCGTTCTCGTTCGCTTGAAACCAAATTAGGTAATCATGACCTGACAGGAAAAGTCAGATATGGACCCGTGTAACGCGACTTGAGGTACGTTGACGCAGCCTATGCGAAGATTTACCGATCGTTAACGCATTGAAACGCATTACAACGAATGACAAGCGAAACTTTTATTCGCTGCAAATTTTTAAACATGTTCAAAATTTTCTGACGAATAAGACTAATTTCAACGGATGTAAACGCTCACAAACGCATCCAAACGAACACCACCACCTATGTTCGACGTACTGCCACGTACATATACTAATGAGAACGAATTTGATTCATGTTCTATTCGCCATTATACGCAAGTTGACATTTAGGGGGTTTCGCTCATATGTGAGGGGGCCTTAAGCAATAATGTAAATAATGCTCTAGGTACCAGGGGAGATCCTGAGTCCAACACAACCTTTCCCTATTGATGATTTCCTGAGATTGGCAAAGACCTCAATTGACTTGCGACCAGGCAAAGATTTATGGGGAAGAACGAGTGACCAAGAGCAAACTTGTGTTGACTTTATAAACAGTTCTGGGGTTGATCCCATTGGAGAGGTATGCCATATTAGGGAGATTAAGTTTTTGCATGTACTTTAACGTGAATGTGTAATATTATGACCATCAATGATTGATGTCCCCAATCTCTATTCCATTGCAAATATATTTGTAAACGACTATAACGAACACCCTCTCCCGAACCTACATGTAACAATAACATAACGATAAAGATGGTTATGAATGATCATCATATTCTCGGATTTGGTTACACCGAGTGATAAGTACAAACCGTTACAGTAATAGCTCTATATACTATTTTAATTGGTCGAAAGATGAACTCACATTTATTGTGATTGGTCATTATGGAATATGTAACTTTATTGGAATGCAAACTGACACACCCACCAGTGATAATCAGATAATCTTATGAAACGAACACTTAATGTAACTGTCAGATCAAAATGTTTCGATTCCAGATATATTCATCCGCAAGAATAAGTAAGCCTTCACTATGGATACCCGGAGTAGCAGGTGGTATGAATCTAGGAGGCAGCGTTGCCCTGAACACTGATAGAAGTATTGTCGTGGCAGCAACACAAACATTTGCTTATCGTAAATACTATCCTAATTTTATCACTGCTTCAACAAAATAGTCATTTGTTTTTATGTCACCACATAGATGTGTGACATATTGATGTGGAGGCATCGTTTTCTGAACTTCGTGGTGATAATGTGTCATGTCAATTATTCGTTTGAAAATTGGACACTTACCAAAATCATAAGCAGAATTACTCAATGGTTAAAGGTGGTATATAGATGTGTTCTCAAAGTGAAAATGACAACTCTTCAAGTTCAACACCTGATGAATAGAATATGGTACGTCGCAATCCGAGTGGTTAATTTGCCGAGTGGTCAAATTTTCATTTTCATTTTCCTAATTTTAATTTTTCTGATGACAAGAAACTCCTTATTGGATAACATTAGGAAAATGATATTTCTGACATTATAATCAATTATCCGAACCTTGCAAAAATTAGGCAATATGCAAATTAAATGATTAGGCAAAATTAGCACTGATACAGTACTTGTCATGTATATCTGTGTGATAAACATCAGTGTTGTTCAGTTTATTTTTAATTTCAACTTGTGGAAATGGGAAAATTAAATCGAAAATCTGTGAGCAACTGACAAATCATTTCTACTATTATATGTTTAGTTTATCAGTTGCTACCCAAAAATTCGTCATCGGTGCCGTCATGGTGTCAAGCATTCAAGTACAAAGACAGTGTCGGTGTTCCCTTTGCGGATTGTTACGGTGTTCTAAAACTCAAGGAGAGGTGTTACGAACCACCATGGGGCGAGTTGCACGCTGTGGATCTGACAAATGGCCGTAAACTTTGGAGCGTTCCGCACGGCACAACTTCCAACTTTCCAGAATCCACAGAAGACGACGGATCAAGGTAAATGCGACCTCACTGTCTCAATCATACTTTTTGATATATATTCTTTTGATAAGGGGCGATGGGATTAGTATCGTCAAACCCGTATAAAAGTGGTCTGTAAATCGGCAATTACTCATTATATCATTATTTGCTAGAATATTAAGAGCATATAAAACGTGTAATGTAATTTTGATGTATCAAAATATGTCTCCCTTCCTTCATAGTAATTTGCTGGTTTCATTAGCACTAAAATCTCTTTAGAGACGAAGCTCTCTCAATATCTTGATCAAAAGCTGAATTGATTCTTTTTCAGTTGGTACTCTGGCGGCATTCTAGTTACCGCAGGAGGGATCGTAATAGCTGGTAATACGGACGATCGACACCTTCGGGTGTTTAATATTGACACCGGCGAGCTGCTCTACAAATCACCAGATCCAATGGCAGGAATGGGTGCGGGAAACCCCATAACTTACAGAATTGATGGGAAGCAGTATATTGTTCTCACTGCAGGCGGAAACAATTTCTTCGGAATGTTCCCTTATCTAAGTGACCATGTTTATGCGTTCACATTGCCGTGATTTAAAATTCAAGTTGCAGTTAACGCAAGATGAATTGCATCACAACATTGCGTATTGAAATAATGCCCTCCTTATAATTGTTAGTGTAATATATTGACACAATAAATAATTTAGATTGAAACAATCGTCATATACAGTACCTTTCCGCAATTTATTATTCCTATTTTTAGATATGATTTGTATCATCCATAAACGAACAATTAGTAATTATCGACTATATTGTCTTAAAAGTGTTTATGATACCTTTATAGAGTTAACAAATATATGTATTCTGATATACCTAACCAAAGTACCGTAATCGCCATCTCCCACCCTCTTATAAGCGCCCATCCCGCTTCACAGCGTTCAAGAAATTAATATTTTTAAACAGAAAAATTGAAATATCTAATTGGATGGGGACGCAAAATGGGCAAATAAACCCCAAATTTTCCATTTTGCCATACCGTTCTCACAAAATGTTAACTTCACCTGATGACAATATACCCTTTGAACTCGTTCGACTTCACTTCTTAACAGAGAGCTTCGCCTTGGTCCAACCAAGGGAGTGCCTTATCGATTAACTTTTTATGTTTTATGTGACACTGTTGTTTTTATGTTGAAAAAATCTAGGTAACGGTATTTGAGTTATCGCCCGGACGGACAGACGGACTGACTGACGGACGGAGGGAGGGCTTCACTATATCCTTGCCAAACTTCTTTCGTTGGGATAAATACTAAACGAATGATTTATAAAAAAAGTTTTTAACACATCATTCAAAAGAGTATTTACTTTTACTGAGTAATTGATGGATTATAGTCTAGCAAAGATATTGAGCATAATGTTTTGAAACCAATTCATGTCAATTGTACATGACCGTTTAATTAGTAATAATAAAATTGTATGACTCCTAAACTGAAATAAAAATCCATTAAAAATGTTTGAAACCTCAGTCGTGTTGGTGGATATTTCAGTTGAAATATAAGACCTTCTGAACCGTGAAACCGTAAGTGGCGCATCTTATTGTATCCCTCTTTTGATAAAATTGCGGTAAATGCAAATATTTGAAAAAATGAAAATCTCCCAAATGAATTTCAAAATATGATTTTCTTCTAAACGTTTAATTAAATGTTTTAAATATATTACGCCGTTAATACTTTAGTTAAGTGTAACGTTTTTAGGAGAATTTGTACGTGTACCATGCGTATTATTTTATGACACCGGGGATTATTATCTACCTCTCAATTGAATTTTTCAAGAACCTGCGGTAATTACAACTATAATACTTTATACTGAATTGGGCGAATGAATACTACAAAGGGAAGAACTTATTCCAAGAGGAACACAATTCTACACGTTCACGTACAAGTTCGCTTAAAAACGTGTAACTTAATCTCCCTATTAGCAGGTCCGTAACCAGGGGGGGGGGGCTCGGTGGGCTCGTACGAGCATGATATCTCCTAAAAATGTGGACCTACCTTTTTTGCTTTCTTGAAGGAAAACCTGCTTTTCCCCACATAAACTGGCAATTTAGATTAAAAATAAAAACTGGCGTTACTGGGCAGTTTTTTAAATGTGGGCCCAATTTTTTTCTCCGTGCAAGCGCGGACGTTTGTTTTGTCCCTTCCCCTTTGGATTTCAGGATTGTCCTTTCACTGGCGGGTTCATCCACCAATGGGGTCCGGACCTCCCCGTTCTAAGATGGGCCCAGAAAATGTTGTTGTGTTTATCACCACGTTGTGTTTATGTCATTTTGTTCCAATGAGGTTCGGATAGATATTTCATTTCCTACCGAACATATGATACCAAGAGCAAAATAAGTGTCTGATGTGTTTTCTAAAACAATATAGAGAAAAATACATATTTATTTTTCAAATTATATTGTTACCATTCAAAAGATGACCATTCAATTGACGATGTGTAAAATTTTCAAAACTTTTTGATGACTAGTTTAAGAGAAACGTGCGTTCAAAGTGTTCACCATATCGATACCAATCCTTTCCAAAATTTAGGCCCAATTTGTGACTAATTTGGTCCAGATAACGTGGCACATTTTTCGAAATTGTACAATTCATGTGTATTATCAGTAATGAATTATGCAGCAGGGGACTGGGGATATGATAAACATGTACTTTCCACAGGTATTAATTGACGCCTTAATGTGTGTAGGTTCATAAATTTATTGGTGCTTGATATAGAAATAACGAACTCAAAAATGTCAGTTTGATAAAGCTTAAATACGGCTTTTCGTTTTATTTAACATCAAATTCAGTTCTACAATATACATAATATACAGACTGTCTTCAGTCTTTACTCAAGACCCCTGTTTTCAGTCTCCAGTTATCAATGTCTATTCAGAATACCCTGTATCTCCTCAGAATCAGAACTAAAACTAAAGTTCCACAGCTTGTGCTGTGGTTATTTACCTTGAAATAGAGCCATCTATACTTAGTAATGAAAAACAGAAATATATAACAGTGACATCTACAGGGTGTCAAATAAGTCCCGTCCCCCTTGCTACAGCTAAAACCTTAATAGATGGTACCAAGTGTGATATGCCATTGGAAAGATCATCCAAAGTTATGTTAACTCATCAACTCTCAAGTATTTGGATGAAATTCACCTTTATATTTAGCGTACCCTCATTTAAGCAGCTTTTTTGCGTCAAAATTAAAAAGATATGACCTCAGAAATATGTGAAAAAGTTAAACTTTTTCACATTATACTTGTTACAAAAAGGTTTTCACCACTTTCCTTGCACCTCTAATATCTACACATCTAACCTGACCGAGAGATTTGTTAAATTCATTGCCATTCACATATGTAGTCATCTTCAGGTCCGTTAACTTAAATTTCTTATACACGATTCTTAAAATCCTGCAAAATACGTAAAATTGCCATGTTTCTGGGCCTATGGTCACCTCAATTGATACAATGTAAAAAAATTTGAGATTGATTGACATATGTCGGATATATGCTAATCAATGTAACTTTAGAAGACCTTTCCAAATTCCAATGATATATCACAATTTGTACCATATATCTTGGTTTTGGCTGTAGAGGGGGGGAAGGGATTTATTTGACACCCTGTATATAAAAAGCTCAAAGCAGAATTGCTTCATAATATTCATAATAGAGCTCAGCGATATGTTTTAGGGGTACGGTACCGTTTTGCCCCATTAACCCTAGAGTTCCTAAGGGGATCCCTACTGTCTCTCGGGTAAATATATTGAATTTCCCCTCAGATATACCCTGTATCAAAAACCTCCCATTAAATAACATCTATACTTGATTATACTCATATTCTAACTGTATCATTATTACTTTATTTGCCAGTATTTGAGTATTTTATAAACTTATTTACATGAAAATGTGGTAAGGACAGTGAGATATCATCGATGTTACCGTGCGAATAAATGTACAAATGAATAAATTGTTATTTACAATGTTAGATGGAGTTGTTTAATCAGCCTTTAGTAGTTACAGTGCATTATTTGGGACCGTCTTACCATCATGTTTTCTATAGATCATGTTTATGATATCATATTGTGAAACCTCTACGCCCGAATAAGCAAATGAAATTTCTATTTCGTTTATATTTTCTCGTACATGTTTATATTTCTCCGTTATCAGCCTTAATTTGGCGTGCCATTTTGTGTATGTCATTAGAAAAAGACGGACTGACTCAACTTCATACATATCACAACTTGAACATATACCATCATTTCTAATACGAAGTTTGTGGCAATCTACGGAAAGTCGCATCATTGCTTTACATATTTTAAGATATTCCGATTTTATTTTACACACTTGGTTAAAGAGGTTCAAATACTCTGGTATTAAATATTCTGTTGAAAATTGTACACAATATACATCATTTGAGTTGATGGACTTTTAATGTCTCATTTGTCTTGCCGTTTTCAATAATGTATATCCGACCTTGGCAACAATTGCTATATACCCTTTGTCGTACAACCAATGGCTTTTAATATTTGATATTTACCTCACAAAGTGCTGCCTTGGCAACAATATATTGTTGTACCCAATATTAATATTTTATGTACAACTCACACAGTGTTTTCTTGGCAAGAATTGAGACATAGCCTTTGCTGCAAACATTCGCTTCGCACCCACAACTCCACATACAACCAGTTACATAACCACTTGGTGTTTCTACATATTTAGAGTCCAGAAAATCACAGGTTTTATATGATCCAATGAAGTCGCCAGTTACCATTGTTTCTTGATACACATGGATAGTGTTGTTGTGAGTCGAAACGCAATCATTGAAACCTCGCATGTATACAGCGATGCTGTATTCAGAGTAACCGGAATTGGCTTCGTCAAATTTCAGGGTGGTTCCAATCTTGATGTCAACGCAGGTGTTGAGCTCACCATCCGTAAGTATGTGTGTGTTCCTTTCCAGGAGAGGTCCGTCACCATGTTTCATGTTGAAGACAATGGGTGTAGCTAGAAAAACATTCAGATAAAAAATATATCTAAGCACAGGTCGTGCCAAAGGAAGAGGACCAAAAACTGTAAAGAAACCTCAAAACTAAGTGTCAACTCATATACCCTATATATCCTAACAAGCAAAGATGAATACCTGGTTGGCTAAATGCCATTAGAGGAAACATCCGGCAACAACTCTTGGCTCCAGTTAGAATTTTCCCAGTTGGTAGAGAGTTATCTTGTAGATTGAAAACGATAAACTCACTATTCGAAGCTGAGTGTGCAAGATTCCTTTGACCCGCTGTGTGTCTTCCTGTAACATCCCCGGGTCTTACGATGATTGTTTGTGCGAAGGGGACCTTGTAGGACTGGTAACCTAAAGCACACACATGAACACATTCAATTCTTACTGCATAATAGCTTACCTATTTGTGTGCATGTAGCTCACGATGCCCATGTCAAGCAGCGTGCCTACTAGGCACGCAGTTTGAAACTCTGACAAACTGCGCGCATATTTCAAAATTGAAGACGGGGAGGATACGACTCCCAAAAAGAGCCAAAATACGAAAAATACAAGGTTAGTCTCGTTCTATAGATAGTACCATTCTGTGAAGATGAACTTAATTTGCTCTTAGTACTCAATGTTTTTCCCGATGTTAACCTAGTTATCTTAATACAAGGGTCTTAACTAACTTCTGTGCTCAAAATTTACAGTGTAAAGTTATATCTTTGTATGTTTATCGTCATATGCCGTTTATTCAGCCATTGTGTCTGTGTATGCTAGAATATATAGGATCACTCCATCTGATTAAAGCGCATAGTTTGTGTTCAAAACGATAATACGCCATACACGTGATTTAAACATTTTTCTTGCCAAACTGCGCGCCTATATGCACATGTATTTCCCAAACTGCGTGCCTAATTGCCTATCCAAGCTTGTTTTGTATTATTAGAAAACGTAAGCGCCATATGTAAGGCACATTTGTGTCTAATAGTAGAACCCTGTAATTGAAACACTATGAGAGTCCATCCACCAAGTGGTGATCTGAAAATGAAATACTTTCTTTCGTTCCCAACTTAATTGTCACTTCTATTATACATTTTGACTTTCAATATGAAAATCTCATAAAATCTGACGATAAAGCAAAATTTCCAAAGCTATATGAAAAACACCTTTACGTGCCTCTGTAAAAATTTCAATGATAATATGTAGATTTAATAGTGTATGATCACAGTTTATAATTTCTGGCTAAAATAGGCGCGCAGTTTGTGGTTTATCAGTTATCACACGTTTCAGCATGTGATACAGGAAATATTCCACGAAAGGTAATACTGTATCATCCACGAAAGCGAAGCTTGAGTGGTGATACATTGTTACCCGAGTGGAATATTTCCTGTATCACATAAGCTGAAACGTGTGATGACGATTTTATCACATGTCTAGGAATTTTGAAGCATTTTGATTTGGTCAGTTATGATTGTGTTCAGTACTTCTGGTAACTATTATAATTTTTGATTTCGCTTTGAAACAATATGACGTCATACCGTTGTATTCGTACTTGTTTGTGAAATAGTATGACGTCATATTGTTTTCCTTAGCTAGAAGTGATATAATCAGTGACGTCACATCGTTGCTATTGATCATCACTGGTTGCCTCTAGTAACGTGTGAGACGGCCGTGTGAGACGGGAAAACTCACACGGTAATCAACCAATCAGATTACTGGAATTTTACAGAGCATGTGATAATATTTCTTTTTAATCTCCTGATTATCTGTTTTATCTCGAAATATTTTGAATTATACATGATAAATGCGTAAGGAATTAAATATAAAACGAGTCTAAAGTATTTGTCATTTATGTTTAAAGTGCTAGATCGATTTACGTATAAATTCCCGTTAAATCAGTGACGAAAATGCCATTAATCTGCTTATGTTTTAAAACTTAGATTCATTTGCACATAGTTTTTGCTAGTATTTGCAAGATTTGTATATTCGCCACAGAATGAACGCATTGAACAAGAAAACAATGCAGGATAAATGTCCTTAAATTACGTTTCAAAATACAGACTCCAACTTAAATGATGCAATGTGGTAAGGCACGCAGTTTGTGATCGAAACAAACTGCGCGCCTACATAGGCGCGCAGCTTGACATGGGCACCGTGTAGCTTTACTCGATTTATCAAGGAGTTCTCTTAAAGAAATCCTCATTTATGACACTCAGAGTCCTTTAGCACTTAAAATGTTAAAGTCCCCATATAAACCACTTTGGCTTATATAGTAGTCTTATCCAATGTAATCAAAGTGTGACATGTGAAACTTTTTTTTAATTTCAAAAAGTGATTTTTGAAGGACTTTTTGTTCAAAAATGTGTGAATTTATTCAAAACTAACTTTTAGAGGTCACGCATATCTTTTAATTAGCCACGATTCATATTCATGTTTTTTGCCGAAAAAATTAAGAAAATCGGTTCATAAATAAGCGAGATATGAACAAATCAGTGCATGAAAATGGTTCCGAGAAAAAATGCATTTCACAATTTCAGTTCTCATAGAAACCAATGGTACAATGATATCTGAAATATAAAGCATTCTTCCTTTTAACCTGGTTAGACAATCAACATTGGTTTATTATTGAAGTCTAGCATATTTAGAAAATTTTGACATCGAAAGTGACATCACTAATGTTGCAAAATATTTTTGATATGCTAAAACATTGAAGTGGCCCATTAAATATGGCATTTTATTATTGAAATAGTGTGTCCTTTGTTCAATCTTTGCATAGGTGTTCAAAAGATTTCAACTTTTTTTGGAAAAATGGCGGGAAATTTGATTATTGAGCAAAGAAATGCTCAAAACTTTTTTTTCAAAAACTTTTATAAGTCATAACAAATAGTAAATGAATGATAAAAAATATTTTCAAACTTTAGACGGGGGCTTTAAGACTTAAGTATCCATGCTCTACAGGGTGGGCCGAAAAAACCATCCCTAGCCAATAGTCCTGATAAATATTCAATTCTTAACATGCACACCGACAATGATATATCATTTTAAGGATAATTCAATTTGCAAAAACATGATATATAATAGAACAATTTTCAACAACCCTGGCTCGAGATATAACCATTTATGTGACATGGGGGTAAAAAAACTCAATTTTCATCGATTTTGCGAACAATTGCCTATTTCCTTAGCTCCCCCATTGAACTACGTGTTATAGCCTCCTTTTATTTACATAAAGCTATGTTCACACCAACGGCGAATGCCACGCTTTATATCAGAGAGCAAAGTGCCGTCATTTTTGTTTACTTTCCCAAAAATATCACGATCTCCTTATTAATGTTACGCTCTGATACGCTCTGATTTCCCGATTTGTTACGTTTCCTCACGCTTTGATCCCGCTTCGACCAGGCTTTGTTACGCTTGAAGATTTGATAAGCATTATTAATTTTGATGCGATTATGACGCTTTAAATCAGGCTCTGATACGATTGCCAAGCTCTGTTGTGCATTGTTACACTCTGTTATGTCTGTCACGCATTTGAAAATGTCGAGATCGCCGATTTCATGCAGCTTTTGATCCAATGACTATTTAAAGATGCAGTAGATCCATAAAACCATTGCATCTTTGACTCAAGAACACGATGGCAGAACAACAAAATCCAGAAATTTCAGATGGTCTGGAGCATGACCTCTCTGAAGAAGACATGATGTTTGTCGCACGGCGTGAAAGAGCGTAAGAGAGCGTGGGGAAGCTTGTCAAGCGTAACAAGCCTAACAAAACGTTTCAATCCTTGATAAAAGCGTCTAAATCCGTTTGAAAGCTTTGAGTCATTCATGAAAGCGTAACAAAGAGTGTAAGATATTGATGAAAGCGTCTGACCTCGTGTCAGATCTTCATGCCAGATCGTAGCAAATCTTGAGACATCTTAACGAAGCGTGTCAAGTGGTAACAGACCGTGGAGAGACTGGGGTCCCCGCTTTGAACCAAGCTCTGTTAAGCTTTCCTACGCTTTGGATCAAGCTTTGCTGAGCTTTGTTACGGTTTGTTAAGCTTTGATACGCCCTCGGCGCTTTAATCAATTCGTAACAGAGCGCCCAAATTTTTTAAACAGTTTACAATTTTTGGCGCTCTTGCCGAATATCCCGCTTTATTCCGAGCTTTTCTACGACCTATTACGACCCGACGCTTTAATTAAGCTTTGTTACGCTTTTGTGGCGCTTTACAAGCCGTGCCGTTGGTATGAACGTAGCTTAACTGGCGACTTATAATATTGATGGAAACGTAACTTGACTTTATTTCCAATACCTCCAAATTTTTTTCCTCAACTACGATAGGTCGAAAATTGATGATAAATTTGATGATTTATTGAAAATCGTCATTCCCATGTAATCCAATGGGAAATGGAGGGTTCGAGGCAAATCAGAAATCAGGCCGATATCTTTTCAGTAAAAGATTCAGCAAAAAAATGTTATATAGAAAATTGAATTGTCTAACTTTTTTGTACACTAAGTGTTTAGTTTATTTGATGAATACTAAAGTTACAGCGCTTCAAAGTCATTTTTGAAAATAATTTTTCGCCTCCTGTGTTGTTTCAATGAGAGAGGTTTTTGAAAAACAGTTTTGACTTTAAAGTCCTATAATTTTGTTGAACCTGAAGAAACATCAATTTTTTGTTAAATTAAGTTAGCAAATTCAATTGCCTGCCTAACTCTTATTTTTGCAAGGACTCGGATTGATGGATATTCTGTCATGTGACTTGCGGCAAACCTACCATTTCCCATTGGTTAACATGGGAAGGTCGATTTTCAAAAATTAATCAAATTTATCATCAATTTTTGACTTATAGTAATTGAGGAAAAAATTGAATAATTTTGGAGGTATTGGAAATAAAGTCAAATTACGTTTTCATTAATAGTATAAGTATTTTCATCGCAGGTTATGTAAATAAAAAATAAAGAGGCTTTAACCCGTAGTTCGATGGGGGAGCTAAGATTGCCAAACTTATGGAGGGGAGTGTATACAGAGTATCCTGTTGATTACATATTGTATAGTACTTTGGGCATCTAGAACAATTGGTCTATGAAGATATCTAGCCCACTGGGAGTGTAGACAAACTGAATGAATGAATAATTAGGAGTTGGATGGTGCTTCCGTAAAGATCCATCAATTATACCAATGGCTTTCGCGTCTTAAGCCAATAATCCGATCAGAAGGTGGGTCCGGGGGGGTCTATTGAGCCATATTTGGACAGACTGAAGAAGAAATGAATACACATTGTATTATGTCTAAATATAATGTGGTTGTTGAAAATGATGTATATATCAATTTGTTGCAAATTAAATTATCTTTTATATGATATATCATTGGTGTGATTGTTAAAAAATAAATATTTATCGGGAATATTGGCTAGGGGGTGGTTTTTGGCCCAGCCTGTAGTATAAGATAAGGGTGTTACAAAACGTAATTTTTATCTTGCTTAAATAATTACATCATTCAATCAAATGAAGTTTAAAAACAAACCTAACCAAATGGTTGTATCTTTTAGATCCATTAATTATCTTCAAGAAAAGTACATAGAATGATGATTTAGTTAATCAGACCTAAGTGATATTGAAGGGGCAATGGACCAATCTACATACTTTTTCCAAAATGTTGACCTAATTTTCACCAAAAATGCAAACTTTTATTATAGTGTTGAATGCATAATTAGTGCTTTGAGACATGTTCGATTTCCTAAAAGGAAAAGTTGATTGCTCCAGGGACTTTAAAGATACTGAATTTGGATGACCAAAATGAACTGAAACTAATGGATAGCATGGAATTTTTCAATGGAGAAATAACATGGGGAACACTTATCTTAAAGCAATTAAGTTTTTCTTTCAAGAACTATTTGATACATCAAAATAAAGAATAGTAATGCATCAAACATTGTGAAAATGGGGTCAACATATTGAAAAAGTGTGTTGATGGGTTGATTGCTAGATAAATATCTCCGAGTTTGTTTGACTTTATTATTACTATGCATACTTTTCTTTGAGATAATGAATCGATCTAAAAGAGAAACTTGTCTTCATTGTCAGAAAAGAGTCATAATCCAAGATATAACCTTTTGAAATTGTTTGCGATAGCCCACGTGCACCTTTATTCAATGTTTAGCTGAAACCCTACCGCAATAGACTAGATGCGAGTAGAAATAATCTTGATTTCCGCCATTAAATATTAAAAAATCAGCCAAAGTGATGAACATTTTTAGATAAGGTTTCGAAAATTGCTTATCAACTTTGAAAATTTAATTATATTTGATAATGTGAAAATTTGAAAAAAAAATCTCCTGATGACCATTGTGAATTGTTGTGTTTTATGGATTATGGCGACGGCTTTTGTGAATTGATGTTGACCCTTTGAAACGCCTATGGACTTGGAGACTGGATTTTATCCATCCCACATCATTTGAGACTGAATGCTCTATCTTGTATGAGTACTTGTATCTACAACAATTTTTGAGGTTATGAGTATTGGCTAACAATTGGCTATCAATTTCTAATTTTTTCTTCAACATGTATTGTTATGACTTTAGTATGAATGAAATGTCCCTTGGTCTTCTGGTCTTGGATTGTGATATTGATTCTTGAATGGTGGGGGAAAGGGGGTATTAGACATTGTTTCTGTTCACGTTAGATCATGGTTTTGGGCTATATGGGGTTTGTTTTTCTTGACTGGTATGCACTTAGAGCTTTTTCTTGCTGAGTTCCATTACAACTTTTGGTCCTTTCCCTTTGGCACTTATTCTTATATATTGACTTCGAATTCGGGGAGATTCCTCATAGACCCCATGTTATAAAATCACAAAAAGTGAAATATCTTTTCTTGTATTGGACATATAACATTTTCTTTTACTGGACATGTTTTAATTTGCATAACTATTAGATGAATAAGGGTGATATGGCAACTGAACCACTGAAACTGATGTAATTTAAGTTAAAGGAATATTCCTTGCCAGACCCTTTCTCTCTTGATATGGTAGCTATAATCATATATGTAGTTTCCATTTTTAGCAAAACATGGGAAAATGTTTTAATATGGTCAATATTGATCATTTAAAAATCTAGAGCTTATTTCCAGTGAGCTGCCATCTTTTAAGATTTCTTGCAGGAAGTGATGTCATCAACTCTCAACTTCTATAACCTTGTCCATAACAGTATAGTAAAGTAGCACAAAATCACTTCTAGACAAGTGATCATTACTTTCTGTGCAAAAATATTTTCAGGGCTTGTCAACTTAGAATAAAAGAAGAGATTTTCAGAAGGATTAAATAAGATACAAAGTTGAAAAAGAATGTTTAGCTGGTTTTGTAATTCTTTATAGCTCCTCACCTAATGCGATATGCAAAGTTGAGAGTCGATGACATCACTTCCTGTGTGAAATTTTAAAAGATGACAGCTTACTGGAATTGAGCATCACATTTCTAAGTGATCAAATTTGACCACATCAAAACATTTTTGCGTGTTTTGCTAAACATGGCAAGCATATTTATGGTTATAGCTACCATATGACGAGAGAGATGGTTTGGCATGGAATATTCCTTTAAAGCTTCATTTACATTTTTTGTATGTTAAATTTAATATAAATTTGAACATTACTTTATTTGAACATTAGTGAAAATGCTAGTGAACAATAGTAAACACGTCTCCTGAACAATAGTGAACATGTTAGTGATCAATAAAGAACACACTACTGATCGTGAAAATTGTGAACATGCTAGTAAACAATATTGACATGTTAGTGAACAATAGTGAACGTGCTACTGGACGATGGTAAACATGCTACTGAATAATAGTGAACATGCTAGAAAACATGCTAGGGAAAATAGCGAACATGCTTGTGAACAATAGTGAACATGGTAGTGAACATACTAGTGAAAAATAGTTAACATGCTACTGAGCAATAGTGAACATGCCAGTGAACAATTGTGAACATGCTACTGAAAAATAGTGAACGTGCTACTGAACAACAGTGAATGTGCTAGCTACTGAACAATAGTGAATGTGCTACTGAACAATAGTGAACGTGCTACTGAATAATAGTGAACATGCTATTGAACATACTAGTGAAAAATAGTGAACATGCTACTGAACAATAATGAGCATGCTACTGAGCAATAGTGAACATGCCAGTGAACGATTATGGACATGCTACTGAACAATAGTGAACGTGTTACTGAACAATAGTGAACGTGTTACTGAACAATAGTGAATGTGCTACTGAACAATAGTGAACGTGCTACTGAACAATAGTGAACATGTTACCAAACAATAGCGAACGTGATTCCCAAAAAATTTAGAAAATAGGATAAAATATTTGGGAGGGCCTTAACTTTTAGCGAGGGGCATGGATCAACAAGTATTTAAAAATGGTTAATCTTTGCACTATGCACATTTTCACGATTATGGGGAGGGGGACACGATCGAGGGCTATTCCATAGATAGCGCACACTCTGCCATCTCGTAACATGAGTACACTCTTGGTAGTCAAACTTACGTCGAAGCATTCATTATCACTAGGAATATTCCGGAATTTTACGAGAATAGCCGAAAATAGTCCTAGAATAGCCGAAGATAGTCCTAAGGTGAGGACTTCACGGCTTATTATACGCTTTATATACTACTATAAACTAAGTTTTTATTCGCGAATGTAACTAACGGCTGTCGGCTATCGGATTAACCTACTATTTCATGGGCCACTCATTTAAATATAAAAAGTACCTGCCACTTTTCCATTCATATTCAAATGAGTTTATCATAAAAAGTAAGTTAATCCGGTAGCCGGCAGCCATTAGTTGCATTCGCGAAAACAAGCTAATTATAAGACATTGCACTCACCAGTCCCAGTGGGAATAATCTCATTCTTGCCAACTAGTATATATCGACCGTCAGGCAAAGGTCTCCATATACCTCCCCAAAACGGATTTGTGTTTTGAGCATAGTATTGCCATTCTAGAATCTCGCCATGCGCTTCGAGTGAAAATGTTGTGAATATATTCAGCGCTGATCCAGCCATGCCCAATGGTAAAGGTTGCACTGCACCTCCCATTGCATGGATGGGGTAGCCTTCGGGTACTGAAATAAAATTATTTTACCAAATTACATTATCAAATGGACATTGTTTGAATTTAATCGTGTGCAGTGTATGCTGTGTTAACAATATGGCATATGGCTGTTAATAATACAGTTTCAGTATGTGTATTACAACGCTATGTTGACTACCAATATATCATTTTATCGTATGATCTGTAAAATGAAGCCTTCTCATTGGTCAGTTTTCGTGCTGTACAAATCTGTGTTGCTACTGAGATTGTCCCCATTGATCATCACACGATAAAAATGTTATAGAATGATTTGAAGTGCAATACAGGATATATTCTGTCTCGATATTCTGTATTGGCACTCGACTTCGTCTCGTTCCAATACGAAATTTCTCGAGCAGAATATATCCTGTATTGCACTTCAAATCATTCAATAACTTAAAGTGCAGTTGGTAATACAATTGCCATTATGTTCGTTGTAGGCTTACTTTGTGTATCGAATCTCGGGGTTGAAAAGCTTTGGCTGAATCTCACCTAAATAATCACTAATCCTGGTTAATTTCAATCCAAGACTACACTTTCTTTATGTGTATTGTTCGCTATGTCGACCAGTTTGTCATCATGCATTTGATAATAAAGTTATGTTGACATATGCGTCATTGTAACGACACCAGACCATAATCCAAGGACGTGTGCATTGCCGGGTGCATTGCTTTATTAGCTTGAGTTTTAAAACTGCTCATTGTACTTGATATGCATGTAGACTTGGTATAACATGTCTTACCCAGAAAGAAGCTAGCATCATTAATGAAGGCATCTGTATTTTCAACAACCCATGTTCTCCCTCGACCACCAGCATGACGCACATGTTTTGCATTCGCTGCTGATTCAATAGCATATGTCCCAGGGAAATATTCGTCTTTTAGCAGCCTGAACGTCGAGGCGTGTGCCCAGTCAACAGCCCCAGATGCCTCATTCTCAATGCTAAGGTACCCGTTAAAGCTTCGCAGGAAATATCCAGGTCTCGCCTTGTACTCTAAAGAGACAGTATCAGCTACAAGGGTGTTGCCTGGCGATTTTATTGTCCACAACACAATTTCATTATTTGTTGGCTGCTTTATCCAAACATCCGTAGTTTCTTTGGCATACAACGCAGATTTGGGATAATTTTTCGGACGAATTTCCACCGACGTACCTATTACTTCAAACCAAACATATACGTATCAATATATTACACAACGCTACAACTTTAGAAATGCATCATTTTCGACAAAAGCAAGGGTAAACAGATACCAGGGTCTATATGAACATATACAGTTTTCAATCAAGACAATATTGAAGCAAATGTTAAACACGGATATTGGTCATGCCTCAGATTTCTATACCGGCGGCATGACATATTGTCCAGTCTATTAAAGAAACACAAAGGGTACGTAAAATATTCAGTAGCTTCTGATATTATTTTCAGACAAAAATAGAATGTGAAAAGTATCATGATAGGACAAACAAGAAAACAACAACTCCAACGTCTCCAAGGACTAGAAAATCCCAATGAATAAAACATATTTTGATGAATAGCGGCCCTCTTGAAAATTGCTTCTCCATCAGAGCTCCTTTGTCTCTAGATATCAGCATAAAAAGATTTGAACCAAATCCGTCCACAATTAGAAATTATGTTTTTCTACCAAAAATGACAGCAATTTTAAAATTTACTGTTATCGTAAATATTTCCTCTTGAGCAGAGCTCCTTCAATTCGTCCCTGCTGTAGGCATCAGCATATCAAATTTGAAACCAAATCCGTCAGTTTGTATTTGAGATTATAGCCATTTTGAAATTCAGTGGGCATCTTAAAATGTCTTCTTAAGCAGAGTTATTTTAACTCTAGGCATCAGCATATTTAACTTGAACCAAACCCGTCCACTGGTATTTGAGATATCATTGATTACGTTCTTTTACGAAAAATTGCGGCTATTTTAAAATTCAACTGCCATCTTGAAAATTCTTTGCTTGTCAGAAATCTCGTGTTTCTAAGCACCAGCATACAAAATTTGAAACGAATCCAAATTGATTTATCAAGTATTAAGCTTTTTATGAAAAATGGGGGCCATTTTGAAATTCAGCAGACATCTTGAAAATTTATAAGAGTAGGGCTCCTTTGTCAATAAGCATAATACAATTTACGGTAAACGGCGGCCATTTTGAATTATGCGGCCATATTGACGATTCCTTCTCGAGCAAAGGTTCTACATCATACGACATAAGCATATAACATTTGAATCATATCTGTCAACTGGTATTTGAGTTATTACCCGGACACATGAACGAATAAACGAACGGACAGACGAACAAACGGAAAGACGGACGACTTCTCTACATGCCAAGGAATTTCGTTCATTGGGTTAATAAGTCAGATGAAGAAAAATTGATTCAAGAAAATGTTATTTGGGAAAATCTGCCTGTACAGGGAAGGAAAGGCTATCCGATATTGTATTTATCGTAAGGAAAATTATTATAGGTGCTTGATTAAACAATGTTTTAAATTTTCTTTAGTCTGTGATAATCATTCTGGCCAAGAAAGACAACACCAGTTTTCCCGTGGATTCCCTGAAGTGTTGGACTCCTTTTTACTTGATGTTCATCAAGTCCTCCTAATTGGTCTTACAACTCTCAATATTTTCAATATTGATATCTATCTCATTTAACAAAAAAGCAATTCCTGCATTTCATTCAAAAATATTAAAGAAAATCAAGTTATTGACAAATTGAAGACGCTTCGGCCAACACTGTATGTAATATGTCTACGTCAAGTGACAACTATATAGTAGCCAAGACAACACAAGTCCCAAGTCTGTATATTTACTCTAATTTCTTAACTTTTAAGAGTCAAGTTACCACATTTTGCATGCACATTCCTTGGAGAAATCCTAACATAGAATTTTATTGGTTTTGATTATAATTAATTTGTTAAATATAGGAAAACATTTGATTTTGATTGATCTATTGATTGGTGTAAACACATTACACTAAACAAAACACAACACCAAATCCAAAAAAAGAAACAGTCTTTGGAACGTTTGGTTGATAAACTAATGAAGTGTGGTGTATGCTATTGTAGTTTTCAAGAATAACTCCTAGAGATCGTAATTCAACTTCAAGCAAATCTGAAGCCCACCCCAAATGATATATCCATAACATTGTATTTTTAAGAAATATAGCTCGATCCTAATAGCAATTCTCCCAGCCCTATTTTCATTGATATAACAAACACATTTGAGGTATAAATAAAGTGTGAGGTTTTCTTAACGTTTTTAAGAAAAATAGCTCCATCTCCAAAAGCAGAAAATCTTCGAACACTATTTTCGCTGATAACAAACCATCCGAGGCACAAATAAATTGTAAAATTTTCTTAGCGTTTTTAAGAAGGTAGGTCCATTACCTATAGCGGGCAATCTTCCAACCCTACCCTTTGATCAGATTTGAATGATACAAAAAGAGTTACCGAGGTAACAATAAGCTTTTATTTTCCTCATTCATTATATATTTCAAAGTTTTTTTTCAAATTATTATTTTTTTAGAAATTAAGAATTAAGATGTGTCACCCACCTGATGATTCAGCAAGTGTGGCCAATGTATGGAGTATAACGGCGAGAGACACCCAACCCTGAAACGTCAATGAGTAAACATTTAACTTAACGTATGAACCGAAAGATAAATGCAGTGTTATAGATTTAGTAATTTTAATGTTTGATGTCGTTTCTTATAAATCGGGAAAGGCTGGATGTACTCATCAAAATTACCTCTATAGGCTTTTTTGTGAGATAAATATTAATGAATAAATACACATGCATGCATACATAGCATAACTCTCTGTTGATTTTCCGAAATGCTAAAAGGTATAATTATCTGTTTGACATTCATCTATTTTGAGTAAACCTTATTGGTACAGAGGGTTCTACTTCTTTTGACGAGTGAGCAATATAATAATTTAACACAAAAGAAACCAACGTTAAAAACATTAAAACGTTAAAATTCAAAAACAAAAACATTTTCGAAATCAGAAGTTTTTTAATGACGTCTCAACAATAGGATTAAATAAAAAGTATATTTTTGAAACTATAACAAGGTCAGCCGCCCAAGCTGAAGAAAATATGTCATCCAAATAGAAGAAAATTGTAAATTACTTCCTAATGTGAAGAATTTTTTTATGTCATTGCATATTTTGTAATGTGCTTTTAAGCCAAAGCTTGGTTGTACTTTGTTTTGCTTTGTTTTATATTCCATTGACTATTGTTAACTTATAAACGAAAATAAACAAAACTACATTACACATTCACATATCAGAACGATATTTCTAATTGTTTGTAATAGTTCCTATTGTTTTGTAATTTTTCGTTTGGTGAAACATTCGAGATATCTTAAATTATTTATGAACTGTTGTTGTTTCTGTCCAGAGCAATCGTTCCAAGCAATGTCAAAGATGTTCAACGTGGTTGTCAAAATACAGAAATGGACTGAATACTAAAAATATGTCTGGGGTGCTAAAACGCTTTCAGAACAGTGGCACATCTAAAATATTATTGTTGTGCAGCATTTATACATTTCATCTATTTATAGGCCTATGTTCTATTTAATCTAGAAAATAAGTTCTTCACAGTCTTTCATGTTTTTTAAATAGATAAAGTAATTGTGTGGAACACTAGTGATATGCCCATACAAAAGTCTAACTTGCAATAAAAAACAGTTTTAGAATGAATTTCGCTGTGATTTTCTTTAGAATATGATAAATATACATACGTCATTTTCATAAAATTGCGAGTGGTTTGACGCTATAATGTTCCTTCATCTTAGATTTCAATGTTGTAATGATGAAATATTTCAACATATCAAATGATACGATTATGACATGTGCGATTCCACTATGAAATGAAATTACCAAGAATAGGATAGTAAATGAAAGATAAAGATGTAATACTTACAATATTCTGAATTCTCTGGACGTCCATGTTCACCGCTTGCCCGAGTTTGATTGATTCAAAATATTGTCAACGAATTTGCTATGACGTATAAAATCACCAGATCCCATTAATTATTGAAATGGTAGATGAACTCTTCGTATTTGGAAATAATAAAATAGGGTGACAGTGAGTGCAGGAATTGAAGTTAATTGGTGAAATGAATTATTGAGACTACGGAATAATATTAAAGTGATTCTTTGTTGTTACCTTCAAGACCGATTCTGGTAAACAAAATTGGATAATAACGTTTCGAAGTATAAATCATAAAACGATATTTATTTTCTCGTCAATTTTTTGACGGGTAAACTTACTCTCGTCTCTTCTCTATTCGTTCTAGACCCTTGAAATAAGGAATTAAGCCTTTTACTTACTCAAATCCCATCTGTAATTGAAGGTTATATCTTGTTTCTAGTAAAGATAGTACTTTAACACATAGCCAGGCAAGGTGTGTCCGAATCAAGCCACCCTGAACAGTCTTTCATATAACTGCATTGAATTATATAACCAATAACCCACCCAAGGTCTTGTTGAATGGTTGTCAATGTGACAACTTGACTATACAGATTAACTCTGCCAACTTGACCCTTGCAAAAAGGTTTCAATGAAAATATGTTCTTTTAGGTGATATTTTGCAATGTGTGAAAAGAATTTAAGCCCAAGACTTGATGCATTCTGGCTGATTCATTCCACTCACCAGGCTATTCACCTTTCCCCAAAGTCCAAAGTGTACTCATTTGACCGCTGCGCTGATTGGACGATGAAAATCAATGACGTCAAAGCAGGGCACATTTCGTGCCAAAACTTCAATTAGTATTAGATCGCCGATTGAGTGAAATAGATCTCATTATATTATGATAAAAAAACTAAGTGAAATATATTTTTCTGACTATTTTGTCTAAGCTGTGTCTTAAATACACCATCCGGTAAATCAAACCATAGAAATAATTGTGATACGATTGCGATTGCTCATGGTCAAATTATATATTGAAGTAACCATGGGCTTTCAACTTTCTAGTAACTAATATTCATCATAGACGAACACGATAGTTACGATTTCAAATAAATGGTAAGATTATACAAAATGTTCAAAGGTATACATATTTGGGAATTATCTTAAGTGCTTCGGGATCTTTTAAACCGGCCCAGCAAAACATAAAGGAAAAAGCAAATAAAGCCATGTTTAAAGTTTATCAATTGACAAGCGGCACAGAGATGAAGTCTTCACTGAAAATGAAATTGTATGATCAACTTATCAAACCCGTTGCTTTATACGGGTCGGAAATATGGTGTACTGATATATATACCAAGCGTGACTGCCTAACTAATAGAGATATTGAACATAAATACGAAAGTGCTTTAATTGAAAACAATCATATTCGGTTCCAAAAATATGTTCTCGGAGTTCATAGAAAAGCCACAAACATGGCAGTAAGAGGAGAATTGGGAAGAATACCTTTGGTAGTCGATATTATAAAAAGACAAATCAAATACCTCGGTCATTTAGAGTTGAGTGCAAATGGGAGTTTACTAAACGATTCATTAATTATGAGTAAAACATTTGTTTTAACAAATAACACATTTACATGGCACAAACAACTCAAAAATATACTGTGCCATATTAAAATAAAAATGTCTGGTGAATTGAATCTTGAAGATAAGGTAAACATAGAGAAGAGCACAAATAGGCTTGCTATTAAAGTCAAAAAGAAATTAATAGAGAGATATCAAGTATATTGGAAGAATCTGATAAGTGGGAATGGGGGGAAACTTAGATTATTTAAACAACTAAAATCGCACTTTGGGTTTGAACACTACCTTTCAGAAACGAGACTTTCAAACGCTAAACATTTAACTAGATTACGTATAAGCGCCCACAATCTAGAGATAGAGAGAGGCCGATATACAAAACCAATTACTGATCTTAATAGTCGATTTTGTAAAATATGTAAGGACTCGGTTATAGAAGATGAAACACACTTTTTATTCAAATGTAAAAAAATGGAGTTTATCAGAAAATCCCATATTGAAAAACTTGAAAACCTGTGTAGTAATTTTAAAAACATGAATGATCACCAAAAGACAATTTTTCTATTGACGAGTGAGGGGATCATATTAAAAGAAGCTGCTGACATGATAAAGTATCTAATGATTGGTAGAGACAGGATTCTTATATCAAAGTAACATTTTATATATGTCATTTGAAGAATGTAATCCTATTTTCTTTACTTTATTGCTATATTTACTGTTATTGAAAATTGTATATCGGATGTACGTTTGGCCCTAAAAGGGCATCAGTACTAATAAAATCCTATATCTATACCACTATCATACTGTAGTAGTTTGCATTTTAATTGCAATTCAAAGCTTAATTACAGGCCCGTAGTCAAAAAGTTACCCCTTAGTAAAACCGCTCCCAAAAGTAAATCCTGACTACGGGCTTGAATTGCCAGAGTTTCTCTCTTGTAGGTCTACGTCCAAAAATATCCTGATAGTTCTCTTAAAGATCGATATTTATAAGAACGCCCATGGGCTTTTCAAGAGATAAATCTCTTGAAATAGACGATCGTGGGTAAAACAAGCAACTCTGGTACATTGTCAAAAAGCATACATGAACGACTTTAACATTGTTCAGTGAAATTAGTCATCACTCATGTAACCATTGTCAAATTCTTTGGCAGATATAAAAGTAACATTGTCATGTGGTACAATAGCTGGCTGAACGTAAGCGATAATAACGCACCGTTGGCCCAGATTTGAGAGTCGAATACTTTTTCTTCAAGGTTAAGCCGTATCCCTTTCTTCACCCCATGAGATAATATTACACGAACTTAAGATTACCATGAGATGTTGACATTTTGACAGTCAAGAACTAAACATGGGGTTTTGTACAGTCGGCGTAATTTGAAAATGTACATGAAACATTGGACTCTTCACATTAATATTTCTCTATTTATTTAATTTCCCAGAACAATATAAAGAAGGGGGAATATAGACGTGAGTATAATTAATTCAATTCCATGACATTTATCATAAATATTATTACTATTCAACATAATTTGACAATAAAAGTAACCCGTTTCCGTCACGATTCACATTGACTCCTAATGTGTTTAGATTTTCCCGCGAAAATCTGCCCTACTCTGACGTCAGAGATTTCAGATTTGCTAATTATAATATTCATGAGCTGACTTTGGGGAAAGGTGAATATTTCTTAAACTTCACTCTCGATGCTGTGCACCTCGTGCAAAGGTTGGAATAACGCTTTTGAGGAATGATTTAGTCCACATGGCACTGACTCCAGGGCTTAAATCCTTAAATATCAAAGAGTCTACGTTTTACCACTAACACTTAACAAGCAATCTAATATGATTTAAATATACATCTATAGCTGATTTCTTTATTTAAAAAAACATATTTTAAAAAATCTGTTTGCTACATTCGATTTGATGATTTTTGTATTTATCTGAATTTTCAACACATAAACAGTAAGAATGATATTAACTGAATGAAGGGTCAGACAGTGGGCAAATGTTCCAAATGAAAAGAATCTTTTCAGAATAAAATCGTCAATATTTGGGCTTTCTACTTCTTTATAGAAAGCCATGACAACCAATGTTCCGGTTGAGTGGCAATGTATCAAGTTTTACATGCTGTTGCAAGTAATTTCCCATACAGAAATGGCTTTATGTGTGATCTACTGCATGTAGGAATCCCATGCATCAAGTAGTAATTGCACTAGTTTACTCAAATATTTTTCAGTTACTTTGCCATCTTTATAATATACTTAAAACTTAAACCAGAAAATAAAGTAATACTTTCCTAATGAAAATATTGAGACTTTTAAACAATAGTGTACATCTGGAATGCTTCAAAAAATATGGAATTCTTCCGAAACATAAAAAAGTCTTGTAAAATGTATTATGGATTTCTCGCGGTGTGTTGATAACAAGAGTCCATATTATTAAAAGATCATAACATGATTGTCTAGACATTGAAATGATTTATCAAATATGACTACATGTATGTTTTTAATAAATCTAATGCTGGTCTTATTAGGCCACTGTGCCTATCTTTCATTAGTGCCTTCTGCAATGAATAACTTATTCCAAAATAATTTTATTTGCAATTTGTTAACATGACTTGGGTAAAAAAATAGTAGGTACAAGTTAACATAAAATGTCTTCGTAATACTTCCAGTATTATGAATGAATGATATACCAATGAATAGTCGATTCTCGAATAAAATGATATATCACGTGATTAAAATGAGTGACCATTTTTATGCTATTTTGTGCACCGTGGGGTGATTTGTAAATAACCAGCTTTCAATCGTGACGAATGGCATGTTAAATTATGACTTAAATCTGTACCTCTACTGTCCCACTGACTGTGTCCCAGCGAGCACGACAAACACTCAAACACGCCTAACCATCGACAACGTATTTTAAAAGTTATTCTGAGGAATACTTAAGGGATTTTATGTTTAATTTCGTGTGTATTCGATTTGGAAGACATTCACCTTTCTAATTCCGTGAAAAGATTTTCGGGCAGTGCTCGTGTTTTTCGTAGTAAATCTACCCACCAACAATGATCGGTTGGAAAATATTGGTTTTTTCACATTTCCTTTGGTCATATTTTCCCCTGTCGCCTAAGTGTCGATTATTTTTATGAGAATCTGTATCCCAAAGTTACACAATTAAGATCGGTTGAAGATTTAATTAATATTCACGTTTTTGCTAAAATAATTTTAAAAAAATCATAAGTGTACGTTGTCATCTCGATATACGTTGTCCAATTAAACTTACATATCTGAATTCACAGTTAACCCTTATGTAGACAACGTATTTTCATAACACTAAGGGGCAGGAGATCAGATTCATTTAAAACTGAAACGGAACAATCCAGTATTTCTAATTCAACTTGATTGAACTATATTGAAGCTCTGCACTTTCCAGATATAGCATAAACGGGATTTCGAAAGTCATCTTAATTCGATTAGCTAGTATAGATCTCTCCATGAACTCCTTAATATTATAGAAATTCATAAAAGTGCAAAATAATGTAACGTACCGGCGCCGAATGGTCAAAGAGGTTGGAAGATAACACCCCATGGTCAAATATTAATCACCATATCAACACTTTCATAAAATAAAATACCATTCAACAAGAGGTAAAAATAACTTTTACCCGTTTATCTGTACCAGGGATACATGAACATGTTCGTTGAACATCACTTGTTACTCATAAAACCCTTAATGCGTTTTGAAATTAAATCATTGCATTGTTTACATTTCAATTACAGGGACAACGTACATTGGAGATGACAACGTATATTTTTGATTTTTTAAATTATACAAAATACATGAATATTCATAAAACCTTCAACCATCTTAAATTGTGTAGTTTAGAGAAACATATTCTGATAAAAGATATTCGACACTCTTAGACGACAGGGGAGAAAACGATCAAAGGAAATGTGTAAAAAAAAACATTTTTCCAACCGACCAATTGCATGAGTACAGTAGATTAACAACGAAAAAAATCAAGCACTGCTCGAAAATCTTTTAACGTAATTAGAAAGCTAAATGTCTTCCAAATCGAATATACACAAAATCAAACATGAAATCCTTTATTTACTCCTCAAATTAATATTAAAAACCACAATCAAACCTACATCATGGTTTTCGCTTCAAATCAGTTAATATGACACCCGCCGTATACCTAAAGTGTACGACGGTATATCTTCTCACAGTACGTTGTCGATGGTAAGGCGTGTCAAAAGAACATTTTTATTTTCCCATGACTTCAAGGTCCATAATATGTTATTAATAGATTATTACGAGTTAGTATTACTGTATATGAAGCAACTCATGAAGCCTCTCTTGCAAAGTCTTCGATGACATGTAGTGTTTGATTATGGTCAACATACCCTATTCCCAATGTAATGTACAGGAGATGTACTCTCATATTTGGGCTAATATGTCACGAAATAAGTTGATATGTCACCCAAATGGCTCAAAAATTACATGACCTGCTTTTAATCTTGCATGCAATGAACATAGTCCATTTATATTATCACGGCGAGAAGTTCTAGTGGTAGTTTTTCACTTTTTCGGCCAGTCCGGTATATCCAGCATATTGTAAGGCATTTTCTAGTTTTGCCCTAACATCATCCTTATTTGACATAGTCCTTTGCCAGTCAACCAACAGTTGAAAGAGATACATTTGAGAATTGTGCAAAGTGTTTTGTTTAGCATAACTTCGTACTGCTTCTGGTATATCGAGATAAATGGCGACCTTATCTACATCTTTGTAGGCAACCTCTTGAGCTATGTCCATGAAGAACTTCTCAGGAAAGCGAAATGCGCATTCACCTGTTTGGGAGAGACAAGATAGAAAATCTTAAAAAATTTTCCCAATGGAAATTCGTCCAGTGTCTCTTGGAAACATACAAAATATTTTCTAAAAATTCCTGAAAAGACAATATCAGCATTAATCTCTTTGCAAATAGTGCTTTTCATTTTATCACAAACATTGCCTATACAGGGTAGGCCAAAAAAACAATACGCAAGTTTAAACATGAACGATTCATATGATATATGTTAAACGATGCCCTATATATCAGTTCTAAGATAAATCATTTCCAAACAATATGACACCTCCATTCTATTGAAAACCTACTACATTGCATAGTGTATTGTTATATCATGTGATATTCATCCTTAAACTGGGGTATTGGTTTTTTGACCTACCATGTACTTTTGACGCTCGTGTGTTTGTTTTCCTTTAAAATCAACCATTACATTTTCTACAAAATATCTTAAATGTATATTATTTTATTAAAATTTCACATTGTCGATTATATTGAGTATTTTAATAAATATTTAAGAGACATACCTAAAGGATTAATGGCTTCGGACTCTACGATTCCGATGTAATGTTTCAGCATGCCCAATGCTGAAGTGATGTCTGTCGTGGCCCTTGAGAACGTGGCAACGGAACTAAATAAACATACATGTATGCAATGTATACTTTTCGTTCACAACGTTGGGAAATAATACATGCTCCCTTGAATAAGATTTTTAGTGTAAATATCCCAAGGTAAATGTTCCCTAGAGTAGCCCAGTATGTACAGATAATAAAGGACCTGACTAGAAGAAATTTCAGGAATTATTAAAATTCACTTTTTTATACACCGACGTTTGACAAGTTCCGATTCAGGAAGAATATTGGCAAAAACAACAGATTCTAAAGAAACATTGTTTAAAAACATACTTATTTAGGTATCTTTGAGCTTCGGTATTTGTTTGAGTTTCAACCTCTTTACTAGTTCGCTCCTTGTCTGTTCTTTTACTCTTCTTAACCTGAGATTCATTTGTTTGATGTTCATTAATCAGTGACATATCTGTCTGACATGTCTGATGCTCGGTTTGTCGTTGTCGTCTATGCTTTCTAGTAATTTGCTGTTGCATATCTGGTTCCTCTATTTCTAAATATGTAGAAACAACATTTTCACAAAAATACAACCCTGATAAGATTATTGAATTACGTTTCATCATGGAAGTATTTCTTCTCATTACCATGCTAAAGTGAGATAGACAGGTCTTAATATAATAGTCATATTACTATTTCGAGCATTCGTTTTCATAGCGAGTTTGATCTCATGACACATGTTCAGACTTTATCGATGTGACGAGGTAACGTTTTGATTTCACGCATGTGAAAGTCTTCGGAAACATAATTTTAATATTAAAAATAATCGAAAACTGACAATATACGTATGTACGAGGGTTGTCCCAGAATTAATGCACTATATGCTATAACTTTCTTTAATATTCTTCAATTCAAATTTTGTGTATATAACAATTGAAGTTTTATCTATTATATCCTGAAGTTTCAGCATCCAACATTAATATAACGTCTTAACATAGTTGCTATAGCAACATGGGGGTAGGGGTGGGCGGGGCAGGTACCAATTTTTCTAATTATGAAAAGATCTGAAGTGTTATTTTCATTAATATTTCTTTCCTTTAAATGGTCAAAATGTTTGGGAAATTGTTAAATTTATTCAGCATGAGGTTAACCAAGTACGAATAATGACATTTAGTACTGTGATGTCATAATACCACATTTCAATAGTCACGAATTCAAATACAGTCACAGTCAAGAAATTGCAAAAATGGCTGCAATTCTCACCTGATAACAGAAGGCCTTGCGTTTGGTGGCCTAATTATATACTTCACTTGGACTCATAGCCACGCAAAACAATGCTACCATGAAGAAAGTATATAAGGAGTATATACCAGATAGAACTACAATTATGGGGTGGCAGAAGAGATTTAAGAGACGATTTGACCCTGTATGACAACTCCAAACATGGGAGGCAAAAACTCCACAAGTCACAGTGGAAGAAATTGCCGAGAGTGTTTGACCTGACAGGCATCAAAAGTACTATACATAACATGCAAAGGGCAATATTTTGAGAAAATGTGAAATGGGACACTGTGCAATATACATCCAATAAATCTAGGATGTGCTCATAGTAAATTAGTATCTTTTTTTAATAGTATTTATTGCATGAATAGTATATTACAATTAACAAAGTGTAATAATGTCAATCGCCCTGAGGCATTACAGACATATTCACAAATAGATAAAATACATACAGGCAATAACTTGATTGGAAGATAAATGTAAAAAAGAATTTAAAAAAGATGTGATAAAATGAATGAGTATGAAGAATGAAATGATGATGGTGAAGGTGACACTAGGACATGAAAAGGATGTTTACAAAGTCCGATCAACCTCTGTTTGATGATTCTATAAAATCTGAAATTGCGTGTGCCAGAGATTCATTTGTTTTGAAATTCATTTTATTAGAATTTCCAAACAGAAGTAATTTAACTTTGTTTGTCATATTCATTTGCTTGAAATAATCAATCACATTGAATTTTGCAAGCTCTGCGAAAAGTTTGTTCCGTTGGGGGTTGTATAGGGTGCAATTGAGAAGGAAATGTTTGATGTCTTCTATTTTATTTCCACATGAACAAGCTGGGGATAAGACTGAATTAAAATTGTGAGCAAAGAAGTGAGCATTTAGAAATAAATCAACCCTAAGTCTATTTAAGGCAATTTCTTTCTTTCTTGATATAAGCATTTTAGTAGTTGGAATGATACATGTATATATATTTTCATCCTGAATGGAATTCTTAAGGCGATATTTAAAATGCAAGAATTCTTTTATTTTGGAGAGAGATTGATCAACATTATTCCAAGAGCTCATAAGTTGGAATGATGGAGAGTTTAATAACCTGGCTGATATATTTCCAGGTACCTTATAGTATCGCACTCTTCTCAACTGAGTGTTGTTATGATCAGCTAAATAGGCATTGAATACATTTGACACATATGAAGGTTTTATCTTATTAAAGACTTTAAACATGTACAAGAGTTTATGGTAATTTCTTCTAGATTCAAGAGTTTTCCAGTTCAGGATGTCAAAAACTTTAATTTTGCTTGATCCATGGATGACTCCACTTACAGGGTGGTCCAAAAAAATTGGAACATTTGTTAATTGAACACAAAACCTTTATTTTTCGTCTGAAATGCACCAAAATTATACTGAGCATAGTTCAGTCACTTATCTCTCTGATGTTAAGTTTATAGGTGCACACCACAAAGTAAAGGCATTAAACTAGTCAATGTTTGATATGACCCCCTTTTCTCAAATATACACTTGTCAATTTCGCCACTACTTTTTCAAGTTTTCTTTATTTCAACGCTTTAATGAACATGTTGATTGCTATACACATTTTATAAAATCATATTTAGTTGACAAGAGGTATTAACATCTTTGGTTTAATAGAAAACTATTGTGTTATTGTTAACTTAAGAATACCCCAAATCATTATTTTTATTTAAGAGTAGGAAAGAAAGATGTAAGAGGTGAGTGATTGCATAACCCATACAGCTACTAAAGTGACAAAATCATTGTTTCCACTTTTCAGTTAAGGGGAAACAGACCAGTTATTTACAAGACTTTATTCAAAACCCCCTCTAAGTACATATAATATATCATTTGTGTTCTGGGAAACTCCTTTATGATATTGATATACATATATTGATGTATTCAATGAATATTATCCATATTAGAACAAGAAAGGTAGAAGGGGCTCATTTACCAGTCAAAACAGACTGCCCTGGCCTCTTTCTTGAGGATATTCAATCAGTAATACACCTAACAATAGCCATCAAAACATGCTTGATACCCATCAATTTGGGTAAAAAATGTTGAATGTGTTCACATATTTGATCTTCCAAGGCAAACATATAAGTAGTTTGTTCAAGCTGAATTTTTTAATCAAGATGGCTTTGACAAAATCAAATGAACAGCAAAGTGAATGAATCATTTCAAAACTGAGTCCCAGGCTTCAACTTGTAATTCAGGAGTTTAGGGGTCATATCAAACATTGTCTAGTTCAATGCATTAACTTTGTTGTTTGCACCCATAAACTTTACTTCAGATACATAAGTGACTGGACTATGCTCAGTTAAAGTTTGGTGCATTTTAGAAGAAAAAATAAAGGTTTTGCGTTCAATTATCAAATGTTCCAATTTTTTGGACCACCCTGTATAATACAACCAGCTTTATAATGAGTGCTTTCGAGTTTGGCCAGCTCAAATTTTGATGCCGCTGCATAAAATAAATCACCATGGTCTAAAATCGGTAAAATGAAAGCATTGTAAATTTTTTCAAGATGTCTTGAGGTAACTTTTTAAAGATTGCCTTTAAGCCATTTACCATATTTTGATACTTATTTGACACATGTCTAGCATGGTCATTAAAAGTTAATTTGTGGTAAAAAATAACACCAAGATGCTTATGAGATCGAACCTTTGGAATTTCATCTTTTCCAAGAAATAAGGGAACAAGGTCGGGAGCTTCTTGCCTAGATTTAATAAATGTCAAATCCGCACTTTTTGAGGCTTTGAAAAATAACTTCCATGTATCAGACCACTTGGAAATCAGATTCAGATCATTTTGAAGAATAGCCAGTGAGTGATTTGGATTTGCTGGATCAAATTCGCGAAAAATGGATGTATCATCCGCATAAATACAACACAGTGATTTAACTAAGTCTGGCAAATCGTTGATATAAATGAGAAAAAGAAGTGGTCCTAATAAAGAACCTTGGGGAACCCCTGCATTTACATAGTGATCTTCAGAGGGTTCGGATAAATTGCCATTGACGTTAACAAAAAATGTTCTGTTTGAGAGATAGGATTTGATGAGATTTACAGTGGGTTGATCAAAGTTATACTTTGCAAGTTTATAAAGAAGTAGGTTGTGGGGAACAGTTTGGTCTTGCGTGCTGTGTCCCTTTAAAAATCCAGATTGAAAGTTGTATAGTATCTTAAAATGTACTTTTGAGCATACTTCTTATAGCTACACCAAATGGTATTTGTTGATTAATAATTTCATATTTTCAATTTTTTATTCCTTTTGACGTGACTGTATAACCTGCCCCGCCCTATCCAAACTCACCAACTTGATTTTATTATAACATCAATATAGTTATATCAGTCAACATCAAAAATTTTAGAATAATCAAAATGTCTCTAAAGAACATTTACTGAAAATTTCATGAAAAAATATCAATTATTGATAAAGTTAGAGCATATACAGGGTGGGCCAAAAAAACAATACCTAACTTTAAATCAGAATGAAAATAGCTATGTTCAATATGATACATTGATTTATATATCATTTTAAAGGTAATCCATTTTCGAACAATTTGGTATATAACACTATGTCATGAAATCAATATTAAAGTTGTATTATGCTTATTTGGGCGGCCTGTTCGGTATTTAAGGTATCCAGATTTTAGGGAGAAAATAGTAAATCTGCGGAATAATGTTAATTTTTTCCCTATAGAATATAATTTTGTTAGGTGAATACATGCTTGTAAATTTGCATATTGTGTGTCTAAACTTATTGTTTATGAATTTTAGTGTTGTTTATTATCAATAAGTACTCAAAGGGGGTCTGTTAAAAGACATTAAACATTTATGTGACGAGGATTTTATTTTCCAACAAGACATTGCCTCGTACCATAGATCTCAGGAGACATTGGCATTCCTTTGCAAACAAGGTGTCAATTTGATTGATTTCGATGCTTGGCCACCCAACAGTCCCGATGCTACATGTAATGTGTTTAATTACCATACGAGGAGCCATCTCGGGGAAATGGTACAATCAAAAGCATCCAATAAACAGCATTGATGAGCTGAAACAGAATCCTAAAGTGCTGAAATGAATTGCAACTGAAATCCCTCAATAAGGCTATTGATAGATTGCGCTACCACTTGAAGCTTATCGTTGATGCAGAGGGAAGGGGGTGGGGGCGTATTGAGCAATTGTTTTTTAAATAGATAAAGTGTAAAATGTTATTAAACAGCACTGAAATTCATAAACAATAAATTTAGTCACACGATGATGCAAATATCAATATCCAAGCATGTATTCACCTAACAAAAGAATGATATTCTATAAATAAAAAAATTAACATAATTTCGCAGATTTACTATTTTCTCCCTAAAATCTGGAGACCTTAAATAGCAACCCGGCCTCCCAAATAAGTATAATAAAACTTTACTATTGATTTCATGACATAGTGTTATATACCAAATTGTTTGAAATTGTATAACCTTTAAAATGATATGTAAGTCAATGTACCATATTGAATGTAACTATTTTTATCCTGATTTGAAGTTGGGTATTGGTTTTTTTGGCCCACCCTGTAGTGCATTACTTCTGGGACAACCCTCGTACATGTAGGTATACATCAGATTCTAAATAAAACTTTCAATTTTACTTTTTTCCACAGAATATTGATTACATTTGGAAAGACTACACCGATTTTGGATTGAACTCATGTTAAATATTGCAAACAACATACCTAAAACAGCAAGGATTTCGGTGCCCTTGATATGGAAATTTTGTAGCTTTATCAGAATATTCTTCATCTCATCGATGTCCTCCTCAAACAACATAAAGGATCTCAGCTGTGATGGTAGGTATCCAGTGTCGATTAAACCATCGATGGTTTTCTTGTAATAATAACCATTACGGATAAGTTGGACAGAATTCCTTGCTCGTTTTCGTAAAGAGAGTTTTGAGCTTCTATTCATTTTATCTTATTGGTCTATTGTTGCGGATTGTTGCTCTTCGGTTGCATTTTGATTTAAATACATCAGCCTCTGGTAATTGTTATCAACAATGCCACCTAACAAGGTGAGGGAGCAATAAAGTTCGATGTGATTATGTGCCAGAGAACTCCAAAATTCCTCATAATTTCCATCTTTATCACTGGTATGAGCTTTCGCACCATTGTATATCAGAGCATTACAACAGTCCAAACTATTCTTTTCTACAGCAAGCATCAATGCAGTCGTCCCATCCTCGTCACTACCATTGATGTCCGCACCGTGGTCTATCAGAGCACGACAGCAGTCCCCGTAATTCAACTCTACAGCGTACATCAATGCTGTCTTCCCATGTTCGTCCCTGGCATTGACATCTGCACCACTGTGTATCAGAGCTTTGCAGCATACGAAATTATCATTCTTCCCTACAGCGACCATTAATGCAGTTTTCCCACTCTTGCTACTGGCATTAACGTTTGCACCGTTGCTAATCAGAGCGACACAGCACTTCAAATTTTTCTCCCTTGCAGCAAGCATCAATGCAGTAGCCCCACTCCTAACACTGGCATCAACGTTTGCACCTCCATTTATCAAAGCAAGACAACATCTCGTATTATTTTTTGCCACAGCAAGAATCAATGCGGTCTGCCCAAAACTGGCACTGGCATTAACGTCTGCACCATTGCATATCAGAAAACTACAAAGGTCCAAATTATTCATCTCTGCAGCAATCATTAATAGAGTCTTCCAATCACTGTCTCTAACATTGATGTCTGCACCAATGTCTATCAGAACCCGACAACATTCCATATTATATTTCTCTACAGCATACATCAATGCAGTCTTCCCATCACTGTCACTAACATTGATGTCTGCACCATGGTCTATCAGAGCACGACAACATTCCACATTATTCTTCTCTACAGAATACATCAATGCAGTCTGCCCATCCTCGTCACTGGCATTAATGTCAGCACCATGGTATATCAGAGCTCGACAACATTCAACATTATTCTCCCCTACAGCATACATCAATGCAGTTTTCCCATATATGTCACTGGCATTAATGTCAGCACCATGGTCTATCAGAGCTCGACAACATTCAACATTATTCTCCCCTACAGCATACAACATTGCAGTCTTCCCATACATGTCACTGGCATTAATGTCAGCACCATGGTCTATCAGAGCACGACAACATTCCACATTATTATTCTCTACTGCAAACATCAATGCAGTCTGCCCATCCTCGTCACTGGCATTAATGTCAGCACCATGGTATATCAGAGCTCGACAACATTCAACATTATTCTCCCCTACAGCATACATCAATGCAGTTTTCCCATATAGCATTACTGCAAACATCAATGCAGTCTGCCCATCCTCGTCACTGGCATTAATGTCAGCACCATGGTATATCAGAGCTCGACAACATTCAACATTATTCTCCCCTACAGCATACATCAATGCAGTTTTCCCATATATGTCACTGGCATTAATGTCAGCACCATGGTCTATCAGAGCTCGACAACATTCAACATTATTCTCCCCTACAGCATACAACATTGCAGTCTTCCCATATAGCATTACTGCAAACATCAATGCAGTCTGCCCATCCTCGTCACTGGCATTAATGTCAGCACCATGGTATATCAGAGCTCGACAACATTCAACATTATTCTCCCCTACAGCATACATCAATGCAGTTTTCCCATATATGTCACTGGCATTAATGTCAGCACCATGGTCTATCAGAGCACGACAACATTCCACATTATTATTCTCTACTGCAAACATCAATACAGTCTGCCCATCCTCGTCACTGGCATTAACGTCAGCGCCATGGTCTATCAGAGAACGAAAACATTCCCCAGATTTATTCCCTGCTGCAAACATCAATGCAGTCGTATTGCCAGTTTGGAACAACGTATTCGAAGTCTTGGCATTCACGTCAGCACCATGGTCTATCAGAGTACGACAACATTCCACATTATTCAACTCTGCTGCAAACATCAATGCAGTCTGCCCATACTTAATACTGGCATTAACGTCAGCCCCATGGTCTATTAGAGTACGACAACATTCCACATTATTCTTTTCTACAGCATACATCAATGCAGTCTCCCTTGCATTAACGTCAGCACCATGGTCTATCAGAGCACGACAACATTCCACATTATCTTTACTCTCTACAGCATACATCAATGCAGTCTGCCCATCATAGTCCCTGGCATTCACGTCAGCACCATGGTCTATCAGAGCACGACAACATTCAAGATGATTCTTCTTTACAGCATACATCAATGCAGTCTGCTTATAGTTGCCACTGGTTGCATTTACGTCAGCACCATGCTCTATCAGAGTACGACAACATTCCACATTATCTTTACTCATTACAGCGTACATCAATGCAGTCTTCTTATAGTTGCCACTGGTTGCATTCACGTCAGCACCATGGTCTATCAGAGTACGACAACATTCCACATTATTCTTCTCTGCTGCAAACATCAACGCAGTCTGCCCATTATTGGCACTGGCATTCACGTCAGCACCATGGTCTATCAGAGTACGACAACATTCCACATTATTCTTCTCTGCTGCAAACATCAATGCAGTCTGCCCATTAATGGCACTGGCATTAACGTCAGCACCATGGTCTATCAGAGTACGACAACATTCCAAATTATTCTTCTCTGCTGCAAACATCAATGCAGTCTTATCGTTTTCATAAAAGCCATACACCGGAAAACATTTGTATCTTGCATTAATATCCATTCCATATTCCATTAAAAGCTGGATTGTTTCTCTGCTCATTGTGACATTGTTTCCAAACGCCCATACTATGGTGTCCTTTGGAAACTCAAGTCCAGGTAATAAATATTGGAGGCGTCGTCTCAATTCACTTTCATCGCCCCTCTCTAACGCATCTTTTAGATCTTGTTTTAGTCGCGCTTGTTCTGAAGCCATGATGATATCAGATTCTGTCAAACTCAACTTGAAAAGACATTGTGATGGAAATATGAAAGCTAGTCGTGTAGCTTTTATTTCAGTTCAATCGCATCTTGCTCCGGAAGTGTACTTGTGTTACTTTCAAATATTAATATTTGAGTTTTGTATATTGAGTTTTTGCGTTGATGATCGTCAGTTTTCGAGTATTTACAAAACTGACTTTATATATTGATAACCTGCAGGTACAACTTATTTCAACGAATCATAATTGCTAATAATCAAATATCATCAATATGTATCATTCAACGTTGACAGCACAGTAAACATATAGTTATTGTCTATTAAAAATTGTTAAAAGACTAATATATGCAGGTACAAAACACTTCTGATAGCAACTTATTGATGATCAAAGATAAGAACTTAAATCATTACTGCAAAATATACTTAGATTAACACAATTGGCTATAAACATTTTAGTATTGAACTAACGGACTGCACACGATCCTTTGATTTTTCGAAATTCTTTTTAATTTTTCATCGTTCTTCTTCATTTCATTTCATAATGTTCTCCCCGACAGAATAGCCAATGAACTATTCTCTTAGGTTAATGCCATGATTTATACGTTTTCGTGTTGTTTTACATTTCAATGCAATCGCTTGTTTGTTATATTTGTTTTATAGAGATTTGAAAGCATACACTTCCAGAATCCTATTCTGAATAAATATTCTGGATTTGATTAACTATTAACGCTAAAGCTGGCCGGTTGTCAAAAGACCGAATAATACTCAAATTCGGATCAAGGATCATTTAGATAGAATTTGAGATGTTAACACTATCCCTCTAAACAAATACTAGACAGGTTTCAGTTCCCAACTTAATCAAAATACATCATAGCATAAGAATACATGGACTTTCATTTTTAACGATTTGGGAAATGTAAATTGTAAAAGTAAAAATGTGAATTTAGTGTAATGATATATGAAAATAACACTACTTGAATCTAACACTTCAAGACTTCAAGAAAAGTAGAAAATAAATTAATTGCATTCTAAAATTGAAAAGGGTCAAGTAGTTTATTTTACTTGACACTTGTCTTACTGCTTTCTATGTGGAATATTTTTGATGTTTTCACAAAACAAGGTTAATGTCCAAGTCTATGGATATTTTAAGTTATTTATCATTATGAATATAAATTACAGCGATAAGGCATTTCATATAGGAGTGAATAATATTAAAGGTAAGTTCACACCAACGGCACTTTAAAGGTCCATCAAAGCGCCGTTGGTGTGAACTTAGCCTAAAGGACATGAAAATGTATATTGACTCATTCACAGATATCTTTCTGAATCAAACATCAAGCATAACTTAACACTTCATAATCAGACATGTTGATGAACTTTGATGTTTTATGCTTGGTAAATCTATATAAAATATCAAACCTTGGAATGTCGGATTGACGAGGTAAAAAATATATGTATTTTATTGAAAGTAATAAAAAGGGATAGACAGAAAATAAAACATTGTTGGAAACAATACCAAATGTTTTCCTTACAATAATAATTTAATTCATTGAAAAAAATGAAGATACACAACAGAAGTTATTGACCATTTCAAATGTATAAATGTCCAATTTCATTTTTGACAATAGGAGCATCCTGCCAATCATAATATTTACCAGTTGAATTTACTCCAAACTTATCTTCATCTTTTCTCATCCCTTTAAATGATTGAATTAAGCTTTTCATTACTACCATCAGTAATAATTATCCTTAACTAGTAAACTTTTATATAGCAGCGATTTAATCAGCTGCCAGTGCCATCTTTTATTCAATCAATTTCCTGATGAACACTCTACAGTGAAGAATCTCACCACCAACACTGCACTATATAGCAAGCAACTAAATCTATATTTAATAATCTTTATTTGAAAAAAAAACTTTCATTTTACTACATTTTGTTTGCAAATTTTCTAGTTTTCAGTTGGAACTATCAATGCACTAACAATTGGAGATTCAGACAAATATTTCAAAATTATATGAACATCTTAGGCAAAAACTGTTTAGGGATTTAACTGGTCTCTAAAATGCCATGAAAATCAATGTTCTGATTTAGCTATATTGTTTTACATGTTGTTGTATGTAACTTATCTTATACAGAAATGGCGTCATGCGTGACCTACATGTAGGAATTCCATGCATCCAGTTGACTAAAATAATGACTTATATTCTAGTTTACTCAAATAAATGTGCCATCTTTATAATATTCATGTATTTAAGACACAATTTACTATAACAAGCCGGAAAAGACAAATGTAGTGTAAAAGTTGAGATTTTTTAACAATAGGTCAGATGAAATCTTTTATACAGGGTGTCCAGAAAGTATGGGGCACACATATACCAATTTTTCCACATTGACTTGCCAAGTACCATGGTTCAACTCACAAATGGGAAAAAGTTACAGGCATTTCAAAATTTAGTGTTTAGCCAAAAATATAGTTCATTTCAGTATCTTGGAAAGAGCCCTGACTTGAATGTGACAGAAAATACGGATGCTATTGTCGACCATGATACTTGGAGAGTCAATGTAACTTTGGATAAGCTTTAAAATGATATATGACACATACTATGGAGACATTGGTATATGTCTGCCAAGGAAGCCCCATATTTTCGGGACATCCTGTAGATAGTTCTCGATCAGTAAAACTGAATACATGGTAACAGTACAATACAAGATTATGCAGCAAAATGAGAATGAATTTTTTTTTAAATAATCTAAAAGTTCTAAATAGGACAATTAATAGGTAGCGATCTGAGGCACTTCGATCAGGGTGTTGTCGGGACAATTTCTCTTGTGACTTAGGTTATGTATTTAGGTCTATCTCAACAGAATTTACTGGTCTTACATGCCACAAATGGTGCGAAAGATGTCAAAATTGCATTTTCGACCCTAAATTCAGATTTCTAGGGGGTACATTATTATTTAGCTATAAAACAAAAACTAAACAAGCAATGCTTGTTTCTTTTGGTGTTTCTGTTAAGAGTAATCATACTTAAAATGCATATGTAAAAAAATTGAAGAATTTTAACTTTATTTTAAAACAACAACATTTTTTCACCCTAAAATCATAGAATTTTGGGGGGTTGAGAGACACTGATTGGAATTGATATTTTAATTCCTCAATCAATCTCAGTTTAATATTAATGGAACTTTCCTAAAAGTAGCACCAACATGTCCCCAACACATAACCATAAAGAAAAAACTCTGACATGTTTTTTGTCTATAGCGGTCAATTTACCTCTCCCCTCTTTCCCTTTTTAGAAGGGGCGTGGCCATATTGGCATGTTCATATGAAAATAAATACTTCATGTTCTTATCCATCCTCTGATCACAGGGCTTCAAAATCCAGAACATATTCTTTCTTTTTCCCCCTGCGATAAGCAGTTACCATTTCCCCGACTAAGAACTCGCAATCTGATTGGCTGTCGCAACACTGCGACAGAAATCATGTATAAGTCATTGCGCATAATTAGATCACGTGATTCAGTTAAATCGGCGTGTCCAAATTGGTTATAGCAGGGGGAAGGAGGTACGGATTCTGGACACCTGCTTAGGAGGATGGTTCAAATCAGGTTATCATTTTTATGTCACTACCAAAAAGTGGTGACATATTGTTATGGTCTCTGTTCTTTATTGATGGTGGTCAGTGGTTGGCAATTGGGGTCTGTAACAAATTCTTACAATTTCCAGTAATTAACAAATACCCTATAGACTGACTTCAATTGTTTTCAAAATCATCTACGTGTTTTCAGAAGTTCAAATCTGACTTTATATTTAAGATTTGACCTTCAATGACCTTTTCAAGGTCAGAAAAGGTCAAAAAGGTCTTTTTTCAACATGCTTCAAATAAACCATTTTTTCAAAATCATCTATAAGTTATCGGAAGCTCAAATCTGACTTAAGGTTTGAGATTTGACCTTCAATGACCTTCTTAAGATTTAAGATTTGATCATTAAATGACATTCTCAAGGTCAAAATAGATTTGACCTTTAGTGACCTCCTCAAGGTCAAAAAGGTATTTTTGTTTCAACTAGGTGGTGACATTTTGTCATGTTAATGCCTTATTTAACTTGTAGCTAGTGAAGTTTGGAATGACATAAGCCTAATACAATGGGACCTGTGGTAGTGAACACCTTTCTCTAGTGAACACCTGTGTAAAATGAACACCCTATTTTCACCACATACCTTGATTCCAATACAAATTGTCTCTCTGTATTGAAATCTACCAATAGTGAACACATTTTTTGTGGCTCTATAGATGTTCACTGTACACAGGTTTTACTTTATATGAAACACCTTTATATTTAACTTTGATTAGAAAACTGATTATCTAATTGCAATTATAAATTGCTATATTATTTGCAGGGAACACAGCAAAACAATAAGGGAGAATAGTAAGCTATTCAAGGCTTATTATTGTCTGATGTTCTATTATTAGTTAATTTGATTGATTCAATAGATGGCTTTCTCAATCCATTCCAATTGAGATTAGAGCTGATTGAGAATAGAGCTGAGCGCAATATATTTGGCCAGTTAGTCAGGTTATCAGAGTAGCATAGTATCAGTCTAAAGCGAATATTGGAATATCCCCTGAGTCCAATACCCTGGGCTCTTGGAACACCTGATGAGCTCTTGGTTAAAACAGAAAAGTCAAAATTATAACATGAGCTGGAAAAAAACATAAAATATTACATGGACCCACACCAGAAAAAACAATTGTGGACCTAATACCAGGATTCCTAACAATTGGAAGGAATTCCTTTTAAATGATGAGAATGAAACGCAGCTGAGCCCGTTGATCCTTGAAGAATGGAAAAAGATAAAAATGCTCCTTAACTCAAAGAAAGACAGATTTGTTTTACATGTGGTGAGATCTGTACAGTGGTAACCAGTGATGGAACTACTGCTACACATAGAGTTGAACCTAGCCTGAAATCTTCCCACAAAGAGACAGATACAAAAATTATACTCCATGCAATTAACATGAAATGGACCTGAAAATACAGAAAAAACTACAGTTGTGAGATCCCCAGATAGCGATGTTTTTGTACTTCTTGTGTACTTTCCAATCTTATTTAAACTCCATTAATTTTCGACACTGGTAGTGCAGACCACAGATGACTCATTTAAGGCGCATTTAAGGCGCAACAATTAGTGCAGGGGGGCCATTTAACGATCATCGACTAGTGTCAAAATATATTTAAGTTTGGATATTTCATCAAGACTAACATATATTTTTATTATGTACAAAGAAATCCCCTGGATGAACATAATTTCAGCTGATATTCCTCTTGAAACGTGGTGAATCTTAAAAATCTATAAGTGGGACTCCCTTTATAGAAGCTTTGAACTGAATTTACACTTCTAAATGCTGAAATTGAGAGTTTATTCATACATTTTAAGAAAATAGGTATGTCAACGAAGATGTTAAGCCAAATATTGACCTGATAGCTCAGAAAAAAGAGAAAAATGTGAATTTTCTCTCTACAGTCCTTGTTGCCCCTTTAATGTAAAGGAAGTAGGAAATGCGCTCAGTTCAGACATTTGTAAATTTGTAATGCTTTACCAGCCTTCCATTCATTCACTGGATGTGATTCTTTCAGTGCCTTTGTGAGAAGGGGGAAAGTGTGCCCCCCCCCCCACCTAAAATTACTTATGAGATCTGTAGAATTTCAAAAAGGTTTCGGCACCATTGGAGAGGTCATTAGTGATCAAACTGCTAAATGTGCTGAGAATTTTACTTGCCAGATGTATGGAAACAAAAAGTGTTCAAATATAAATGAGCTGAGATATACCTTATTCAAGAACAAATTCCAACCAAAATCTGCTCCAAGTGTGATAAGCTATGAAGGCACTGACATAAGCCTCCTACCTCCATCTAAAGATTCATTACAGCAGCATCTAGCAAGGGCCAGTTATCAAGCACACATATGGAAACTTGCCCACATCCCCTCCCCATCAATTCCCTCCCCTGTACCACATGGATGGCGGATAAAAGATGCCCATTTGGATTTCAATGAGTGTCAAATCCAGATAAAATTCTACCCCAGGACCTGGTAGATGTTATCGTATTAGATGATACTTTAGAAGATCAAAATGAAGAGGAAGTTTATGAAATACAAAGCTTTGTGGATGAAATATATTCTGGTAAATAAACAGAAATTCATACAATGAGTAAAATGAATATTATGTCTGAGTCTTGAACTGTGTATTAGATACTATTCAACTTCCGATTTTGAACATTCTTATATCTCGAGCCTACACAGATTAAATATTGTATTATAAATAATTCAAAGGTATGTACTATGTGTATACACCTAAGTGAAAATATTTGATGGTAATATATCTGATAAAATACATGATATGTACATGTATTCATTTAATGTGACATCATGCTACTGTTTAAATCTACATGTATTAATGGCCACACCCCTTTTATAAGGGAAAGAGGGGAGAGGTAAATTGACCCCAATAGATAAAAACATCAGAGTTTGAGTTTTTTCTTCATGGACTATATGCTGGGGACATGTTGGTGCTATTTTTAGGAAAGTTTCATTAATATTAAACAAAGATTGATTGAGAAATTAAAATATCAATTCCGATCAGTGTCTCCCGACCCCCCTAAATTCTATGATTTTAGGGTGAAAAAATGTTGTTGTTTTTAAATTAAGTTAAAATTCTTCAATTTTTTTACATATGCATTTTAAATATAATTACTCATAACTGAAACACTAAAAGAAAGAAGCATTGGTTGGTTAGTTTTTGATTTATAGCTAAAGAATAATGTACCCCCAAGAAATCTGAATTTTAGGGTCGAAAATGCAATTTTAACATCTTTCGCACCATTTGCGGCACATAAGACCAGTAAAATCTGTTGAGATAGACCTAAATACATAACCTAAGTTACAAGAAAAATTGTCCCGACAACACCCTGATCGAAGTGCCTCAGATCGCTACCTATAATGAATTGCAACACCCGGAATGCTTCATGAAATATGGAATTCTTACAAAGCAGAAGTCATTTAAAATATAATGGATTTCTTGAATTTATTAAAATACATCTGAAGCAAAACCCTTACAATATTCTAGTCTTCTCTAAAATAAACAACATAGCACTTTTTCAAAGTGGGATAAAAAGCTTATTATAACAGCTTATGAATAAAAGAAATAGATGAAAATATTAAATTTTTAAAGTACAATGTCTGGAATTCTCTAAAATATATTAACATCTGGATTTCTTTACAATATATAATCTAGCTAGGCATGTGTGTCTAAAATACATCTGGAATTCACAACGATATACCTAGAATTCTAGAAAATATATCTGTGGTATTCTGGAATGTTATTCTTGTATAAAATTCTAGAATAAAGACCCTTCTTTTAAAAAATCTCTTCTTTTAAAATGTGGTCTAACATATCAAAATAGACTAGCATTACTAAAAATTCCTAATATTCTACTTCCACTGAGTTAAATTATTTTAAATACAAATAACATGCTTTGACGTAAAGGCAATGTAGCACAATAAGATTAACATTTTGATAGTCTGCATACTAAGGACTAGATACTGTATGAGCCTTGTAAATACGGTGATTCAGCATTTGTTTCTATGTCATACTGCAATAATGATGTCATCCTACATTGTGATGTCACATTATAATAGATCTAGTTCTTCAACGTGTCACTTCATAATGACACTGTTCTGACGTCCAGATTCTAATATTTCTTTCATTGACTTAGATGGTTCCTGGAATTAGAAAAATAATACAGAGATGTATTATTATCTGGAAAATTTAAACTAGAAAAATACTGTTTATTCCTACTTGTATTGAAAGGCATGATAAGTTATTCAATAATTTGAGAAAAAACACAGAACACATTGTGCCCTAGAAAGTCTGTAGTCCCAATCTGTATCACACAGCATGAAAATAGGGATACATCAGTGTGCACCATACATGTAATAAGGGTAATTTCAGGGGTTGGTGAAATGGACCATTTTCCTGGCAATATTGATAGGTCTGAGTCTGAGTAAAAATGAGCTGAATACATTTGTCCACTGAATTTTGAAAAGAAATGGTCCGAAAATGTTCTAGCCCTGTTCTTTTCCACTGAATGAACTATATTTTCCTGAAGAGGAAGAAAAAGTATTTGAAATTTAAACTTAACTGTAAGTTCATAATTAAATCATGAATTTGTCTAAACAAAGAAAGTTCATCTATTACACTTACAGGACATATTACAGAATCCTTAATATCAGAGACTATATCCGCAGCATGTATCAGTTCAAGGTCATACTTCCCATCTCTGGTTACTGGAGATTCATCCGTCTTTAGAGCATGTTTCTACAACATAATGATGAAGTTAAAGTGTGTGATAAAATTGCAAGCAACACCTAAAATCAACCAACAAATGTTTTCTGTAGCAATATTGACATAATATCACAAAGAAAAATCTCAAGGACTATTTGAAAAACAGAGATTTGTAAGGTCAAAGATCAAAGTTAAAACTATGTTTAATCCCCTTGCTCCAAAGATTCTGGCAAATTTTCAAAAACAAAAGGAATATTCAGATTGGTATTCTAGCTCAAAGAGTATGTTATTTTAGCAGTCATCTCTGTATTAGTTTTATAGTGTTTTATTAACACTTGTATATAAAACAATTTAGAAAAACAATTACAAAGGTTTTTTTATCTTCTACACTCTACAAGATGTCAAACGTGACTATTATTATTAACTTTGGTTACCCAAAATGCTAAAATCCATAATTATTACTGAAATAAGAATGGGCTTAATATTTTTAGAAAGCAGCCATTATCAATCAAGGAATAAGGCTATGATCAGTAAACATTTTAACGAACTTTTGAACAATCACTACCTTTAACTCTACCTTTAAAGAGAGTAACGTTTACCTTAACAAATGACTTTACTGCTGAGACATCTACCCTTCCCATAGATAGCTTACATCCCCATGTTACAACTGCAAAAGGCTGAAATGAAAGATTATGTACATGTTAGAGAATGCCAATTTTCAAAGATCTATTTACCTATGGATTAATACAAAAATGTTTTTAAATGTATATCTAAATTACAAGACATTAACATGCAAATTTACACCACCTGCCGAAGGTTGCCATTTGTTACAGAAGCAGAATGCCAACCGACAAACACAAACCACCAACTACCGAATTAAGAACAACTTCCACCAAAGAGTGGATAAATATTTTAATATTGAAAATATGACTGATTTTACTATACAAATGGTTACAAAACTGTCACAATTTGGAACAAACACTGATTGCAAAATGCAACTGAAAAAATTCTCACCACTTTTGTTGAAATGAGTATGGTAACTTCCCTTACAAGAATTCCCACAATTGTCTTTTTGGCTTTCCTTTAATCCAGATCAAGATATTACTTACTGCAGTCTTGGGTAGATGTCTGTATGGAGTGATAACATGGCGTCTAAGGCAAGACTTTGGCTATGTGTTTGAAGATATTACTTACTGCAGTCTTGAGTAGATAGATGTCTGTATGGAGTGATAACATGGCATCTAAGGCAAGACTTGGCTATGTGTTTGAAGATATTACTTACTGCAGTCTTGAGTAGATAGATGTCTGTATGGAGTGATAACATGGCATCTAAGGCAAGACTTGGCTATGTGTTTGAAGATATTACTTACTGCAGTCTTGAGTAGATGTCTATATGGAGTGATAACATGGCGTCTATTAAGGCAAGACTTGGCTATGTGTTTGAAGATATTACTTACTGCAGTCTTGGGTAGATGTCTGTATGGAGTGATAAAATGGCATCTAAGGCAAGACTTGGCTATGTGTTTGAAGATATTACTAACTGCAGTCTTGGGTAGATGTCTATATGGAGTGATAACATGGCGTCTAAGGCAAGACTTGGCTATGTGTTTGAAGATATTACTTACTGCAGTCTTGGGTAGATGTCTGTATGGAGTGATAACATGGCGTCTAAGGCAAGACTTGGCTATGTGTTTGAAGATATTACTTACTGCAGTCTTGGGTAGATGTCTGTATGGAGTGATAACATGGCGTCTAAGGCAAGACTTGGCTATGTGTTTGAGGATATTACTTACTGCAGTCTTGGGTAGATGTCTGTATGGAGTGATAACATGGCGTCTAAGGCAAGACTTGGCTATGTGTTTGAAGATATTACTTACTGCAGTCTTGGGTAGATGTCTGTATGGAGTGATAACATGGCGTCTAAGGCAAGACTTGGCTATGTGTTTGAAGATATTACTTACTGCAGTCTTGGGTAGATGTCTGTATGGAGTGATAACATGGCGTCTAAGGCAGGACTTGGCTATGTGTTTGAAGATATTACTTACTGCAGTCTTGGGTAGATGTCTGTATGGAGTGATAACATGGCGTCTAAGGCAAGACTTGGCTATGTGTTTGAAGATATTACTTACTGCAGTCTTGGGTAGTTGTCTGTATGGAGTGATAACATGGCGTCTAAGGCAGGACTTGGCTTTGTATTTGAAGATATTACTTACTGCAGTCTTGGGTAGATGTCTGTATGGAGTGATAACATGGCGTCTAAGGCAAGACTTGGCTATGTGTTTGAAGATATTACTTACTGCAGTCTTGGGTAGTTGTCTGTATGGAGTGATAACATGACGTCTAAGGCAAGACTTGGCTATGTGTTTGAAGATATTACTTACTGCAGTCTTGGGTAGATGTCTGTATGGAGTGATGACATGGCGTCTAAGGCAAGACTTGGCTATGTGTTTGAAGATATTACTTACTGCAGTCTTGGGTAGATGTCTGTATGGAGTGATGACATGGCGTCTAAGGCAAGACTTGGCTATGTGTTTGAAGATATTACTTACTGCAGTCTTGGGTAGATGTCTGTATGGAGTGATGACATGGCGTCTAAGGCAAGACTTGGCTATGTGTTTGAAGATATTACTTACTGCAGTCTTTGGGTAGATGTCTGTATGGAGTGATAACATGGCGTCTAAGGCAAGACTTGGCTATGTGTTTGAAGATATTACTTACTGCAGTCTTTGGGTAGATGTCTGTATGGAGTGATGACATGGCGTCTAAGGCAAGACTTGGCTATGTGTTTGAAGATATAACTTACTGCAGTCTTGGGTAGATGCCTGTATGGAGTGATGACATGGCATCTAAGGCAAGACTTGGCTATGTGTTTGAAGATATTACTTACTGCAGTCTTTGGGTAGATGTCTGTATGGAGTGATGACATGGTGTCTAAGGCAAGACTTGGCTATGTGTTTGAAGATATAACCTACTGCAGTCTTGGGTAGATGCCTGTATGGAGTGATGACATGGCGTCTAAGGCAAGACTTGGCTATGTGTTTGAAGATATTACTTACTGCAGTCTTGGGTAGATGTCTGTATGGAGTGATGACATGGCGTCTAAGGCAAGACTTGGCTATGTGTTTGAAGATATTACTTACTGCAGTCTTGGGTAGATGTCTGTATGGAGTGATAACATGGCGTCTAAGGCAAGACTTGGCTATGTGTTTGAAGATATTACTTACTGCAGTCTTGGGTAGATGTCTGTATGGAGTGATAACATGGCGTCTAAGGCAAGACTTGGCTATGTGTTTGAAGATATTACTTACTGCAGTCTTGGGTAGATGTCTGTATGGAGTGATAACATGGCGTCTAAGGCAAGACTTGGCTATGTGTTTGAAGATATTACTTACTGCAGTCTTGGGTAGATGCCTGTATGGAGTGATAACATGGCGTCTAAGGCAAGACTTGGCTATGTGTTTGAAGATATTACTTACTGCAGTCTTGGGTAGATGTCTGTATGGAGTGATAACATGACGTCTAAGGCAAGACTTGGCTATGTGTTTGAAGATCTCAACTTGCTCTTTGTCTGCACAGGGGTGATACAAGAAGTTTGCCGCACCATGCTACAAGAATATAATGAAGGAAACGATGATGCAATAGCATGATGTCTAAGACAAGATCCTATGTATACTATGCTGGTAAAATACTCTTTCTATATTGTACCTGAACAGTACCAAACACTATCTGCACTCTAGAGTACTGTGATTTTGGTTTCAGACTGTACCCTGATCCAGTTATCTACTTTTCCCTAAGACAAATGCCTTCCAATCCAGGGTAAGCTATACCCCACCCATATATTGAGTCATAACCCTTTATCCCTTGGTAAGGTACCTCCCCACTCCTAATCCCAGTATTACTAACATACCTCTAGATTGTGTAGCCATCTCTGTGGGGGAACATATTTGTATTCTCCATATCTTGCCCAGTTAGGACGATGTTTACCACTGAAAATAAATACAATGTATGTAGTTTCCTATATGAGATAGAGGAAATTTGGACTATTTAATTTCAATAAAATATATCTGCCCAAGTGTATGCGGACACAATTATGCCATATTGTTGAAATTGCTATTTGGTCTCTTACAAAAAGTTTCAAATATCTCAAAGCTTGAAGTAAACATTCTCTTAATATGGGACATTTAAGTGAACTTATCTAGAGTCACTTGCAAACGTATCATTATAACTGAGGTCCCAGTTTTTTGCAAGTTAAAATGATAAATTCTGCAAGGAAAACTAAGAGAATTCTGCAGGAGAAAGGGCTATTTCATGTGAATTCTGCAGGATTTCTCAGGAGTTCGAGATGCAAAATGAATGAAATGCTGTACCATTCAGTTTAATTGTAATCCTCTGCAGGTATAGTTAACAATCAAAAAAGAGAATATTTTTTCAACTGACTAATATACCAACCTTAAAGGTGGTGTGTCTGTATACTCTATCTGATTGCTCATGCAGACATGGATTGGCTGAAACACATGTTATAAATATACGTTATTTTCTTAAACAATTCAATTTAAGCAAGTACATCACATTAGGCCTATTAAAGCCCTTCAAACCATACAAACTCCATGTTATTAAAAAAAGATAAAATCAGAAGTTATATTAATCAGAAGTAATCTTAATTTACTTCTGGTAATTAGAAGTAAATTAAGAAAGCAGATATATTTGATCAGATTCCAAGCAAAGGCTTTTTAAAATACATAATTGCCATGGAGCCAGATGCATAATTCATTCAAAGTTAAAGGTTCCAGGCCTGTAGCCAGGATTTGCCAAGGGGGGTTCACCTTTTAAAAAATTCCAGGGGTGGTTCACTTGTGACAATTTTGGTCCAAAAATGGCCAAAATTACTTAAAAAGTGCTCAGAATGGTGAGAAACTGCATGATTTTGAAAGATTTTTTGGCCGGGCGGGGGGGGGGGGCTACGGGCTTCAACCCTGGGTACAGCATAAAATGAGCATGACAATGGGCAGTGGTGATATAGTAAGATTGTGCTATGTATTTCACTTATTGATCAGAAATTATTGAAAGATACAGAATATTAAAATGGAAAACCAATATTGACCCATGCAGCTGTAAATGTGATGAAAGTTTTCTCTGGTTCAACAATTGATGGTTATAATTATGAGCTTATATTACTCTTTAATTGATTTTCATATAATTAATACAATTGCTTCTTAAATGAATCTGGCTCTTGATGAATCTGAGTGACATTTTTGTAAAATGTTTTTTTCAATATTTGTGGAGTTACAGTAAAATTTATATAAATATGTATTGTAATGTTATTTAATCTTTATTATATTCATGAACTGACATTTTTCAATAAATTTTATAAGAAACTGAATTTCGAAATCATGAATTCAAAATCAATAATCCAAATTATGTAAATTCTAGGTTTCATAAAAACTGAAGTATTATGTTTGTGTTTCTCTCTTGTTAATTTTGACAGCGTAATTAAGATTCATGGTTTTCAGTTTTTAATATTGACAGGTTGTCACTAAGAGCTGACAAGCTGTACTTGCACCTACATAAACTTCATCAATACTGTTACTGTCTAACATTAGCAATATCAGTTATACACATTTTATAAAGAGCAGAAATGTTTAATCAGGTAGGATAGACATGGTTGCTAAAGGTTCGTTGCTAAGTGTGAAATCAAAGGAGCTCAGAAGATGTTTTTACCTCTATGTCTTGATTTTTCAGAGTGACAAGATTTCTCGTCACCTTAGAAATTACCTTGAAACATAGAGTGATGGGATAATCTATCACAAATTTTTTCATCCGAATGACAGAAAAAATATTTTAAAATGTGTAGAAATTATCTCTGCTGACTAATTTCACTACCTGTTGTATTGTATGAAGTAAAATGTTAAAAATGAAAAATTCTTTGGTTTCAAACTGATTTTAGAGCCTGGGATTCACTTATTTTTTCTAATCAAATATTTTATTCCAATTGCAGCATATAAATATCCACACAAAATGTGACAAATATTACGCATTTGTTATTTATAATGATCATAAAAGTAACACAAATGTTCTCATCATGTGGATGCGCTTTGCAAACTTGAATATTTTTCTCAAATTGAAGGCTCTTGATAATGTTTAATAAGTAAATTTCTACCTGATTTGGTTTCTTCTCACAAAATTCCACACCAGCAGCTTTCTATAATATAAAAGATTAATAAATAAATCATTCAATCTTTTGCACATGGGGACCACATTTGACTCAAAATATTTGCATTTAGTAACCTTTCATAATCATTTTTAGCTACTAAAACATGCACATATTTCCTATTACAATTTTAAAATCCATTTGCTGATTATTTTTAAATTAATACAAATTGTAGATACACTCAGACATGGATGAGTATGAGTTAAGAAGGTTGGCCTTGACATTGCCCATGTACAAGGGTTAAAAGCTAGATTGTGGCTTTCATGTTTTCAAGATTTGTCATGAACTTAAAGTAAACTTATATATTAGTGGGCAAGCAAGACAGAGAATAAGCCCCAGAGGCCCAATAAAGATGAATTTCTGTTTTAATTGCCTGACATACATCGACCCCATATTATCATTGGTAAATGGTGGTTGAAAGACATGTATTGATCACTGTGCACTGTGCAGGACATATATTCATTTTTAATGCTACATGTATGCTCACCTCTCCTTGTATAACTGGATAGGTTGCCCCAGGACATGTATATTCTACAGCATCCCCATCCCAATCCACATCTAGGTTCAACTGAAAACATGATATTAATAACATGAAAAAGTATTGCACAGTTACACGAGGCAAAATTGTGAGATTTTGTTACAGATACTGCCTATAGATGCTCAAACTAATAATTAATTTGTTGCTCAGTTTCATAAATCATGTGGCTGTAGTGATATGGCAAATTAGCACTAAATATGTAGTTGTAGCATTTTTTAATATCAATACAGCAATGTTCCAGTAATAATAACAACATAAATCATAGAATAATATTAAAGTATTACAGGTTCATCTAACAAGGACATACAGTATTTGAAAAACCTACATAAAACATTTCTAAAATAATAGAAAAATGTCACTCCATTGAGTAGCAAATCCCACCAAACAAAAGAGATTTTATGAAATTACTGAAAGTTTTGAAATATTATGATATACTGTATAAGTGGTTAATTTCCTGAGACATTTTATTTCACGATTTTCGAATTATGCTATGCTAGTTAAACTTTTTAGACCCCGGATTTCTTGTGGTATCGCGACTACTCATCCCCCATGTGAGATCAGAGATATCCTATAAGTATACTTTTCAAAATACTAAAAGGATTATCTTCCTATTTTAATAATCTCTGGGGTCTAAAAGCCTAGTGAGAACCCTGATATTCAAAGTTTCTTTTGAAGCAAAGGTCCTATGTCCCTTCAAGACTTCAATGAAAAAATCAGAACCAAATCAGTCAGTGAGACTCATAACTAAGTTAGAGTTTTCACCCAGCCTTGTTAATTTTGTTACACTTGATCAATCTGATATGATCTTTCCATAGTATACATAATATTCATCCTTCCATAATTTACATGAAAAAGGCCAGTTAAGTTGAAGTATTTCAGGTTTATCTAACACAGACATATTTGAAAAAACGTACATAAAATATTTCATACTTTAAGATTTTATTTTGACAGTAAAGTTAATATCTACCTTTCCGTTGTCGCAGGAATTCAATTTTCCCATTTGGATGCCACCATGTTTATCCATTGCTCCCATTGCACTATAAGTATATCCCAGTAGAATAAAGCAGATCAGTTCAGTTACAGCTCCTTGTGACATCATCCTGCCAACGTGCTTGTAATACTCCTTCAGCGCTACTTCTAATATTCAATTTTTCAAAGCTCTAGCCAGTTATTAAACAAATATTTCGATAAGCAAAATAATTTCCTAGATTAAAATCAATATGCTATATATCAAATCCACTCTCACTAAGAACTAATAATTCTTCGTGAATTTTCAAGGGCTGTGTGTTGATAACTTCCTTAATTTCCCACACTGAAGTCAGGTCACTAATAATTTTTATCCTCTCGCTAATTAATTGTATATTTTCTAATCTCCCATGAGCAATAAATGTTCAAACACCAGATAAGACTAATGTCTATCAGTAATTTTCTTAAAATCTTTTCATCATGTTGAGCTATTGATCTTATCCTATTTATAGCAGTTGTAAGATGTTAAGTCGCATTATTCACTAAAAATTGCTTTATGGTCATGAATTATCCTTAAATGGCCTTGTGAATGCTGTTAATAATCAGGAATGGTTATGGTCATGAATGCTGCTAACATGTATGGTACTGAATCTTTTAATGTTCATGAATGCTAAAGAATAATAAATATATGTTCTAAAGTCACGGATACATGTAGCTAAATCCTCTCCTTTATTTATATTACAGTCACAAATTGTTAAATCCTCTCCTGCTTTGGATGCTCCTCTTATTTATATGATGTGGTATCATTAATTTTCATAAATCAACTCACACCATAGTTATTGCATGGGATCTGGGTGTAATCTCTAAACATCACGAGACTCATCATATATTTTATATCCTGTAAGTAGCAATATATCATGTATCAAATTAGTTAATTTGTTTATGACCTCCAGCATTTAATTAATAAATAGGGTGTGATATTAGTAACAGAAATCTAGCTGTACATCATGTACATTGACATTCCCAACAGTTTATTGCAATCGCATTTTCCTGTTACATTGTGAAATCTGCTTGTAGGTAGTTTATTCTGTGCTGCATTGTGCTTGGGTCACAATACCCGCAGCACCTAAATTACTCTATGTGTTTGCTCAGTCTTCTTGCTGCTCATCTGGAATATAAATACAAACACAGTTATAAAATGATTAATATCATTATAGTACACATACTGTCTAGTAGATGCATGTAATCAGGTTATGTTGACTTTTAAAGAAGAATTTACCAATTTACAAATTACAAATTTCTGAAGGGACAGCACATTAAGTCTCAGCCTTTATAGTCTACCACTAAAGGCAAAATTTAAAGGGTGACTCATTTTTAGTTTTTTTATCATATCTATTCAGCCCAATAAACTCTGGAGATGTAATGAACTCAAAAATGCTAGCTCCATCTTTTAATGTTTAATCTTCCCCTCTCCCAGAATTAAAGGCTACAAAGTAAATTAAACAAGGCACATAACGTAAAGGAGATCACATCATCGAAAAACCTTCAGAATGGCTGCCAAACAAAACAAAGATGACCACTCAATCAGCTCTAGAACTTTATATCCACTATCATGTGTGGAAATTAGGAGAAAATCCGATGAGCAGTTTTCCTGAAACGACAATGACGAGATTCATCAAAAAACCTTCAAAATGGCCACCAGAATGAATACAAGATGGCCACGAAAAGAAATTACCTCCCCCCACACCCTAAGTACCAAGTAAATAATATTTACTTGGTAATTATTTACTTGGTAGAGTGTGGGGGTTATTTTCTTTTCAGGATGTCTCTATCTCTGTTCCGATGCCTGTGCTGTACAAGCATAAGTTCATAAAATTGGGGCCCAAAATCGGCTTCTCCCCAACACAGGAGACGCGTTAACAGAAAAAAGAAAGATATTATCTCTTGAAATATTTCAAGAGATGAATATCTACACAGTCAGTATGCCCAAATCATAATCTATATTTTCTTCTCTCCAAGTTCAATAACGTTATCTGGAGTGTCCGGCAATAAGTGGGTGTGGTTCAAAATGTTGCAATCTGATTGGTCGAAATGTCCGATTTTGAAAAAGTGTGGCAAGTCGGATTCTGAATGGTTTGATGATTAAAAGGTTGTATATAACTTTTAAAGTGTTTAAGAATAATTTGGGGAATCCACTAACAGTTTGGGGGTTTCTCCCAAGCTATCATTGTTAGGGAAATGACGTCACATCACATTGGATTTCCATGAAAGCGGGCTATGATAACGTCATCAATATGTGTTAGATGGATGGAGACATGTGTGACATTTGTTTTGGGGAGTTCCTAACAACAGTCAAATACTTTCACTTTCATTATTAGAGCACTTTCACTTTTAATGAGAGGGCAAAGGGTATTTATTTTATTTAATTAATGAAAATGAATTCAATTGATGATATTCTTAAAACAAGGCATTGACATGACAAAATGTCACCACCTAGATGCTCACAATATTATTAGTTCAATCTAAGTCAGATTTGAATTTCTGAGAACTTGTACATGATTTTAAAAAATAAATTGGTCAATTTGAAGAGAGTTGAAAAAGGACCTTTTTTACCCTGAGAAGGTCATTGAAAGTGAAATCTCAAATCTAAGGTCAGATTTGAACTTCTGAGAACTTGAAGATGATTTTGGAAAAATGGTCAATTTGGAGCAAGATGAAAAAAGACCTTTTTTGTGATTGTCTTCACGGACGGTTCAACTTTGACCAATCCAGGACCAACAGGGTCTAGCGCGATCATATTTCTCTAGCCGGAACAAAGTCTGATCCTGTTTGCTTGAAAAAAGCAGTCAGTGCGAAAAGCAATAACTTCAGTGGGGAGGTCCATGCTTTACATCTTGCACTTGATGTCCTGCACACTTTACCTATTAACAATTCTGAAATTCACATCTTTTGCGATTGCCAACCTGCACCTTTAAGTACTTTCAGAAGTAGCAAACCCAGGTCTGAAATCCAATGGCGTGCATACAAAATTCGAGATATCTGCATGGTCCACTGCCTGAGTGCAAGCTGCAATGTATTAACCTACTACTGGGTCCCAAGTCATCTCGGAATTCAAGGCAATGAATTAGCCGACACATATGCCAAGGAAACAGCGTTGGAAGCAGCGACCCTGCGAATAGCCTCTATGAAACAAAGCAAAGAGGAGGTCTACAGAGCCATTAAAAATACTGCCTTGAAAAAATGGCAGAATCTTTATGACAATTCTACAAAAGCTAAGTACATCCAAGAGATCATAGAGACTGTAGATGTACAAAATAATCTCTGTGAGAGCAATAGAACAGAGTTCTGCAAAATAAACCAAATCATTACAGGTCATTCAAAGCTGAATCACCATCTAGCAAAATTTCAAACTGACATTTCCAATATATGTGAGCACTGTAATCGGACAGAGATGGTCCAACGTTATATCTTTGAATGTAATTATACCAGGAAGAGCGTGAACTCATGCTCCATAAGGCAGAGACTATACTTTTAGGGGTAGAGAGCCCCAACCCATCTATTGACCTAAAATTGCTCTCAGGATTTAATCAATCACTAAACAGGACCCAAAATCAAAGTATGAGACATTTGTTAATGACATACTTAAAAACAACCAAAAGAATATAACAAGCAAAAATAAAATACAGATAGTGACTGTGTAAATAGAAAGTGACTGTATAAACAGATAGTGGCTGTATAAACAGAAAGAGACTGAATAAACATACAGTGATTTAATATTATATCTATATCTTTATGAGAGAGACAATCACAGGCCCGTAGCCAGGATTTGCCAAGGGGGGGTTCAATTTTCAAAAATTTTCAGGGGGGGTTCACATTTGACAATTTTGGCCCAAATATGACTAAAATCACTCGAGAAGTGCTCAAAATGGTGAAAAACTGCATGATTTTGAAAGAATTTTTGGCCAGGGGGGGGGGGTTCGCCCAAACCCTGCGAACCCCCTCTGGCTACGGCCCTGAATCAAGACATGCAATATATATAAAATAATGGAATACAAAATCTGTGCAACAAGTGAGAATTTCAGCATATGAGAGAGCTGAGCACAAAGAGAATTTACAGTACAAGAGACGAACTGCCGAAGAAACAGCGGCTTATGGTGTCACTACTGTAAGTAGTGTTTTTTAATACTTTAAAAACAAAGCCATGCCTACTTCAATGGTGCGTATAGTACGTTTAAGTGTATGTACTGTGGCCATTTGAGGAATGTATGTAAAGCTGAGACCAAGGTCTTTCTAAATATGTCATTTTTAGAAAAAAATCGCAAGAATATAGTCCTGTAAACTGGAACTACTTTATGGGTTAATTTTCATTGGTGAAGCAGGGATTTTACCTAAAAATGAGTCCCATGTTGGCGTAGTGATATTTAAAAATCGAGACGCAAACCCTATGTTAAATATAGTGTCAAGATGAAGATGAATGAATGAAGATGAATTTTGTGATTTTTTCAATATTTTTCAATGATTTACCGTAGTGACACCTTATGCAACACAACAGCAACTGCTTTTTTCAAATTTGCGTTCACGGTGTTCCAGATGAAATTACTTTTAGCCAAGAATTGGCTAGAGACTCGAGTAACCCCTGGTAAGTGAGCACCATATATCCTTCATAGTATAAGGTGTTTTCACAGGTATTTTTGATGATTTAAAGAGAAAAAAATGAAAAAGTGAACTTACCGAAGTAGGTCAATGTTTAGCACGGACTGAATAAGTTGATCACGAAACGCCACATCACAAATTTACAATAATTCCGTTTATTTGTCTTATGCCGCTTCCTTCTATCATCAGAATAGATATCAAAATAGATGTGTTTTCTCATTTTCTAATCTTAAAACAGTGAGAGAAACGACTAAAATCATAGATAAAGATTAGTGTACCAATTTGCACTGAACGAAATACTAGAACTAAAAATCTAGGCTACCCACTTCCCAGAAGTTTAACTTGGAGTTTGGATCTTGCGCCGATCTTGCGTTTGTTTCAACTTCTCAGAAAGGCATACGTGTAACTGATGCTTTATGACGTCCATCCTAAATAGTGTGCAGTATTCTTCTTCTTTGCTGATGTATGATACTGATGGTAGGTAAGACAGTGTTTTGTTGGTGTTTAGGAATTGGGTTCTTGAGTCTTGGTTAGAAATCATGATTTGCATACTGACTCGACTGTAACAATGTAGGGGGGAGGGGGTAGTCCAGCAACATTAGACCTAGCCTGGGCCTCGTTTCTTATCTGACATGTCTTATGGAACGGGCAAGGAAATTCCTAATAGTAAAGAAGTTTTTCCGTTTTTGAGTTTAACGACGTACATTGAACTAGGAGCACTGGCGGATTAGGGGGGGGGGGCCTGGGGGCCCGGGCCCCCCCCCCCTTGGGTGGGCCCAGAAAAAAAAAAGTTGGGATCAAAAATATTTTGGGCCAAAAAAGGCCTTAAGGCCCCAAAAAGTCATTACTGGGCCTTTTAAGGCCTTATTTTTTAAATTCAGGCCAAATTTTGAAGAAAATGGGCCTCAAAATTCCAAAATGTGGTCCCACTTTTGCGTTTTAAGGGCCCAAATTTTTTTTCTGCGCAAGCGCGGACGTTTTTTTTCTCTGACCTGAAATTTGGGCCCCCCCCTTGTTGGTTCCCAGATCCGCCCCTGAGGAGGGGGGGGTTCTTTTCAATTTCAGGATAACTTTACCATCTATTCCGATTTATCGCATCCTACGACCCCTTTAGATTGTGGTTGTAGGCCCGTTTCATTCGTAAGCCTGTGTTTCTACAATGTCGGAGAATGAACTATGCATTGCACACATAAATGACCTACCTCGATACATTCCTGAGTATTTTAGAATTCTTTTCATATAGTTGAATCGCAAGTTGTATGGGTTTATCGGCAGAACGAAGATATTTTAGTTTTTGATAGGAATATGTGCGTGTAATATTTAACTTATTTCAACCGTCAAATTCCTCCATTCAGTTCCCGGCATGCACCAGTCATAAGGGAAATCCCTGGGGAATTCCCCTTCCGACATTTTGAAAATTGCTGAGATATTTCCGATGTAAAAACTAAAATCTCTTCGTTCTGCCGATAAACCCATACAATTGGCAATCTAACAACATAAAAAGAATTTCAAAATACTCTGGAATGTATCGAGGTAGGTCATTTAATAGTGCAATGCGTAGTTCATTCTCCGACATTGTAGAAAGACAGGCTTACGAATGAAACGGGCCTACGACCACAATCTAAAGGGGTCGTAGGATGCGATAAATTCCGATGCCTGTGATTATGACAAAAGCACTGTCAATTTGTCCATTCCACTTTCTCTCATTTCTTTCAATATACATGTAGTTTCCAAAGCAATGAGACCATACATGTACCTGTACATGTAGTGCAGTATCATATTATTCCGCCATCTCTATGTTCTGGTATTGAAACTCTCAACAGTGTAGAACCTTACGGCATATGTCATATTTTCAGCCCTAGCCATGCATGGCACCTTACAATCAACTAGACAAGTGCATGGCTTATGTAATACATTTTGTACTCAGGCAGTGACCTGACCATCTGAGTTATCAATAGACTAGATGCGAGTAGAAATAATCTTGATTTAAAGTCATTAAATATTCAAAATTCAGTCATTTAGCGATGTCAAATTTGAAATCTTCGTGTAAAGTACATCTAGAAATACATGTATGGTTTCGAAAATTGTTTATCAACTTTTTGAGGCTTTGTATAAAAAACCTACGTGCGTGGACATGATACAGTCTTTGAAGGGTTCAATTTTAAAGATCTTAGTTTATTAAATCTTAGTTTATGATGAATTATAGATGCATTTGTAATGACCCTTGATAGCAAGTTGCTACTACATCCCAGCTAGGTTCAATTCCCACTCGGGGCATCCAATTTAGCACACTTTCTTTCAATTACTTTATCTGTCTTGTGGGACCTATGCTCGCAGTCGTTAGTTATTTATTTCCCTGAGGCACCCTCCTCATTACACATTAAAATGCACACATATGCCTTTATTCATAGGTGGGTTAAGGTGGGTATGAGGTAGGAGGTTTTTTATACAAAGCCTTTTTTGAAAATGTGACTTCTATTTCGGGGAGATTCCCCATAGACCCCATGTTACGATATCACAAAAAGTGAAATATATGTTTTCTTTTACTGGACATATTTTTATTTTTTTATTTGCATAACTATGAGATACATATGGGTGCTATGAAAATTGAGCCACTGAAACAGATGTAATTTAAGTTAAACTTTCATCTGCATTATTGTTTAACCAAGGGCGTTACAATACCCGGGAATTTATCGGTTCGTGCAGTACTTGTTTGTGATAGCGCCCTCTGTAGGTCACTGTGCTTATAGCCTACAGTAATACGGGGTAGGATATCGGGAATTCGGTCAGTTTCTATCCGTCGATTTCGCTATGAATTGAAGCAAGTGTGACCACTTTATCCACTTAAACAATTTGATAATTGATTAAATATTCAAACAAAATCGATAAACACGTTATACACTTCCTATCTCCTTAGAAATTAGCATGTATTTATGGATTGTGTTTTCGAACAACGCTCGACCCCAACCAATAGGGAAATCCTTATGCTAATTAGTATGACGTCATATTTTCCTGGGGAATCCTAGATTTCAAAGCCTCAGTCTGTTATTGTGTCAAATGTAAACGCTCTTTTGCAGACAGAAAATTGACAAATTAGCTTTTGACTTTCAGCTTTGATGTTTAAATATTCTGTATTTCTACCGGACTTCTTGCTGAATATCATATAATGTTGACTTGATTTGGATCATTGCCTGATTGCTCATTCTGAAATTTTGATTGTGATTCATGATTGATTGGCAAGAAAAATAATTCTTATTGTTTTCCAGCGAAGTCAAAATGTTACAGCATGAGTTATAATGTCGAGTTTGCATCATGTTAAATTCTGCTAGTGATTAGAAGTCCATGCACAAGCATACACATAAGAGACAAACACACCCAGGCTCCAGGCCGTGGATGGAAATATAAAACTATTTAAGGCACAAACTGGTATTAAAAGACCGATATGTAGTGTCTGCCATGTATTGAAGGTAAACCAATCTGCATTATTAATGTTTCTTCTATCAATACATGGATTGTGCAATGGAAAAGCAATGGCACAATCAAAAATGTGCATATCAATCGTGAATATCTCTCGGTTCAATGCTTATTTCCAACAGAATCGTGTCAAAATATGTGTCTGAGTAACAGTTATACATTATAAGATCGCAAACTCTTACCAATTATCAGCCGAATGGCTCATTTTCAACGAAATGTCCTTAAGACAACAGCCCTGGGTCGCGCCTGAGACCAAAAACTATTTCAAATAGCCCTCCCCTAATTATATTGGATAATCACATTTATGCGTGCGCGCGCAGCTCATCCACTGAACGAAACGCCACTTCCCGCTGAAATCACCGGGTATTGATCTTTCCCTTGGTTTAACGATAACCTGAATATAAACCATCAGTCCTAACCTAACAGTCAATCAATCATCAATTTGGAGTCTCGTTGCCAAAAAGTACAATTTAGTTTTATTTAGAGTTATGATTACCAATGCTGGGTTTTATTTTTGCACTTGAAGGTAGGGATGGTCTTGGTGCTAGATAAGGCAATAGCATAGAGAGCAATTGATAGAAGAAATCATAATGGATGAGACCTCAGAGTTTACAAGGTTATGGCTTGTAGATTGGGAAGATTTAAATCACATAGAGCCATGGTTATAAGATCATGAATTTGAAATTCTTGTAATTTCTTTGTTATTATGAACTTTTACTTTTACTTCAGCAAATATTTTGAACTGTATAATTATCAAACTCAAAATGGTTAGAAAACTTATCATATAAATTTATTGATTTTTCACGGTATCAGCCAATGGTGGTGATTTACGATGTCACACATCATGCTTCAAAATGCATAAATTAATCTCTTTCAAAGGTTGACTGATCTGTAACATACGCATTAAACCTTTTGATGTTAGAGCTATCAATATATCAGGCAAATTCCTGAAATAATCACCCCTCGTGTCATAAATCTTATTGTCATATATTCCTCATTTCATCATACTGTATTAAGTTTCCTTATATGTCAGTTTTACTGTAGTTTTTTTATTGAAGTTTTTTATCAGTAGCCCTGTTCATTTATATTTATTTTTAGATAACACAATAGGACAACGCCTGTCAACCTAAAGTATGCTGTACATTTGGCCTAGCACCTGCAGAAGATAACAAATGAAGTTTGGGTCAAAATAAACAAAACTAAACTGATGGAGAAAAAGAAACGTTTATTTGAGAGGTTCTGAATCATTGATGGAAGATGGGTGTGAGAGGATTACTATCTCACTGTGTACGCAACATTTCGACACTTGGAATTGAGGTTGATTTAGTTGCAGAAGCTGAACATAGAGGGGGACTTAAGTTGTTGGTCGATTTTACAAACTTCCTGTTTAAGCTGGAGACGTATGTCATACATTTTCTGCAGATTCGTAATTCCGATGTCAGTTTGACATACCTGTATTTATACGGTGGCGAGTATGATGTCATAGATATTCTCGTGCAGAGGTATGTCAAAATACTGCGTCAGCAAAACATTGAACTTGTGTTTTTCCTTGACGCAAGCCTTGGGACTGACATCGAAGGCTTCAATGCCAAATTTGAAACCAATAAGGCACGCAGTAAAGAGAACTATGACTCCATCGTTGATATCAGTCATGTTTGTAATGGTTACAAGGGTTCTGAAGTTGGAATGGTCAGAGTTAGTTTATCATTGCTAGCGAAAACACAAGTCATCCGAACACTACAATCCCTAAAAGTGGAGCTTTGTTTCTCAGAAATGGAAGCAGAATCTACTATTATGCAATATATGAAGGCCAACGAAGAGGCATTTGCTATCCTGGGAGCTGATAGCGATTTCTGCCTCATGGATGGCTCTAACTTCATCATTATGGGAAATGATAATGACAAAGAGACTTTTGATGTGACAGGTATGTCTCCATTTTACATTATTTTGCATGGTTTGGGTTATGTTTGCAGTTGTAATTTTACTGTGTCCCATCAAATTTTAAAACTTCATCACCTCTGGCTCTATCCTTCAAATGCAGTGCAATGCAGGGCTCAAAATATTATCAGAAAGGAGATGCGATATGAAGAAAGGAGAATTAAAGGAACATATTGGATTAGTTGTTTATATCCATAGACTTTTTAACTTTTCCATGTTAAATTTATGATTTCGGTAATTTTCACATAAAATAGCACTTTTGGAGGACATGACAATCAAAAAATAAACCTGTCATAAGTATTGTTTTTTGTATTTTTTATTGAAGAAAAATCTATTTCTGATCATTTGACACAAAAATCCTGAAGTATTCGCATCTCTTAGTGTCTCATTCGGTCATCCAAAGTTTGACACCATCAGAATAACAGCTGCTATATGTCTCAAATTTATTGTATCCCATTTCCACAAGAATTGCACATTGTCACTGGTAAGTTTCTGGAATGGAAGAAAATGGTAGAATTAATAATATAAAAACTGAAAATATTGGAATTTAAATATCTTTTCACAAAAAATCACTTTTTTTGATTATCTTATAAATTTTTATTCCACTTAGTGATGGTTCATTTATTCTCTAGTTCATCTTACTTAAGTTAGAGTGACAAAGATATTAATTTCTTGTACAGAAAACAGTCTTTAATCAATGAAGTAACATTTCCTTGTCTTAAACAAGCAAGTATGATGATGCTTACAGTTTGTTACACAGGTAGGTGATATTACGGATGCTACATAAAAATGTACAATGATACCCTTTTCATTTTGAAGTGTGGAGCTCTCAATGCTGTTTTATGGCTGGCATATTTAATCTGAAATTGTTAAATAATAAGTTACAAGAGACTTAAAATATTTTTTTGTCAGGTACAAATATGAAATGCATAATTATACAAAAAATTCAAAAAAGATGCTCAAGCAAGAATACTTTTGTGGAACATTTATATATTGACTGTCTAAAAGAAGAGAATATAGTAGTATCCTGTTACTTGAACATTGTTTAGTGATAGAAAATATAAAACAACTGTGTAGATTGCAAGTGTTTAATCTTATATACATTCAAAATAGAATAGAAAAAATTACGGATGCTACAAATAGTAAAGAATATAAACATATGAACTCACATTGGTTAGGAATTGTAAGTTTCCATAAACTAGTAACTGCATCTACTTGTTCTTCTAGTCATGTATCTTCATAATCAGATATTAGGATATCTGCAATATATAGACATATGATACACTTCAGTGAATAGGTATTTCATATAATTATACTTCTCTAGAGGTGAAATTAACAAAGTCAGCTCGTGAGAAAAAATAAAATTATCAATTGGAAATATCTAGTTATATGTAAAATGTTTTATAATATTTAATACTAATAGATAATAGTAAATATAATATCTTATAAATATGATATTCAAATGCTACAATTTAGAATTATAAAAACATTAAGTATTTATGCCTACCTCTTATTCCACTAGTACTTAATATTATGATGTCTGATGGTAAAATGTCAGTTCATGTATTGGTAAAGTATTGATTGCATACACATTATTCACCCTAGCTTCCACAAATAAAAACAAAACAATATGGTTCCAATTGAAAATATAATGACATGTAGCATCTATTTTGTTTTCATTCCATTGTTCTACAGTAAAAGGAATGCTATATGTAAAAATGAAAAATTGTGATGCGTAAAAATGAAATGTCTTTTAATAATACTTAATGCAGTCCATTGTTGTTGAGGATAAACAGTAACATCTTATAACATAAGTTTGCAATGTTTAGTGTTGCAGTTGAACAATCATCTTATTTAACTTTACAGTCTTTTGTGGCTGCAGTTGAACAGTAACATCTTACTCTAAGTTAGCAACTTTAACTGTTGCAATTCTATAGTTTATCAACAATATTGTCTTGTGCTATCACAAGACAAAATCGTGTTTAATAACTAGCAATACCAATGTTACCACCATCTTACCCGGTCCTTAGTACTCGCAATCCTTGATTATTGATACACTTATTTGGAAGGTTATTTGAGCTTACCCGTTGGTATTGATACACTTATCTGTGTTTTTAGGCCCGAATACTGAGGTTTATTTTTTTAATTATTGAGTCTTATTCTATTGCATTAATATGTAGTTGACTTTGTAACTACGGACGTGATATGATAGGTCTATTACATAATATGTATATATAAATATCGTGATGATTAATGAATCTAGATGAAGAGTAATCATTAAAACAAACTTAGACGACATTTAATATTTAAAGAAAAATAATTTGATAGATAACTTATGCATGTATAAGTCTCTTAGTAAAAAATTTAAGGGAAACGGGTTTCGTGATTTAACAGAGGACAGCAAGGTATTAATGTTGTTGTCTACGATCCCGGTTCACGCTATTTATTTACAGTTTGTAGATTAAAGATCCTTATTTAAAGACAACGTCGTCTTTATGAATTATTTAAGACATCAGTAGTCACAGAAATTGATTATCCGAAGAGGATACCGAGTTCTTACCAGCAGACGAACAATTGCAGACATGGGCTAAGTTTGTTTATTTAACAGTTAGATTTGTTGACTTACTGATCCGTAATGTAATCTCTGGGAAGACGTTATTTTTATTTATTCTATACTTTGTATTTGCGTCCAATGTAATAAAGTTGATACTTTTATGAACAAGAATTTCATTTTAATGGCCATTTTGTATGCCTTTTATTTCCACACCATGTTTTGATTTTGCCTCGATGTTATTGTGTCATAGTGTTTTTGCTGTAAAATTCAAGAAATGTCAACTTTTTAATTAAGGAATGTTGGTTACTCTCTTGTGGTAAATCAAATTGTTGATGATGTCAACGGATCATGAGATAACACATTGCCTGGGGAAAGATATCAATATCAGTTGTATATCGGATATAAAAATAAATATTATAGTAGATGCTAATTGTTTGCTCTGAAATAATGTGACTAATGACTATTCCAGCGAATCAGGTAGATATTTCAACGGTTTTCGCGTAATGAAAGAATTTAGTTTTCGTTTCTATTAATTTGACAAGTAGGGTCGTTGATAAACACATATAACTGTAAAAGTATTTATTGGAAGTACTTGTTTTAACAGTCTTTTCGCTTCTCTTTTTGTCTCTCGACAGGCATAGGCGTAGCCAGGGGGGTGGGTTGCGGTGCATAACCAATAAAATAGAACCTTTTTATTGGAGTTTTTGGTAGACTTTCTCTTGCTTTTTTCTTGAACCTTCTCTCATTTCTTTCAGTTCCAAATGGGTTTTCTTGGGTTCTAATTTTATACGCATCCTCCAACGTTGTACCCTAGATACTTCCGCCTTTTTTTCAGTCTGTCTTGCAGTCTCTGCTTTCTGTTTTTAGCTTTTTGTTCTTTTCTTTTCTTCTCTGCCATTACCTTTTTACCTGCAGAAATCCTTGTCTTTTTCTGAATCTCTTTCCACATTTTTCTTCTTTTTTCTATAAGCACGCATTCGTTCTCTTTGTTTCTCCTTCATTGCTTCGTGTAAAGGCTGATTTTTCATACATCTTTTTTTCAGCTCTTTTCTTGCTTTTTGATTTCTTTTACGATCAACTTCTTTTACCTTTTCATATTTAGATTTGTCTTGTTTTAATTTCTCTCGATATTTTCTCACATTTTCTCTGTTTTTCTCTGCTGAAAGTCCCATTTTGTCCTATGTTGCTCTTAGTCTTGATCTATTGGTTTCATAAGTTCACTTCTGAAGTCAGACTTTGTTTTTTTACATTATGTAATATAAACAAAATATGTAGCATCCGTAATATAGTGTGTTTGATGTTATTAAAGAAATAGTGTCCAATTTTTTTATTGTGCCAGTTTAATTTTAATTGAATGAATGATTCCTGAAATAAAAATGTTCATCCTTTCCATAGTTTGATATGAGAAGTTTAAAAAAGAAAAATATGGTTTTGGTTCTTTGTCAACTCTCATAATTAAATACCCCTTCTGTTCCTAAGGATATCAAGTAATTCTAGTCTGTATCAATCAATGTTGCAATATGACATGTTTTATAATACTGAAGGATTGTGTTTATTTCTCTTTAACTGGGAATAAAGGACATTACGGATGCTACATTGTCTATTACGGATGCTACACAACCTAGATCAGCTCAGGACTCTGAAAAGGAAAAAACACAGAATATTTAAATATGCTATTTTCTTGAGGGCGGGGTATTTGTTAAATCTAGAACAATAAAAATTAAAAATATTTCTCAGTTAACATGTAATTTAGTTTTTTCTACAGATTACGGATGCTACACTTTTTTGTCTCTTAGATATATTTAGACTTTAAATAATAATATTTCTGTTTATTTGAAAGATTTACATGTTTTCATATTTTATTTGCTTATAACTATCAAAAGGCTTTATTAAAACACAAAAATAAAGAAATAAAAATATATATTTTACCTGTTAGTTGATGAATCAAAAATGTTAGTGCTGAAAATTCAGAAAGTCGTAACGGAGGTAGGCTTATCTAAAAATGCTATAACTTTTCTGTTGTTCGATGTTATTTGTTGAAATAAACGGCAAAATAAAGGAAACTGAAAATACTAAAATAAACATATAACTTTTATATTTAAGTTTATTCAGTTTTTTCTCAAAACTTATTCTAAAATAGCTTATTTTAAAATGTCCGTTCGTAACGCTGAAAAAAGAGAGAATTTGACTCTTATTAATGCCATATACAATTTAATATGGGTTCCCATAGTTCTAAATGTGTTTGATTATGTAGAGTATACCCCAATGTAACATATTATAACTCCAACACCAACATATACCTCTTATTTATTAATTTACAGACCTGTAACATCATTTTTCTCAAAAGTGCTATTTTATGTGAAAATTACCGTTTCCATTAATTTTGTCTGATGTTTTCATCACGCGGTACAAACTTCGACCGTTAATTTGAATTTTTGACCTACCAGATGCTCGAAAATCAAGGATTGCGAGTCTCATACTACAACGTTTTTCTTCAAATGTATACCATTAAAAGCAAAACAAAATTGCCTTTCTGTCGGTGCATTACTTTATTGTAAAGAATCCCTCGTTCTAGCAGCGTTTTGGTCCCCAGCTGTTAGAAGGCCTTCTTACAGCTGGGGACCAAAATGCCGCTGGAAGTAGGGACTCTGTTTAAGAGAATAATGTACCAACAGAAAGGGATTTTTGTTATGCTTTGAATGGAACAAGTTTGAAGAAAAACGGTGCAGTACGAGACTCGTAATCCTTGATTTTCAAACATCCGGTAGGTCAAAAATTCAAATTAACGGTCGAAGTTTGTACCGCATGTTCATTTATTAGCCTGTTGTGAGAAATTCTAGTGAAACCCCAGGGACAAAATAATGCTGATATGATTTTTATACAAAAAAATGGAAGTCTTTGCAGCGAGTCATATATAAATCATGTGTATTTGTTAATGTTCAATACAGTTCAATGCAATGTGCTGATATGTGAAAATTTCAGGAGAGTTCACAAAGAGTCTGTTGTGTGGGATGAAGTCACCAAAACTGGAAGAGCTGATTTGTTATATGATAACACCTGAAAAGTTGGTGGAATCATTTGAGGTAAGAATAAGTTTTGTTTTAGGTCTACAAGGGTACAACATGGGTGGTAATATTTTGTATTTTCATCCTCAGTTATATTTTATATGTTATTCATATGCCAATATGCAATATATGTGTTTGTCCCCATAACAATTCAAGTTTACTATATTTTCTAATTTTCCCCAAATTCCATATTTTATCCTGTGTAATTTTCTATTTTATTCCCATATTCCTCCCAACTCATATGGACCAGATCGCATTATAGGGCGAGGGATCTGGAGTCAGTTTATAGAGCAATGATATACAGAGTTCTGTAAAACCTGTCCTTGTGAACACCTCTCTCTCTAGTGAAACATGTCTCTACGAGTGGACACCCTTCATCCACGTTCACACATGCTCCTACTGACTTCTGAATAATAACCCTCTCTGTAGTGAACATCTACCAACATTGAACATTATTTTTTTTCTCAGCAAAAAATGTTCAATATACACAGGTTTTACTGTATAATAGAACAATGGACTTTTTATAAACCCAGGGTTGCTATAATTATTTCCTTTTGTGGCACTCTTGATGGGCTCATGGAATAATCTCCAATCATTTGTGTGTCTGTCCAACCTTACACTTATCTGTGTTGTGTATCAACAATTTTTTGGACAAATGGAAACGTTCTTTTGTCTGAACTAATGCTTACCGGGATGCATATTAATAAATCACGTCATTTGTCCCCACATTTAATTTTGCCTCTTTGAAGAAACCAGCTACTTTGTTGTATCTCATTCACTCACTCACTGAGTAAAAACAAGGAAAAATCTTATTTAATGTAATTTTTTTATATGGAAGGTTATGATAAAAGGTTGCAAAATACATTCCCCAAAACAGATTACATGTGTGTATAGATAGTGTTGTAAAAATAACTAAGGTTGGCCTGCTGCTAATAAAACCCCTGCAATGAGTAAGAAGCATAAAAAATTTCCTAAAATTATTGAAGACAATTTTTGGTTTTTATATTTTAGCTGAGAGACCGACACGAATTAATAGAAGTTGCCATTCTAACAGGAAGTGACTTCACAAAGCCTTTCATCGAAAAATATGAACAACAGAAATTCTTCAATCAGAATGTGGAGGGTTACAAAAAGTTTGCAAATGGTGGAACGGTTGAATCTATCCCTATAATAGCATCTCTCCTGGTGAGTATCAGTTAATTTATTTATTTATTTATTTTTACCAATTTTTTATTTCAGTTATTTCAATTATTTTTTATTTCAGTTAATTTATTTTTCTGAAATGGCAAGATATGACATGTCCTTGACCTTTGTTCTAGATTTAAGGTAGAAACAAATCCACTTGTCTTATATTTAAGGATTTAAGCCCTGGATTCAGTGCATTGTTTGCTGAAACTTACCATGAAGGTGTTGTTTCAAAATCTTTGCAAGATCACGCAGCGGGAATGCAAAGTTTAGGAAACAACGCCTGAGTGGAATGAAGCAGCTACAATGCTTGGGCTTATATTCTTTTCAAACATTGCAAAATATTTTCTACAAAGTCACCTAAAAGATAGAAAATCACTAAAAGAATATGTTCAAAGGAACTTTTTCCAAGGGTAAAGTATTGGCAATCTCATCACCACAACAAATGCATTATTGATTATTTCATGCACTGCTGTCATGTAAAAATACTGTGTTTTCAGATTGGCTTGAATGGGACACACCTTGCCTAGCCATGTGTGACTTATAAACTAAGCATCCAATTCAGTGCTCAAATCCCTAATTGAAATATGAACAGTAAAATATGTAGTGTTATGTTCACTTCAATATATGAAACATGTTTAGTCAAATGACCATTGATGTAAATGAACCTTTGAAAGTGGGATATCTTACCGTACGGTACTTTGAATTTAGAGTGCGAATTGGGGGTGTACTTAGAGATTGCATGCTTAATAACACAACAAGTATGTGTTATATATTATATAACACTGGAAAGTATGTCTCAACCTATATAATATATAGGCCAAGACATATACTTTCCAGTAACCTAAAATCATGGGACTCATAGAAAATATAATTGGTTAGGACCTATAAACAGATTTTCTTCATTCATATTTCTTCCATAACCCAACAATATCATTATGGATCTACATTTTGTTTTATTCTAGACCAAAGACAAAGAATTCAAAGAGGCCATAGAATATTCTAGAAGATTCTACAACAATGAACTGATTGAGCCCGCAAGCACACAAATCAAACCTCCTTCTCTTCTGTACTTAGAGGATAATGTACAAAGAGGCAACTTTGACACAGTAGTCCTTAGTTGGTAAGTTCTTACTTTTTTGCATTTTCAAAATATCTTGTCTATTAGGATTATAGCTAAAATTCTTATCCTGAACAAACCTAAAAAATGTTTATCATAGTATATGTTACTTGCAATATCAATAGACTTGGATATAAAATTTGCTTTTCTGAAAATATTAAAGCTTGAAATAATTCCCCATCATGTCAGCAGTTAAACAAGTGACTAGCTCCTTTTCAGGTTTTAGGTACATGATACTACTGTAACACTGTACTGTACTGAACTGGGCAGTACTGTATTGTACTGTACTGTACTGTATTTTTTCGAAGTGATTGATTGAACTGAACTAATTATGGCTGCTTTTATATATCTTCAATTGTTGCAATTTCCTTTTAGGTACAACAAAGTATACTGGAAGTTTATTAGAGTGGAGGATATGAGTCCAAAAAAGGTCTCATCATATCACATCACCGAGAACATCCGAAAATATCTTTACGCCATTGTGACGGAAAGAAGAAAGGTCGGAAGTGAACTCTGTGTAAAGGAATATGGTCGTACAGACTCAGAATTATTTGCCATTAAAAAGGTAAGGAGTTGTTGATGTACATGAAAATCAGATACTTGTTTTCATACAGTTTTATTTTATCAATGTCATTATAAAGGTCAACATAAACCTTATCAGTTGATAAATTTAAAACAGTAATCAAAGCATATGGAACAAATTAAAACTTTTGTAATTTGAGAAATATTCACATGCTTTGAAACACAACAAAGTTTCCTGATTGAATGCAGAATCCAGAAAATCCAAGATTTTTTATTTTTCCAATGTCCAGGCCATATTAGCTACACTTTTTTTTATTTATGATTATATGTACATTTTTGATAAATGATACTGATAAAAAGATTTAAAAGAAATTAGTCATTTAAGATGTCTGTCAATAGAGCAACCCTAGAAAGTTCAAGACAAAAATATCCGCAGTGGCCAAACAGTATAAGCATCGATATCAGCGATTCATTATGAGTAATGATAATAGAAAAATCAATATTTTGATCAAAAGAGAAACAGAGATGATGTTTTCTCATATGACTAACAGAGATATAGCCATCTTTACCCCATGCAAGATATTGCCAATTTCCATATTTAACTTCAATTATGTTCATGTACGTGTAGGTGTTCTATGGCGATCTACAGGGGAAGGTCCCATCTGCTGTTGACATAGCAACCATGAGTGTTAGTGAACGTCAACACCTGTTTGACACTGTGATGTCACAGTCAGAGAACACGCTGGCAGATGGTAGGAACGCATTTCATCGTATTTAAAAAAAAGTTTACTAGTGGGGCATTTTAGAAAAATTGTACCTATGATTTGAAATATGTCAGGCCATTAATGTCCACAGTTCTTATCATATGATCTTCACTGATGTTGCATGGTTATTTATATAGATATACTATAAACATACTTGGAACATGGCTAAAGTAAAAATATTTCTAATTTTCAGGCATAAATCACAACTACTTTACCAAATATGGTCCCAAGACAGCTTTCAAATGTTACATCGTCCACTATCTAATCATTGCCAGCAAAAATCCACAGTCACATTTGACGTTTGATGTAACAGAACTGATCGCCATAGTGATGATGATGTTTTGTCCGAAGCAAAATTTCATTGCCTATGAGGGTATACCCAGTATTCGCTGTCTGAGTCTCAGTACTTTACTACAGGTAGGTTCCCTGTCGTCTGTTACTACTGTTGCATTATGGGCCTGTTTGTAATTTACAATCTTTTACAATCAGTAGATGATGAATCATAAACAATTAGCATTTTATATATTACTAGATGTGGGTCATTTCCAAATTCTCAAATGGAGTGTAATTATTATAATTTCCTGTACATATTCCTGTGTATATTTTCACAACAAAATTTATGAAACTTAGATAACACCATTTGTGATCTAGTTTGATAACCTTGACTTTGAAAATTTCACTTTTTTGGAGTAATTTCAAAGTAATTTCCAAAAATGGGTGCAGCACCATATTACTCCAATACACCAGGAGATAACTGCCAAACATATATCAGTAAAGTATTTCTAAGAGTGTTCTTAATTCCCATATTATTTAGGTAACTTACAACTTCAGTGAGATACTTGCAAGTTTGCTACTTCTGCCAGATATCAAGCCTAATCCACGAGATATCTTCATTGGACGTGCTTTTGTAGATTTTTACATGACGTTCGTAGAGACAGGTAGGTCCAGATTGAAGATTGATCTAGGATATTTTTAAAGTCATTTGTTTTTACTAAAGGTATAAAATCATAAAAAGTTGTGAATGTAAGGATGTCTTATTAATGTATTATTTTCTTTCTATGGTATTATATTTCCCATGGTTTCAACAATTCCATTTAGAAAGTATCCCATAAAAGTGAGACAACACAATATTGGAGCTACACTTATTCGTATACAATTTGTTGTAATATTCTGTACTGTTTCATGTAACATCCCTCAGTCACATTTGATTTATGGCAACTGTACAGCGGTCGTAGCTTCCCAAAATCGAGAGAAATATGTAGCAAGAAATACGAGGATAAAGCTAAGTTCACACCAATGGCGCTTTAATGGGGCGTGCAAAGCCACTTTGCACGCTGCATTAAAGCGCCATCAAAGCGCCATTGGTGTGAACTTAGCTTAAGCAATATGATATAGATTTTCTATATCAATTTTGTGAAGCTACGGCCACTATACAGCCGTCATAGAGCAAATGTGACTGAGGCTTTACGTGTATAATTGTATATACTGAACAGGGGTGTCTCAAGATATGCTTCCCCAGCCTGTACAGGACATATACCTGGATTTGATCAACAGTAACACATTACTGACAGAATCCGACAGGAAAGTGTTGCAGATTCCTTCTAAGACATGTGAGTTATACTTTGAACTTATTCAACATTGGGGCATTTTTCAAAAGATGCTCATGAGATCAAAACTGCAACTGTCTTCTTCCTAAAATACCAATAGAATTACAGTGTATGTGTGTACAAATAAAACTCAATACAAGCATGAATGTATTTTAATTATATTGTCAATCTATGAAAATCAAAATGGTTATTTCTTATTAAAACTTTAGCATTTTTCCTATTTTAATGTACAGTACCCGTAATGATTCATTTTTTCAACAATGAATATCATTTTGTTGTGAATCAAAATTTTACTATTGACTCAAATTATGATTATTATTGGAAATGAAACTGATCAATACGAATTTCTTTCTGAAAATTTTTGTGTTTTTTAGTGGAAGGATCCTTTGAAGTTAAAACACCACGTCACACTCCTCAGCTGTCAACCTCAGAATGGGAGGAGTCAGATGACATTCCCGACCCTCAATTTATTGAACCGCAAAATCCTGATGAATTACCCATAATGCGTTTCCGTGACGAGATCATCTCACACTTGAAGACGCATAGAGTTGTGTGTATAGAGGGTGAGACAGGATGTGGGAAGAGCACAAAGGTTCCACAGTTCATCTTAGATGATTATAAGCAGTAAGTTGAATGATGGATATAACATACTGTACATTCAATGACATATTCATCCTAATAAGGCTCATTCAATCCAGGACTTAGCAAAATTATGGCATGATATATAATGACATTATTTATGAACCTGTGTCATTGTCAACCCAATTTTCTCAATTTTAGCAACTGATTGCTTTTTATTAATTCATTTTTCATTGAACATTCACCCATTTTCTTTCAGGAATCCCTTGGAGTATGTCTGCAAGCCTAATATCATAGTAGCTCAGCCAAGGCGTATTGCTGCATGTACACTTGCAGAACGTGTTGCTTCTGAGCGTGGATGCGCAATTGGAACTGAGGTTGGCTACAAAATTGGTCAGGATTATACAGCCAATGAGACCACTTCGCTATTGTTTGTCACTACAGGATATTTGATACAGGTATGCTCACTTTAGATTTTTAAAACATTTTTGTATGATAACATTTTCAAATATGTTCACTTTTTGCGAAAACGGTCAGGAAAAGAAAAAAATTGAAAGAAATTCTCTCTTTAAAATGAATAAATGGATAAATATGCGAATCTCCTGTACTATATTTTAAAAAACAAGACTTCAACAAAATTTCAATAGCAAAGCCTCTAGAAGCTTCGATTGTTCCGTCTGCCTATTGCCCTGTCCAAATGCATTATGGGATACTTTCAGAGGCTGGTCCACAACCCTAACAGCTTCAAAAATCTAACCCACATCATTCTGGATGAAGTTCATGAAAGGGAGTTAGATTCGGATCTACTCAGCCTCATTGTCAAACTGCTTGCTCTGAACCACAAACGCGTAAAGGTTGTGATAATGTCAGCAACTATACAAGGGGATCTCTTCATCAGGTATTACATATAAAGTAGACTCATTGTCAAACTGCTTGCTCTGAACCACAAACGTGTATAGGTGGTGATAATGTCAGCAACTATACAAGGGGATCTCTTCATCAGGTATTACATATAAAGTAGACTCATTGTCAAACTGCTTGCTCTGAACCACAAACGTGTATAGGTGGTGATAATGTCAGCAACTATACAAGGGGATCTCTTCATCAGGTATTACATATAAAGTAGACTCATTGTCAAACTGCTTGCTCTGAACCACAAACGTGTATAGGTGGTGATAATGTCAGCAACTATACAAGGGGATCTCTTTATCAGGTATTACATATAAAGTAGACTCATTGTCAAACTGCTTTCTCTGAACCACAAACGTGTATAGGTGGTGATAATGTCAGCAACTATACAAGGGGATCTCTTTATCAGGTATTACATATAAAGTAGACTCATTGTCAAACTGCTTGCTCTGAACCACAAACGTGTATAGGTGGTGATAATGTCAGCAACTATACAAGGGGATCTCTTCATCAGGTATTACATATAAAGTAGACTCATTGTCAAACTGCTTGCTCTGAACCACAAACGTGTATAGGTGGTGATAATGTCAGCAACTATACAAGGGGATCTCTTCATCAGGTATTACATATAAAGTAGACTCATTGTCAAACTGCTTGCTCTGAACCACAAACGTGTATAGGTGGTGATAATGTCAGCAACTATACAAGGGGATCTCTTCATCAGGTATTACATGTACATGTAAAGTAGACACAGTTTTTCTTTCAATCAAAGATCTGATGCATTTTTGGTGAAAATGTTGAGAAGCTCTTCCAGGCAGTAAACTTGTTAGTCATACCAAACATATTATAAAATGAGCAAAGTAAAGGACCACAGTGCAATTTTATATTTAAAAAAAATTTCTTTGAATTTTTTTGACCATTCAGTAAATAATGCAGTTATGAAATTGATACCGTAAATGTAGAAGTTGGTGTCTGACAGTTGGGGAGTTGATGGATGAACCTACATATACTAGTATTACATCTCCTGATACAAAAATATGAAGGGGGCAATCTAATTGTGTTTTTATGAGACACTGCCTCTTGAGCACCAAACTGAATAACTCTTGAAACTGTACTTATATTTTAGGTACTTTACAACCGATGAGGAGCTTGCAAATATGACAAAAAAATCAGTATTTGTTGGAGCAAAGAGATTCCCCGTTGAGGAAATCTACTTGGAAGATATCTATGAACAGTTCAAGTCAGAGTTGAATCCCTCTCAGTTATGCAGCCTTGCGGAAAACATAAGCCAGTTTAACCGCACGTCTCTTGCTAAGTACTATAATGGCGAAGCAGTTGCCAAAAATGAGGATATGGAGTAAGCTTGGAATATTTATTTTTATTATTAATTAATAAATAAGTTGTTAGCATAAACTAGAATATTGCCTTAGCTTGAAAAGGTGCCTGCCTGGCCTAGCTCTATATATAAATGCATCTTGTGAATATACTATAGCACAGACAATAAAAAGGGAATACATGTACCTTCATATTTACTCAGGGCTTTCAGTACTAATGTATTATTTGTATGTATGTATTCCTTATTTACTTCTTACTACTTAAGTTTTTGAGCATATAATCTCTTTGGGATGTAATAGGTTCCATTTTTTGAATGACATTGCCTCCTTTAATGTCCCTGGACTTTAAGATGCCCCTGGACCTCAGGGTGTGATACCCCTGGACTTCAAGGATGTGGTGCCCCTGGACTTCAGGATGTGATGCCCCTGGACTTCAGGGGTGTGATGCCCTTGGACTACAAGGGTGTGATACCCCTGGACTTCAATGGTGCAATGCCCCTTAACTTCAAGAGTGTGATACTGTTTTGTTTCAGAGAGAGGAATGCCAAGATTAAGACCTTGGTGACTGACCTAGTAAACCGCAAGATCATGACAAGTCAAGCTCTTAGTAAACAAGCTAGTAAAGCAAATGGAAATGTACTAATTGCAGCCATGAAACAGCTGACAATATCTTTGATAAAGGCATCAGTCACCCCTGGAGAGTCAATCCTCATGTTTCTACCAGGTGAGAGAATCAAGGGACAAAATGTCACATTCTATCCCTAAGTTGAGAGAACTATAAACTTATCTATTGTTGTTACAGATAATATGCAGGCCCGTGCCCAAGGGGTTTGAGGGGTTCATGCCAAAAATAAAATTCTTTCAAAATCAAGCAATTTGTAACGATTCTGAACATTTTTCATGTGACTTTAGGCCAAATTTTTCAAAGTTGCCCTTTGACAAAAGCTGGCTTGGGCCTGATATGGACATTAAAATCTACAAGTGTTTTCTTACATGTATGAACAGGCGTAGAGAAAAAATTGTCCAAAAGGCTTCATTGCTCTACAGTATGCAGTCTTTGTGTCCAGTATTTCATGTAACGAGGACACAGCCACTGACTTCAGAACAGAACAGAACTGAAATGTCCCATAATACAATTATAATGCAATACATGCACTATAATCAGACATCATTTCAATATTTAAGGCTACATGGACTTTGACATGTTTTACAAGATATTGGCTTCTCATTAACAGAACTCAAAATGGAAATATTCTATTATACCCATAATGCATTGCATTAAGCAGACGTTATTTGTCATGTTTCAGGTTACATGGACATTGACATGTTTTATGAGATGCTGGCTCCTTATGAACAGAACTCAAGATGGAAGTGTCCCATCTGCATATTTGCACTCCATTCTATGGTTAGTAATAATTTATGATATTTGAGAATGATATTTTAAACATAAACATAAAAATATCCCACAACCTTAAATGATGCTAATTCAAATCACCAAACATTGAAATTGCTTTAGTAATATTACTCCATTTAGTAATACCTTCTTCTTGGTTATGATACATTATGACTCAGATTATTCAAGTGAAATAAACCAAAAATGTTCTTCTTGAAAGTAACGTGTGTTCCCGTAATGTCTTTTGATATGAATTATGTAGAAAATTCAGCCTAGAACTTATATGTTTACAAACTTGGATTATTGTTTTTAGATTCCGTTTGAGGATCAGTTAGCAGCCTTTAAGCCACCATCGCCTAATGTCTGCCATATTTTCCTCGCAACAAATGTCGCAGAAAGTTCTCTTACGTTGCCCAAAGTGAGGCTGGTCATTGACTTTGGCTGGAAAAAACAAAATGTCTACAAACCCGATAGAAAGATGACAGTATTAGAGGTGGTTCGATGTTCTAAAGCCTCTTTAAGTCAGAGAAAAGGTAAAATGCAAAACATTATGCAGATTTCATAAGAACATGACTGTATTCGGTTTTCATGTCACCACCAAAAAGTTATGGTCTCCATTTTTTGTGACGGCGATCAGCAGGCGGCAATTGGTGGATGGCTGTTGTTGGCAATCAGCGGGTGGGGGTTGGCGTCTGTAACAAATTCTTACAACTTCCAATAACTTAACAAATACTGTTAAGCTTGACTTCAATTTTTTGAAAATCAATCTGCAACTTTTCGGAAGATCAAATGACCTTCATAAGGTCAAAAAAAGATATTTTTTAATAATTGACCAATTTTTTTCAAAATCATCTGCAAGTTCTCAGAAATTCAAATCTGACTTAAGATTGATCTCATAATATTGTGAGCAACTACAGGGGGGTAACATTTTGTCATTTCTGTTTTGTATGTGTTTGACTTGAAAATGGAGTTTTGACAAAGATTCTCTGTAATTACCATGGGCATCATCTTCTAAATATTTCATCATCTGAACCCAACTAAATAAATATGAAATTTTCAAAAAAAATGTAAATTGATGAATAATCTTTAAAAACACATATTAGACAATATTATAAATACAGATTTCAAGTTTGATATCACTTTCACTGAATGAAAATTAAAAGATTATTTCCCATTGTATTTAGCCTATTGTCAACAAACAGGTACAATGCAATATTTCTCTCCAGCACCTTATCTGCTTTGAATGCAAGTCAACATTTCAGTTTTATTGGGAGAGGGGCATTTAATCATTATGATATTAACTTCTTTTCACCGAAACATATAATAATTTCTGTATCATGTTTCAGGACGTACTGGGCGTGTGTTTCCAGGCAAGTGTATCAGGATGTTCACAAAGGCCTTTTGTGACACTCTCCCATTGTTTGATATGCCACAGATGCAGATTGCCCCGCTTGATAAGCTTGTTCTGGAGATCAAATTCATCGGTATGTTTTGTGAGAAGTGTTGTTAACTGAGATTCAAGACATTTCCACTTGAGAGGAATTCCTTGCTTTCTTGTTACATTATTAATAAATTATGATGCCAAAATTAGATAATTTAGATGAGTATTCAGCTGCATTAAACAGATAATAATAACTTTACCAAAGGAAAAAGATTCAGCTATGCCCTCGTGGTCATCATAGTTTCTACAATAGCTAATATAAATGATTATCTTATCCAGAAGTCAGATTTTGCCAGGAGACTCACTTCTTAACGAACAATATGGCTGGTCTTAGTTTTATCCATTTTTGCCAATAGCTTTACTTGAAACCTAGATCATTTAAATTTAGGGAACAAGATATTGCCAGGAGCTTCGCCTACAGAGATCCTGTTAAAATCTGTTGAACCTCCTCCAGTACACAGCATCAAGAGTGCAGTACAGATGCTACATGATGTAGGAGCACTTGAAGGTAAGACATATGTGAAAAAGTTATGTTCTCTAATTCTGGAATTGAATGGAAAAAGCAAGCATATTTAATACTTACACACTGAAAGTTCTATTGTCATATTTTGACGAACAAAGAATAAAAAAAATCATTAAGTTTACCAGAAACAGTTATAAAGGATTAAGCCTACCAGAAATGATTAAGGTTGAATACAACTTTCTAATTGTTCTGAGATATTTATCATGTATCACAAGAAGGCAGTGAAAGGTCAATTTTAGACTCGGGACATTCTAGATAATCTTTAGCAAGTATAGTAATTAAAGAATTACATGTAATCAGTTAATTAAATCTGTGAATTGCAGTAACTAGTACAGTTACTAAGTCCATTTTATTCAGAATTGCCTTTTTAAACAATCTCATATTTCCTCTATTTGCAGAGAATGACGAGAATTCCCACGTCACCCTTCTGGGCAATGTGTGTATGAGGATTCCTGTAGACATTGTCCTGTGCAGGCTTATCCTATATGGCGTCCTCTTCGGATGCCCCTGTGATACCATAATCATGGCAGCTGCCCTGCAGTGCAAGGATCCGTTCAACATGCCAACAAAAAAGGTGCAAAAAATTGACTCTAAATTTGTAGAATCACTGAATCGTAGCACCCATGCCCGATCTCACTGGGACGATGGTAATTACAGTATACCAATCATGTTTCGCAATCTATATGTGCAATGGTTGAGGTTTGTAAAATACAAAATGGTGTCAGTAGCTGATCTTGCCAGTGAAGCAAGAGGTAGAGTAAGGTGGTCGGTTCTTGATGTGAAAAAGAAATTTTGTCATGAAAATGCTGTCAGTCAATCGAGGTTGAATGTCTTTGAGAATCTGGTCAAAGATCTCACAAAGAATGTTAAGACCATGTTGTCCCCACATTCTGACATGAGGCGAAAGCTCATTCTATTTCAGCAAAGCCAGGCACATGGTAAAAAGTGGAACAAACATGGTAGGATTTTGGAGCCAGAGGATACAGATAAAAGATGGCACCATGTAGATGAAAACCCTTTGACCTTTGACATGCTGTTCTGCGAGGACATCTGTATTTTGAATGCAGCATTAGCGGCTGCTCTTAATCCAGCTTATGTGATGGGGTCTGTCAAGGGATTAAGCAGTAAGGATGAAAAGAAAAGAAAGCACCTTAAGGAAAAGGTCAATAAAAGTGGATGTGACTCCAAAACAACTGTTGTTATGAAAGATGTACCAGATTGGTTCATTGAAAGTCCAAGTGAAGTCATAAAAACAGTTATTTGTGGGATTACACGTGCTACAAATGTAGCTGTTGCAGAAGGCAATTGTATTGTTGTTGAACATGGAAAAAGCATTCCACAAAACAAGGAACCAACCACTTATGTTATACCAAGTAAGAGGACACAACAAAAGAAAAAGGTAATTCAAAATGATATCCCTAGTGAAGCGCACATGCTGTTCAAATTTAGTGAGGATAAGAATACATTTTCTATCCAGATAAGTGAGCATACTAAGAAAAGGTTCAATATACCAGAGGACGTAGTGATCCTGTCTAAACCTGAATCACCATACCAACTGAAGTGGAACCTATTGAGTGCGGGAGGAAAGGGTCTGAGGACCAGAGATTCTGGATTTAAGGCTGTGCCAAGCTGGAAGGATCCGATTGGATTTGCATGTGACACTGAAGAGAAGAACTACCTTGGGGTGGTGTACAATTATGTAGCCTGTGGAAGTAAACGTGCTTGGGTAGATGGTTTATCTGTCTTCCCTAATGACTCCAACAACCTCATAGCGATTGTCTTCATCCTTGCTTTTCAACCTGACTTCCATGGGATGAAGTTCAATATTGATTCCCTTAACAGGAGGATCACCTCTGTGACTACCTTCAGGTATGAATTCAAATTCACTGAAGAGTTTCCTCTGACGATGAAACTGTTATCATTGATTAATGATCTCAGAGCTGAGGTGAATAAGGTGTATAGGGTGGATTGGAGTATCTCTGATGAGATCATACCAGGCAACAAAGCTTGTATTATACTGCACAAACTTCTGAGGGAAGCAAAGAAACCAAGTGCTAGTCAAGCTGCAACTTCTAGTCAACCTAAGGGAGCTGAGTGCAGTCAAGGTAACAACAACACTTTAGATGATGAGGACAGTTCCACAAATGAGGCAAACAATGTCAAAACTAAAAGTGGGAAAAAGAAAAAAGGGACGACCATTGTCATAGATGGCTTCAGAGATAGTTCAGAGAACAATGAACTAGAAATAGATGAAAGCAATGCTATGGATGACTCACAAAATGATAATCCTAGAGGGTTCAATTTCTTGCATCCCTACAGAATGGACTTACTAGATGATGCAACAGTCGAGAGAGAACTGAAGCTTCAGAGTGGCAAAGTCACCAAAGAGAAGTTGGATGCACTTGCTGAGTTAGCAGATGATGATGATGAATCTGATACAAGTACTTCAGATACTGATGCTGATGAACGTGTATTCAGAATGGATGTAGAGGACTTCAAACAACGGGTTGACATGTTTATTCAAAACAATGGCACGGCAGCCATGTCTGTTATACAAAAAGACAAAGGTTTGAGTCATGGGATGCAGCAACTGCAGGTTGAATGGCAGTTCTCATGGAGGGACTACATGAAGTTGTTCCAACATGAATACAACATCACAAAATCTCATGAGGGCATTATGCTTCAAGTAAAGGCCAAACAGAAGCTGATTTCCATTGAGGATGAGATGCAGCTAATGATTCAGCATATCCTCGTGAACAAGGGAACAAACAGCTTCCTGGAGGTGATTCTGAAGGAAGAAAGGATGGCAGTCTTAGTAGAAACTGCAGAAATTCTGAATGGAGATAAAATTGACTGGTCAGTTTTCTTGACTTGTTATGAAGATGATCTCGACTGTGAACTTGAGGAAGGTCATCCAGAGTTGAGTGTTTTGCATCCCCCTTTGAGTGTTGATGCTGAATGTCAGAACTTACCTTGGCAATTTAACTTTGCTGTTATTGAGCTGAGAAAGGATATCTGCACATCAATACAGAAAGCTACAAAGGTGAAAGTTGATGAAATCATGGAAAATTCTCAACTAAATAATATTCTGACTGAGATTGAAATAACCATGGAACAATTCATTGAAGAAAACCAACACATATGGACTGTGGAGAAAAGTTTTAACCTTGAAGATTGGATTCTTACCCTTGGGCCTGATCCAGATAGAGTTTTAGTAGGCACCACAAATGATGCAAACATAAACGATGATGTCATAGTTGAGAGATATTATGATGAAACTGAACCCCCTGATGAAAATCTCATTAAAGCCTGTATTAAGTGCCTCAAGTCGAATAAAGAAGAATACATGAGTTTCGGTGACATCTTCAAGGATATGCGGGGTAACACTTTGGCCGATATTGACAAAACAAGTGCAAAAAAATTACTTAGAGAAGTACTTGATAAACATCCTGAGATATTCTGCCCTGTTAAACTCTTCAAAAGTCTAAAGATAGGAGATTTGTATGGGCTTGTTCATAAATTCAGGAATGGATCTGAACTTGATGATGAAGATGTCAATCAATGCAGACAGATGCCTGAAGAAGTACTTAAGATTGAAATGGAAATGTGTGAAAAGATCCGTTTGTTGGCAGTAGCACTAAAAGATGACTACATGCTTCTTTCAGGTCTGAGCCCAAAGGAAAAAGTTGATGCTACAAAAAATTTGAAAAAGCTTGTCAAGAAACGTCTACAGTATAGCAGTGTTGCAACTGACTTTACTTGGAATAACTTCCTCATTAGGAACTCTGAAGCCCTATCAGTATGTAAAACTCTGAATGGCAAGATGTTTATTAAATGCCACACGGGCAAGTGTGAGACACCAAAGATAGATGCAGAAGTAGAGCAGCGTATTGTTGATGCCTGTGAGGCATTTCTGAGATCATCTGACAAAGACTTTAAAACAATAAATGAGTTCGACAGTGAGGCTGGAGTAATATATGCAATGCAGGATTTCAACCTCAGTGGTCAGACTTCCAAACAAGTGTTGGAAGCTGTGTTGAAAAGGCATCCTGATATATTCAGCCCTATTTACATACCTGGTGTATCTAGTTCAGAAAAAGTGTATGGTTTGAAATCAATATTTGACAAATCAATCAAGACACCTCTAAGTGAACCAACAACTGAAACATCAGATGTAAACCTTTACAGACTGATAGAAATGGATATTTGTATAGAAATACAAAAGCTGAGTAAAGGAAATTATTTACTCCTCACTGAACCATTTGAAATCATAGGCAGAGAAAAACTAACAAAACTAGTGGAGGAGAGAATGTCCGTTTGTGATGAGTTTGGGTTCACCTGGCACAGCTTTTTCAGTAGACACAGAGATGCTTTTTGCCAAGTTGCTACACAGAGATATGCCTATGTCAAGAGTGTTGAGAAAGCAGAGAAATCACCAATGTGCAACTGCCTTGTAGAATCAACAAGGTACATTGTTTGTGACAATGATGAAACTGACCAAGCCATGGATCAACGTTTCAATTCAACCTTTCACAAGTCTCAGGATCCAGGTCAACCTGTGAAACCTTCTTCTTGTGTGGATATGAAATCTGATGATGAAGAAGTTATCAAAGTTGAACATGATGAGGTTGAGGAAAGCACTCAGTCTGATGGATCGCAGGATACAAAAGCACATAAGAGGAGGAGGCAAAGGGGAGGCCAAAAAAAGAAAAACAATCAAAATGTTTCATCACATGAAGATTTGAGTTTGGTTATAGCTGAAGGCTCTGGCAGTCAAGAGCCTAATGTTGGAAACACATTTAGTCAGGAGTCAAAGACCAAATTAGCAGAAGCTATTAGTGAAGATGTCAAACCTCAAATTGATATGATAAATGAGTCATCAAGTCAATTGGATCAGTCTGAAGAATTTTTGCAAATTGAACAGAAAATGTGTGACTGTATTTGTAAAATCTTGGAGAGCTGTCCAGAACAAAGAATGCCTTTGGGATCTGTTTTCAAGTCTCAAGATATCCAGTCATTGAAATTGAGGTTTGCAACAGTGAAGAAGTTAAAACCAAAGAGTTTCATCCAGAAATTTCCTTCGTTGTTTGAAATTATCCAAATTGACAGTGATACAACAATTGTTCTGAAATCCGAACATAAAATAGAATTTAATAGAAAGGGAAATAATAGTGAACATAGTTTAGAGGATAGTCCTGATGCAATACCAATAGAAACTACCGATGTTGTTAAAGCAAACACTACAATTGATGTCAAAGGAGAAACTGATGAATCTGAAGGATTTTCTGATCAAGCCCAGGATTTAACAAGAAGTGCAAAAAGGCGGATGAAGCAAAGAGAGAGAAGGAATAACCTTAAAGGTGTATCACATGAAGATTTGAGTTTGGCAGAACAGAAAATAGTAACCAAAGACAAAGAACATGGCAGTGACCAATGTGTAGAAGATCCACTTAGCTTATCACCGATAAAGGCCAAGAGTATCTCAAATCTTACCACAGAGAAAGAAACATCTAAACACAAAATGCAAAATGATGAAAACAAGGCCTTACAAATAGAGCAACAATTGTGTAACTTAATACACGGTGCCTTAAAGCAGTGTCCAAACAATAGAATGGCACTGACACATATATTTGATGATCCATCGATAAACGAGTTGAAGAAAAGAAGACAGGAATATCCAGAACCATTCAAAGCAAAATCTTTCATCCAAAAATATTCTAGTATGTTTGTTTTGAAAACGGTTGGCTTGACCGATTGTGTAGGTTTACGGAGTGAAACCAGTGCTGATACAACTGTGAAAGTGTCTCTTAAAGAGCAACAAAACAAACTGGATATAAAACTACGGGGGAAATACAAAGAAAATTCTAAACCAGAAGTTGAAACTATACACCCAGATAAAGAGACCAAAGTAGAATCAAAGCATACTGGTGATATTGTGAAAGCTAAAAGTCGAGCAGATGAGAACAACATGGTATCGAAAGCTCTTCAACTTGAACAACAAATGTGCAATGACATTATTGGTGCACTAAAGCTAGCACCAGAACAAGAATTGATGATGACAACAGTATTCCAGATCCCAGGTATAGATTTACTCAAAAAGAAAAGGAAATCATGTCCAGAACCCTTCAAGCCAAAATCTTTCATTGAAAGTTATCCAAATGTGTTTATGTTGACCTCAGACGAGTATGGTCATGATTATATCTCACTTATTTCCGAGACAAGTGATATAATTCCAACAACAAAAACACATATAAAGCCAGTGGGGAAAAGTCTTAAATCAGGGTCTGTAGTTCCTGAAGGTAAATCAAAAGCAGTTCAGATAGAGAAACAAATGTGTGATGAGATATGTAAAGCATTGCAAGAAACTAGCAACCATAGCATGCGAATGTCCCAGTTGTTTACCATTGAATCTATTGCAGTTTTAAAGAAAAAAAGAGTTACATGTGAGGAAGCATTCCAGCCAAAGCTGTTTCTTGAGCAATATCCAAATTTATTTGAGATAAAGTCTCTGAAATCTGGTTGTGGATGGGAGTTTGTTTACCTGAAATCTAATGTTTATCACCAAGACTCAAAGGCCTCATCTAAACTTGAGAAGCATACAAAAAGCCTCAAAGTTAGAGAGACAAGCACTCTTGTATCAAATGATTCCCGAAACGTTCCCCAAGCTTCAATAAAACTTGAGAAACAACTGTGTACACAAATCACCAAAGCTATAGAATCAAGTCCATTTGGATACATTACAATGTCAAAACTTTGCCAGGTATCTACAGTTGCTCCAGTTATAAAAGAAAGGAAGAAGTACAGTTTACCTGAGCCATTCAAATTGAGGACATTTTTAAACAAACATTCTAAACTTTTTAGGATGGTCCCATCACAATGTAAAGATGAAGATTGTGTGACACTTGTGTACCCTGATTTGCAACAACCAAAAGCAAAGGATAAAACATCATTGAAAGAAAATAAACAAAGTGTTGAACATGGTCAGAAAGTTGTCAAGACAGTAGAAAAGGCTCAACCTTCAGTGAAAAGTACTTCAGTGAAAAGTACTAAATCTTCAGACAAAATACACCACAATTCATATGCAGCTGCAGCTGCAATAGAAAAAGCTGGACCAAATATTGAGGATTTTGGTGAGCAAGACAAACTGATCATAACTAAGAAATGTGAAACAATGATTCAGGAGCCACAAAAGAAATACAGCGGAATGAGGGAAAAAGCACAGCAAACAATTGAACAACATGAAAGGGAACTTCTTGCTGTGATATTCCAGTTCCTTCTTGAAGCTGTTGATCAGAAAACACTTTTTGAAAATATACCATGTATACCTGATGTGTATAATTCTATCCCAAAGATGAACGAAATTGGTGAGACCTGTGACTATGTATTTAGTTGGAGTGATTTTCTGGTGAGACACTTGCACATATTTAGTTTGAAAAATAATTATGGTGCTGCATACATTTACCTGAATGAAACTGCAACTTCTCAGATGACTCTTTCGGCTACGATTGAAGGTGTTAATAGAGGTGTTGTTGAGAAAATTGTAAGGAAGGTCATGACTGATATGATAACAAAACCAGATCAAAATGAAATCAGTCTCATGAATGTCATTAGAGATGTAAGAGTAAAAGCGATTTTTCCTGGTAAAGATCCAGAGCAGCTGCATTGGTCTTTATGGAATACATTTGAAAAGATTCGATCTGAATTGGGTTTACTGTCAGATATAAGAAAAGATGAGAGACGTAGGGCTCAACTACAAAAATACAAAGATATAACAGACTCTGTCATCAAAATCCAACAAGAACGTGGAATTGATATTGTTGACAAGACACCAAGCGCTTCTGGACATGTTACTATGGAACCATCTGTGTTAGATCAGTCTCTTGTTTTGATTCAAGGAGTTGATGAAAGTGAAATCAGGGAGACTATTAGAGATGTCATAACTGATATGAGTAGAGAAAAACCAGATTCTGTTGTTCATCTTTCAAAAGCCATTCGTGATAGGCGAATAACAAACCTTTTTGAAAATCCAAATGTCAAAGCAATCCGCGACTCCTTGAAGCCAGTATTTTTGTCAGTCCGAGATGAAATAGCTTCTGTATCTGATAACTGTGAAACAACATCAAGCAAGTCACCTACAACTCCAAATGATACCAATGATTCAGTTGCAGAACCCTCAAAACCAAACACACTTAAACAAACCTCAATGATCGAAGGAATTGATGCATGTTTCATTAAGAAGACCATGGGAGATGTAATGACTGATATGAGAAAACAAAAGAAAGGTTTCATTAACATTGAAAAAGTTCTTAAAGACAAAAGGATGGAAGCACTTTTTCCTGGAAAACCTATAAAAGTATTGAGAGATCTATTATGGAGCATATTCAGAGACCTTCTGACTGAACTGGGCCTAATGGATACTGAACCCATACCTAAATGTCCTAAGCCTATAACACATGAATTATCAGATGATATAAAGGCAAACCCTGTAAAGAAAACATCAAGTTCCAAAGAAATTAGTCCAAGTGAGGATGTAACAGAAGCTGCACAAGCAGAGGTTCAACAATTAGAAAAGGACTTGCTTCTTTTCATATATACAAAACTGTCAGAGTGTGCAGATCAAAAAGCAGGAGTTGGCTCAATATCAATAATTCCAGGTGTGCTAGATTTATTGCACAAATTGAGCAATGTTGGTAAGAGCTGTGGCTATAGTTTTAGCTGGAAAGATTTTCTGGAGAGGCATTCACACATTTTCAACCTTGGGATTGATTATGATGGAATAATGCACATTCAACTGATATCACAAAAGGATAACCAAAGTGGAGCCAGATGTTCAGTTGAAGGAATGACAGGCAAAGAAGAAACCATGACACCGGCAAATACAACCGGTATGATTGAAAGTGTAGAGTCTAGTCAAGTGCAGAAATGTTCACTTGGAACAACTGCAACTCCAAATGAAATAATGACCAATGATGCACAAAAGCTACAGAGAAACTCAAATGATTCAGTTGCAGAACTCCCAAAGGCAAGTAACACAAAGGAGTCTTCTGCAACAATTTTGGGAATTGATGTAAGCGTCATCAAGAAGGCTTTAAGAGATGCTATAGCTGATTTAAGAAAAGAAACACAAGGTCGAATATATATTCAGAAGGTTTTTAAAGATCAAAGAATACAGGAACTTTTCCCTGGGAAAGGCAAAAAGGTATTAAAAGATGCCCTTTTTGACACATTTAAGAAACTTCTGAATGAAATGGGTCTTATGGATATTGAAACAAAACCAAAAGTTCCAGAACCAAAAGTTCCAAAGGGACAAATCAGGGACCAACATGTTACAAAAAGCAATGACAATCTTCCTACCTCAGATAACATAGAGGAACTTCAGAACACATTGTTAAAATACATTGTAGAATGTCCTCCTGATGAAATGCTTGTCCTAAACACAGTTGCTGAATTCCCATCAGTAAAAAGAATTCTTCAAACTCTACCTGGCCATAGCCTGAAAAATCTAGTTCTGAAGATGCCCATGTTTCTAACCAGGCAGCATCAAGATTTGATCCTGTATGGACTTGTAGAAGGCTTTTCTACTGAACACCAGCAAGCTACGTTCCAGCCCCCATTGAGCTATCTATATGAAGCTGTTCACTCCATGATACAGAGCACCAATGGTGGATGTGTCACACTTCAGGAGTTATACTCCAACCCTGTCATAAAAGGCCTGAAGAGAGTTATTGAAGCTGACTCAGTTGAGTTTACTCTGGAGAACTTCATTCTGGAATGCTCATATCTTAAGCTGATACACTACTCTTCAGATAATTCTATGGACATGGGTGATGGGATGGTAATAAGTTTGCCAACTTCTTAATTAAAACCTTTAGAGGTCTGAACATAGAATGAACTCAAGACGAAAATTAGTGAGAGAGCTTATGTGAAGATTTTGCCAAAAGGACCAGTATATATCATAGGGGCCATACAAATTGTCTGTGATATGAACTAACATGTAGGCTATTATATGCAGAATATATATGTTTTCAATACTAGTGTAAAAATCATATAAGGAGATCATTCTTAGAACATTCAGGAATGTGGTTATCATAAGCATTTCAAAGTTTATAAAAACTAAAAAGTGTAGTGTATGGACTTAAATGAACTTGTGTGTTTTCTCACAGTTCTGAAGGTTAAATGATCATTCTTCTCACAAAATGTTTCTAGAGGTACAACAGGCAGTTTCTGTGCACAGGTTGTATAACATCTCATGGATATTGCCTTTACTTTTGAATATGCTTTGATCTTATTGGGGTTGATGTTGATAGCTTGTTGTGGTTTATCAACTTTAAACAGCATGGATGATTCGCAGCATTGAGTATTCCCAACATATCGCTTAAGCATCAGTTCCATTTGCTCTATGGTTGGTGTATATGGCTGTGGCTTCACAAAAGCAATATAGAAAATCTACATTTTACTGCTTATCCCTCTATTTTATGCTGCATGGTTCCCTCAATTTTGAGAAGCTATAGCCGCCAAGCTTGCTGTAGATCAAATGTGGCTGGCATGAGTCTAGTATAACACATATGTTGTAATTGCTTAGAGGATTAAATGTGACAAACATATGCTCAGTAAAGATTAATGTTTATCTAATTGAAACTTCACACCCAGTGATCGTGAAAATGGAACGGAGGGGGGAGCAAGCAATTTCTGGTAGAAAAATGAACAAATCTGCAAAAATTATTTTTTTAAGAAAAGGTTTATGATTTAATTGCTGAACGAATAGGTGCATGGTATGGTAAAATATGTCGCATATTCTACAAATTTTTTTTAGGCCGATTCTCTTCTTAGGTATAAGATCTATTAAAAAAGGCGCAACGCCGCCAACGTGCAAAAGTCAATGTTTTTGCTTTAAATCAAGCATCAACGGTCTACACAACATGCAATAAATATTTGTAAGTGACATTATCATCATAAAATTAATGACCTTAATGACTTTACAAAATACGTTTCCATACGTTGTATAAAAAATAATCAAAAATAATTAAACTGGGACGGAGGGGGGAGCAAAATGTCTATACGACATGATGAGAGATGTTACTTCACTTCATATCCAAATTTTCCCATTTTCTCCTCAATTACAATGGGTTAGGAATTGATAACAAGTTGTATTCGTAGTTAGATTTATTTAGGATTATCAAAATCTTGGAGGAGAGCGTTTATCTTTTTATGTGTATAATAGTTTTTATTTTTTGAAGACTTATCATAAAAATGTAGACATCGCATCATATTTCTATTTGGACATGCAAGTTTTCGAGTAAGCAGTTACTAAAGTTGTTTCATTATTAACCTCGCTACCAGATATCTAGTATATGTTAATATTTTTGATTATGTTGGTCTTCAGCAGATGTAGAATTTAGACTAAATAATCTGCCAGGAAGTTTCCCAATTAGTGTACCCAATCATACCATGGGCACATCGCCTATTACGCCAAATACTGTACTGTACTGTACTTTGCATATATTTTCTCCTTATGTATTTATTATGCAATATGCATCTCACATTTAGTGCAATATAGGTCGTGAGTTGGAGACGCGTGAGCTTCTTGTATTTATTCAATTCTGCATAATTAAAATATATCGCATAATTAATAACAAGTAGATTGTTACTTCGCTGTGAATAACTTACATTTTCACTGAAACTTACATGTCCAAAGTGTGATGTGCTGTGTATGATATGCCTACAAATCAGCAAGTAAAAACGTTAAGACAGGTAAACATTTATAGATAAACAGTCTCCTGGAATATTTTGCCAACCTTAATTTGACCCCTCTAACTAAACCTAACAAGTACAACATGTTATCAATTCCTGACCCTTTGTAATTGAGGAGATAATGGGAAAATCTGGATATAAAGTATCAAGTAACATCTCATATCATATCTTATAGACATATTGCTCCCCCCCCCCCCCTCCGTCCCCTCCCCCCTCCATCCCATTTTAATTATTTTCGATTATTTTTTATACAACATATGGAAACATATTTTGTAAAGTCATTAAGGTCATTAATTTTATGATGAGAATGTCACTTACAAATATTTATTGCATGTTGTGTAGACAGTTGATGCTTGATTTAAAGCAAAAACATTGACTTTTGCACGTTGGTGGCGTTGCGCCTTTTTTAATAGATCTTATACCTAAGAAGAGAATCGGCTAAAAAAAATTTGTAGAATACACGACATATTTTACCATACCGTGCGCCTATTCGTTTAGCAATTAAATCATAAACCTTTTCTTGAAAAAATAATTTTTGCAGATTTGTTCATTTTTCTACCAGAAATTGCTTGCTCCCCCCCCTCCGTCCCATTTTCACGATCACCGGGTGATGTATACATAATTGATTTTATAATCTAAATGCAGTGTGTAATCTTTGAGTTATAAAACAAAAAGAATTGTAAATACAAAAGTTGTAATTGTGAGAATTTTCTATATATTTTTGAAGAATTGTTGGACTAGGAAAAACTTAATTTTTGAGACAATTTATGATTTACAGGTGTAAACTTCTTTATGTTGAACATGTTGAATGTGTACAGATGTAAACTTATGATTCTCAAAGAAATATGTCTCCATGTATTGAAATACATGTATGTAGTTTGTATTTTATTTTGTACTATAGTATCATAAGTGAAACTTCTATTAAAATACAAATATGTACAGTAGTTTGTATTTTATTTGTACTAAAGTGTCATAAGTTAAACTACAGGTTGTTCTTGAGAGTTATAGTGTCAGTCTATGCTACTCTTGCCATTCAAAAATGCCAATTCAGAAATATATCTATAAAATCCTAAATTATAATTGGCAATCAATTTCAAAAGTTGTAGGACATACAGGTTAGTAGAGTATACCATTGATGATATGTATAAATCCATAAATTCCTCAAAAATGGCGAAAGTAGAATTAACCAAACTTTCTGATCTTGCAATTTCAAACAATTTTGTGCTGGAGCAAACCCATGTACAAAAAGAATGTGATCTTGAAATTGACTTAATTGTCATTGTGGCTTACATCAACAATATTGAAGTCTGAATCTGATTATTTTATGCATTTTTGTGTAGAAATGAGTATTTAGAAAATGCAGTTATCTTGCTTGATCTTCACCTGTGCATTTTTGTTCAGTATGGCTTAAAATTAATACATTTCATTTACTACGAGTGTTGTCCCAGAAGTAATGCACTATATGCTAATGTGCTAAGTGAATGTTCCTTAGAGGCATTTTGTATACCTAGTTTTTAGCCAATTTTTATGTTATTCAACCATACTTGGCCCAATAAGGATAAAAGTGTTTATTTTTAATGTACATAAGGCTAGTATGATTTTACTTAGGAATATTATATTTAAATAATTTATTGTACATTTGAACATTTACATTTTTTATTTTAAATGCTTATGAAATGTTTTCAATGAGGGAACCAAGACTTTCTAGCAGGGTATTTCAATTTTCCATTTTCAAACACATCACTGTTCTTCCAAGATTTCTCAAATAGGTGCAATATTTTGTTTCATTGTGTGCAAAATTTTCATTTTTTCTTATGAGAAATAAGTGTTTTAAAGTCAATATTTTTATGAATTTGCTGAATCTATGTCTTGTTGAATACATTTAATTCAAGTAATTATCGAATCCTTAAATGGATTTATCTCATTATTGATGATGACTGATTTCGTAGTATATTGGCAATAGTATAGTATATTAGTAGTATACTATATATAGTATATTAAGCTTAACATAAATGTTGGGTCCAGCAAAATATGTTGATCCACGTTACTTCGAGAACTCTGGAAGTGATTATAAGGCCAAATGAGGGAATGAATATGATATGCATATTATTACATTGTACTTTTTTGAAGTATAACATTTAATTATATAACACTCATTATATGGCATGTTTAGTTCAGTCAGTAAATATTCAAATATTAAAACTTGAAACATTTCTGTGAACTTAAGTGTTAGTATTAAGTTCAATGTCCATACTTCAAAATAATCGAAATGTTTATATGAACATAGTGTTAATCATTAGCCTAAATATTCGTATTTAAAACTAATGAAATGTTTATACGAACTTGGTGTTAAGTATTAGCTTAAATATTTCTAACTCATATTGCATAATTGTTGATAGGTTAATATGAACATTGTCATAAGTATTAGCTTAATGTACAAACTATTAAAATGTTTATATGAGCAAGGTGTTAAATTAGCCAAAATGTTCATATTTCAAAACTATAAAAAGGTTCATATGAACATGGTGTCTTAAGGATTAGCTTAGATGTTCATATTTCAGAACTACTGAAATATTTATATGAACATGGTGCCAAGTGACAAATGAATAATCACATGTTACTGTACTTCTACTTAATTTAGCGCTACTTACTTTGGCCAATTTGCTGTTATGAACATTTGGCAGCTACTAATTTAGGTAGACTTGCAATATTACAATGCCTAGTTACAATATTTACATAGTACTCCGCCAATTAAAACCACTGCCAAATTGAATAGAAGTACAGTATAATATATTTGTATTAGTCAAAAGCTTCTCAAAAATTAAATTGAGCTAATCATCATCTTCATTATGAAGCAACTTGAACATGGGGTAAAGCTCAGAAATAATCACATAATGTTTGCCAAAGTTATTCCTCATGAATATACAGTAAATGATGTGTAAGTGGAACACCTTTGGTACCTCAAACTAATGTTCAACTTTGAGTTAAAAGTACTAGTAGGACTTTTGAATGTGCTGTACTTATTTAGTTGTTCCACTTTATAGGTTTTACTGTACTGCTAGATCAAGTCTAGTCAATACTGCAATATGCAGTTGTCAGGTTATTGCAAAAAAATGCATTTGAGTTTACAAAAAATTATTGAATATATTATATATTTATTTTTGAAATGATTGGTTCAATAAATAATGATTTACTAATTGAATATATGATTATATCTGTTGGGTTAATTTCATGACTTTCAATGATACAGAAACAAAGTGTGAAAAAAAGATTTTTACAAAATGGTTCTTGGAATATGGTGAAAACGTCTTAACCTTTGGGAGTCCAATTATTAGTATCTCTAAACTTATACACATGAAACTTTTAATTTAGAATTAAGAGTATAAAGAAAATCCAGAGTGCTCAGACTCATCATTTCTAACCTTTCATATAAAAAAACATCCCTGAAAATTGAGACTGATCTATAAAAAGTTTTGGCTGGGATTTCAGACAGAATATCCCAAATGACCACCTTAACATTTATGCCAAGGTCACATGTGCTCCGATTCAATTGCAGTATTTTGTTCAAGACTGATTTTAACTTGCTTCAAATTGACCAAACTTTTTCTTTAAATCATGTACAAGTTCTCAGGAGTTCACATCTGACCTCAAAAGACCACGTGCAGTATGGCAAGTGATTTTAGACAGTCATATCTTTCACCATGAGTACTTTCTGGCCATAAATACAGTGGCTTTTATTAAAACAATGTTTTCTTTCGAGTGAAGTCCCCATGATAGAAAAAAAATCAATCCAACTCTGAAAAATTATGGATTAGGGCCCCACCTTGGCACTTTTTGAAAATGTCAGGCTTATTTTCTAGAAAGAGGATCTTGTTTTCCTCAATCTAAACATATCGAAAGTCTCCTCTACACTATATTAACAATTTATGAAAAGGGGATGGGTATTGAAATGAGTTAAAGTTAAAAACAACATATCCCATGTTATTTTCCCATAGGGAAACTCGTGCTATCCATTAATTTCAGCATAATTTTGGTCATGGAAAATTGATATCTTTAAAACTAGACTTTCAATACCATTCTATTTTTGAACATGACTTAATAGACCCCTTGTTGAATAATGTTTTCATGCAATAAAAATCAGAAAAAGAAGATCCTCTTTTGAGTAAATAGGTTCAATATTGTGAAAAAATGTTGACATGGGGTCCCTATTCATAATTTTTCGAATTGTTTGATTTATATTTTTATCATAATGGGTACTTAACTTGAAAGAAAACATAATATTTTAATAAAAACCACTATATTTATGCCCAGAAAGTACTCATGGTGAAAGATATGACCTTCTTAAATCACTTGCCATACTGCACGTGGTCTTTTGAGATTTGACCTTCAATTTTGAACAAAATACTCAATCGAAACAGTTTGGCTGAAAACACATAAAAGATAAGACATTAGTTTTCAGGACTGTGGCCAGAAAGTACTCATGGTGAAAGATATGACCATCTAAAATCACTTGCAATACTGCACATAAACCTTTCAGAACAATCAAAGTAGCAATGAGGTTATCGAAACGTTTGGCTGGAATCACTTAGATTTGCCAAAATTCTATCAGTTTTGAAAAATCCTGTTAATCTCACATCAATCAATCTCTCAAATCTCAAAATCTTGTAGATACTAGAGAGGTTTCGCACGTTTTTAGCTCAACGTATCTGACATCCCTAACGTAGTCACCAGATTTATGCGTAGCAGTTCAATTAAAACAAGATGCATTTGTGGATATGTTTTAGTAATGAACCATTGTAATTACATGATTCTGGACACCTACCTAGCGCAAACTGACAATGTAGAACCCAAGGATACAATAAAAATGGAAGGATTATCCTACATGTCCTAAAAGCTCAATTAAGACAACCTAAGTAAAAACAGAGAGGTAAGATTAAATAAACATTTTATTTCAAACAAATCAAATCCTCTTCACACATGTCACAAAGATAAATGTTACCAAACACTACTGCTACTTAATACAGAATGTCCAATGCTATAGAATCATATTAGGTTTTAATTAAAAATGTCATCCAATTATATTGTCCATGCTACAGAATACATTGATTATACAATTGTGATTATAAATGTTCCATATATTTTACCCATTATTATCTATAATGGGTTTAGGTTGCACTTTGTGTACAACTGAGGTTCCAGTTATTCGATGTCACCTTTTTTCTTATTTGTTCCAAGTCAAAGTAAAGGAATAGGTTAAATAAACATGGATTTGAGATGGTCTACACATAATTGTCTAAATCACTAGCAGGGTGGTGCCAGGTAGACATGCACTTCCCAATCATAAAATACATCAGATTAAAAGTTCATTGTTGGCCAATGACCACATGAATCCCAGTCAGGTTTATAATTAACTGCTTTCCATGCAGATTCCAGATTTTTCCGAAATTAGTTCCATAATATATGTAGTGAAGTGGGTTTGATTTATTCCTCCGATTTCCTAGTTCTGCTTCTAATGTACATTGGCTATTTCACACTTGTGTTGCTGCATTAAATAAGATCACTCCATGGCTATTCGTCTTTTTCAGCTTTAATCTTTGCATGCACATGTGACCACAGTTTCTGAAAACAAATATGACAGTTTTGAGTGAAAATACAATAAATATGACAGTTCTGAGTGAAAATACAATAAATATGACAGTTCTGAGTGAAAATGCAATAAATATGACAACTCTGAGTGAAATACAATAAATATGTCAGTTCTGAGTGAAAATACAATAAATATACAGCTCTGAGTGAAAATACAATTAATATGACAGCTCTGAGTGAAAATACAATAAATATAACAGCTCTGAGTGAAAATACAAATCAGGTTGCCAAAAGCTTTCACGGTTTTATCAATGTATAAATTCATTGTAAAGGTTTTTGGGTGAGATATGTTTTTGAAAAGAATACTTGAAACAGTTTGCTTGGAAGCTAGAGCTAGCAAAATGATCACAATTTAGGCACAAGAGGCTGAGATAATAAGTGACAGTTGCATTCATTATTACTGACTCTTATTTATTACATTTAACTTATAGGGCTATATATTACAAGAAATAACATCATTGAATAGGCATTATAGGAGGTTGAAACACCATCCAAGATTGAGATCTCCCATCAAGTAGTTTGTTATCACAACAACCTGATAGTGTTGCGATGTGTCATAAAATCATTGATGCATCGGCAATTTTCAGAAATTAACATTCATTGAAACACATCATCGGGAAAAAGTCTGGGAATAAGTTCACAAAAGAACAAACACAACAATTAACACTCTACTATACCTTGCATTTGGTGTTCATGAGCAACCTATTTGGCTTATTAGTAATGATTATGTAATTGTTTTTATTTGTCTGTTCCTTTATTAATGGTTTATCGGTTGAATGTTACATGTGACAAATGCACTTTCAAAAATATACTTAACAATACAATTAGACAAACAAAGTATCTTATGCCTTTCTAGGTGTTAGGTATAGTAGAGTGAATTAAGTAATATTTCCAGTAACGGTCTACGAAAACAAAATGGAGGTCATTGGGTCATTGATTCATTTTGAGAAGCCAAGATATTTTTAAAGTGGAAGTATATCAGAGAACATGGGTAAACGAACTAAGGAATGAGGAAACGAGATAGAAAAAGGTGATTTCAGAGCTCCCATCATTCAAAGCAAAATGTTGGGCACATTTTCTGAAAAAATTATAGATAATATATGGCAATAGACAATAGTTCATTTCATGTTTGGTGTAAATTTCTGATAACTAAAGTGAAGGGGTGTAACATCGACACCATTTTAGGGTAGCTTCGACATATTGGGTAACTTTGACACCTTGTTGTTTTTTTGCTCTAATTTCTGATCTAGCGGGAAGCCATGTTTTTTCAGCGCATGGATCGAGATATTTATTTTTCCAGCAATCAAACATGGCGGAAAACAGAAGTTCTACTTCTAATAAGTAAGTGTCAAAGTTATCACATCTCTCATGTCAACATTACCCCACACATCGACATTAAACCCCTTTGCCAAACACCTCAACAGTGGAAATCCTTGATTCACCAACCAAATCCAGGTGTCATATATTTATGGTGAGTACTGCATCTGACTGCTGCCTCTTGACTTGAAATACAGAGATACTGTACTTTGAAATTTAAATTACAACTCCTAAATTAGGCCTAGTTTACTCACTTCGAGAGCCATGTTAGATTTTGAAACTTATGGCTCTCAAACGGGGAAATGGACAGCTGATTAATAGTGAGCTTTGAAATCGAATTAAGTCGATCAGCGGCCTACTTTTATTCTCTAACTATGTTATACATCATCATCATCCTTCCGTGCAAGTATTGGAGCGCTGAATTACTTCCTTTTCGATCAAGACTTGTAATTGTTAGTCGAGTGGATGTTTTTACTGCCGAATTCCAATATGGCGTTTTCTACTCTGACATTTCCGTGAATCTCCAGAGTTTGTCCAAACCTAAATCATTCTCAAAATTCATTTCGTTCGTTGCGTAGCTCGCTCCTAGCAAACTGCCATATTGGAAATGGGTCGAAAAAACATTCACTCGATGAACAATTTACAACAGTGTACAAGTCTTGATTGAAAAAGAAGTATTTCAGCGCTCCAATACTTGCACGGATTAATGATACTGATGTAAGACACAGTTAGAGACCAAAAGTAAGCCGCTGAAATCTTTATTCATATTTAAGGTCACTATTACTGAGCTGCCCAAGTGCGCCGTGGGAAAGCTATAGTATCAAAATCCACATAGCTTTCGCAGGAAGTAAGGCCTAGTGACCGAGCTAGAAATTAAATGATACAAAATTGAAATTCAAAATAAATTAGGTCTAGATCTACTATCTAGGCTAAATCAACTGAACTTTTCAGAAAATCCCTCTATCTTACCCCTTGATTCTGCCTTTCCCATATAAAGTCGGCTGTTTGATCAAACGCTCTTTCGAAGAAGAATGCCCCAACCATGATAGTGAGGAAGAAAGTAGATGATCGCCTGAAGACGGCCTGATAAGCACGATTTAAGAGAGTCATTTTGGTATTTCGAAATTTTTGAGGCAATATGGCCGACGCACTATTTGATGACCTTGAGATCAATCCGCGTTACTGAGAGTGACATTAGTTGATAACAGAAGCATTTTCCTCGGCTAACCTTAGTATAATCCTATCTCTCATTTCAACTTGCTCCATCAAAAAACATAATACCATCAAATAATTCAGAAACATTCTATTTGTGTATATGTTTTTTCAGCAGCGGATGGTGTGTAAAAGAATGCTCTTCGGTCGACGAAATCTACAAAAAATCTGATTTCTAATTTTAAGTAAGAATTTCCCTCATTTTTCATTGTATTTGAGGTAAGAGTGTACCCTTTTCTTATAGATTAACTTATTATCTAAGATTTGGTCTAATTTCCGGTCAGGAAACTTGATATATATTTGAAGAATAGATACATACACATTTTTGATATATTTACTGGGTGATAATTGACATTCCTGAGTAATTTTTTCAATTTCACTCACTTGAGCTTTTATAGCACAACCAGACATTCAAATTCGTCTTAAATGATTTATTGTGATGGATAGTTGGAAGTAACAGCAGTAGATGTTAATTCTTTCTGCATTGTCAAATTGGTAGCATTTTTCGTTATGCATGTATGTTAGGAGGGTGAAATTACAAGTGTATTTTCTACTACATGTACTATTACAGTATTAAAAAATATAAATTATGAGAGAAAATTATGTGTGAACCTTGATGAAATATAATTATTTCAGAGTAAGAAATGATAAGGTGGACTCGAGCAGAATGAATCGCTCAAACTTTTTATCGCACCCTAAGGTGCTATATTGTAATTAGTTGGGCGGGCAGGCGGGAGTCCCGAATAATCTTGTCTGCAGGTTTCCAGCCAAACTGTTTCAGGGATTCATTTGAAATTCTCAGGAATGTTTCTGCCTATGAAAGTTTAGAACTGATTAGTTTTTCGGCATTCTGGGTAAATGTTAAGGCGGCCATTTTGGATTTTCCGTCCTAAAATCTTGTCTGTCAAGGCTTGTCTACAGGTTTCCAGCCAAACCATTTGAGGGATTCATTTGAAATTCTCAGGGATGTTTCTATCTATGAAAGTACTGATTAGTTTTTCGACATTCTGGATAAATGTTAAGACGGCCATTTTGGATTTTCCATCCTAAAATCTTGTCTGTCAAGGCTTGTCTACAGGTTTCCAGCCAAACCGTTTGAGGGATTCATTTGAAATTCCCAGGGATGTTTCTACCTATAAAAGTTTAGAACTGATTAGTTTTTCGGCATTCTTGGTAAATGTTAAGGCGGCCATTTGGGATTTTTCGTCCTAAAATCGTGTCTGTGAAGGCTTGTTTTAAAAAATAAAAAAGAATTTCCCATTGAGAGCAATGTTAAATTAAAACATTTTTTTAGAAATAACTAAACGGTCAATCTTTCCAATTTTCACATATTTTGTAATACATCAGTATATCTTTTACCAGGATTTTTTTCAGGAAAATCTGAGTTGTAGAAAAAAGCTGATACACTGTGAAGTAATACCTTAAAGCTTGTCTCTTGAGGGTTGTTTACAGGTTTCATGGATTCATCCTAAAATTTTAGAGATGTTTCGATGGAAAGTTTAGAAATGATTAGTTTTTAGGCAGTCTGGGTAAATGTTAAGGTGGCCATTTTGAATTTTTCATTCCGAAAAGTGTATTTTGTTCAAGGGTGCAATTCTGTTCACCCTGTGGCTTGTTGTTGGCTTAACATAGTTGTTATCAAAATTAATTTGAATATTATTCATCATTTGAGATTAAGGATGGGCAAAAGATACTACTGTGAGCTATGTGATAAGAGCTTTGCTGGAAACCTGACTAACAGAAAAAATCATGCAAAGGGATTCCTGCATCAAAAGCTTAGACAAGAACATTATAATACATTCAAAGGTAGGTTTCAATTCAATAAATTGGAAGACAGGGGTTTCATTAGCAGCAGGCAACAGGCGATTTTCAAAAGTTGTTTTCACAAAATCGCCTGTTGTTTTTAGAGACTTTTCAATTTTTCCATGTTAAATTTATGATTTCCATTAATTTTGCCTTTTGTTTACATTTATTTAGCCTGTTGTGAGAAATTCTAGTGAAACCTCTGACTTATTTCCAAGTCCATGATTATGTACATTAGGCCTAAATACATGCGTTTTTATCCATGGTTATATTTAATGTACAAATATTTTAAGTGTTACTGAATATCTGTTGCTTAGGGTGTTATTCCACCAGCCCTTCAGGTTTACATCATATCATGGGCTTTCAATTCTAGTTGAAAGCCCATGATCATATGCACGAGTGGAGGAATTATAAATGCTTGGGATATAGCAGCAAATATTGCCTGATCTATCATGTCACGCGACACCATTTTGACTGGTGGGAATTTTCCTTTGTCTTACAAACATCATGTAATTGCAAGCTTGACAATTATCATGTTGTTATCTTAGTATTCTACTTACAGATCCATCAGTGATTCTCACCGAGCAACTAAGCAAGAAGCCTTGTAGGAAAATACAAGTAGGGGGTAAGATTTCCATATACCATTTCAGATTGATTTTGAAATATGATGAACAACACAGTCAAAAGTAGATCAAGCTTTTTGTTTTTTGGAGGAAATTTTTTAAAAGTGGCTGATCTCCCTTTTCAAATTCCAAAAAGTTGACAATAAACATTGATATCAGTGTTATTACAATATATTATCCTTGATGAGTCAATTGCCTTATTCTTCGATTTTCATCTGGAACTAATTTAAAATAAAATACACCACCAATATCCCTTTATACAATTGTAAATAAACCGTGTTCAGTACAATGGGTGATTGACCTTATTCTTCGGTGATTTTTCCTATTCAGATTAAAATAAGATCTCCTTGACAATTTCATACTTTTACCTTCCAGAAGAATGTGAGTTTGGAGATCACTGCAGGTTTTCGCACCTTACACCAGACAGGAAACAACAGCTAGAAAATCTGAGTAAGTTGATAGATTTCTTTGAAATGGTACTCTGTAACTATTTCGTGCTAGTGTATTATTTTGAAAGTACATTAAAAATTATCTCCATGAATGTTTATATCAATTATTGATTTTTGCTCGAATGTTTCGATTCAAATAGATTCTCATAAAAAAGATTTTGATGAATTATTTTTTGTTTTTGTGTTACAATAGAAATAGATCAGTGATCACCATCTGTTTGATAGAAGTAGCAAAAAGTCATTGTACACTCTGAAATATATTGGCATTCATTATGAGGGACATTTCAGGCTCTTTCTTCATTTAGATGATGTACAGCCCAGTACAGGTTATAGAAATCTAGTTCATGTCCATACTGATTGTCAATTTTTTGCACTTGTATATTTCGAATGGTCATATCCCAATCAGTGTACACAGTCGATTTATGCGATTTGATTTAAATTACAATTGATTATAGATAAATAACTTTGGGAGTCGTTTTATTATCTGAAATTGCCTCATGTGTTTTCTTGTAAATCCTAATCACTCAGATGTGTTTGTTTAAGTTGTTGCTCAGAACAAGAAAAGGTTAGAAGATAATGCTCCACTACCAGATGCTAACATTGATGAATGGCTTGAAAAACGAAACAATAGATTGAAAAAGGGGGATGATAGTGATAAAACAACAGCAGATGAAGAGAAAACAACACTACCAGAAGCATTGGCAAATATACCAAACCTTCCTCCATCCCTCATACCCCCATCTAAGCAAATATTACGCCGAACTAAAGGATCAGATTGGGGTTGAGAATACAGGTGGAGCAATAGACCCAAAAATTGTGATACATTATTGTTTCCCAAGTCAAAGGGACTACATTACTCTGGAATGCCAATCCTTACAGAGGTTAAGGCTGTAGAGGAAATAACATTTTCACATCTCACAATTTCTTGAATATCAGTCATTTTGCAAATGTTATGATGGACGTCAAGTGGTTTAGTGTTAATCTCAAATTTTGCTAATAAAAAAACATTCTCGTTGTATGTGATGAAAAGACCAGTGGATTGATCAGTACTTATCTTAAGACAACAAGGTTCAAACAGGGACTCTGTAGCAGTACACACACTTGGTCTTTCTTCCATTTGTCCATGGTTCAGACTACATGGACTTGTTCATGCAGTGGCATAAGTTAACAACAAGTGAATGATATGGTGACTTTTGAGTATCAAGTAAATATATTGGGAGGAAATTTTGAGCTGAAGACTGAAGCGTTTTATGAGTAGTCAAAAAATATCAACTGAACTTTTTGACTACTCATAGAGCTCTTCAGACTACATGTAGCTCTTTATCCAATGGCTTATAAATAGACTAAAGCAATTATGTCTTGGGCTAACCTTAGTCTACATATGTGTAACACCACACTTAAAACTAGGAAATAAAATCTAAAAAAGAAACAAACGCATTCAATTTAATTTTATATTTCTGTTAATTTACATTGATTTTATTTGACACACATGTCAGCTGTTACATTGAAATGCTCTGTGATTTATAACTTTTTAGGATAATTTGACAATTTGTGATCTACAATACAATTTTGATCTATTACATTGAGTATGTGATCTATGACCTACCTGATCTCTATAACACCGAATTATCTATCTCTTTTATTGTGTGATCTACACGTCAAACTGCGACAACAATAATCTATGTCAGTATTTCTTGCATAATATGTTAAACTGTCCTCGGTCTAGAAATACTTATTTATTTAAATTAACTGTACGATGACAGCTCACTTATTTGTGTATGCTGGGAAAGATTTATGGCAACATTGATTTGTGATATTGTTCACTGTGTGCCCTGTTTTAGGTACAGTACAAAACATGAAACTTATTAATTACACATTTCAAAAAAACATGATCCATTAAAATTTTGAGGTCATATAAAATGTCAAATCATGTACAAATATTTTTTTCTTAAGTAATAAGATCATCATTTAAATTGAATAATAACATATTCATTCAGACCAGCTGAATCTGTACTCAAAGGAAGAAGAGATAGAGAAAAGTTTCTAAACAAAGTATTGTCACAGTTTTCAATACTTTTGCTCTCTACATTTCATGTCATGCCCAAATCTTTAGATTTTCAAAAATCATCTGACAAAAATGCAAAAAGTGGTCTGTGGTCACCCACTTTTCAATTTTGATATTCTGCATCCTTAAATCTAGACAGGGCTGCCCCGCCTCAAGTGCCTTTTACAATTGTAGTTTTGACCTTACACGAGGCCAGTGACAAATAGCAATTATTTACAAATAAAGGCCCAGGGATGCATTAATGTATTTGATAAGATAACTTCAGAAAATAAACTATTGGGATTCTAAGGAGATCATTGGCATTATTTGTGAAAGATTGAATCTAAAAAGATATGCATTCTCTCTATCTCTTCTACTTCATTTGGATTTAAAAATGAAATGTGATGCTAGAGAATACAGAGATTTAATATTGATATAAAACCTTCGGTATATTATATCATTCAAATAAAGCATACACCGATAAAGAAAATGTTTTATATAGAGACAATCCTCCATCCAATTCACTAATGGCCATAATTCCTGTAAATATTATGCTTTAGCTACAGCGCTGAGCCAGGATCAAATATTTGGCAAGGCAAATGAAAATATACAAGGCAAATTTAGACTAAATGAGGTATATTACTACCTTTGGACTTTATTTATAGTTCTCAAATTACTCTGAAAAATTATATTTTTCTGTAAGAATTGGTGAGGCTTCCCAGGACAGAGACATATGAAAACATGTGAGGCAAATTTAGACTAAATGAGGTATATATACTACTTTTGGACTTTATTTATAGTTCTCAAATAACTCTTAAATAATATATTTTTCTGTAAGAATTGGTGAGGTAGTTGCCTCGCCTGCCTCAAGCTTGGCTTCCCATGGCAGAGACATCATTTTTGCAGTTTCAGTAAGAAAGTGATCTGAATATTTCTTCTTTATTTAAATTTAAGTGAAGCGATTGCCTCATGCTTGGCTCCATCCATGGCTTTGACTGTGAGCATGAATTAAAGATCAATACACTTTCACTATAGAAAACCATGAACAATATCTCCTATAAAATGTACATTTACAGTTGGTTTGTACATCGCCTATAAAATGTACATTTATGGTTGGTATGTACATTGCCTATAAAATGTACATTTACAGTTGGTATGTACATCGCCTATAAAATGTACATTTACAATTGGTTTGTACATCGCCTATAAAATGTACATTTATGGTTGGTATGTACATTGCCTATAAAATGTACATTTACAGTTGATATGTAAATCGCCTATAAAATGTACATCTACGGTTGGTATGTACATCTCCGAGAAAATGTACATTTACAGTTGGTATGTACATCGCCTATAAAATGTACATTTACAGTTGGTATTTACATCGCCTATAAAATGTACATTTACAGTTGGTATTTACATCGCCTATAAAATGTACATTTATGGTTGGTATGTACATTGCCTATAAAATGTACATTTACAGTTGATATGTAAATCGCTATAAAATATACATCTACGGTTGGTATGTACATCTCCGAGAAATGTACATTTACAGTTGGTATGTACATCACCTATAAAATGTACATTTACGGTTGGTATGTACATCGCCTATAAAATGTATATTTATGGTTGGTATGTACATCGCCAATAAAATGTACATTTACAGTTGGTATGTGCATCGCCTATAAAATATACATTTATGGTTGGTATGTATATCACCTATGAAATGTACATCTACGGTTGGTATGTACATCGCCAATAAAATGTACATTTACAGTTGGTATGTACATCGCCTATAAAATGTACATTTACAGTTGGTATACATATCGCCTATGAAATGTACATCTACGGTTGGTATGTACATTGCCTATAAAATGTACATTTACAGTTGGTGAGTACATCGCCTATAAAATGTACATTTATGGTTGGTATGTACATCGCCTATAAAATGTACATCTACGGTTTGTATGTACATCGCCTATAAAATGTACATTCATGGTTGGTATGTACATCGTCTATAAAATGTACATCTACGGTTGGTATGTACATTGCCTATAAAATGTATATTACAGTTGGTATGCACATTATCTATAAAATGTACATTTACAGTTGGTATGTACATCATCTATAAAATGTACATTTACAGTTGGTATGTACATTGCCAACCAGAACAACGGCAACGCCAAAGCGTAGCGAATCCCATCGAACAGCCATGGATGGCATTTTTACAAACAAAGTATATAGCAAAAATGGCAGGCATTTTTTCAAAATGGCCGCCTTCTACCAAAAGTGTCATTAGACCATTTTCCATACTTATAGTATTCACAATGGCCGCCTTCTACCAAAAGTGTCATTAGACAGTGTGCCATGCTTACAGTATTCACATACCAATTATGAACAAAATCGCTTCACTGGTTTTTGAATTATTATAAAAAACATTAAAATGGCTGCCATTTTTCAAAAAAAAATTTCAAAATGGCCACCTTCTACTTAAAGTGTCATAGGATAGTGTGTCATGCTTTTAGTATTCACATACCAAATATGAACAAAATCGCTCCACTACTTTTCGAGTTATAGTAAAATACGTTAAAATGGCGGCCATTTTTCAAAATGGCCGCCTTCTACCAAAAGTGTCATTAGACAGTGTGCCATCCTTATAGTATTCACATACCAAATATGAACAAAATCGCTTCACTACTTTTCGAGTTATAGTAAAATACGTTAAAATGGCGGCCATTTTTTAAAATGGCCACCTTCTACCAAAAGTGTCTTTAGTAAGTGTGCAATGTTCATAGTATTTACATACCAAATATGAACAAAATCGCTCCACTACTTTTCGAGTTACAGCAAAAATCGTAAAATAACGAGTAAAGGCCGCCATTTTTCAAGATGGCTGCCATGTGCTTCTTTAATATCTACATTTCTAGCTTTATTAATGTCCTATATAATTTTTTACATCTAAAACATATTGCTATTACAGGTTTACATGTTGCACCTAAATTACTGTAAATTCGGCACTAAAATGGCCGCCATTTTGAAATGAGCGGCCATTTTGAAAATCAGCTTTCGAGCAGAACTTCTACCCCCATAGGGTATATGTGTACAAAATATGAACAAAATTGGGCCAACGGTATTTGAGTTAATGCCCGGACGGACGGATGGACGGACGTACGTACGTACGGACGGACGGACGGAGGCGTTCCCTATATCCCTCCGAACTTCGTTCGATGGGATAATAAAATACACATTTACAGTTGGTATGTTCATCGCCTATAAAATGTACATTTACGGTTGATATGTACATCATCTATAAAATGTACATTTACAGTTGGTATGTACATCGCCTATAAAATGTACATTTACGGTTTGTATGTACATTGCCTATAAAATGTACATTTACAGTTGGTATGTACATTGCCTATAAAATGTACATTTACAGTTAGTATGTACATCGCCTATTAGGCAATTTCCATATGAGTACTTCACACAGTTCATACATTAAAATTAATTGGAAAACATAACCTTCTTTCTTTGTACTCTTATTGCTCCAAATATGTTTTAAATATAGATCTTTACTTTGGATCTTTGAAAGATGGAATTCTAATTCTAAAACTGCTCTAATTTTGACAACTTTCATCCAATCTACACTAATTATGTTCTAAAATGTATGTACTGGGTCCATGTTTACTATTCCTGTGAAATCAAACATCAAATATTGTGTTTTTAGAAATGAAGAAAAATGCTCTTGTTTTAAACCTTTATTAGAGGCTGGTATTCAAGAGGTTGACTGATATTCATTACTATTGAAATATTGCATGTGTATATACAGTCGTCGTGGGTATACAATAAGACAAATAATGCTGTGAAATGGACACGGGTATTGCACTTAACACAGGCTCATGTATGGCCTACCCTTAATAAAATTAAATATATATGTCACCATGGCCTCTGAAAGGGTATTTTGATTTGAAAAATATCTCACTGTAGTCTACAGTCCATGTTTGGTGAATGTGATCTTCCTCGACTATGAAAAAGAGAAGGTCCAAGGTAGTGTGGTTTATTCAATGTTATGTTTGAATACATCAAAATCTCTTACTTTCTGCTTATTGCTTTTCATGCAGCATTTGTAAATTCCTGACTGTCTGAATCAAACTTGTACTGTAAACCTTGAAAATTTTGAGTGATAACATTTAAAATTTTACTGATTTACAGCATTTTCACATGGATTTTCAGTTCACCATTTCCATAATTCCGAATGAAGTGTCTATATCCACTTTATTGCTAAACATTTTTGTAGGCCCATATAAACTTTTCTAAGGATGTATTTCTGACTCAATAATGCTTTTGTCAGGAACATTCATGAAATAATTTTGCACAAAATTTACAAAGTTTACAGTATCATTCATTTATATTGAGTACTAAGTTTCAAAGCTGATTAGTGTTGGGCTCCTTATATGGTCAGAATCCAGTTTATCGGTGGTTTGTTTATAAAGGGCAGTCCTTGATTCAAAAAGTTCCATAAATAAGTTCACCTGAAATGGAATGATACACAACATTACGTTTGATGTACATACAATGACATATCTTTACATACAATTACATACCTTTCATACAATGACATACCTTTACACACAATTACATACCTTTACATATAATTACATAACTTTACATACAATGACATACAGTACCTTTTGTAACAATAACATACAATGACATACCTTTACACACAATTACATACCTTTACATATAATTACATAACTTTACATACAATGACATACAGTACCTTTTATAACAATAACATACCATATTCTGTGGTACCTTACTTACAATGACATATATTTACAAACAATTACATACCTTTACATACAATTACATACCTTATCAAGCAGCTGTTGACATCTCTGTAATGCTATTGTGTATAGGACAATGGCATCATTTAACCAAGGTACTGAGCATTCAATCTACAATTAATGCAAAATATTAGAGGACGATGTGGTCCATGTAGGTATTTTCTGGAAACTCATCTGTCACACAGCCATTGGGTTTGGGTAAAAAGGCATTAAGTGTGGGGTCTACAGCTTACAGGGTTCTCAAAAATGGTTTGAGTAAAAAAAGCATGGGGTGTTGTATTTAGCAGTATATCACGCCTTTTGAGCACCCTGTAGACCCCACGCCCAATGCCTTTTTAGTACCAAACCCAACAGCCATATGTCTACATACATAGACAAAGAGAACAATTCAGATGAGATCCAGCCTTCCTTCCAGCCTAATCACTAAACATATTATGTGAACTGAGTAATTTAACAATTTTGCAGTAAATAAAACAAAATTACAAAAAAGTGATGCATTTAGTTCACATTTGGCCAGGATATGTTTAGTCATGATCTATGAAGCTCTAATCTATAATCTATGAAGTTTTACTGTACTATCAGTAATACAGGACAATTACACCCTCCCCACCTCCCCAATACAATATTCTTACTGTGTGTTTAGCACCAATATCTAACTTCTGAGCACTGTTCAACTGGAGTTGGTATACACCGAGGACTAGCTTTTGAGCCTGAATGTAGAAGCTGAGCACAATATCATTTGGCACTGGGGGACTCCAAATCTTCTGGAAAGATGGCATATAATGTAGATACAATGCATTGTGATGTCATACAATCATACTCTGTGATGTCATACAATGCCAATTCTGATAATATATAAAAAATATAGACTGAAGAGTAGTATTATATCGACAGTACCTCAAATGACCAAAGGGAGTGAGGGGTTAAGAGCTTTTGTACCTAGCCTTAAGGTATTTATTACTTGATACAATACCTGATCTGAGGTCTATATTATGATTCAAACATGAAAACTTACCAAAATTCTGCAAAATCCTCACATAATTTCCTACTTCAGATAGAAATATAGCACTGAACAAAACACTTAGTACAGCCAAGGTATTGTATCAACAAATAAATACTGGGTGAAATACAGACTTTGTTGACGGCTTATAGATGGCGTGAATACAGTCATGTTCGAATTTCTGATAGCTTATACTAACTTGAGAAAAACATTTTCAAGCTACCGTTATTTCTAATCTTACCATATTTCTGTTATGTACTAGTTCTTCTAATGACTTTTTCCTTGGAAGTGTGAGGCAGGCACGCCCTCTATTTAAGCAGGAAGTAACATCGTTAAGTAGCTGAAAATAAATAAAAAATTGTGATAATGCATTGAAACAACCAAAAAAATAAAATCTTAATTGTTCAATCTGTACAAAGACCATAATACTGTTACAATATTTCATTTTCAATAACACACACTTTTATTACACTTGATATAGTATTCTTTTATCCATATTTAGTCTTGTATCGATTTTGGATAATGATTTCTGAATTGTGGGAAGGGGTGTCAGACAATTGTTTTCCTAGGGGCATTTAATGTGCTTTGAGATGTTTCTCGTTGTGTTCTATAAAACTCTTCAGTCTTTCCTCACATTACATGTGTTTATATTTAATAGAAAATGTTGACTGTTCTTGCACCTACCAGTACCACCTCCTGTCCTGTCTTAAAGGTGTAAGATTTCTCAATGTTGCTGACCAGAGTAAGTGCATTCATCAGGTGGTTCCCTGCATCCTGGACCTACAAGTACACATACATGTATACTGATGATGTCATCGCATATACTGATGATGTCATACACGTACTGATGTTTTAATTTGTATATTTTGGACATGAGAATTAGAGTACAAATACAACATAAATATACACTAGTACTTGTAATGTTGTATATATATTAACTTATTAAGATATCATTATAGTATTTTATAGTCTTTTTTGCATAGTAAATCTTGATGATGTCATTGTTCATTTGTTTTATAAAGAAGACGTTGATATACATACAAGGGCCAAACTTAAAAGTATCACTTGTTTTCCACAATATTTCCAGAGCAACATGGGCATTCATTTCCTAATAAGTTACTAACTATTTTGATGCTGGTCAATGAATATTTCTGAAGTTGCGGTTGCCATGGTATCATAAACATAAGGGGTTCTACAAATGCTATGGCAATTTTAGTTCCTTTTATATGTCACTACAGATATCTGGAATGAATATAATACTTGTAGATTATATTTCACAAAATTTTTATGTGTTTATTGATGGCACAATTAATGGCTATGGGGATCATGTCATTACTGGGAAAAAAATGAAGTCATTTTATGAATATTGTGCTTCAAAACAATATCTTGCTTACCTGCTGCAGTCGCCAAGTTTCCCCAGGGGTTAACTGAGATTTTTGTATGGCGGGGGTGGGTTTATTGACTCTGAGGCTCAGATCCTGAAATATAATAATCACAAGTCCTGATTAATATATAAACATACATTAGCTAGACCTGAGGTTCAGGGGAACTATAAAAATGGTATAGGTGTGACGTTTGGCTGAGCGGGTTCTCTTCTGGGAGGCAAGGAGATAGAGTTGAAGGCGTGCACAGATAATGACTTGACCAGGAGGAAGTATGGGGGTCATACATACAGAGGTAAGAAAATAGGGATTAGTAAATGCCATGGAAGTGGCATCTGGCTGAGAGATTTTTCTTTTGAAAGACAATGGGATGGAGTTGATGTGGCTACAAGTGGTGTAGCTAGGATCAAAAATTTAAGTATGTGAGACATAAACTGAGTTAAGGACAATATACAATTGAAAAAATGTCTGCATAAAATGTCTGCATTAATATTTCTCTATAACATTTGGGAAATGTGTATTGCTCAACAACATGGCCTTACCAAACTAAACTAATCAAGATATCAGCTCTTCAGGTTCAAATCAAAGATTGTTAAACAAATTCTGTCTTCAATTAAAGACCTTGAGATACATTTTTGGTATTTCACTATTGTGTTGGGATCAAGAGCCCATTTAGATTCACTGATAAATTGTATTCTTGATGCGTTTTTGGATTCTTAAATGTCAGTATTAAAAAGGTCTATACATGTATACTTACAGCCTCACAAATGCTATCTCCCAGAATGGTAACCATGCACTTGTAGTTTTGGGTTCCACTGAAAAGAAAATTCAAAATATAAATGCAAGTCGAATCATGAATTGAATATACATTAACCTTGTAATAAATATTGTATACCTTTATATATACAGTAACACGGGGGTAAAGCAGACCCGATGATGCAATGAGCTTGCTCGACGGTATCATGACTGTGTAACGGGTCTTAATGTATAAGTGTGCTCGGCGGTAGGTTCAAACAACGCTGATCCTCAAAGCATGTGCTCATGGTATATTCGTGTTTTAACACCCATGCAGTAACCTGTGCTGATTTTAGTTCAGAAACAAAAACTTGCTGAAATGAGGGCTGTTATGGTTCGACTGTACATTGATGAATGTTAATTCACACAAAGCTAGACAAGGTGTGTCTGATTCCAGCCAATCCGAACACAGTATTTTACATGACAGCAGTGCATGAAATAATCAATAAAGCACCCTAGGTCACTAGTTAAACAAATGTGATGAATGGACTTTGCACATTGGATTTGATGACTTGCCAACTTGACTCTTGCAAAAACTTTCATTGAAAATGTGTTCTTTTAGTGTATCATTCAATCCTTTTAGATTATTTTGTAGAAAATATTTTGCAAAGTGTGAAAAGAATTTCAGACTCGATGCATTGTAGCAGTGCTTCATTCTACTCAGGAGTTGTTTCCTAATCTTTCATACACGCTGGATGGCCATGCAAAGATTTGGAAACAACACCTTCATGGTATGATTCCAGGGCTAAATCCTTAAATAAACTTCCAATTTTCATCTATTTATTATTACTTGGTATACCCACATCTAAAGAATTGTGTTGAGGTTATGTCACAGTAATTGGCAATGTCAGAAGTTAGTAGTTACACAGGTATATATACATAGTTAATCAGGTAATATATACATTAGACTATATATGCTCACATGATTATGTATATAAAACATTAAGTAGAATCAAATGAAGTCTAACTTACTTTGAACTGGCAAGTATAAACTTCTCTGGTTGTAGAATTTCATCATTGTTGCCTAAAAATAGAAAATAACATTGATTACAAGAAATATGTAGGGACTGCTTGGGATTGTTTTTGGACTGGACAAAGTTCTTTAAATCAGTATGACATCATAGTGGTGTAGTACTGCTACCTAATAGGTTCAACAAGATGTTGAAATAAGGATCACATGAAAAACTGGCCCTGGCCTCGGTATAGATAAGTACAGTTTGGTGCACACCACACTGCACTCGATTTTATGCGCACCAGAGTGTCTGTTGCACTTTGGTACAGATTGGTGCATCATTCCAATGAAGATTTACATTGCGTTTCAAATATCTAAATTATACTACTGGTGCAGTTTGCTGCAGTTATTCTAGTGCACACTTTCTGCACCAGAATATTGGTGCAAGAAGTGCAGCTTGGTGCATATTGGTGCGTTTCAAATATTTTAATTATACCACTCGTGCAGTTTGGTGCAAGTATTCTAATGGGTACTTTCTGCACCAGAAAATTGGTGCAAGAAGTGCATATTGGTGCGTTTCAAATATTTAAATTATACCACTGGTGCAGTTTGTTGCAGTTATTCTAGTGCACACTTTCTGCACCAGAAAATTGGTGCAAGAAGTGCAGCTTGGTGCATATTGGTGCGTTTCAAATATTTTAATTATACCACTCGTGCAGTTTGGTGCAAGTATTCTAATGGGTACTTTCTGCACCAGAAAATTGGTGCAAGAAGTGCATATTGGTGCATTTCAAATATTTAAATTATACCACTGGTGCAGTTTGTTACAGTTATTCTAGTGCACACTTTCTGCACCAGAAAATTGGTGCAAGGAGTGCAGTTTGGTGCATATTGGTGCGTTTCAAATATTTTAATAGCACCACTGGTGCAGTTTAGTATAGATATTCCGGTGTGCACTTTCTGCACCATGATATAATTTATATAAACACCCTGATGTCGATTATATAAAACAGTGTTAAAAACTATTTTCATTGATTTAATGTTTGATATGATATTGATATTACTGTTAGTCTACAGGGTGTCTATAAAAAGTATACCCTACTAAATGTGTATAAATAGAATCCTGAGCAACATTTGTGCTAATTTTACCATATTTTATAATGACCATGATTACTCAGTCATCCATGACAGTTACATAATAATCTGGGTACCATTTGATGGAGGACAAATTATGCTTTTTGCTGCTAACTTTGTATTTCTAAAATATTGCTCAGGATTCTAGTAATCTGCCTTTTAAGTTGGGTATACTTTTTTACAGACACCCTGTAAATTATATGAAAAAGATAGTAATTATTTTAAGGGTTCTTGCAATCAAGGATTAATTGAAAAAGGAGTGTTTTCCTTTGAAACTACATACATGTAATTGAAAGTGAATCAATAGTAGAGTTTTATGAACAACATTTTGAGTGTTTCAAAAACAAATGCCACTATGACACAAGGTTCATTATGAAAATTGTGCAGTTTGGAAAATACACAAATGATGTGACCAGAACTAATAACTGAATTGTAATAAATGCCAGCCAGAACAAAAACATTGCAGAATGCCAATTCTTTATCATCGGATGGTTGCGTATAATATACTGTTCTGTGGGATAATGTCCTTATGCTAAATAAACACTAAGCACTTGAAGCAGCTGATTGATGTGCCTTGAAGTCCCATTAGGAAACATATTAATAGGCATAGTGCAACAGCTAAGTCCATGTTTAAAGTGGGGCTTTACACATTTTTTGCATTATTTGGAGAAAAACAGCTGAATTGCCTCTTTGTTTTACATGACCACTCAACTTGGGATGGAAAATCAACATATTATTATTTCGGTCGAAATGAGATCGCAAACAGTGATTTAGCGATTGATGATTTTATTTATTTCCATTTTCAAATCTTCAATATCTTTGAAAACTGCATGAGTGAACATAGTGAGGGAGGTACTATGATATCTTTCCACAGGTTTTTTCATGAGAGAGCATATCACAGTAACTATGGAATAACACACTGAATGCTAAATTCAAATCAATTTACATAAATATAGTATATTAAATGCTCTTTTCAGAATTAATTAAAATAAATATAAAGTTACTGAATGCTCTATTCAAATAAATGAATATTTAAATGTCATTTAACAGAATCTAAAGGTTACATATGTCGCCTCATTTGATAATCTGCATAGACTAAAAGCTAAATTGATTTGCTATAAATATTTGACTCAAGTGTCACACTGGATGAAGTTTACAATGTTTTTCAGCCTCGACTTATCCGCAAATCCCAAATAAATGTCACAATTATGAATGAGTTACAAACAAAAAAATAGAAGCTTTGAACAACACGACTCATTGATGCACTGTTTAGTACAAGAAACATCAATACATCTCATGATTTGTTTGTAGTGAGGAATGATGTTTAATATGTCAATAGTTGTAAAATAACAAATTAAATTTCATTTCATTCTTTTTTATCATTTTTTAAAAAAAAATTATTTTATTTTTTTATTTCTCTATTCAAACATTACAAGTACAATAATTAAAACAGTTTAGATATCTGAAATATCTAAATTTCATTTCATGACATTAGGGAAATGACAATTTTATTGATGGAGAATGCTGGTGTTTTGAAAGATTCATGAAAAAGTGAAATCAAAATTATCAAATTGATAAAGGGAGGGACTAATTCACATTCACACATAGCTAGGCAAGGTGTGTCCAATTCCAGCCAATCAGAACACAGCATTTCATGTAACCTGCATTCAGTTACTAAATACTCAATAACTCGTGCAAGGTCGTTTTTAAAGACTTGTTCAAGTAACTTCTCAATGGCAATTTTTCTCTATCCTTTTTTCTTTTGAATTTTCAACACCATACATGTAGCAATAACTAACTCCTCAATACGCAATTTTTCACCACTTAGAATTTTAAGATATTAATTTTGAAAATTTGTATAATGGAGCCCAATGGGTAAAATGACATCAAACCATTCCTTTCAGGCGTTGTTTCCTAAAATTAACACACGATGATGGAAATCTCGTGCAAATTTTGGAAAGCAAGACCTTCAAGGAATGGTCATTCCATATTGCACTGAGTCAGGACTTAAATCCTTAAATAAAATTGCCTTTTTCATTATTGAAACACATGCACCTGTTTGAAATTTCTATTACCAATTCTCTGAGCATTGACAACCCATGACATTCTGATCTTATGCAGCTAGTAATGCCATCAAGGTCCTCCTCACTATTCGAAAATTTGTTCTTAATTGACATTTTGAAAGATTCTGATAAATTCTATTTCAAAAATTATTGCATACATGTATTTACACTCTGTTATTATTACCATCACTGCCTTGCAAAGTATATACTGAACAGTAAAATCCACAGGAGTGAAACACCTATGAAACCTCAAAATGGAAGTAGTTTCACTCACAGACATTCATTTACATTAAGTAGATGGACTTTGAAAACAGTTCCACTTCAAGAGGTATCCACTTTGCAGGTTTTAGTGTACTGTATGGAGCACTCTTAGAATGCAGCACATTCTCTCTGTCAGGGTGCCAATGCATTCCCTGGTGTGAGGTCTCCTTTTTGGGTGGGATGTTATATAAAGGTGAGGTATCCTTTTAATGTGGATATTAGGATGTTATATAAAGGTGAGGTATCCTTTTAATGTGGGATATTACATAAAGGTGAGGTATCCTTTTAATGTGGATATTAGGATGTTCTATAAAGGTGAGGTATCCTTTTAAGGTGGGATATTACATAAAGGTGAGGTATCCTTTTAATGTGGGATATTACATAAAGGTGAGGTATCCTTTTAATGTGGGATATTACATAAAGGTGAGGTATCTTTTTAAGGTGGGATATTACATAAAGGTGAGGTATCCTTAAAGGTTGGATATTACATAAAGGTGAGGTATCTTTTTAAGGTGGGATATTACATAAAGGTGAGGTATCCATTTAAGGTGGGATATTACATAAAGGTGAGGTATCATTTTAAAGTGGGATATTACATAAAGGTGAGGTATCCTTTTAAGGTGATGAATTCTATTGTTCTTCACTTACCTGAGTAAATCATTACAGGGAATCTGTTACAGCATTCCTAGAAATACACAAAGAGAAAGCACATGGATTAATGGCCATTTTACACCACTTGGAATATTTGGCGGGTTTGTAGATATAATCCCAATGTGATATGATTATAAAAAAATGAATGATGGAGTTATATTAGATTTAGTCAACATGCAAAAACAACAAAAAAATAGCTAGGTCAATTAGTTAAATCAAGAACAAGAAAAATACTGGCAAATATTCATTTCTTGTTTTCCCAAACTGTATTTTTTTGATGAAAATGACAAGAGAATGTTCTATATGTTTTTTCTACTTCTAAAAATCATTAAATGTAATCAGAATAAATATAAAGACAAAAGAAGGAAATTATATTTTGGTTCTTGTGATTTTGGGGTTAAAGTAATGGTTGGATTCATCTAGGCCTAATGTTGCTACTTTTTATATGATTACGGGAGGCATCAAAAGTTCAATGCCGGATTGGAAACTAAATAAATCTCATTTTGACTCTGATACCCCCCTCCCCCAAAACTGAATACCATGAAAGTTGATCTCTCACTTCTGGTTTTTGTTAAGTCCTATCATAATTTGCAGCTTTTAACAGCTAGTGATAGAATAGTATCCATTGGGATGATCTTGACAAAGAAAGCATGCAGGTAAAATCTTTATTTTTAAACCATTCCAAGTCAAAATTGCAAATAATTAAAAATATTGAAATTTGTCGGATAGCAAACTGAAATGGCTTTGAACCCCCCCCACCCCACCCACCTAACTACATTTATTCAGTTTGTGATCTGACATTGAACTTTTGATGCCTCCCCTTATATGTGTAACATTTTTCAAATGCTGCTCCACCCCTTTCTTATATCAGAAAGCAAAATAAAATAATGTAAATGTTCCCTTTTTATCACACATTTCATATAAACGTTGGCGTTTGTGTTTAAGTGCTTTTAAAATGCTGCTAGACCCCTTTCTCATATAGCTAAAGCGCAATGTTTCTAATGTTGCCTTTTGTTAACACAAAGTTCATATAATCTTTGGAATTTGTGTTTGTATTGAATTATTTTATGACTGCCCTTCTCACTTTCTCATATCAGAAAGCATAACATTTCAAATGTTGCCTTTTGTTATCACACAGTTCATATGATCTTTGGGGTCCTTTTAAATGTTGCTCTTCTCATCTTCTTGTACCCAAAAGGGCAACAGATCATCATTGCTAGAATAACCAATGGGAATATATTGATCCCTCTTTGTAGTGATACCACAAACGAGACAACTCATTTATCATCATTTAATAGCAACCCTGAAATACTCTAATCCACTTCAGGGAAAAGACAAATCACATTCATCAATAATTATCACGTTAATTAGGCACCAGGCTCTCTCAGAATTTTAAAGTTGCCGTTTGGCAAATCAATGTTGAACATGACTCAATGGCAATTATTTGTCTAATATTTTATCAATGCACATCTGTTTCTTTTTTATTTAAAATTTGCTGTTGAGAATAAAAATCGAGCTATGGGTAAAAATATTGTTAATTTTTCAGTAAAAAAGCCTTGATTTTCCGCAAAAAATCAAACTGCATCAATGCATGTATCTCCTTATGCACATAAGGAGGAAACAGACAGCAAAGTAAACTCATTTCCATGTATTGTATTCTGTAAGGTCTATGGGCACTGGGTAGTTTCCTTGCTAGGCTACGTGCCAGATGACATAAAACAATTAAATTTAATATTATTATCAACATTCTATATGAGATTTATTTTATTCTTGAACTACAGGGTGACCGGAAAAAAAGGAGACCATTGAAATAGGCAATATCTCCTAAAATAGACTAGTGACATCAATGAAATTTTGCATACATCAGGACAGTTCTATGGAAATTTGTTCCTGAAAGTGTCAATACAAGCAGTCAACTGGTTCAGGAGCTATGATCATTTACATAACATGCTCCAAATAGGCGCAATTGAGACCAACGCAGAGCTGGATACATTTGGCAAATACCCTTACATATTCCGACCTTGTTATGGCATTACATTTAGCATTTATTGCCACCTTTAGGTCAGCAATTGTCTCAGGATTGTTTTGGTACACATTGTCTTTCAAATTGCCCCACAAAAAGAAATCAGGTGGATTCAAATTTGAGGTGTATGGAGACGAAGCTTATCTGACCTATGGCTTCTGACTCAGTGGTCCCACTCAGTTACAGTATCATCCTAAGGAGGTTTTGGGCAGCCCTTGGTTTTCATATGGGATTTAATTGTGCCATATAGTGGTTTTAGTAACATGGCACTATGCCCAATACCTAAAGTGACTCTTAAGATTTGGTAAATCAGCACTTTGGCAACAGGATGATGAACCACATGTCAGATAACCCTTCATTGCCATTACAGCCTAGACTTGAATCCTGCTGATTTCTTTTTGTATGGATATTTGAAAGACAATCTATACCAAAACAATCCTCAGACTATTGTTGACCTAAAGAAGGCAATCACTGCTATATGTAATGCCATAATAATGCCATAGAGGGCAGAACATGTAAGGGTAGTTTGCCATATGAATCCAACTCTGCGTTGGTCTCAATTGTGCCTATTTGGAGCATGTTATGTAAATGATCATAGCTCCTGAACCAGTTGAATGCTTGTATTGAAACCTTCAGTAACAAATTTCCATATAACTGTTCCAGTGTATGCAAAATTTCATTGATGGCACTTGTCTAGTTTAGGAGAAATTGATTACTTCAATGGTCTCCTTTTTTTCCGGTCACCCTGTACATTTATATTAAATATACAAATGTTTGTACTGTAATATCTTTTTAGACTACACTAGAAGTTTACACAAATATATTCCAGTCTCTGAATGGAATATATTGCTTATTGATCAAGGAACTAGATTGTTCAATATACTGATCGATTTTGCAGACAAACAAGGGTTTGCAATTATCTGCTCAGCTCCCTTGAGAAATTAGCCTTTCACATTTTTGGGAGAAATGGTAATTATCACAGATTTGCCTGTCAGAGCTTTGTGATTGAAGTTAAACATGCACCGTTCAGATGGAGATATGGAATCAATGATTGTAACTGGTAATGACATAATTATATTTGAGACATTTATAGAAATTCAATATAAATACTAAATTGATAATTCCATGAAGTTATTGCAATCCAAGACAGTGAAATGAATAAAACAGTAAACAGGTCATATTGCCCAATTCTGTCACTAGTGTTATTTAACTCTCAGACTGAGAAATCTGAACTATTTCATTCTCACATTCAATAACATGTATTATGGATGGCGTGTTATATATTCTCTACCATAATAACATGTATTATGGATGGCATGTCATATATTCTCTACCATAATAACATGTATTATGGATGCCATGTCATATATTCTCTACCATAATAACATGTATTATGGATGGCATGTCATATATTCTCTACCATAATAGTAAAAAAACATATGTAAGTTGGCATATGTAAGAGTCTGAATTACATACCTAGTGAAGTATTTTAATATGGAAGTCAATAGGAAGGTAAACGAGATAGATCCACTGATTTTGCCCTATAACACCAATATAGCCCGCTTTCTTCAATAAACATGATAAAAACTTATTTCAGCAGTTATGTCCCTATCATTGAATGAAGGACCCACGGTCCTATGCTCACACAGTTTGGAACCTTCAGAGGAATGTATATACTGACTTTCAAACAAAAATATTGATTTGGATTTGTAGTCTCGAACTTTGAGAAACTTAGATAGCACAGTTGTGTGACCTAGTTTGATGACCTTTGACCTTGAAAATTTTACTAATTCAGAGCTCAGTAAGGTCTTTTGTGATTAAGCTGACCAAAATTTACATCCAAAAATCAATTTGAAAAATCAACTTTTTTGACATTTCGAAGGTCACTGAAGGTCAAGTAAAGGTCAAATCCTTAAACTGATGTCAGATTTGAGCTCCTGGCAACTTGTAGATGATTTTCAAAAAAAAAATTGGTCAAATTGAAGCAAGTTGAAAAATAACTTATTTTTACTGTTTTTTTTATGTCAAATATCACAAAAATGGTAAAAATCTGATGCTGACATATATTGAGCAATATGTAGGGAATGCTTAAATCTAGTAATGATGTTATTCATTGCAAGAAATGATGAAGTATAAGGCAAACTTTGAGAAACTTGTCAATCACAAAACCTGCCATTGACTTTATACATGAGAAAGTTTCTTGAAAATGATATAAGTCCTACTTTTTGTCAAATTTTATAGAGTAAAAACCAAAAACTGTAATTCCAAGAGCTTTGAAATCTTCAGAGGACATAAGTTGCATATACAGCAACTACTACAAGTTATTTGAAAGTTCTACTTCAACAAAGTCTCTAGTATTTACAGAAAATTTGATGATAGGTCAAATAGGCATTATGGATATGCATAAAATGAATGTGGATATGACTCAATCCGAATAGCAGTTTTAATTTGTGCGGCCAATGTTGACGGACGGACCAATGGACGGACGGACGGACGGACGGACGCCTGGTCGATCCATAGGCTCACTGTGTGAGCCAATAAATGCCTGAGGTCTGTCATCAATACAGGGCGAGGGCTATATTACCACAGACCGAAGGCATATATTCAATGATACAGACATAATTGTTGTATTACATACATTTATTTTCATGGCTACATTATATCACTGACGTCACATGTCTGTTCGCGAGTGAAATTTGGAAGAAATGAATCATGACGTCATAAGATTGTCATGGTCAAAAGTTTGGCGGCTATACAGGAATATATAGCTGACCTTCAGCTCCACTGACTTCCATACAAATGCTTCGCTAGGTACTTAATACTTCATGTTATAGTGACCTAACATCTAAATATAGCTCATTATCTGTTTATTGACTTTGCTTCTGCATGAGAACTATATCTTTGATATAATACAGATGTCAATTAAGCAGCTAGGAGTTTGATTCTTCTAAGTTCTTCCTGATTTGTTATCTTAATAAGCCAATCCAATCCTTTCTTCTCACTATCTAATGTAATTCTTGCCCAATCCTGCTTCAGAAACCATATATCCCCGCCAAATACCTTACTAGGATAATGCCAGATCATATAATTTTTTATCGAATTCAAATTGCACGAGAAGCGACAGAACAAACTTGCTGGTACTCCAATAACAACTACACCACCATCAGTTGTTATTCCTCGTGTTGGTCCAAATAGAAATTCATTTTCTTGCTTTGCATTAAGGTCCCAATTTTTGCTTCCTCCATATAGTTGAATGGGTGGGGAATCCCAGGTCAATCCCATGCTGTGCAATGCCTTGTTCATGAAAACTTGGTCATCAGCTTTTCGATCAAATTTTTCAGTTAGTTTTGATATAGTCTCCCATACTTTTTCTGAAATGGAAATATCCGTAATACTTTTCAAATAAGCAATTTATCCATATATCAAACAATTAGCAAACAAGCTGATACAAACACAACTATTTCTTCTTTAAGGTATGATAAGAACCTTTCATCATTTTTCAATTGTAAACCATCTTGATTGGTAAGTCTAACATTCTAACAGCGAGGTAATCTACTCTGTAATTTATGAATAATGATTTAATTTATGAATAATGATTAAATTTAGGTACATTATAAGAATATAATTGGCTTGAATTCTTCAATTGTCATATTTATTTTCTAAAGCCTTTAAAAATCATCAAAATTCATACTTTATGCCAGGAAAATTTAAGACTTAAACATCTATATATTTATCATACAATTTTCACTTTTGATTTTGAACACTATAGAGAAAATATAAATGATTTTTTGGTATATATTATATATGTGTGCTATTAGTCAAGACTAAATATTCGTAAAATTTTATTCAATGTAATATTAGTGCCAGAGATATTTATCTGTTAGTTCTAAACAACCCAGTTAGCCAGTTGCATACGAAAGCTATGATCTCGTAAACTAAGTTATTTAAGGTTAGAAAAGAGGAAATTTTCAGTTATTAATGTAATATTACCTGTTCCAGGTGTATTTCTGATGAAGATCGTACCCATGTTGAGTGTAAAGAACATCCAGGCATCCCGTACTTGATGAGGATAATTTCCAACAGCTTGACCGATAATATCTGCGTCGGGATACTCCTCAAATAAAATCTCTGGGTTACGCAGAGGTAGTGAGTCTAAGTCATATGACATTACGTTGTATCCCAAAATGTTAATAATTCTCCATGTGTGAAGTCTCACGATCCAGTGTGTTTGCTTTCCCACTTTTCTCACTTTGCGGGGCGTGAATGGATATATCAAAATATCATATACGTGTAGAAAAACAACCGGGATTCCTTTCTTCACAAGAAAAGTGTAAACATAACAATCTGTGGTTACTATGAGAATGTTGTTAATTGGTGGAGTTGTGAAAAATTGGGCGACAATTAACCAGTTCAGGAATGCCATGATATAATCCCGTGTTAGAGCTATCGTATGTACAGTTTTCCCTTTCACTGCCCCAAGACACCTTTCGAGGTCTTTATAAAAATTTGAATTTTGAATTTCTTTGTCAGTTTTTGTAAATATCCTGTAGGTAAAATGACTTACTGTTACTGGTTTTTGTTTGCTTTTGTCCGGTGAAACTTTTATTTTTGAGTAAGAATGGTCTACTTGGTTTTCTTGTGTTAGTATCCCATGTTTAAAAACACTATCAAATTTTCTATTGGTCTCATTGTCCATTGCTGTGCAGAATTCATTAAGTTCTTCTTTGGTGCTATATTTTTCAATGAATGCAGTCGCATCAAACATAGTAATCATACAATAAACAAAATAAATTGTAAGTATTATGAAAAGCGTTGTAATAAAGGAAAATATCACTTTCAATTTCTTAATATGAGTTCTCATATTTGCAGGTTGAGATGAGCTGCACACAGATACAGGAAATTTGCCTTAGGGTATAAGGTTACCATTCATATTAGTTGACCTTTCAAAACAACAGAAAGCTGTAAAAACATTATAAAAACATTATAAATTAATTACCAGTAGATCACATATTAGTATGTTTGTTTAAGAGATTTAAACTTCAAAGTATTTTGACTAAAGATTAAAATCATAATGACTATTCTAAAGGCATGTGTCAAATGAAAATAATTAGGTAATTTGGGCTTAATAATCATGACACCCTGATAAGCCTCGGTCACATTGGCTCTACCGCAGCTGTAAGGTTGCCGTAGCTTCACAATATATAGAAAAATAGTACCGTGGGTACTGGGCTCACATGGTGTTGCTTTTTACAATGCAGGACACCTGAACAAAAGTGAATTTCCCGAGACAAAAATGGTGGCCATTTTGAAAATAGGCAAGCTTTTGAAGCAGGAGTCACATTTTTTTCTTTATTGATGTTGAACAAAAATATTTTAAAACGGGAATCCTATCTACACAGAGGATTTAAAAAGAGCCAAGTATTGACAAACAAAGGTTTTAAAACTTGCCACTATTTTGGACTGACTAAGAGACAGATGGACAAATTAATGTCCACTAAAATGGCTGAAAATAAAAAAAGAGATATGATTTTTTTTGCCGATTTTTTGTAACAAAATTATTACATACAACTATTCTTTAGTGACATGGTTTTTTACAATGCAGGATCAACACCTGAAATTATATGTAAAGCTAGGAAATGGGCCAAGAGTGAATTTTGCAGAACAAAAATGGCGGCCATTTTGAAAATAGGCGAGCTTTTGAACCAGGAGTCATACAGGAGTTTTTTGTATTGATGTTGAACAAGAATAACTTAAAACAGGAATCCTATTAACAGATTTTTAAGGCAAATGGTCCAAAAGTGGATTTCGCCAGACAGGACAAATTAATGTTAACTAAAATGGCTGAAAATAAAAAAATAGATATAATTTTTTGCTGCTTTTTGTAACAAAATTATTTCATACAACTACTCTTTACATTGACATGGATTTTTACAATGCAGGACACCTGAAATTATTTGTAAAGCTAGGAAATGGGTCAAAAGTGAATTTCGCGAGACAAAAATGGCAGCCATTTTGAAAATAGGCGAGCTTTTGAACCAGGAGTCATAGGGGAATTTTCTGTATTATATGTTGAACAGAAATAACTTAAAACAGAAACCCTACCGACAGAAGTTTTAAAATGTGCCACTATTGTTGACGGAAAAGTGGATTTCGCGAGACAGATGGACAAATCAATGTTAACTAAAATGGCTGAAAATAAAAAAAAATGGATGTAATTTTTTGCTGATTTTTTTATAACAAATTTATTTCATACAAATACTCTTTACATTGACATGGATTTTTACAATGCAGGACACCTGAGATTATTTGTAAAGCTAGGAAATGGCTCAAAAGTGAATTTTGCAAGACAAAAATGGCGGCCATTTTGAAAATAGGCGAGCTTTTGAACCATACATACTTGTACTTTTACATAAAAATATATGGAGTTACATAATGAGGGCTACTAGTTAAAAATCTTCGGATGTCAGATGCAATATGACATTCAAATGCACACCATATAAAATGTATTTATCATCACATGTGTGACAATTTCAATAACCAAGAGGCGAGTACGTTTGCCAGCTTCACAACCAGGTAGCTAATTCAGGGCAGAAAACATGGCATGGTATTAGAAAGTTCCCTAAAACTTGAATATCCAGTGGTTCTGCGTATTTTCATATTACCCTTAATTAATTAAGATATGTCCAGTAAAAGAAAATATCATCTATCCAATACAAGAAAATATGATTTCACTTTTTGTGCTTTTATAACTTGGGGTTTATGTAACAGGGAATCTCCTCAACCGAGAAGTCGCATCGTCAAAGAAAATTAAATTTCAAAGTTGATAAACATTTTAAAACCAATTTCTAGATGTAATTTACATATATAAATATGCAATGATGGCGTAAAACAAAATTGTGTTGATTAAAGAAAGTTAAATGTCATGGGAAAGGTAAAAGAGGAGAATCTGCTAATAAAGAGAAATCCATAATAAAGATGTAAACAAAAATGTCAAGAGTTCATCTATTTCAAACTGTTCAAATGTTAAGGCTAAAAAAATCATTCAATAAACACTAGATCAATAGTTCTCCTTAACACCTGTGGGACAAACAAAAAGGTTATTGCCTCTAATTTATAACATTTAATTGTGTGGTAATCTACAAACAGAACTGAGATTTTAGTAGTACTGTACTTCTATTCAATTTGGCATCCGTTTTGATTTAGCAGATCCGCCTTCTTGTTAAAGTCCGCCATTAAGTAGCTGCCAAATCAGTAATTTTATTTCAATGTACATTAGTACCGTTAGTGCATTGTAATATTGCAAGTCCGCCAAATTAAAAGGCAGCAAATCCACCAGAAAATGTTGTGCCAAAGTAGAAGTACAGTAAATCAGTCAAATACTTTATAATTTGACCATGTTTCTTAAATGACAAAAACAGATAAAATCACAATTTAGCTACTTACTAAGATTAAATCCTTGAGAGAACTGTTTAATTTGTATCAGATTCGGGAAGATGTTAATGTAGTAGGCTGACAGTTGTCTTTTAGAGTGTGAGAGTCACTTATAAAAAAAAGAGATATATCACATCATATTAGTGACTCCCTAGTATTAGAACAGCTGGGTGCTACATCCTGTTGTTTGCATCCTGACAAAAGGTGAGCCATTGAGATAGTTTGACCAAAACTTGTAAAATTAGGATTTCACACCCATTGAGAAAAACCTTTAGGTTATCAATTTTTCATTGTTAAAGTTTCAAATTATATACAGAGATATTTCATTTTGACTTTGCTTATTCATTAAATTAACATTTTGCTGAGTATCAACACAACATATGTGGTTCTAACCCAAGTTTTCAAATAGGCCTTAGAGTTAGCTTTAATGTCCTGTTTAAGAACACCTATTCCTACTTTGGAAAATGGATTCTACCAATACACTCCCACATGAATCGAAAATCAACTTGAATTATTTAGAAAATGAGGATTTTGGCAATGGTGCCATTGACTTAACATGGGGATGTGACTTTAATCCTGCATATCTGCATACACACAATGTACTATACAGAGAATATACACAATACACAAAGAAAATGATTACAACTTAAGCCCCATCATCTCAGTCAACAGTAATTTTACACTATTGTATTTGTAAGACAAATATAGATTGACAGCCAACTTTCAGGAACCGTTGAGATAATCAAGTCAAAAGAAAGAAATGGAAAGAAAATAATGCAAAATCAATGGAAGCTGATGTATTTATCCTCCAATCTAACACAAACGGATATACCCCATGATTCTAATGAACATTATACAATGCAAAATCAAGAAAAATAGAAGTCCTTGTGATGAGCAATTCTTACATGTGTGTTAAAAATATTCCTAACTTCTAAAAATCTGAGAAAGCCAACAAGTTCATTCAAAATTTAGGGAGAAACGAATGCAATAAGCAAGAACATATTGCCACTTTAAGCCTGGGATATTTGGTAGAGGTATTGGTTCCACTCTCCAAGTTAGTCTCAAGTATATTGATTTGGCAGAAAGTCAGTTAATCTCCTGTAACGATTAGTCAATTACAGCAAAATGGTACCACAGTTTCTTATGCATAATCAATGAATATAAAATAGTAAGATTTGAGATCAAAGTAGATAATGTATTACTTTGATTGATTGAATTAAGTAAGTAACTGGATTCTAAGAATTGATAAACAAGGCACTAAAGGGAGAATCGGATCCATTGAGATTGACAAAATTGCAAGCAACAAGTACAACTGACATGCAAATATATTCCTTACAGTCTCAAATATAATATCTCAAAAGATCCTCAAAATGTGAGGATTCAAAGTTCCAAAATGGGGTAAAATTGACTAAACTCTCCCAAATCAAAAAAAATGGTAACCAATAACCATGAAATAGAAAAATGAATGTATTATTGTAAAATTCTTAAGTTTTCCTCAAATACAGTAAATAAAAGGTAGCAATTAGATATACCATTTATAAAGACGTAGAAATTGGTGAAATAAAACTTTAAACTATGCAACATGCATGATCGTTAAATTATAAAATACAATTGCATACAACATTACAAATACACATCTATAGCAATTTGAACTTTTTGAATACCCCACTTACACTTTACCAAATTTGATGATCAAACAAAAATCGATGCACTCCTCTGATAATACAGTATTGAGATCAATTGAGACGGACAAGGGTTGCATATAAGTGGCATTTAGTATTGATTTCATCTCAGCAATATAATTTGGATATTGATTCTATACTATACTAAGTCTCAGATTTGGCCCAGCTTACACTAAGCCTCAATAGCATTTTGTTTCTGTAGTGATCTATGTTTTTTCTCTAACTAATGTAATAAAAATTCCAAAAAGTCAAAATTAGAGAGATTTTACACATAAAGCTGATTTAATGATACATACCGAATTCTCTCGAATGAGCATGCAGAGCAATTTCCAAATTGAAATTCAAAAGGGTAAGATATTGAGAGATTCCACATATATAAAAATTTAGAAAACAAAAGATATTCCCAATGATCTTTCTAATTGTTATCATTAAGGTTTACAAACTCTACAGCTCCTGTATTTCTTTCTCTTGCAGTATTAAATATAATCATTAATTGATACCTTGTTATGTAAATAACCAAAACTAATGCATTATTAATTTAGTGTTTTATTGAGACCATCTTCAATATAAAGTCACATGTGGTGCTCGTTGGAACTGTGCGCTCATTAGAGAGAATACAGTATTTCAAAGTTACTACAATCAATGAAATATAATTGAGAGATTTTCTAAAACTAATATGTATATGAACAGTATGAATGTTATAATGAAGAAAGGTTTAGGCCTGTCAGATATTCTGTCTGATATATTGATCATTGTGTCATCTTATGAACAAAGCTTGGATGATAAATCATATGGCCACATGCCATATACAGTATCTCTTACATATATTTCATTGTGTTGTGTCAATGGATAAACTCTGTTTATTAGAGAGATTATCTATTTATTTTGTTACCTCTTCATTTAAAATAAATTTAGTTCTCTCAAGTTTCTCATAATATAGTTATAAATAAAACTAATAGGCAAAAAAGAATCTCACATTGTTCATTGTGTATTGTAAATAGCTAAACCCTGTTTCTTGAGAAATCATTTCTTACTTTGTTCATCTCTTCATTTAAATTTAATTATAAATACAATTACTGTAATAGGCAAATGAAATTTATCTTGAGTATATTCAATTTATTTCATTGTTTAAATTTTTATACAAGATGGCTGCTGATCACCTTAATGGCATCATAGGTTAAAAATATTGAAGAACTTTATAAGAATAAGTGACAACTAAGCTTGAAAAACATCTCTACAACTACAATTGCAAAAAGTTTAAAAAATAAATGTTTACAAGCATGGACTAAAAATCTACCCAAATTTTCATTCAGAAAATATAAGATTTTCTTTATTTCATTTGATTTGGTACATTCAAAACAAATATACATGAATGTATACCTGACTTAAAACTGAACAAGATATAGCGGGAAACAAGCTTCTGTTGTTTTCAACAAAGCACTTTTTCAAAGAATTTCAGAACAGTTTTCACGACAAAATTTTAATACCCAATAATTTGGCATATTATATAATTTGGCATATTATTTTCATTTTGTTGTAAACGGAAATTCCCATGAAACCCCAATATCGAATATCTCGTTTAAAGATTAAGAAATTTTGAATTTTCGAAATTATGAAATTTATTTTTGATTTCCTTCCATACTAGCCCTATTTTTACTGTTAGATATGTATATATATTACACACTTGAAAATACAGAATATTTCTATAGTACATTACATGCACTTACTTTAAGTATCGTCTTAAGTTCATCGAATACCCGATGTACCTCTTCTTTCAGCAACCAATCAAATTCTGTCCGCTGAAAAACAACCAAACGTGGCATTTATTAAATCTGCCTTTTTTAAGGCTAGATTTAAGATGGCTACCTACAATCAAATAAATACTCTTTATTAAATCACTGTCATATTCCCCACTCTCTCATTGGTCTACACATTACACATAACATAAAAATAAGAAGCCTGTGAGGTCAGAAAAAGGCATATTCAACGGGCGTATTCACCAGGTGTGACATTTCATCCAGTGTAAATCTGAAAGTGATATCATATGTAAAAAATTGAATCATTAATCTTGTTCTTATAAGACATGCCCAACAGTAAGAGAGTGGTGAATTTAACAGTCAATAGTAAAACAAATATTTCATCCTTTTGGGTTTCTGGGAATACATGTTGCAAGAATCATTGAAAGATGAACAGAAATTCACCTCAGTGGTAAGAAATATTTGTATATTATACATATTTAGTTGAATAACATTTTTGAATCATCAGAGGATAGTACATGCATGTATTTAAAAAGGGTGTATTGATTTACAGATTTTTCAGCCACCCTGTATATTTATATTACAGGTACTGAAACTATGTCACAACAAGATCGAAGATTTAGCAGATTTGGTATACAACCCCCCTTCCCTCATCCACCTTGGCCTAGGACAGTTATACTTCAAATCTTCCGAACAACTCTCTTTCAAAATCATAATACATCATGAACTATCATCAGGGGTGGGATCCAAAGAATTATCCATAATGGGGATCAAGTTAATTTTCATAAAATACTTGTGTGTAGAAATCTTAATATATTTTTACCACAGATTTTTCATTACATGTATCATGCAATTGACGGGTCCAACTTCTCAGGCTGTATCGAAACCACTACGTCTCACAAAACCGTTTAAATTATAAATGTTCCAGGACCCGGTATTAGAAAATCAAGGTTGTGAGTCTCATTGTGCAACATTTTTCTTCAAAATTGTTTCATTAAAAGCAAAATAAAAATGCGTTTCTTTTTTGCATGCTTAATTGTGTTTTTGTGGTAATGGAGCTGTCACACTTAGGCAGTGTGGGCTCACTGTTCCCCATCATGTACAGTGGTGTAACCAGGAATTTGATACCAGGTATGCGGGGCTGAAGGTCAAGCAAAACATGGGGGTCCGGGGACATGCCCCTCGGAAAATTTTTGATTCCAGACATAAATGGTGTGTTCTGAGTGATATCAGACTGTGTAATGGGGTACTACTCCATCATTAAGGGTAAGCATCTGCATACATTGTACCCTACCGAATGTCTGGTCACACGCCGGAAGTGAATACTTTGGGGAGATGATGGGACACAATAAGGATACATTGGGCAAAATATAGTTTTATGGAAAGATATCCCCATCACGACTGCATATGACTCCCCCTGAGATGAGCTGTACCGTGTCATGTAATACTGGCTGGAATTCACTGCCTCAAAAAGGAAAGTTAGCGCCTCACAAAATTGTGCTAAGTAATAGTCTATACATACAGTTCAATGTATTGCATTAGTAAAAGTAATTTAGTACCAAATAAAGCATCCCCCTTCAATAATGTCAATAGATCTAACAGAAATGTTCATGCAAACTTCAAACGTATCTATCTCAGTGAATTTAGTGAGATATGCACCCAATTTTTGAGAGTAGGTGCATTGATATGCAGTACGTATTATTATTGAGTCTTTCTATAGCTTCAACATACCAAATGACAATAAAAACTAATTTTGTAACTCACCAAATTATCCACCTCCTCTGTTTTCTCTGCCATAGTTGCGCTATAACCAAAACTATGATGAAACGGAAAACACATTTTTTGATTTTATGGATTTAATTAGTTTGTCACTCTGTAGTAAATGCTGATCAATAACTATTTTGGAACTTAAATTTCAATAGTAAAAATTAACATGACTATTTTTGGATCAACTGATAATATTACGATAATATTTTCTTTCGACTTTCATAAATTTCGCCATTTATCTAAAGGTTATGTTTTGATGTCAAAGGTCAAGTTTGTATATCATCAAGGTCAGTTGCACATAAAAGTTCTTAAATCTGTCAAAACTTTCAATTGGATTATACGACCAAATACACACTCGATGGCTCTAATTTTTACGAAAACTAGTAGAATACTTTCAAATGCACTAAGATGCAACAAAGAAAGTATTGTTATTGTCCAGCGAGGACAGAATACAACTGTTAATATGGGAGAAGAAAATGTTAAAAATCTTAAAAGTGAACAAGGTGCAGCATTGGACAGTATTGACCTGCAATTTAAAGATATAGATGCAGCCTACAAAACCAAATCTACTTGGGAAATAATCAGAGCGTTGGTCATACTTCGAACTTGTTCCTACAATTACTTTGTGGACAATAGCGTAAAGGTATCAAATCTTTCACAGTGACACTCAGTTGAAGTTTGATCTGGGCGTGTTTCATGAACTTATGAATTATAGAACATGATGTGTCGTTAGGCTTGCCCGATTTATACTGTCGTTGACTGTAAAAATCTTTTGAAATACCGAATAATTTTCCCTCAATTGCAAAAATGAAATTACTCAATTGCAAAAATCGAAAAGTCCCATCCCACGGATTTTGAAAAGGGCAATCTAAATGTACGACAATGTCATGTATCCAAGCAGGCCCGTGGCCAGGATTTACCAAGGGGCGAGGGGGGTTCACATTTTGGAAAAGGGTTGGTTGGGCCTGTCAAGTCACATAATCTTCAATTTGTTTCCACCAATCACGGAAAGTGCCAAAGATTTATGTCGCCACTTTCATGAACTGTTTCAGTTGGTTGGGCCCATTGCTATATTTCTTTTATATTTCAGTTCCTAGGTTTGAGCCAAAGATTCCTTGGAAGATCTCTAACTGACTTTGTTGTGAAGCCGACCTTTTATGGGCACTTTGTGGCAGGGGACACCCCCGAATCTATCACAAGTACTGTTCGGAAACTGAAATCTGGGGGTGTGCGTCCCATGTTGGCAGTTCCTATGGAGGAGGATGTGAATGAAAACATACCAATGTGAGTCTTAAAGATTCAAATATAATATGCTAAAGTTTTACATGTACATATATGTACTGTAGGTACGTTAAATGTACACACATTGGATATATACCTTTACATATGTATGCTGTATATTGAAAGATTTCAAAAATTATTGTCGAACATATTTTGCCCGTTTTGTAAAGTTTATTATTGAAATTAAAGTTCATCCAAAAGTAGCTTATTTCTTATTCACACAGAACACAGTATTTCATATAACTGCACTGCATTATATAACCAACAACCACATCCAAGGTCATTGTTCTGCAGGTCATATGGTAAGTATTGTATGGTTGTCAAGGTGATAATCCATGATGCTGATTGACTGACACAAATAGAATTTACAGCTTGACCCTCGCAAAATGTTTCCTTGAAAATATATCCTCTTAAGTCATTTCATATCTTTTAAGTGATATTGTATAAATTATTTTGCAATGTGTGAAAATAATCTAAGCCCAAGACTCAATGCATTGTGGCTGATTCACTCCAATCAGGCATTGTTTCCTAAACTTTACATTCCTGATGCGTGCTGGCAAAGATTTGAAAACAACACCTTCAAGAGGAATGATTCAGCACACAATGCATTGAGTCCAGGGCTTAAATCCTTAAATATAGCTACTTCTTACCCTTCACAATAGAATAGGTGAACTTTATTTACTTTCTTGAATGTATGATTTTTAATCTAACCTGTTGAAATACTTCCCATATCATCTCATAATACTACAGTACATGTACAGCATTTAGTTTTACAATTTTGATTATTTACGTAATTACATTTAAAATAGTCTTATTTGACAATGGGATGTCACAATAACAACGATACACGATTTTCTGGTTTATCATTCTGATACTCATAGCATCTTTCTGTTTCACCTCAGGGCTGAGAAGAAATGAGATTTCATGGTTTATCATGATGGGTTTTAATTGGCTGTGCATGATTAGACCACAAAATTAAAATATTTATTTTTCTGATTTGTTTGGCAAAAGCATAATACAAAGACCCATAGGCCCTAGTTTATTTATGGTATATACAAGTACATATACATGACCTTAGATTTTATTCTACTTGTTAAATTAACAATGACTTGAAAAAACATGAGGATCAAATATTGTGCCATAAATTAAACATTTTGATTATTTATTCCTTTTTATGTCCCCACCACATAGTCCCACCACATAGTGTGGGGCCATATTGTCGGCCTAGGCGCGTCCGTCTGTCCGTCCGTCTGTCTGTCCGTCTGTCTGTCCGTCTGTCTGTCCGTCCGTACGTCCGGCAGTTTTCTCCAAAACCGCTACAGATATCACCTTCAAATTTTCAGGGATAACTTATGAGTGCATACAGATGTGGATGAAAAAAAAATAACTCGATACCTACTTCCTGTCAGCCATTTTGAAGTCAAATGCTAAAATCCTTGTCTGCAAACTTCAAGAAAAACGGCTTCACAGTTGCTTTTAAAACTTTAACATCTTGTTCAGCTCACTTCATTCTAGATCTGATTAGGTTTTGGACCTGTTAGCTCAATCATGTCAGCCATTTTGAATGTTTTAAGAAAAGTTAGCGCACGATAATACTTTGTATCATATTGAATGGTGTTTTTCAGTTTTCATACTTTAACTTTTTAGTAGCTTTATAAATAATTTCAGGTGTACTTTGTTGTAAAAGCTTATGTTATTGTTAACAGTAGTTATATGTGATAATTTTGAAAAAAGATTTCAGCAAAAACTCATAATCACTTTTTTATTGTCGGCCATTTTGGATTTTTCCGTCCTAAAATCTTGTCTGTAAAGTCTTGTCTACGCGTTTTCAGGTGAACCGTTTGGTAGATCAATTTCAAATTTTCAGGGATGATTCTTAGTATGAGAATCTAGATCTGATTAGTTTTTGGGCATTCTGGGTAAATGTCAAGGCAGCCATTTTGGATTTTCCGTCCTAAAATCTTGTCTGTAAAGTCTTGTCTACGCATTTTCAGATGAACCATTTGGTAGATCAATTTCAAATTTTCAGGGATGATTCTCAGTATGAAAATCTAGATCTGATTATTTTTACGGCATTCTGGATAAATGTCAAGGCAGCCATTTTGGATTTTCCGTCTTAAAATCTTGCCCGTAAAGTCTTGTCTACACGTTTTTAGGTGAACCGTTTGGTAGATCAATTTCAAATTTTCAGGGATGATTCTTAGTATGAAAATCTAGAACTGATTAGTTTTTGGGCATTCTGGGTAAATGTCAAGGCAGCCATTTTGGATTTTCTGTCCTCAAATCTTGTCTGTAAAGTCTAATTGTTTACATGTTTTCTGGTTAACTGTGTGACGGATCAATTTCAAATTTTCAGGGGTGGTTCTTAGTATGAAAATCTAGAACTGACTAATTTTTTGGCATTCTTGGTAAATTTTAAGTTGCCCATTTTGGATTCTCCGTCCTCAAATTGTGTCGGTAAAGTCTTGTCTACTCATTTTTAGGATAACCATTTGACAGGATCACCCATAGGTGGGGACATATTGTACACATTTGTGTTCTTGTTGTATTTTCTTGACAGGGATGAGAAGTATGGGAGAAACCTTTCTGCAATCTTGGATTGTATCCTGTTGTCTCGTCATGTAGAGGAATCTCGTCCCATGATGCAACTCAAAGTAACTGCTCTCATCCCAGCAGACCTTGTTGTAAGGCTCTCTCATTTTGTATCGTTCAAATATTGGCTCTTTAAATACTTTACAAAAAGTTATTGGGTATAATGTTATGATGATAAACATAGAAACGAGGTTATTCTAAACTTTGTATCATATTTTTTTATTTAGTGTATTGTGCTTGCTCATGAATGAGTCTTATTAACACAATCACATGTATTTAGCTCATTTTTTCTTCAATTAAAGGCAAAGTTGACTATTCTCTACAATGAAGAGAAAATAACTGTAGAGGAGATAGCAGCCTACATGGAGACTGGAGCATTGGTAAGGGAAATAACTACATGTACCTGTATTATAGTAGTTCCAGGCCCAAAGCCAGCTTTTGTCAAGGGGGTTCACTTTTTAAACCCCCCCCCTCTCCCTGTTCAGGGTGTCTATTGTTTTAACCTATTGTATTAACCTGCGCCCCATTAGAAATCTATGGATTATTCATTTGAATGTGAAAAAGACCTATAGTAGAAATGAGTTGCTCAGAGCTCAACATTTGAAAGGTTTTATTGAAATAAAAAATTTAAAGTATTGATCGCAATGCTCATTAGAACGTGGATGGCTTCACAAATATGAAATCATGTTTTGAAAATTAGATTCTAAAGATGAATTAAAGTTTTTTGAAATAAATAAAAAAATCTGTTGTATAAATTTTTAAACTGTAACAAGATTCTGAAAAATATTAATGTTCATGTTGTCAAGCGTCATTTGAACACATTTAAGGTCCTTTTCTTGTCTTGTTTATACCTCAAGAGACCAATCTGTGAATCTGTGTACTTGTACATGAATACAGCGCTGTACATTCTCATGCTATTAGAAGTACAGTATATGCCAGAATCCATTTTTAAATGCTTGTATATTTTAAACATAAAACTCTTGATAAACTCCATTTACCCCATTCATAAAGGTATTTTTGAAATCACTACCACATTATTATCTATACAGAAGATGAAAAACATTTTTTTTGTAAAATTTAGTGAGGCATCTGTCTATAGCAAAACTTTTATCTTTAGAATTAAAAAATATTATCACTCTCTAACAAATTAGATATGATAATTCAGGTACTAGGGTGTAATGATATTAATTATACAGGTTTTAGATCTCTACAATAACATCAATTGATGGTAAGTAGTAATACAAGTTTATAGAAGTTGATTGTTTGCTTCTATCCATAGGCTGTAAAGAATAAAGATGATGTTTTTTAGTTTTTTAGTATGTTTGGCTTACTTAATTAACATTTAACAGATATCTTAATATAGATATGCTATATTGTTAAATACAAAAGCTTTGTTAACACTTTAAGAATACCCATGATTGGATGCATTGAATCTCATGTTTTTTTATAAAGTTTTCTTGCACATTCTAATGCACAATTTTGCATGTACAGTATGTATCCAATAATATATTTAAAACAATTGTTTGTTAATTTGTATTTCTAGTTGTTTGTATTGTAGTGTATTTTGAATAAATGCCCAAATATATGAACTTAAATGTTTATGCTTAAAGTGGCAGCAAAGAATTGAGACTCTAAAATGTTGGAAGCAATCTTTTCAAAAACCATGCCAATGTTTCCCTTGCAATTCTAATCTTATGACTATTTGAGGATTGATCTAAAGACAAACAAGTTTCAAGATTCATAAAAATTGTATCTACCTTTTAAAATTATTATCATTATTTGCGAAATAAAATCAGAACTTTTTGACTTTTTAGAAGATAGGTGAATTGTGATAATTTTTTCTCAACTTATCTCTGGTCTTTGCCACCCCTTTAAGTTTGTGTGAACTACAACATTTAGTGTCATATCTGAAAAGTTTTAAATGAGTCCAAATATTGACAGTTGGGGAAAAACATTATTTATTATGTTTGGGAAACCAAAACAATAACATATTTTCTTCAACTATTACAATATGTTGGCATTTTATTAAGTTCCAGGCCTATTGAAACGTGTAATTTCTCAATGATTGGAACATATATTCAAACTAGCTTTGCATTAGGCCTTTAAGGACAACTACAACTCTGTGCATCAGATTAACATTGTATAATGATCATGGTATTCTATTCTATAATGAAAAGATTGCTTACTGTATTCTTCACCCCCTCTTTAAGTTCGGCAATTGACCCAGAGTCCCCATTAGAAAGTGTTTTAAAGCCTTTTCATGGTTGAATCTAATTTTGTTCCTCAGTTACAATTGGTAGACTTATGACTGCTGAATCTGTTCAAATTGCCCAAAACTTAATAAACATATTTTTAAAGGGGATCTCCAAATTTTTAAACTTTTAGAGGGGAGCGTATGTTCATTCTGATTGTTTTAATGGAAAAATTAGTCTTGCTTAAAAGACCCTGTACTCCCCCCCCCCCCCCCTTTATCCTTCTCTCTAGGTATATTGCAGGTAGAGTGAAGGTAACGGGGGGGGGGGGATACAGTCTTTGAGCAAGACTATGGAAAAATAAAAGACGATATCAAGGGTGTGTTATCAACATAAATAATATATAAAAAACAAAAATGACATGTTATGGGTGTAGAATATACTGATAATATTTTATCAAATTGTAAATTATTTCACTTTTATCAAAGATATCAAAGATATAACTTTATATTGCACCTTTATTACACTGCACATGGACTGCCTCATGTACTTGATTGTCAATTGTTGCAAACTACCTACTGAGATCAAACATTCAACTGAACAAAAATAATTCATCTGCAAATTGTGAAATGAAATAATAAAATGTTCTGCAACTGCCCCAATCTTTTTTTGTAAAACAACAGTTTTTACTTTTTTGTTGCATTTAGGTTAAAAATGAGTGCCTCGATGAAGAGGAACTTTCGCAACTACATAAAGGACTTGATAGATTGGCCCAAGTCGGAAAGGTATTGAACATTATTATAGCTTCTGTTTACAATATACAGTAAAACCTGTCTAAGTGGAACACCTTTGGTACCCATAAAAAGTGTTCCACTTGAGAGGTGTTCCACTTATAGAGGTTTATTTAACATTAAGTCAGTTGGTCTTAGGACTTTTAAAAGTGTTCCACTTACAGAGGTGTTACCCTTCTAGAGATGTTCCACTTATAGGTTTCACTGTACCACAAGTCAATATGCTACAAGTCTTACTATCTGTACAGTATATGTTCTACATTAATATGAAGTAAAATAAAAAATAAATATAAAAATAAAAAATCTTTTCTCGGACTCCCAGGTTTTATTTTGAGATTTTTTAATTGTCTCCACAAATTACTTCATGTAGTGAAATATAGAATGAGTAAAGATATAATATGATAGTAATAACTAAGGCTCCAATTCTCTGGGGTGGTGACATTTTGCATGTTAATGCCTTCTTTATATTTGATATAATTTAATTACATGTAGTTTAATAGTTTCACTAGAATTTCTCACAACAGGCAAAATTAATGGAAATCATGAATTTAACATGGAAAAGTTGAAAAGTCCCAAAAAACAACAGGCAATTTTGTGTAAACAACCGGTGAAAATCACCTGTTGCCTGCTGCTAATGAAACTCCTGTTTATACTACATAGTTAGCAGTTGAGAAGAAAGTGAGGGTTCTAGTTGATGCAGAGTACACATACCTGAACCCTGGAATGTCCCTTGTCACCTTAGCAATGATGGTGCTCTACAACAAGCAGACTCCCTGGATTTGGAACACATATCAATGCTACTTAAAGGTATTTACTGTCAACTTATCAGTATCCAATCAAGTGAACTCACAAAATCTCTGATCCATTATACACAGCTGGTCATAGTTAAAGAATTACATGTACATAGTACAAAGCTGGTCATAGTTAAAGAACTCGACCCTTTCAGTCAGGGGTGCGATTGTGGCATTAGCAAGGGAAAACAAATTTTTTTTTAAGATTTGTTTTGAATTTTACAAAATTGATGCAACTTCCTTCAAAATTGAGCCACAAGCTTCTAATAAAAAGCATTTTAAAGCTCCTATCTTCCTCTATGTAATGCTTATATCGTAAAGTGACTTACTACCTATTTACAGGACCATATCAACACAATATTTCTTTTTGCAATGATTGTCATTTACATGTTTTGTATTTGTTTTTCTAGATACATGGAATTTCATTTTTCTATTTGTTACATTTTTTCCTTTTTATTGTGTATCAGGGTGCATTATCCAGCATCCGTGCAGAGCTCGACGTTACAAAACGCCACAATGTCTGTTTTGGAGCAAAGATTGTCAGAGGTGCCTACATGGAGAAAGAGAAACTGCTCGCTCTGAATGAGCAAAGAGAGGATCCAATCAACCCTTCATTAGATGCTACAGGTAAAAATTACTTAAAGGGATATCCCACTCCAACATTGTGTCTTATTATAGCCTTAATATTTCATGCCTGTAGCCAGCGGGGGTTCGAGAGGTTCGTGCGAACCCCCGGTCAAAAATTCCCAAAAGTTCATGAAATAAATTAGATAAGATTTAACCCATCAATGAGAAACCATGGCCTTCATATTTCTTGTTAAAGGCAGAATGTGATGAGTATCAGAATGGATTTAACCATTTACTGTGCTCATGTGGGGCTATGTAGCGTATGCCTGGCGGTCACATTTGCTCCGATCCATCGGCCGGCTTCTAATGTTTCGTTCAAATTTGTATTCAATTTTGAACAAAACACTCAATCTGCACTCAATCGTCACTTCCATTACATTATGGAATCCAACTGTTCTAGCACCATCCACATTATGGCGCTTCAAACGCGTGTGCCATCCCCAATAATGGCGCAATTGCTCAAGCACCATCCACATTATGGGGCTTTCAGACTCGAGCGCCATCCACATTATGGCGCTCCAGACTCCAGCACCATTCACATTATGGGGCTTTACCATGGGCTAAGGGCGATAGAAATCATTTTTTAATAAAGATGTCATGGTAATCGATCTGTGTTTATCTATGTTTCTCTTTAGAAAAAAAGATAATACTGGATTCTGTTGGTGCTGCCATCTCTATATCCGCCCAGAACCTATGGGCTTTACGAACCAAGCACCATTCACATTATGGGGCTTACAGACCTAAGTACCATCCATATTATGGCGCTTTCAGACTAACGCGGCACCATCAACATTATGGTGTTTTCAAATATAGCACCATCCACATAATTATCGGGCTACTGATTTTCATTTGCCTTGAAGGAGAATTCAACTTTCATTCACAAGCCGCAAACAACGCGACTTCATACGCAAGAGAGTGTCACAGTCAATTCATGAGATGCCCATGCAGATGCCAACATGTTTGTATATACTTATGTTAAGAGATTAATATTATTATTATAACATGCATTTTTATATATATTTGTTTGTTTCCTATAAATCGAAGCAAATGTGACCAAGGCATGTGTCCTGTTCGAAACTATAACAAGGCCAGTGTGAAAGAAATGATGGGCCCAGGGATTATGGTCCCCTTTCTTATCGGCCCTTACTGGCCCTGATTGTGTATAAGATAATGAGGGAAAGAGTTGTATTTAGGTTACCATATAAATCGGAGAGTAGGACCATAATTTGATAGGAACTTCTACCCTTTTACACCTGGTCTAGTAGGAGCAAAATCATTTCGACATCAGGATATTAAACCATAGGCTCAGGGGCGATAGAAATCATTTTTAAATAAAGATGGCATGGTAATCGTTCTGTGTTTATCTGTGTTTCTCTTTAAAGAAAAAGATAATACTGGATTCTGTTGGTGCTGCCATCTTTATATCGGCCCAGAACCTATGATAAAAACAGTAATTGGCCATTTAATTCAATCATAACAATAGATTTTTTTCTGAAAAGTTTCGAATTCACAATGAAGCAACGGTGTATCTTTTATAATCAATATTTTATAATGAAGTGTATTTTTGAATTTAAATCTTAAATAAAATAAGATTAGCGTCAGAATGAAATGGATTACATACGCTATTACAATTTAATAAATGAGAATTGTAGGAACGGTATATACTCTTTTATAATCAATATTCAATCGTGCTATAATAGAATTCAACCATTTACTGTGATATATGTAACATATTAGTTCTGTTCGTATCTGTAATTGGAGCTCATGTGGTGTCTAGAAGCAAAATCATTTTATCCGAATATTATAGTAATACTAATTGGCCATTTAATTCAATTTTTAATGATGTTTTTTCTGAAAGGTTACGAATTCACAATGACGCAACAGTATATCTTTTAGAATCAATATTTTAATGAAGTGTATTTTTAAAATTTAAATCTTAAATAAAATAAGATTAGTGTCAGAATGAACTGATTACATATAACTGTATAACAATTAAAAAAGAAAGGATCGAACTTTATACTCTTTTATGATCAATATTTGATCGTGCTGAGTCTTGGCCCATATAGACAAACTAGTGACAAAAAAAGCTAACTTAAAGGGGCAATAAGGCTTGTAGAGAAAAAATAGGAAAATTTTAACTTTTTCTGAGCTATCAAGGCAACAGTTGGCTTAACATCTTCTTCGACATACCTATTTTCTTAAAATGTATGGATAAACTATCAACTTCGGCATTAAAAAGTGTAAATTCAGTTCAAAGCTTCAAAAAGGGGACGTCCACTTTTATATTTTTAAGATGCACCATGTTTCAAGAGGAATATAAGCTGAAATAATGATTATCTAGGGGGTTTCTTTGTAGAAAACAAAAATAGATGTTAGTCCTAGATGAATATCCAAACTTTAATACATTTTGACACTGGTCCATGATCGTTGAATGGCCCCTCTGCACTACTTGTTGCACCTTTAATTGACATTAAAAGTTAATCTTGCAGCAGAATTTGCAAGACGTATATGTTATTGCAAACAATTTTAGACGATTACATCTTTGATTATAACGCTCAGGCTGACCACGAAGATAGGCATATCTTTAAGATCCATTCATTATCCGAAGGAAAGTATGTCAATGATAATTAAGTAACTGAATTAGGTATTGCGCGCGGTGCAAATCTGGATGTAAATTTAACAAAAAGAGAACCCCACTTGAGAAATCCTGGCTACAGGCCTGTATTTATAGGTTTTTCTATGATTTTGAGGAATGTCGTTTTATCTACGAGGTGATATATTGATATCTGCACGATCACCGAGGACATAAAAATGATATCCTGAAAAATCATAGGTTGTTCTTATTATCCTTCAATTAGTGTACTAAATGCATATTTATCATTGAAAAATAAATTTCATAAAAAAATCAACAAGTGGAGTATATCATCGCAATATCCTCCGCATGTTGGTTTTCTGGAGTAAATTATGGCAATATCCTCCGCGTATTGGTTTTCCAGAGTATATGTCATAGTGATATCCTCCGCATATCAGTTTTCCACAGTATATTGTGGCGATATCCTCTGGTTATTCATTTTGCCAATAGATATCAAATTTATTTCATAATGTTATTGTGCATTTAGTACACTAAGTGTAGAATAATGCGTATTAGGATCTTCCCAAATGTTTGTTTTTAAATAAATAGTAAGGTTGATTCCACACTATAGGCCACTATAGACTTTAGTTAAGTTATTTTACCTGCACCTTATTAGTACTTAGTAATAAACTGCACATTTTGTTTATTTATTTAAACTAGTATACATATATGTATGTATTTAGACCTTACTGGCCCCCCTCCCCCTATCATTCTTTTTACTGGAAAATATTTTACTTCATTGTATTTGACTCAAGCTACAGTATTGTACCATGATATGCTGTAAATTGACTTTGTAGATTTTACATTCCGACCCCCTCTCCCCTCCACCCATTTTGTATTGTTATGAATTCATGGACTGGGGTAGCACTTAAAGTACAAAAGCTATGATGCACTATAGTCTAAAGTCTATAGTTATTATTATGGGATATATAACTAGTCTCTTTCCGACTTGTATCTAGCTAAAATCATTTTTAGATCCAACATCCAAGAACCTGCCCCCCTCATCTCATATTACTGACGCCCTCCCCCCCCACCCCCTCTTCCTCCAACTCCAATCCCTATGATGTAAGTTTTGGTTTCCCTAGGTGATATGTATAATGCAGTAGTCAATGCCATGCTTGAGCACATCAAAGATGTAGGAACAAAGTGTAATATAATTGTTGCCAGTAGCAATGAGGGTGCTGTCAGGACAACAATACAGAGGTAACCAGTTACCATAGTAACACCTTTCCAAAGTGAACACCTCAAAATATGTTCACATTTTATTTCAGCATTGTTGTTCGTCAACACATGTTATGTGTAGATTCTACAAGAATACCTCATTGTAAACCTTGAAAACCATTGCATAAGTATTACCTCAAGATGTAATAAATAGACAGTTTTAGACAGGTTGGGCCAAAAAAACAATAACAAAGTTTAAAGATCATATGATATATGTTAAATCATGCCATGTATTAAATATCATTTTAAAGGTAAATCATTTCCTAACAATATGACCATATGATTGCATTGTTTTCTTGCGGAGTTATGTCATACATGGCATGGTTTAAGATATATCATATGAATCTTTCATCTTTAAACTTGGGCATTGATTTTTTGGCCCATACTGTAGTATAAGGACAATTTGGAATGCTTATAGTCTACCCCTCCCTCCTCTATTTGCCCATGGGTATAGCAAGGCATGGGTCAAAAAATCTATTTAGACTATTCTTTTAACTGATGTTAGACATGTGACATTCTGAATTAGCCCCAAATTTACCACATAAACTGGACTCACAAGTACATCCAGTAGCATTATATTTATTTATTTATTTATTCATTTGTTTGCATCTTTGAAATGATGGCACAATGTTTTTAGAATCTTATCAACTTCGTTTGCCTCATCAATTCAAATTAGCCTCACCTTGTATTTAACCATGGTCATGCCTCAGCTCTAATTTGGGGAGATCACTGGGATGCCGTGCACTAACAATGCCATCTTAGAAGAATAGAGAAAAAGATTAAACATTTAAATATGTCGAGACTAAATAACCTTAGGGTATATTCTTTACCAAGATATCACCAAATCAAAAAGTTGAATAGTTAGTTGTTAAATGACAAAAATATATATTTTTCATTTTTACTTATTTGATATTTTATTCATATTAACTGTTGAGTAAGAATTTGAGTTCAAATACTCATAATTTTTAAAAAAATTGATGTAATATTTCCCATCAAAATCATATCGTATAATTTATTTGTTCTCCTAATAATTTTTCATCTGATTAGATTAGATATATAATTTTGTTTGGGATTAAAGCACTGGACAAAATGCTTTGTTTGAATTTATATTATATAACCATGCTTTACTGTTAGTCCCTGTATTAATAACTTTCCATATTTTATTCATATTAACTGTTGAGTAAGAATTTGAGTTCAAATACTTTTAATTTTCAAAAAAAAATTGATATTACATCTCCAATCAAAATCATATCATTGTATAATTTGTTCTACTATAATTTGTCTTCTGATCAAATTAGATTGCAATATCATTTTGTTTGGGATTAAAGCACTGGATAAAATGCTTTGTTTGAATTTGAAATGTTGTTATCTAATCATGCTTTACTGTTCTAGGCTTGATCAGCTTGGTATAGATCCAGGTGAAGACTCTGTGTGTTTTGGACAGCTGATGGGAATGGCTGACCATGTCTCATTTTCACTTGGTAAGCAGTATTGCAAAGACAAACAAATTGAGGATAAAAATTGATGCCTCTGTATTATAAATTTTCATCTTCTGACTTTTCAACACTAAATTTTAATTCATCTTTTTTATCTGCTTGTTTGATGAAAGCTTTAAACAGAACATATAGTATAGCTACTAAGATAAATTTTAAAACACATAAACAATATTAAAATGCTCACAAGAATAACATGTTTTACATCGCTATGATTTCTTGCAATGTTTAGGGTCTGCTGGATTCCCTGTCTACAAGTCTATGCCATAATTGCCATATGGTACACTGAAATAACATGTTTTACATCGCTATGATTTCTTTCAATGTTTAGGGTCTGCTGGTTTCCCTGTCTACAAGTCTATGCCATAATTGCCATATGGTACACTGAAATAACATGTTTTACATCGCTATGATTTCTTTCAATGTTTAGGGTCTGCTGGATTCCCTGTCTACAAGTCTATGCCATTTGGTACACTGGAATAACATGTTTTACATCACTATGATTTCTTTCAATGTTTAGGGTCTGCTGGATTCCCTGTCTACAAGTCTATGCCATTTGGTACACTGGAATAACATGTTTTACATCACTATGATTTCTTTCAATGTTTAGGGTCTGCTGGATTCCCTGTCTACAAGTCTATGCCATATGGTACACTGGAATAACATGTTTTACATCGCTATGATTTCTTGCAATGTTTAGGGTCTGCTGGATTCCCTGTCTACAAGTCTATGCCATAATTGCCATATGGTACACTGAAATAACATGTTTTACATCGCTATGATTTCTTGCAATGTTTAGGGTCTGCTGGATTCCCTGTCTACAAGTCTATGCCATAATTGCCATATGGTACACTGAAATAACATGTTTTACATCACTATGATTTCTTGCAATGTTTAGGGTCTGCTGGATTCCCTGTCTACAAGTCTATGCCATATGGTACACTGAAATAACATGTTTTACATCGCTATGATTTCTTACAATGTTTAGGGTCTGCTGGATTCCCTGTCTACAAGTCTATGCCATATGGTACACTGGAATAACATGTTTTACATCGCTATGATTTCTTGCAATGTTTAGGTTCTGCTGGATTCCCTGTCTACAAGTCTATGCCATATGGTACACTGGAATAACATGTTTTACATCGCTATGATTTCTTTCAATGTTTAGGGTCTGCTGGATTCCCTGTCTACAAGTCTATGCCATATGGTACACTGAAATAACATGTTTTACATCACTATGATTTCTTTCAATGTTTAGGTTCTGCTGGATTCCCTGTCTACAAGTCTATGCCATATGGTACACTGGAATAACATGTTTTACATCGCTATGATTTCTTTCAATGTTTAGGTTCTGCTGGATTCCCTGTCTACAAGTCTATGCCATATGGTACACTGGAATAACATGTTTTACATCACTATGATTTCTTTCAATGTTTAGGTTCTGCTGGATTCCCTGTCTACAAGTCTATGCCATATGGTACACTGGAATAACATGTTTTACATCGCTATGATTTCTTTCAATGTTTAGGTTCTGCTGGATTCCCTGTCTACAAGTCTATGCCATATGGTACACTGGAATAACATGTTTTACATCGCTATGATTTCTTTCAATGTTTAGGGTCTGCTGGATTCCCTGTCTACAAGTCTATGCCATTTGGTACACTGGAATAACATGTTTTACATCGCTATGATTTCTTGCTATGTTTAGGGTCTGCTGGATTCCCTGTCTACAAGTCTATGCCATATGGTACACTGAAATAACATGCTTTACATTGCTATGATTTCTTGCAATGTTTAGGGTCTGCTGGATTCCCTGTCTACAAGTCTATGCTATATGGTACACCGAAATAACATGTTTTACATCGCTATGATTTCTTTCAATGTTTAGGGTCTGCTGGTTTCCCTGTCTACAAGTCTATGCCATATATGGTACACCGAAATAACATGTTTTACATCGCTATGATTTCTTGCAATGTTTAGGGTCTGCTGGATATCCTGTCTACAAGTCTATGCCATATGGCACCCTGGAAAAACATGTTTTACATCACTATGATTTCTTACAATGTTTAGGGTCTGCTGGATTCCCTGTCTACAAGTCTATGCCATATGGTACAATGGAATAACATGTTTTACATCGCTATGATCTCTTACAATGTTTAGGATCTGCTAGATTTCCTGTCTACAAGTCTATGCCATATGGTACACTGAAATAACATGCTTTACATTGCTATGATTTCTTGCAATGTTTAGGGTCTGCTGGATTCCCTGTCTACAAGTCTATGCCATATGGTACAATGGAATAACATGTTTTACATCGCTATGATCTCTTACAATGTTTAGGATCTGCTAGATTCCCTGTCTACAAGTCTATGCCATATGGTACACTAAAATAACATGTTTAGGGTCTGCTGGATTCCCTGTCTACAAGTCTATGCCATATGGCACACTGGAATAACATGTTTTACATCGCTATGATTTCTTTCAATGTTTAGGGTCTGCTGGATTTCCTGTCTACAAGTCTATGCCAAGTCTAAACAATATTAAAATGCTCACAAGAATAACATGTTTTACATCGCTATGATTTCTTGCAATGTTTAGGGTCTGCTGGATTCCCTGTCTACAAGTCTATGCCATATGGTACACTGGAATAACATGCTTTACATCGCTATGATTTCTTGCAATGTTTAGGGTCTGCTGGATTCCCTGTCTACAAGTCTATGCCATATGGTACACTGGAATAACATGTTTTACATCACTATGATTTCTTTCAATGTTTAGGGTCTGCTGGATTCCCTGTCTACAAGTCTATGCCATATGGTACACCGAAATAACATGTTTTACATCGCTATGATTTCTTTCAATGTTTAGGGTCTGCTGGATTTCCTGTCTACAAGTCTATGCCATATGGTACACCGAAATAACATGTTTTACATTGCTATGATTTCTTGCAATGTTTAGGTTCTGCTGGATTCCCTGTCTACAAGTCTATGCCATATGGTACACTGGAATAACATGTTTTACATCGCTATGATTTCTTGCAATGTTTAGGTTCTGCTGGATTCCCTGTCTACAAGTCTATGCCATATGGTACACTGGAATAACATGTTTTACATCGCTATGATTTCTTTCAATGTTTAGGGTCTGCTGGATTTCCTGTCTACAAGTCTATGCCATATGGTACACTGGAATAACATGTTTTACATCGCTATGATTTCTTTCAATGTTTAGGGTCTGCTGGATTTCCTGTCTACAAGTCTATGCCATATGGTACACTGGAGGACACAATCCCATACCTCTCTAGGAGGGCACAGGAGAACAGATCTGTGCTGCAGGGTAATACAAGATTTATTTTAAATTCAAGTATCCTCAGTAATCTATCCCTTAAGTACATCTCCATTAATTATGTCCCCACCACATAGTGTGGGGCCATATTGTCGGCCTAGGCGCGTCCGTCCGTCTGTCTGTCCGTCTGTCTGTCCGTCTGTCCGTACGTCCGGCAGTTTTCTCCAAAACCGCTACAGATATCACCTTCAAATTTTCAGGGATAACTTATGAGTGCATACAGATGTGGATCAAAAGAAATTAACTCGATACCAACTTCCTGTCGGCCATTTTGAAGTCAAATGCTAAAATCCTTGTCTGCACACTTTAAGAAAAATGGCTTCACAGTTGCTTTTAAAACTTTAACATCTTGTTCAGCTCACTTCATTCTAGATATGATTAGGTTTTGGACCTGTAAGCTCAGTCATGTCAGCCATTTTGAATGTTTTAAGAAAAGTTAGCGCACGATAATACTTTGTATCATATTGAATGGTGCTATTCAGTTTTCATACTTTAACTATTTAGTAGCTTTATAAATAATTTCAGGTGTACTTTGTTGTAAAAGCCTATGTTATTGTTAATAGTAGTTATATGTGATAATTTTGTTAAAAGAAATTAGCAAAAACTCATAATCACTTTTTTATTGTGGTCATTTTGGATTTTTTGGTCCTAAAATCTCGTGTGTAAAGTCTTGTCTACACGTTTTCAGATCAACCGTTTGGTGGATCAATTTCAAATTTTCAAGGATGATTCTTAGTATGAAAATCTAAATCTGATTAGTTTTTGGGCATTCTTGGTACATGTCAAGGCAGCCATTTTGGATTTTCCGTCCTAAAATCTTGTCAGTAAAGTCTTGTCTACGCATTTTCAGGTGAACCGTTTGGTAGATCAATTTCAAATTTTCAGGGATGATTCTCAGTATAAAAATCTAGATCTGATTAGTTTTTGGGCATTCTGGGTAAATGTCAAGGCAGCCATTTTAGATTTTCCATCCTCAAATCTTGTCTGTAAAGTCTTGTCTATGCATTTCCAGGTGAACCGTATGGTAGATCAATTTGAAATTTTCAGGGATGATTCTCAGTATGAAAATCTAGATCTCATTAGTTTTTATGCATTCTGGATAAATGTCAAGGCAGCCATTTTGGATTTTCCGTCTTAAAATCTTGCCCGTAAAGTCTTGTCTACAAGTTTTTAGGTGAACCGTTTGGTAGATCAATTTCAAGTCTTCAGGGATGATTCTTAGTATGAAAATCTAGATCTGATTAGTTTTTGGGCATTCTGGGTAAATGTCAAGGCAGCCATTTTGGATTTTCTGTCCTAAAATCTCGTCTGTAAAGTCTTGTCTACACATTTCCAGGTGAACTGTTTGGTAGATCAATTTCAAATTTTCAGGGATGATTCTTAGTATGAAAATCTAGATCTCATTAGTTTTTATGCATTCAGTATAAATGTCAAAGCAGCCATTTTTGATTTTCCGTCTCAAAATTTTGCCTGTAAAGTCTTGTCTACGCGTTTTTAGGTGAACCGTTAGGTAGATCAATTTCAAATTTTCAGGGATGATTCTTAGTATGGAAAACTATGTCAAGGCAGCCATTTTGGATTTTCTGTCCTAAAATCTTGTTTGTAAAGTTTTGTCTACGCATTTCCAGGTGAACCGTTTGGTAGATCAATTTTCAAATTTTCAGGGATGATTCTTAGTATGAAAATCTAGAACAGATTAGTTTTTGGGCATTCTGGATAAATGTCAAGGCAGCCATTTTGGATTTTAGGTCCTCAAATCTTGTCTGTAAAGTCTTGTTTACATGTTTTCTGGTTAACTGTGTGACGGATCAATTTCAAATTTTCAGGGGTGCTTCTTAGTATGAAAATCTAGGACTGACTAATTTTTGGGCATTCTGGGTAAATTTTAAGGTGGCCATATTGGATTTTCCATCCTCAAATTGTGTCGTTAAAGTCTTGTCTTATCATTTTTAGGATAACCATTTGATGGGATCACCCATAGGTGGGGACATTTTGTACACATTTGTGTTCTTTTTTGTATACTTCTTCAATAAAAAACCTCTTCATCTTTCCTCCTCAAGTTCCACTCCCCATTCATTAAGTATCTCTGTTCCCTCAAGTATTTCCCCAATGAAGTACAGTGTACTTCTTCCTCTTATAAACCTCTTCTTTTTTAGTACCATTCCCCATTAAGTATTCCTTTCCCTTATTCCCTCTCCTAATTAAATACTTCCTCTGTTGTATCTCTCCTCCTTAAGTACCAGTCGCCATTAGGTATATCTGTTCCCTTAGTACTTCGCCAATGAAGTACTTCTTCCTCTTATATACCTCTTCTCTTTTAGTAACATTCCCCATTAAGTATTCCTTTCCCTTATTACCTCTCCTAAATTAAGTACTTCCTCTGTTGTACCTCTCCTCCTTAAGTACCAGTCCCCATTAGGTATCTCTGTTCCCTTAAGTACTTCCCCAATGAAGTACTTCTTCCTCTTATATAACTCTTCTCTTTTAGTACCATTCCTATTCCTTTCCCTTATTCCCTCTCAATACTTCCTCTGTTGTACCTCTCCTCCTTAAGAACAAGTCCCCATTAGGTATCTGTGTTCCCTTAGTACTTCGCCAATGAAGTATTTCTTCCTCTTATATAACTCTTTTCGTACCAGTCCCCATTAAGTATTCCTTATTACCTCTCCTAATTAAGTACTTCCTCTGTTGTACCTCTCCTCCTTAAGTACCACTCCCAATTAGGTATCTCTGTTCCCTTAGTACTTCCCCAATGAAGTACTTCTTCCTCTTATATACCTCTTCCCTTTTAGTACCAGTCCCATTTAAGTATTCCTTTCCCTTATTACCTCTCCTAATTAAGTACTTCCTCTGTTGTACCTCTCCTCCTTAAGTGCCACTCCCCATTAAGTATCTCTTTCCTTTTAGAATCTCTTACTCAGTACTTCTTCCTCTTATGTACCTTTCCCTATCAAGTACTGTATTTATTTTTATAGTATCACTCTTGATGTATTCCCTCACAAGTAAATTTCATGATTTTGCTTTCTTATGTCACCACCACAAGTGTTTAAATATTGTTATAGTCTCCAACTTTTTGTGGATGGTGTTTGATGGTTGTTGTTTGGCAGTCTGTGTCTGTAACAAATGGCAGGTGGTGACATTTTGCATGTTAATGCCGTGTTGAAATTTGATTGATACAATCTATCAATTGATACATTGTATTTAAATGACATATTACTTAATTTAACTGTTTCTTCAAATTTATTTGACATTTAGGTGTGAGGAAAGAGAGGGATTTACTTTGGAGAGAGCTGAAGAAAAGGGTCAGAGGAAATACATCTAAGTCAATGAAAGCATTGTGAAATACCCCAGAGATATTTACCAAAGTCTGTGTCATCATTGTGACATACGCCAGAGGCAACTTATAAGTCCAAGTCATCATAGTGACATATACCAGAGGCACTTTATGAAACTCAATGTCAACATAGTGACATACCCCAGAGGCAATTTATGAAAGTCAGTGTCAACATAGTGACATACACCAGAGGCAACTTATTAAGTCCAAGACATCATAGTGACATATATCAGTGGCAATATATGAAAGTCAATGTCAACATAGTGACATACGCCAGAGGCAACTTATTAGTCCAAGTCATCATAGTGACATACACCAAAGGCAATTCATGAAAGTCAGTGTCATCATTGTGACATACAGTACACCAGAGGCAATATATAAAAGTCAATGTCAACATAGTGACATACACCAGAAGTCCAGGACATTATAGTGACATATACCAGAGGAAATATATGAGAGTCAGTGTCAACATAGTGATATGCATCAGAGACAACTTATTAATGTTATTCAATAAGTATTGCTAATTTTTCTATAACTTTTGTTCTCTTTGCTTTCTCTTCATGGAACTTTCACAACATAAGGTACATATATCTGACTTTGACCAATAAAAATTTCAAGTAAATTGACTAAGTATTAGTAAAGTTATGGTTACTAATGTCACCAGTGTCATGGATATGCGGGGCAAAGTTCTGACGTCACGTTGGACAACATTTTGAGTATTGAAAGCAGTATCATGTTATACTCTTGGGATATTCAGTGCAGTTACATATAATCCATTCCAGAGTCACTTCATGAACCATTTTCACTTCATGAGGTGCTCAAAAGAGGCAACCTTAGCGTCAATGCACAGTTGCTGTCTGGGGACCCACTCGTGGTACACATTTTTGAAGCCACCCTTGAAGCGTGTGGCTAGAGGGAGGTTTTCACTGCAGACATCAGTTGATTGAGATTCTGGTGTGATATTCCTCTCAGATCTCTTTTCACTGGGGCGAATACAGCAACATCAAGTGGGAAATTATCTGGTGAATATGTTGGTGGAGCAATGCTTCCATCCCAAGCTATGTTATTTTATTTTGGACAATAGAGGATCTGTGAGCAGGCCATTATCCTGGTGGAACCTACATGTACAGGTCGATATTGCTTGGCAGGACAGCCTTTCTATCAGCCATTTTGTTTCAAGGGGGTATGACATCATCATGCGACTATCATCTACTCCTTTGATAATTAATGTACTATGCATATTCTGATGTCATAGCTCTTCGTTAGATAATACATATAATTCAAACTGATGTATAACAAAAATTTATCATGTAAACCCTCAAGGTTGCCCCGCGTACCCATGACAATGGTTACTATAGTAACCATAACTTTGTCAATACTTAGTCGGTTGTCTGGTAAAATGGATAGGATAAGGTCAGATATGTGTTGCTTAGATTGTGCAAGTTTCATGAAGAAAAACGCAAGATAACAAAAGTTATTACAAAATTAGCAATACTTATTCAACGCCCTGTACAAAGAATGAAACTTAAAAACTAGGACATGCATGTATGTAATGGTTATGCACTGAGAGGTTTAACCATGTATCCAAAACCAACCATAGATAACAGCAGGCACAACAGATATATCCCATACTTACTGAAGTTCTAGGTACATTCTATTTTCTCAGGGCAATTTTGAAACAGCAGTTATATGAACTTTCTTTTAGGATTTGACATATACAAATGTATTCTAAAATTTTTTTTTTAAAGTTCATGTATTTTCATTTACCATCAGAGTATGTGTTATTGTGCATTCATTTATCTGTTGAATATTATACAAATGTTTTATTTTATTTAGGTGAATCTTTTACAAGTATAAGTCACCAAGCCCAAATAAATAGTTTTTCAATGATTTTAACATTGAAACAGAATATTAATTATGTAATATGTATATATAATATATTTATACAAGAGGTGATCCATATATGGTATTAGGTATAACAGCACTGATCATATGCCCGATGCCCATGTTACTGTATTTTACATGGACAGCCAAAGAATATTTAAACAACAACAATTCAATGAGACATGTTGCATCCAAAAATGAATGTGTTGTTTGTTATGTAATATGTATATATAATATATTTATGCAAGAGGTGGTCCATATATGGTATTAGGTATAACATCACTAAGCATATGCCCGATGCCCATGTTACTGTATTTTACATGGACAGCCAAAGAATATTTAAACAACAATAATTCAATGAGACATGTTGCATCCATAAATGAATGTGTTGTTTGTTATGTAATATGTATATATAATTTATTTATGCAAGAGGTGGTCCATATATGGTATTAGGTATAACATCACTAATCATATGCCCGATGTCCATGTTACTGTATCTTATATGGACAGTCAAAGAATATTTAAACAACAATAATTCAATGAGACATGTTGCATCCAAAAATGAATGTGTTGTCTGAAATTAATTTGAAATGTTTTAAGATGGGGCCTGCCTCTCGAAGTGAGCTATCCAAAACAGCATTACTGCTTTATCAAAAAATTCTACAGTCTATTCACTCAAAATTTTTATATACGATTTCCAGCAAAAATCTTTCAATTCTTTTGCTGGTCCCACCTTAGTTGACCAGATATACGCACCATATTTTAATAGATGATACGGCAACCGTACGGCGGTCATGGCTTTTCAAAATCGAAAAAAATATAAAAGCATAAAATATAGAGATAAGCAGTACGATGTAGAATTTCTATCAAATTTTGTGAATCGTCAGCCGCCATGCAATCGCCTTAGTGCAAATGTGACCGCGGATTCACTCATCATGTAGATGAGTTAGCTTTGTCTATTTCTTTTTGGATTCCTTTGCTTCTTATTGCATATGATATATTAATTTTGTAAAATATGAATGGTAGAGTTATTGTCGATATTGTCGTCCAAGGACTAGCATTTTAACTTTATCGGCTTATGATTTATGTTATGAAATATGGCAGGGAAATACGAGAGAATACCTCCCTGATTTGTGATATATTAAATCCATTTAAGATTATATCAGTAGTCTGTAACAAAATATATTTATTATATGCGGTTTTAATGGTGTTAGTTGGCCAGGGGATATTGGAATCATACTTTAAATTGATGAATGTAATGTATATACCAGTACATATTAAAAAATAAATTATTATATGCATTTAATCCACACAATTTTCATTGTTAATATTTTAACAGTTGTTAGATCAAGTCATCTACGATGGTCACATTTGACTATATACACGTATGCGTAAAACAATGAAACTTGAAATGTTCAAGATTGGAATCAGGCCAAATTGAACTGGATAATTATAAAATGATTTTGAAACACAACGACTTAATTTTCTCTACTCATACCTATATTACAGAATCATTTTAGCCCCCGTTTCTTTGCTATTATTTCTAAAAAAAAATCTCAATTCAGTCGTATTTATTTTATTACTTTATAAAGTAACATATATAAAGAGTAAATATGCATGTCTTGGATCAGTGTACTGAGCTTGAACCTGTTATGTGGTCAAAAAAGTATATAATAGGAAGAAATAAACCAACTGTTGGTCTGCCATGCTTTATTTTAATTGGATCTTTTTTTCCTTACTCGATTCGACTAAATTTAGGCCTATCACTAATTTCGTATAGGGTAAGGTAGGAAAAAAGCGGTCCAAAGATTGATCCTTGTGGCACGCCCCGGTTAATTAATACATTTTAAATACTTTTAAAATCTTTTTTACCCATTTATTTATATCGATAATAGAGTTTATGGCCTTTTATATCATGCTCTGGGGAAATATGAGGGGGCATATTTGATATTTTGCATATTAATCGACTGAATTGTCCCATTCACTATTTTCATATTATACCCATATTTGACTGTTTTGTACATGTAACGAGTTGAATTATCCCACATTGCTTTTGTATAATCTATACGGCTTCATTTGATATGTTGTTATAGTCTCCAACGGCACTTGTGATCGACGTCTGTAACAAATGGCGTTCAGCGTCTGTAACAAATGACAGGTGGTGACATTTTGCACTTTAATGCCTTGTTTTATTTTCACCCCGAATACTTTTAATGATGCACGTCCCTGTCTAAAATAATATCAGCTCGAATCGAAAACACCATACACTTTGTCTGCTATGATACGTGACATTGTGGCACCATCTATAGGGCGTTTGTGTTAACCAGTTACATAATCTCAGTCGTCTTCTAACAGCTTTCCATAGTTGAATGGGTTTGGAGATACTTCTTCATTTGCGTTGTATTTACCCCCTTCTTCTTTATCGGTGAGAAACTGAAAATATAATTTAATCATTGAAAGTTCTTTCCATAACTGAACAGGTATTTTAGGAATTTACAAACTATGTTATACCCATAACGAGGCCCAAAAGAGCCCGTAATGGACGAACCATATACTAGTTTGTACAGGGGTAAAAAACAGACCTCGTACGAGCTCCTTTTAGCTCGTACAATCGTGAATAGGAAAGATATAATTTGCTCTCATATTCATTTTATCAATCTCCTATAACACTAATATGCATGTACTAAAGCAAGAAAAGGGAAACATCTAGGATACATCAGTCATAGAAAAACAAACCCCAACTATACCAATCCATGACCTAACATGTGAGGTTATCATTTATCAAACACAAACATTTAAAGCTAAAGACTTACCGTACTCTCTGGTTCTTTCCCAGGGGGGTCACGCAGAAAGTAAATCAATGGTAAATAAAGTAGGATAAATATGGCTAGCCCCCTTAACAACCTGAAAATTAAAAATCCCTACCAATGAGACTTAAAGCCACGAGGACGTATAATCAAATCAAACAACTTATTTAACATGGAAGAAAATTTGCACATTCAGATGATGGGTGCTCTGATTTGATAATTTAGAAATACGAATTTTGGCCAACAATATGGTTATATTCTGAGATGTAATTTGACAAAGTGCAAGATTGTTGCTGTAATGTAAAGGTCGAAAGCATTAATGTCGATGTCTAATATGCGAAAGTTGAATTAAAAAGTCAGATTTGCGTCAGATATTGGCCATCGTCCGATTGTGCACTTATAGCCAACTCCTTATAAACCCTGGATCAGTCTAAGGGTTTATGTGAACCACCTACCAGCTAAAACCTATTTGATTGACGAGTTGCCCACCGACAGATGGCCCTATCGCGTAGCCAGCATTAAATGCTAATTCTGCAATGGTGTAAACACTCCCATACATCATGAAATATCGGGTGTCCAAGAGGAGTGCAAGCATCGGCATCAAAGCTGCATCCACGACACCTAATGAGAAAACACAAAGAGGTCAAATTACACAAAAACAAATATAAGGCAGTATGTATTGCACACTTTAAAAAATCCCATACTTAATTTGATAACGTCTCTGAAAGAAGTCCCGTCTTCAATCACTTATTTACTACCACTGATTTGAGAAAAGATCCAACTGTTGTTGAAAATGCAAGAACAACGACAACAACGTGGTGTCGACGTTAAGAAGAGAAACAAACACATCCTTGGCCAAATTTACAATTACATTTTAGTTCGGTGAAAATTAGCCCGTTATTTTTACCTGAACCCATACCGACTGCAAAATGTGGAGCAAAGATCATGGGAATTGTTGTAGCCATGGGGATCTAGAAACAGATTGAAATATATTTCATACGATAATGATCTAAAACTAGAGTTACTCTTTAAAAACAACCTTAACTGCATGATAGTATTATTGTATTATACAGGGTGACCCCAAAACAGAACCGACAACAGATCTGAATAAAAGTTATGGTTTCTGCGTTTTTGGTTACCCTGTAGTTAGTTCGTATTATAGAAAAACGAATATTATTGTATCATTATTAGAATAAAGACAAAATGCAACTTACAAATATAAGCCCGATACTACATAGCAATAGCCCACATATCGCTACGACCCATCTCCCCACTTTGAGGGCCAACACAGCAAAATGAGATCCGATAAAGTAGCCACAGCCATCTGAGAGAAAGAGAACTCCCAGAAGCCATTTCTCGGGACTCATCTTATCCATTACCCAAACAGTTAACGTTGCTTCCAGCATAGCAATGCATACTGCTGGGAGGAATATAGATCCTGTGAAAAATATTTAAGCATTTAGTATGAATTGTAACCATGGAATATAGGCAGGTACAGTGAAACCTATGAAGTGGAACACCTTTCTGTTAGTGGAGCACTTTTCAAAGTCCCAAGACCAACTGACTTAATGTCATATGGACCTCTATAAGTGGAACACCTCACAAGCGGGACACAGTTTAGAGGAACAAAAGGTGTTCCACTTAGACAACTGTTTAACGCAACACAAGATAATTTGGTGTGCGCCACTAAAATCGTATCCGACTGATATATAAGGGTTATGCACTGGGAGGTTTTGCATTTTGGATATGGGGTTTATCCAAAGGGACAAATGCATATCTACCTGAGCGACCGTAGGGACCGAAGGGAGGTGTGCATATCTCACGGGGAATAAACCCTATATCCAAACCGACCGTGCATAACCGCTTTATCTAATCTATACTATACCTATACCCATGGAGATTTTTTTTTAAATTCAAATTTTATTTCAATTTTTTTTCAAATTTTTTCAATTCAATTTATTTATTTCATATCTTCGATCCCTTTATTTATTCTATACCTAGTTGAATTCTAATACCTCTACCTATTATTATCATAATGTATGGATCCTTCAGAAGCACAAGGAAAGACGTCTTCTGCTGCATCTTGGTATAGTTCAGAGTCATTTCAAGGGAGACGAATTGACCAACTGGAAAGAGCACAGTATACAGGGTGGGCCAAAAACACACGGCACGCCAACTATAGATATATCATCATTATATGCCATGTAAAATTTGCATTGTATGTTATTGTAATTGTATGTATAGTTTTATTTTTATTTTATCGTGTTTATTTGCTGTACACTCACCCGAAAGGGATTTTTAGTACAATAAAGCATTGAATAATATGTATCTATAATTTAAACAATTTGTCTTTGAGAGTGTCAATCAAAACCTGTAAGTGGAACAGCTCTGTAAGTGGAACGCCTCCATAAATGGAACGCAAATTATTGATTTACTGTTCCCAAGTGGAACACTTTTTAGAGGTACCAAAGGTGTTTCACTTACGAGGGTTTTACTGTAGTTAATTTAATTTGGTTAACTTGGGATTTATCTTACACAATGCGAATGGGATTTAAGGTCGCTCTCCTAGCTTGAAAGGAACCACTAATGCATACAGCATTTCCTAATACGAGTCTTTCAGGGCGGGTTTAAGAACAATGTGCCGTTTGATGTGTGGAGAAAATTCAACGTTTGTATGAGTATAGGCTATTGTTACTTAAATAATAGGACACTAGACATCATCAAATATGCAGCAAAACACAACCGAAATCGGTACGACTTGATGAGAAAATGTGTGCGAAGAGACCTACTTGCAAGAAATGCTAATCCTATGGCTTGTATTGCATAAACTGTTGTTTTCCCTAAGTAGTTATAGATCACACTTCCGAAAGGATACCCAACTGGAATAAAAAAAATAGGTACATGGTTATTAAAGAACTATATCTATTTTGAACATCTATAAATTACTGTAATTCGAGACTATGCTTTAAAATCCAATTCCCTCTCTCGCCAGGATGCATTCAATCTTCAAATGGCTCCCTTGGTCGGGGCTAAAACCTCTCGATCTTTTCTTTATCACAGACCTTTTTAATTGCTATATCCACTTTTGCAAGAACTTTATGAACGCCCTGTAAATGTACACCCTTACGAAAAAGTGTCTGTTTATTCTTACCAATGACACCAAGCGCCAGTCCACCCAGTACGACACCCATATATTTACTTCTCACTGCATCTTGTTGATACGTATCAGCTATTATACCAAATCCTACAATAATACATCTCTAATGAATCATTGTATCAGTGTCAGAGGCTCATATATTTAATTGTATGTACCATACATGTGGGTTTTGGTGTAGGTACCATACATGTGGGTTTTGGGGTAGGTACCATATGTGTGGGTTTTGGTGTAGGTACCATACGTGTGGGTTTTGGTGTAGGTACCATACTTGTGGGTTTTGGTATAGGTACCATATGTGTGGATTTTAGCTGTAGGTACCATACATGTGGGTTTTGGTGTAGGTACCATACGTGTGGGTTTTGGTGTAGGTACCATACATGTGGGTTTTGTTTGGTGTAGGTACCATACATGTGGGTTTTGGTATAGGTGCCATACGTGTGGGTTTTAGCTGTAGGTACCATACGTGTGGGTTTTAGCTGTAGGTACCATACATGTGAGTTTTAGTTGTAGGTACCATACAAGTTGGTCTTAGCTGTAGGCGCCATACACGTGGGCTTTAGTTGTATGTACCATACACGTGGATTTTAGCTGTAGGTACCATGTATGCGGAATTTACCTACAGGTACCATACATGTCTAGATCTGCAGATACTATACGTGTCTGCAGGTACCATACGTGTATATAAGGGTTTTGGCTGTGGAATTGGGGCTAATTTGACACCCTACACAATGCACTCCCCTAGGATAAATTTGATATCTATTACCTGCCCTCAATGATGATAATACTGTACCTCCTATAGTAAGAAATGCTGAACCAAGACCGTGCAAACTGCGACCAAGGAACAAGACCCAGTATTGCTCCCCTAACGAGTACACTAGAAGTAAAAATAATATCTTTGAGAATATTCAGAACATTTTCCCTTAAAAATGCTACATGCAAACCCGGTTATAGTTCTTATACTTCAAACATGCCCAACGAAATAAACTCATCACTTTTTGGTATGACCATGGTGACACAAAAATATGTAATGGAGCTGTCACACTTGAGCCATGTGGGCCCACCGTTCGCCACTGTAAAAATACTTTGGGGCAGACGACGGGGCAGTGGGGGAACGGCATGGATAAACAAATAGTTTTACAGCAAAATATCCTCCATCACACCAGATACAAAAATTGATTGATCAATTAATTATTGCCCAAAATTAGCCACACTGTCGCGAACGGTGAGCCAGCACGGCTAATGCCGCAGCCGGGAAATTCCTCCTTATAGTAACAAAAAGAGGAACTGGTCAAATCCTACATTTTTCTTGTCATCTTATGATTTCTTTCTATTCTATTCGATTCCATAATGGACTGCGCCTGATTACACAATAAGATTCACGATAGACTAGTAACTGAGTAATATCTACTGGACCGGAGATAAATGGAATTTTGAATCATATCAACGCAGTTAATTATTACTATATCAGCGACGGGTTCCTGTTTCATTTCTTGTATTAGAATAAGGGACGAACCTTTGGGTCCTCGGAAAGGAGGAAGAGAACTAGATCTCTTCCACGCATTATATAAAGAGTACCCTTTGCATTCGTTCGGCTTCACTTCTTAAAAGAGAGCTCTGTCTCTGTAGTTTAACTAGACTCTGCACGCAGGGTATATAAAGAGTGGCCGATACATCCGAATTCGACATCACCTGTTTCATTTTAACAGTGCTCTCCTATATTCCATAAAAATATGCGTATTCAATTCTTCTCTTGTTTTAAGAGGGAGTGATGAGAGAAAACATTGCCAATATTTGCAATTTATTAAAAATATGTTTAGTTTTGTACGCAGAACGATCAACTGTTTTTAAGTTCGTTGGGATTGTCACAGAACAAGATAGTACAAGATAGTACGTAGTTAACGTTTCAACTAGCGCTTTTGTGAAAATGGACGCTCCGCGGTGCTATGTTTTTCATTCATTCATTCATTCATTCATCGCTATTTTTCTAAGTAGTACGCCACCACCACAGGAACAAGAGTTGAGTGAATCAAAAAACGAGCATTCGGGGGGGATCTGGGTCAGTAAAATTTTGAAAGGACGATTCTCGGTTTGGAGAACGAAGTTCATCAATCTAAATGAGCATTATCCCTGCTTCGGACAAATTTGATTTTTTACATAATATAGATTCGAATGTCTTCTTTTGAATAGTCATAGTTTAATTTGGGTAATATTTCTAGATTTTTCGCAAAAAAAATATTAGCGCAGTACACTGATGAACTTCTTTCCCCAAATCGAGCCTTGTATTTTATTGAATCGGTCTAATTGAGCGTTATCCCTGCTTAAGACCAATTTGTTATTTTTTACATCTTGAAGATTTAAATGTTCTCTTTTGAATATTCATGGTTTAATTTGGGTAACATTTCTATATTTTTCATGAAAAAATTATTAGCCCAGGAGACTGCTCTCCAAACCGAGAATCGTCCTTTGGTTGTATTTGGAGCGAATTTGCAACCATCTGGTATGCCTGTGCGTACCCAGCGTACCGGGCGCTACACCCATGGTAGTCTTAGTTTCAATTTTTCACATTTCTTATTCATTTTTTCATTGCATGAAAAGTACCATTTTCATGGTATGAAAAGTACGCATGGTAATCGAAACAATTCGGAATGCTACTACTGTAGCCAACCAAAATACGATAACAATGTTAATAAGGCATTAACATGCAAAATGTCACCACCTGGCATGTGTTCCAGACGCCGAACACCAACCTCCAAACACCAATCATCGAGCACCGACCGCCGAACACCGTCCACAAAAAGTTGGAGACTATAAAAAATGTGCCACCAATGAATTGCATAACAATACTCACAGCAGGAACAAATGAAGAGAATCACAGTGCTCGTAAATAATGGAATGGAATATCCCACTCTGAAAGAAAGAACATATAATTGTAACGAATGAAAAGAATCACAGTGCTCGTAAATAATGGAATGGAATATCCTACTCTGGAAGAAATAACATATAATTGCAACAAATGAAGAGAATCACAGTGCTCGTAAATAATGGAATGGAATATCCCACTCTGAAAGAACATATAATTGTAACAAATGAAGAGAATCACAGTGCTTGCTCGTAAATAATGGAATGGAATATCCCACTCTGAAAGAAAGAACATATAATTGTAACAAATGAAGAGAATCACAGTGCTTGCTCGTAAATAATGGAATGGAATATCCCACTCTGAAAGAAAGAACATATAATTGTAACAAATGAAGAGAATCACAGTGCTTGCTCGTAAATAATGGAATGGAATATCCTACTCTGAAAGAAAGAACATATAATTGTAACAAATGAAGAGAATCACAGTGCTTGCTCGTAAATAATGGAATGGAATATCCCACTCTGAAAGAAAGAACATATAATTGTAACAAATGAAGAGAATCACAGTGCTCGTAAATAATGGAATGGAATATCCCACTCTGAAAGAAAGAACATATAATTGTAACAAATGAAGAGGATCACAGTGCTCGTAAATAATTGAATGGAATATCCCACTCTGAAAGAAAGAACATTAATTAATTAATTTTTAATAATGAATGGATCCATTAAAGGTCCATGTGCAGTATGGCAAATAATTAGAGACGGTCATGTCTTTCACAATTAATACTTTTCTGGGCATAAATACAATGGTTTTCATGAGAACATCTTGTTTTCTTTCAAGGTAAGTCCCCATAATGATAAAAAAATATCAATCGAACAATTCGAAAAATTATAAATAGGGACCTCACGCCAACATTTTTTCAAAATATTTCAAACTTATTTGCTCAAAAGAGGATCTTTTTCTGATTTTTACTGCATGAAATGATTATTTAACAAGGGGTCTAAAACATCTTCAAAAGTAGAATGGTATTGAAAGTCTAGTTTTGAAGATATCAATTTTCGATGACCAAAATAACATGGGAAATGTGGTTTTTAACTTTATCGCATTTCAATACCCATCCCCCTTTCAGAAGTTATTAATATCGTGTAGAAGAAACTTTTGATATATTTAAATTGAGAAAAACAAGATCCTCTTTTTAAAAAATAAGCCTTACATTTCTAAACAAAAAGTGACAGGGTGGGGTCCTAATCCATAATTTTTCAGAGAGTTGGATTGACATTTTACTATCATTGGGACTTCACTTTAAAGAAAACATATTTTTTAATAAAAACCACTGTATTTATATCCAGAAAGTACTCATGGTGAAAGATATGACTGTCTAAATCACTTGCCATACTGCACATGGACCTTTTATTCAAAATTTTATTCTTATTCTGTTTGTCGCTTCCATCTCTGAGATGAAATGTATTTTGTTAATGAGGGTCTTCCAAAGATAACTATCCATATTTTGAATCAATAAGTGATTTTGTTAGTACTTCAGCTGAAATACTTAATTCTGATTGGTTAATTAAAAGTGAACAATATACAATATATCTACTAACCAATATCGAGTATTATGTAATACCTACCTATTTGTTAAAGGCCCAACTACAAGACTAGCAGCAAATTGCACAATTGCTTTGGATGACAGAAGCCATCCAACTTTACCATTTTCTTCTTCGATTCCCTCATAAGTATCATTTCCCACATCATCCTTTGTCGACACATTTGCAAGTTGGAACGTAATGTTATCCTTTGTTTCTTGGTTGAATAAATGATTTGGTATGATTGGAACTATAACAGATTGAAATATAATGTAACAATTGTTATTTTGCAGTTTTAAACGATAACAGGGTGGGCAAAAAAAAAATACCCAAGTTTAAAGATGAATATCATTTTTGGCCCACCCTGTATTTAGAAAGTAAAAGGGATGTTGCAACTTTATAGTAAGTTTCGAAAAATTGTCTCAATTAAAAGTATTTGTTTGTATTCCAGTGGGGATTATATTTTGGGGATCACTTGTTACGCCAACCCAGATTGCAAATATCTCATTTTTTCGATATTTCTATTTAGTATTTATGCACATATGCACATGTAATGTATATACATACCAAGCAGGCCTGTAGCCATAGGGGGTTCGCAGGAACCACCCCCCCCCTGGCCAAAAATTATTTTGAGCACTTTTCAAGTGATTTTAGCCATATTTGGACCAAAATTGTCAAATTTGAAATTTTTTGAAAACTGACCCCCCTGGCAAACCCTAGCTACGGGCCTGTCTAGTATATTATTTTTATAACAGTAGTAAAATTACTTGCCAATTGATGTCATTAGAATCTGATCCAAACACATTGAGAAATAAACGACAATCGTTATCCTGTGTTTGTATATCCAATCACAGAGTTTCTGCCAGCAGTTCGTGATGCCCGCCCAATAGAACGCTAAACGTAACATGTTCCCTGTTCGATGGAAAACGTCGTTCAAAATCGGTTTCGGAGTAGCTTATAAGAGACTATTTCCAATTTTAAATAGTGATATTGTTTCTTTTTCACTCAGGTATGTTATTGAAGCTATCCATAATGCATCAAACTATTGATAAACGCTTCATTCTTACATTTTACTTTTACATTTATTTCACGAACAATTATCTCATTAGCAAAACTAAGATGGTAGTGTAAATCACATGCTTTGCAGTGATATTTTTAATATTTTCATTTATAATTAACATGTCCAAATGTTACGTTTTAATTTCCCTCTATTTGATAGGTATAAAATTCCTTATACTAATACCCTTTCCTTTCGTGACTGCGCAGTAAAGATATAGAATATTTCAATTTGATCTATTTTCGTTTAACGATTTCCCGATTTTTATCTTTCATATGCAATTCAACAAAACCCTTTACCTTCCTATTAATTATGTCCATACCTTGAAGTTAAAGACATCAAAATAAACAAGATTTCTAGACCGAATGCGTCATTTAATTTATTTAACTATATCATCCATCCACCAAGTATCCTGTATCTTAGATTTTAATTTGCTGATTTGAATCATTGAAATATTTTAATCTTGACTAAGTTTTGTTTCATGCGCAGGAATGTCTTTCCGCAGCAAGATATAGCGCACTTGTAACGGTTGATTACCTGTTCAATCTAGTACATAACAAAGTATGTGTAATGAGCGTTCAAAGACCTATCACCGTCAATGAAAGAAGTCCTTAATTAAAGATGAGCGATGTGGAAGAATAGTAAAAGACAATCTGATAGATTCGTCAGCGTCCAACGCAACTTCTACTGTTTTTAGAACGGGTTATTTTGCATCGCACACCTTAACTGGCCACCTGCACCGAGGCACCATCTAATTTTGAATAAACCTACAGTAAACAAACGTTTACAAGAAGAGTTCAGGACTAGTTTTGGTGATTTGATCATTGATAGAATGGACATATTAAATAGAGATGTGTTTTAAATACAGCTTCTAAATAGAATGGACATATTAAATAGAGATGTGTTTTAAATATAGCTTCTAATTACACCTTCATTTAATTGTAAATATATCAAAAAGGCATTAACATGCAAAATGTTACCACCTACCATTTGTTACAGACGCCGAACGCGAGACGCCAACTGCCGTCGAAAAAATGAAGACAATAACAATATATCACCACCTTTGGTAGTGACTAATAATTACACAATACTTACATTTACTAACGTTGAATGTAAATTTTTAAAACTTTATTTACTAAGCTGAAACATATTAAAATTTTTGATAATATATAGACGTGTCGCAAAAAAGTGGCGCTATCGCGTGAATATAACTTTGATTCCCCGGATTATAAGATAATATTCTAATTAAAGTTATATATCATTTTAAAGCTGTTTCAATGAAGTTTTTAGATCAACTACACTCCGTTCACGATTCTTGCGCGTTCTTTTTTAAAAAATAGTTTTTTACCAAAACATCAGGCAAATATCCCCTGTCTTTAAGCGCTCATAACTCAAACAATATATGACTACTATACTTAATTTTCGTCTTGATAAAGGTAGATTGAAGTTTTATTTCAACGGATGAATTTTAGTAAGCGTCCCATATTGTGACGTCATAGAGTTTGAAAAATAGAATCTGTTGATAGCGACCTTTTTTGCTCATTTTTTGTTACCTTTAAATTTTCAGGTGTACATTAAACAAAAAATACGAGATCAATTTAAAAAATCATACATGATTATTTTGCTCTTAAACTCTAGTTTATTAATAAATAGTTGATTTTGTTCGCAAAAGTATGTGTTTTCTGTTGTATGTGGAAAAGTGGAGGACGAAAGGTTTTCAAAATTCATTAAAATAGGGCTAATTTACGCCATTCGCCTATTTTCAAGCACAGCAACACGTATATTTATTTCACCTAAAATATCAATTGATTCGTGTTTTATGATGCTCCTATCCCATTGTTAATACATATACGATATCAGAGTTACTCGCCTTAAATATTTTGAGATATAGAGGCGGAGGACGAAAGGATTTCCATATGTGTACATTTTTCTCAAAAAACGTCACATTCTGTGGTGTTAAAAAGCGAAAATGTGTAACAATGCGTGCGCGACCTTTTTGCGACACGTCATAGCATCAAAAATAACCGGTAGTAGTACAATAAGAAAGATAATTCTGGGCTGGACCCTTTTGCTGATGCATTGATGGTATATCAGAGACAGAGTTCTGTTAGTTCTCTGAATTGTAAATGTAAACGTGCACTCTTTATTTTGGCCCACCCTGTATAACATACATATTTCATTCATTAGCTATTATACTGTTATTAAAATTAATCTTAGATCCACACGTTAGTGCTAACACATGACTATTCATGTGAATTAATAAATATCCTTTTATTGGGCATTTAACATACATACCTGATTCATTAGATCATATATTGTTATTAAAGCCGATTGTATATTCATGTGTTAGTTGGGAACACAATCATGTTAAATCATGCAAATTAATTAATATCATGAATATGTCATTGGATATATAACATACATACCTGATTCATTAGATCATATATTGTTATCAAAACCAATCGTATAATCATGTGATAGTTGCTAACATAATCATGTTAAATCATGCAAATTAATTAATATCATGAAAATGTCATTGGATATATAACATACATATCTGATTCATTAGATCATATATTGTTATCAAAACCAATCGTATAATCATGTGATAGTTGCTAACACAATCATGTTAAATCATGCAAATTAATTAATATCATGAAAATGTCATTGGATATATAACATACATATCTGATTCATTAGATCATATATTGTTATCAAAACCAATCGTATAATCATGTGATAGTTGCTAACACAATCATGTTAAATCATGCAAATTAATTAATATCATGAAGATGTCATTGGATATATAATATACATATCTGATTCATAAGATCATATATTGTTATTAAAGCCGATTGTATATTCATGTGTTAGTTGCGAACACAATCATGTTAAATCATGTAAATTAATTAATATAATGAAAATGTCATTGGATATTGGATAAATTGTCACTGGATATATAACATACATATCTAATTCATTAAAAATCCATGCGTTAGTTGCTAACACAATCATGCTTAATCAGCATATCATGAAAAATGTCATTCCATATACAGGGCGTATCAAAAAAACGCAACATGTAGTTATCTCGTAAAATCACAAAACTAGTGATGACTTCATCAATTCCATTTAATGTACCATAAAGCCCTGTCTCTCCTCTTTGCAATGATTTGTCATTCATTCACATGTGGTAATGGTTGGGTGAGAAATCCTTCCATTTGCACAGTGGGTCAAAATCGGCTCTGCGCCAAGTTTTAGATATTGAAAAATCAGTGCAAGGGTTAAGTGCCAATGGAAGTTCCCCTGACTTGAATTGTTGTGACTTTTTCTTCTGGAGCAATCTCAGGAGCATCTGTGCTCACAATTCCTCCACCAGATATTGCAAAACCTCGAGAAAGATTTGCCCGTGGGCTGCTTTTCTTTGCTTTAACCCACGCAGGATTCAGGGCTGAACTATGCATGACGTGGACAGATGAGTGCATTTTTATGTGCAAGGAAGTGGTGGCGGAGGGGTATAGGATGTATTCTTGCAAGAATATGAGTATGAACACTTCACTGTCTATGCCATACCTGTCACACCTTTTTCCAATAGCCCCTATGCCCCTTGTACTGACTTTTGCAACGTTTTAAACTTGGGTCCGAGCTTTTTTGATTTTTCGGCCAGAGATGACTCCCTGTGAACAGTGAATGAATGATATTCCATTGCAAAGAGGAGTAATTTGGCTACTTGGTACATTGAATTAAAAGGATAGAGTCAGCGTTGGTTTTATGTTTTCGTCCAATATTGCATCGGGCTCCGTACACTGACTTTTACAATGTTTATAATTTGGCCCGAAGCTAATTTTGGCCCACTTTGCAAATGGAATGATTACTCACCCAACCATGACCAAATATCAATGAATGATATATCATTATAAAGAGGAGACAACTGGCTTTATGGTGCATTGGATGAAATCAATGCTGTTATCACTGGTTTTGTGCTTTTCCAAGATAACAATCTGTTGCGTTTTTTTATACGCACTGTATAGCATTACATATTTCATTCCTTTGATCATAAACTGTGATCAAAAACCAATAGTTTTTTCATATGTTCATCGCTGACACCACAACCAATATAATAAAAGACACCTCTTAGGAAATTGTATTTATATTTATATCTCGTGAAGTCCCAGATGGTGAAAAAGAATTCAATTTCCGTGTTAAGGATGTACATCTGAAACCAGAACAAGAAAAGAGAGATTTAAAACCCTCCGCAAACCGCTGAGAGCAACTAATATAGAGAACAAAATTGATCATGGTGTTGAAGTAAAATGAAATCATCGCATAATTGCCAAGTACCTCAATAGTAACGTAACTATCAAGATCATCATTATCCTTTAGGGATGCATATACGAACTGCCAAGCTATGGTAGGTATTACACTAAGTATTTGGAAAAAGCTTATCGCAAACATTACGATTGTCATTCTCGTGACAAGATATTTTTCCTTTTCGTCATTCTGGGCTACTTCAGGGACACTCTGACTAAGATGATGTTTTCGTTTTTTTGCGGCAGAATACACCTGCTTGAGCACAAACGCGTTTCCGGAGAGAACAAACAAACCGGGAATAACGCCAAACATTGCAAAGTCAACCCAAGGAAAAACAAAGAAAGAATAATACTCCCAACTTCCAGTTTGGACACTACACTTGTAAGACTTTTCAGTATGATTTGAGATTATCGGTATAACTTCATAACACATCAGAAAATGACTGTTTACGCATGAAAGGAATATCACCACACTACCGATTACTAGGCATGTTTTAGGTTTGCTGCACCAAATGTTTACCTTATGTGGCCAACCAACTGCAATGGATCGCTCAAACGCGATCACCATGACAAGCCAACATGACAAATCGGAGAAGGTGTAATTGATAAACTTCCAGATTCTACACAACACAGTAGCATGAGTTATGTAATCATCATTAAAGAGATAATATATAATGTACCTTGGAGTGCAAACAATAAGAATGACAATGTCGGATACTGCAAGACAAATCATAATGATACTCATGGAGGATTTGCTTGAGCTAAGACTCCTTCGTAAAATGATGATGTTCAAAATGTTTCCGGACACACCAAGGATAAGGCAAAGAGGAAGGATGATTTTGTAACCCAAATCGAAAATTCGGAACACTAAGTAGTCCTCCGCAGAGAGGTTTGGATGACTGTTGGGTTTTGAGGCATTTTCAACATCTACAGTGCTGCAATTGGTAGAGAAATTGTTAATTTCAACTTCAATGTCTCGTATGATTGGTTTTGTTGGTGCAGTTCTTGGCATGCTTGTAACCGTGGCAACGTCATTACTTTCTGTTTCCGCGACATCGTCCCTACATTCCCCGGTATCTTCTGTTATGACTTTCTCTGCAAATCTAGTCCAAACATCGGATCGTTGTGTTTTAGTATTATTCGTCCAAATACTGTGCATGCTAGTTGTCCCTTCATCGAATACATCCCCTGACCAGACCCCTTCTGGAAAATAAGGTCACAAATGTCCACTAAAACACACAATAGAAAAAACATAAATGGATCTTCCCTGCCAGACAAAAGACGCAAATTATGGAAAATAAAAACCTTATCGCATACTGCCCCATATAGTATTCATTAACAGATATGACACCATTTTTGAAAGAAATTTAGACAGTCAAGTCTGAAAGTGCGAAATCACTACTGTATAAGTGGTAATTTTGCCTAATCATTTAATTTGCCTATTTCCTAATTTTTGCCTGCTTCGGAAAATTAAATGTCGGAAATATTGTCTTTATAATGTTATCCAATGGGAGGTTTTATCTCATTAGGAAAATTAAAATTAGGAAAATGATGAAATTTGACCATTCGGAAAATTAACCACTCGGATTAAATACCACTTATACAGTATTTAAGACAGTGGGAGATGATTAAACAAATGGTTTTGGGATTAATTCCTTTCAAATAATATATATAAATTTGGTTTCCTAATTGTCAGTACAAAATTGTGGTACACTCCGATTCTAAAATACACAAACTATTTTTACTGCTTATAACCATGTCAATTAAAAAGTTATCTATATCGTAAAAGGCATATTTATTGAGCTATCGTTATATAAAACACAAATTACTGCGGAATAAATAACAAAAAAGTAAATCAAACCATTACCTTGTTCAAAAGTTGAATTTGTTGAGTCCTCCAAACGTCCAAAATAATAGTCGGCTTCAGTACTGAGATGCGGCTTTATGTCTAAGGCACAATCTGTATTACAGCTTAGCAAAACAATAAATATGACTCGAACATTTGCCATATTAATACTGCTAAGTAGTTCCCAGAATTGGATAATTTTTCATTCTGAGGTTTCACTACAAAGTGACATTTATATACATGCAGATATACGATCTATATACATTATTAATATTAAATATTTTGTTTGTCATGAAGTAGGAGGAAATGATCGTTGCTAAATGTTAAGATGTCAAGAAGGAATAGAGAGTCTAAAATGGTAGGGTCGGAAAAAGAGGTCGCGTCTCCGATCATTTTCAAAGGTATTGCCAGAACCTTAAAAATCGAATAATTATTCTGAAATAAAGTCAGTTGAACTTCTAACAGAATAAGCGTGACATGAATCGATGAAAAGAAAAGATGTTGTAACAAGTAACAGTATTTTTTAGTTTCAAAGCGTCCCTATTTCTTTTACACCTTGTTTTACCACCTTAAGGAAATTACAGAAAATTTGCTGATTGCTGAAATGCTGGTGTTTGCTTATGCACTGCAACATTTTGATCTCGCAAAAGTCCTTACAAAAGGTTTCTGGTCAAATTCTAATGCTTTCAAAGATATTGTTCCAAATAATTTGTTTTATGAAAAGTAAACAATAACACAACGGATTTGGCACGATAATAATGCACCTTTGCGTGTGAATTTATTCAAAACTTAATTTTAGAGGTCAACCGTATCTTTTAATACGTGATAATTCACACCAATGAATAGAGTATTCATCCTCGTATGTTTTTTGAAGAAAAATTTAAGAAAATTGATTGACAAATAAAGCAAGAAATGAACTAATGAAAGTGGAGTAAAAATGCAATTTAAAAATGTAAGTTATCAAAGAAACAATGGTTCAGTAATATTTAAAACATAACTTATTCTTCTTTTCAGCCTAGTTTGACAATTAACATTGGTTTATTTTGAAAAGATTGGCATAATAGATAATGTTTTTACACTTTTTAAAATGTTTGGACCCCAAGTGACATCATGATATATCACTTAGGATTTAAACATTAAGTATTATCGAAATATTGTGGACGGTGTGTGTTTTGTTCAATCTTTGCAATGGTGTTAAAAGGATAATGTGTTTTGCAAAGTACAATGGACCGCTCGATGATTAAAAAATTTAAATATTTGAAAAATGGCGCAAATTCGAATACTTCAATACAAAGATGATAATCTTTTTTTATTAAAATATCATGAAAAATTGTAAAGGAGTGTTTTGCATATTTCCATATTTGCACGGGGCCTTTAAAGAGGACCCTCGGAAGGAAAATAATGTATAACTCTCATTTGGATCTTTGTAGAAAAGCAGCAATTAATTTTTCATCCCAACAAATTACATAAGCTATTTTATCCATGCATCTATAATGACATACATATACTTATCAACTTAACGTAAGCTGACTATTTTTACCAATTTACATGACAGAAATTCACGATTTTATAACACAACCTCATTTTATTAAAAGGAGACTGTCAGCAAGCTTGTCATGTAACATCGTTCGACTGTAACTTCTCTCTTTTCTTTATATGCCATCTGGTTGATCATGTTACAAGTTTTTAACTAAGTACAACATTAAACGCCATTTCAGGGATGTTATGAAATACCCAGATTCCAGTAGGTAGTTACCAATCTCACCACCAGGTGGCTACTTGGGTGAAAATAGTCCATAGGGGACCATAATTTTACATGTTCCACCTACACCTTCTTCAAAACAGTGCAAACTAGGGTAATTCCGTATGTTCAGAAGTTTGAACGGTTTCCCATATAACGGAGTCCCATTTTATTTTCAAGTCCACTGCGGCACCACTGGTGAATCCGCCAGAAGCTAACAAGGGATGGGGAGGGGGCAAATGTCAAATCTGGAAAAAAAGGCCAAGTAATACCCAAAAATGCCCGCTAATTGAGGCCCTACAACATTTTTGGGTCCAAATTTTTTTATGGGCCCACCCAGGGGGGGGGGGGGGGCATCGGCATTCCCTGGATCCACATAACGAGGGGGTATATACGTCTAGTAGTGTATCAAAAAAGATATCGCCATGTGAAAAGCAAACTCAATTTACGCTTTACTCAATTTACGAAAGAAAGATTATATTATCATGTTGTACCTTGAACCTCAGTAGGTATGGTACGGTTATGTCGGTCGGTATACGGTCGGTATTCGACACAGGGTTAATTATCCCAAGGGAAATATGTGTATCTCCCTGCGGTCCCTTGCATATTTCCCTTTAGATAACCTAAAGCTATACGTTTTTAATGAATGGTTAAACAACTTATGGTCTATTATATTCGTAAACTATTGTCAGATTGTAATAAGTTCAACAATTAAAATGTTATCATCTTCAAAAGTATTAAGAGTAAAATGACTGGATGCCCGGGATGAATGCATACAAAGCTATGAAATCAGAAACATAAATAAAAACGAGTGTATACTGATTACTATAGTCTTACTTCAAGACTTTGGACCCCTCATCTACATCTCCAACACAAGAGACCTGTTAGATAGGGGGGCGGGGGCAAGACTATACTTGTATAACACGGAGAAACTGTGTTGCCTTAGAATGGACGGTAACTGGTCAACTCAACCCCAAGTCAACTCAACCCAAGTCAACTCAACCCTTAGTCAAGTCGACCCCAAGTCAAGTCGACCCTTAGTCAAGTCGACCCCAAGTCATCTCAACCCTTAGTCAACTCGACCCCAAGTCATCTCAACCCTTGGTCATCTCAACCCTTAGTCAACTCGACCCCACCATAAAAAAACAAATAGATATACTATTTTCATGGTATGATATTGATGAATTTTGAAAGAATGAGGGACTAAAATGCTAATTTTCCAAAATAAAATTATCAACTATTGAAGTTTGTGCTTAACGCATTTATAATTTTTATAAATATGACATTTATTTACCAAAATAATATTTGATTAATCTTAATAGGGCTATTCACGATGTTATATATATATTTCACCCCTTCATATTTGAGCTTGTTTTATCTCTCTAAAGTAAAAAAATTATCTATACACTTTTCTGTTATACCGAAATTGTTGCAACGGTATTTTTGACAACAGGTAACTTATGCAACATGTGCATTGTGCCAACATCCATCCATTACTTTGTATTGAATGATTTTATATTTTGATAATAATAAACAATAAACAATATGATAAGTTCAAATCTTCCTTCTGATCTATAGGCGATAGAAATGTTTATTTTTTTGAAGTTGGATTTTAAAACAAGACTGAACAAACAATGGGATTTATGTTTTTCTATTTTCCATTATCTTACTCATATGTCAGGTGTCATAAACAATCAGATTGGGATTTTATGATCCAGTTCAAATCTTTGTTTTGATCCATAGGTGACAGAAATGTTTTTTTCTTTGAAGTTTGATTTCAAATCAAACTGCACAAACAATGGGATTATATTGTATTTTAATCTACTTAAAACAAGTAAAATCATTTGGGTCGACTTGACTAAGGGTTGAGTTGACCAAGGGTTGAGATGACTTGGGGTCGAGTTGACTAAGGGTCGAGATGACTTGGGGTCGACTTGACTAAGGGTCGACTTGACTTGGGGTCGACTTGACTAAGGGTTGAGTTGACTTGGGTTGAGTTGACTTGGGGTTGAGTTGACCAGGAAGCTGGTCCTTCTTATTTTTCCCTTTCAGGGTTCGTACACCTTTTTCAAAATGAAATTCCCTTACATTTCCAGGCAAAAAGGAAATTTCCAGATCTAGCTTTGCTTGCACTGCCTCCAAAAAAGTCTCAAACAACTGTATTATTTAAAAGACGAGTCTTATAATGAAACATTTTGGGGTTCTCCTTTAGTACCATTTCTCATGACTTAACTTTACTTCTACAGCCTGTCTTATTCACCGATTTTTCTGATAAATTATCTTTTTAAAATGTTGTGATTTTACATTGGGTAAGAATAGTAATGACACATGTGTACAGGGGCGTAGCCAAAAAATGTCAAGGGGTCCAATTTTTGGGTTTGCATCATTGTGTGAGCGAAGGAAACCCATAAGGAGAGAACGGGGGAAATTTAAAAAAATAAAATTTACATTGTATATGGTGCAATCTAAGCATTTCAAACTATAAATTGAAAATGTTTTGTAATGAATCCAAATAACAACTGAAACTTAATTTTTTTTTATCTAAAATCATCCTAGAAAAATAGCAACTGCCTTGAGGGACAATTCCCACTAATGAAACATATTTTATCGAATACTTACTTACTATGCAGTATGTGCAGTAGACTGATGAATTTCGTTCTTCAAACCGAGACTAGTGTTTGGACAAAAAAACTAAAACTGTTAATAAGGTTTTCAAAAAAAAAATTCATGAAAATGACAAAAGTGTCTTCTTGAACAGGGACTCTATATAACCAAAGCATCGGTATATAAAATTTGAACCGAATCTGTCGACTGATATTTGAGTTATCGCCCTGACAGATGGGCAGATGAATAGACTGACGCATTGCATAATTGTATTGAACCATCTATACATATCATATGTGACATACAGGGTGTCCCGAAAGTATGGGCCCCCCCCCCCCCCCCCTAGGCAGACATATACCAGTGTCGTCATAGTATGTGTCATATATCATTTTAAAGCTTATCCAAAGTTACATTGATTCGCCAAGTATCATGGTTCAACTCTCAAATGTGAAAAAATTACAGGCATTTCAAAATTTAGTGTTTGGTCAAAATGAAGTTCAATTTTACACCAAATCGATAGTCAATGTGTCCTCCTCGGCCATCTTAACAGCAGCAATTCTTTTCGGGTCGGATCGATATTGAGTTGGAAAAAGAGAACGGTGAGGGTAGAAACTCCAATGAAAGTCTTCCAAAGTGCCTTAACAGGTTTTAAGAGGGTTATAAAATTCCACACCCCTATATCTAAGGAAATATTTTATATTTTATTATCACAGGCTGGTATCGAAAAATTTGTCCGCTGTGACGGAGCGTGCTATTTTGCATAGAAACACTAAGAAACCCAGACAATTAATTTTTTTACTCATATGTTTTGCTATTCCAAAGAAAATTTCTTAGTCCATGCAATGGGTATATCATTTGCGGGTAACTTTAACTTTTGTTTGAAGTCCAACAACGCTAAGAGTAAAAGCTATTGAAAACGGCGCCGGGGTGTCATACTCCAAAATGTACCATTTCTTTTATTTCTTTTTAATGGTACAATATAGTGATACGATAATATTTACATTTGTTTTCAGCATAACTCTGAAGGTATTAATGATATCTTGATGTATTGGGTATTTTTAATATTTTTTATGAAAAATAATGTTTACATTTTTTTGTCCGCTGTGACGGAGCAGCTTTAACTGTGAACTACGTTAAGAATTTAAGATGCAAATTATATCTTTTAAAAGTACCCTTAGAAGAGAGAACGTCACAAATCACTTTCCTAAATTATGACAAGTAGTCTCTTGGAGATCTGGGGTAATGTAAATCTGAGATATAAAAACGACAACGGAGGTTTGTACTGAAATCAACATGAATCAACATGGTGTAAACTCAACATAATATTTCACAGACACAGACATCCTGCATTCCGACAGATGTATAACCTTTTACCACATAATATTACTGTACATAAGATGATCCCAATACAGATTTAATTTGTATTTATTTGAAATTCATGAAATTCATCGTTTTGCATAGACTAAAATTATAAAAAAGTCTTGGTAAACGTGCTGCACTGTAAAACCTGTCTCAATGAATATCTTTCTCTAGTGAACACCTTTTCTTATCAAATATTCCTCTGACTTCTGTATGAAATTACCTGTATGAAGTGAACATCTACCAACTGGGAACACATTTTTGGGCTTCATATGTGTTCACTGTACACATGTTTTACTGTAGTTGCATCAGATAGCCATAACTCTTATTCAAATAAAGAACGATCTTAAAATCAAATTTTGCATTTTCGTATTTCAAGATACACTCACATTGATCTAATGCTGCATGCTGGGTAAATTATTTGTAGCCATTTTGAAGTTCTTGATAAAAAGTGTGATATTTATCTGCACTCAGCCTATTTTGTAGTATTTTACTGTTTTCATATTTTTAAACTGAATATTGTATGAGCAATTTGGAGAAACATTGGAATAGGGGGAGGGTGTGCTAGAAGGCAATAGAATCAATTTATCAGAAATTATGATTTTTTTAATCACTTTCTTCTTTGAGGAGCGAGTGGGCAGCACAGGAAAATTTTACTAATTCAAGATGCTGTCTGGTTTATTCTGAGCACTTTTAATGTGTTTGAGTAAATGAACGCTTTAGTTTTTGGCAGGCATTTTCAAAAAGCTTTACCTTCGCCATTTTCTTTTACATTCTTGGACTTAGATTAGGAATATGGCCAATGTAAAGCTTTTTGAAAATGCATGCATTAAAAGTTCACAACTTTCAGAATGTAAATGAATATGGCCAATGAATGTAAAGCTTTTTGAAAATACATGTCTTAAAAGTTATCAAGTTTACATCGTAACTTATAATCTAAGTCTAAGAATGTAAAGGAATATGGCCAATGTAAAGCTTTTTGAAAATGCCTGCATTAAAAGTTATCAAGTTTACATCCTTATATAAAATTTCTCAACTCGTCATTGTAAAGAAAAAAGCTTTACTTTAAAATGACATAGATTTTTTCCCTAAACCGTACATGTATAGTAAAGCGACTGTTCTCTGCACACAAATGGCTACCCTGCGCGCAGAGTCTAGTTAGTTAGAAGCTCATGGGAAGCAAAGTCACGGTGGAATGCGAATGCATGGGGTAACAAAAATGGCCTACTTTTCCAAATGATCCCCGTTAGTCTGCGTTTTACTAAATTATCCAGATTACTTTGAATTGTGCTATGCATTAAGTTATGGTATAACATTCAATGAAGACAGCTTGGGTTATTGCTTTATTTATGATAATATAATCACAGTCGTAGAAATATACGAACAATCCAGTATTTGATAAAATGGTTTGTTTGGTATTTACATGCATAATGTTTACAAAAATTGGTCACGTGACTCACCTATAACCTTGCTGTCGTGACGTCACGCAAGCACAAGCGGGCACTTGCCGATACTTCGAATTTGTTGATTTTCTTGTTTTTGCTGTATCAGATTGACTCCATTGATGGTCGATAAATTGTTAGAATGACAGAGGAAGACGATGTTGGCCGCCGATTGGTACGTATCATCCAGCTTATGACTCGAAAATCCCGATTTGAGAACATTGTGTCGAGTGTGTGGAGGTGGCCATTTTGGAATCTGTGAAGTGTCATGTCCACAGAAACCAAGTTTACTATTGCTAATAAATACTTTAAACTTATTTTGTGATACATTTCATATATCTAGTTTTATAAACAATGTATTAAACCAGGTCGCCCCTGTAAAACAAGTTCTTTTCGAGCTGTCATTATCTGAGAAAAATTGAATTTCCCTCCAAGAAATTTCAGTGGTGACATTGGCCTTGTAAAGCTGATTCGACGGCTAAATTTCACCTGTCTTTACACTGTAAATTCTCTCTCCGTGTCGTATGCTGATAAGAATAAGGTGGAATTTATTCAAGGACATTTTTTACTCTCCATTTTGATTCCAAATGTGATTGATTTAGATGTTAAACGAGCGTTTTCGATGAAAAGAAGTGTTTGGGTTTTGTGTACATTTCTGCCATGTATTTTTCCTATGCAGGATTTAATGCCCGCCGAAAATTCATATTTTTTAATGATTTCACGCTACTAAAGTGATAAATCTAACCGACTTGAGCTGCAACAGATCTTATATTAGTATAACTAAATAAAAGAAACCATGCCAATTTAATATACATTGAACAAAATGCAAAACTTTTTTCCATTCACTTGAATTTTCTGATCTTGAAAATGAAATAGTGTAAGCCGTCCCAAGTTTACTGTAAAACATGAATTTTGTCATTGTTTGCTATTCTAAAGGAGATCAAGAACCTACTACTAATTATCTGATTCGATTATTTTTCTAAATATTGAATTATGTTATCACCTCATAACGATTCACTTTGAAAATGCATGCTCTGTGTGGAATCTACTGTTGCTTTGGTTACATATTGTAAATAAAGACAATAAACAACTCTCAACGGGAGTATTTGATTCGTTCAAAGTTGAAATGCCTGTTTTTACGGTATTTGGAAATTACATGAAGCTGACATCTTTGCAAGTTTCAACATTAAACAAATCAGTTAAATCATTTAGTAAAAATAAGTTAATATTTTCAGATTTCTATTTTACCTTGTAACAATAATCTACTACAGTAATAAAAATATTTAATGTTATTTACGGAAATCAAGATGTGTAGTTTGGTCAAGTATGACTCATTATTATTCAAATTGATAAATGGACAATATAAATTTTGTTGCAAATAGTACAGGAAAGAAGATGACATTTGTGCATTAGTAAATTAATCACGAACTCTCAATTTTATTGATAATATTAAAGTCATTAATAACTAAAGGGCTTGCTGTCATTCTGTGGTGAACATCATTAGGCTATTTTCTTTAAGGCCAGGGTAATTATTAATACAAGAGTATTTCAGGATATTCCCTGGTCTGTCTTGACTACAGAATGATTGTCCATTGATTGTTCACATTTTTATTGGAGTTTTTGATCAGCATGTTTCATATTTTGGCAGATTATAAATTAAACTAAACTTTTAGACATCTGAATTCTAGAAATAAATTTAAGTCAGATTTGAAAAAGTATTATCTTGACACATATTAAATTGAACCAAATTAAATTTCTAGTTGAAAGCCCATGATTGAACTGTATAACATTGAGCTATATGTGGTTATATATGTATATTTCTTTCTCTTCTGTTACTTTTTGTCCTTATCTTTTAAAAAACAGTTTTATATCTTGTCATCTTGATTAATCCAATTATGTAATATAATCATATTTAACTTTATACACCTGTATGGGTGTCAGTTGCCTGTACAATGAACATTGATAAAATTGATGAATAAAAACTGTAAATCAATAATTAGGTTTCAGAGTCATCAGTCTGAGATGATTTTAAAATCCCTATTGCCCCTTTCCCTTCTTCACTCTACAAAACAAAATGCTAAACATAGAATTCAAATACTCTGGCCTACTTATTCCAGAGCATTCATCTTCTTGATATTGTGTGTGTGTACTACACTTCCTACTTTGTTCATTCATTCTCTTTTGACTTGTTATAATTTTCTGACAAGCTTTCCTAAGTTATTTAAGTGACAATCAGACAAAATAACTACTTATTCAAGAATAGTTTTTCATTCATCTCAAAATAAGGTGAAATATATCAAAAAGTTCATTTTTTTAATTTAGATTTTAACAAATAAATCAAATCAATTTTTCTGTCAAATGGATGGCTGTTAATTGATGAAATTAGAATTCATTTATGCATTATGATGATTAGCTCCTCTCTTGAACCACTCTGCCTTTGATTTTAAATTAGCCCTGAATCCAGAATTTGTATGATTTTTGATCAAACCTACCCCTTGTTTTCACATATTCTACTTACAATCCAAGTTGGTTATGATACACATTGGATTCTCATGCTATCGTTCTGTTCTGCTACTAACTTACTATGTGGCATGGCTATCAGGACGTTTTACCAAAACCAACCAAAAGTGTCCAAAGATGTTTAAATGATAAATTAATAACAATATTTTGGCCCTTACAGAGATGTATGTTAAATATTGAATTGATGTTTGTCTTGTATCATCATAACATGATTTTGTCACACATCTTTCCTTTCATAAACATTTTCATATTTTTACCCTGTCAATAGAATACCCTCCCCAAAGAGTTTAATTTTGCTTTATCATGTGTACTAGGCTCTAGACCCTCATGGTATGAGTGGAATGATCTACATATATTAGAGAATATACAGGGTGTCCAAGATATTAAGCTAAAGTAGGACAAGTTAAACCCTAAACCGGAGATTCTCCAGAGTCTGATGTGTTTAGACCCTCTTGCTCCAGAGTCTAATAGGTTTTCCGGAGTCTTAAGTGTTTTTTCCGGAGTCTTAAGTGTTTTTTCCAGGGTCTAATTTCACATTTTTGTCACATTATTTGTGGTATAACTCTTGAGAAAATTCATGAAACTGGATACAAACAAGGAATAGGAAGTCTGAAACCTTTTAGAAATGTGTATTGACTTGTGATTAAAATAGTAAGATAGGTATTTTGAAAAGTATAATTATAGGATATTTCTGATCTCACATGGGGGAGGAGTAGCTGCTATACCACAAAAAAAACGGGATCTAAAACTTTCCTGGTGAGAACCCTGTATGGAAACCCTGTATATGTTAAGTTTAATGAATTTCAGCGGCATAAGACGAAGAAGGTTTATTCTGAAGAAATAGGAGATGATGAAATAGAAGGAAGCAGAACCTACAGTATTGAGAGCATCCTACAATCTGACAAATTTGACGATGAAAAACTTGTTAAAGTTATGGAAGGAAAAGGTGATTGTTTTAGTCTTAACCTGAGACTAACATTAAATTTTCATTTTTCATGATGGTCTTAGGTCTTAACACACTATCATGTCCATAAATTGTCCATACAAGTCAGGGGTTTCACGAGAATTTCTCACAACAGGCTAAATAAATGAAAACAACAGGCAAAATCAATGGAAATCATTTGAACATGTAAAAGTTGAAAAGTCCCTAAAAACAACAGGCGATTTTGTGAAAACAACCTGTGAAAATTGCCTGTTGCCTGCTGCTAATGAAAACCCTCTGCAAGCAATTTCATAGAGTTGGTAGATAGTGTGTGGCCATTTTGTTTAAACTTCAAAAATAATCTGTTTTATCTGCATCTTTTTCCACACTTTTTCCCAAAATGTGGTTGATCGTAATTATTGATTTTTATGTGTTTTAGATGTTACAGTGGCATACTGGCAGAAACATGGCTTTGATACCCCCATAGTAGTACATGAGAGGTCAGGCCTAGGAATGAGGTAATGTATCACTATTGATGTTTATTTACACTTAGTACTTTATAAGTTTGTACAGTGAAACCTGTTAAGTAGAACACCTCTAGAAGTGGAACACATCTGTTTGTGGAACACTTTTTAGAGTCCCAAGACCAACTGACGTAATGATAAATGAACCTCTATGAGAAGAACACTCCCAAGTGGAACACTTTTTAGAAGTACCAAAAATGTTCCACTTAAACAGATTTTACTGTATAACAAAAAACTTGGAATCTAGATTTGACTTGGTTTAACTAAAATGGAAGGTATATTGATACATCAAACAAATTTTGTCCGCCATTTTGGATGATACTAACTCCACTTGGTATCATCCTGCTGTGGATAGTGAACTTGAAAAAATTCTCCGTTGTCTGCTACAGATAAAATCCTAATCATAAACAGGGATTTCTGCTGAACAGATATCTTCTGGAATAAAAAAGTAAATTTCAAAGCTATGAATTAACATGCATATCTTAATACACCATCATTAATACCTTACAGAGTTCCAAGTGAGAATTTCAAAGTCAATGACGTAAAACAGTGTGTGGGTAGTCGCCGTGTCGTTGACGTGATGGATGTAAATACCCAGAAGGCTTTGATGATGACGATGAAAGAATGGGTATCCTACTACACAAACCCTGATAGGAGTGAGCTACTGAATGTGATAAGCCTAGAATTCAGCCATACTAAGCTAGAGAATTATGTCGAATGCCCTCAAGTTGTAAGTGCAATTGAAATTTATGTACATTTAAACACCTCTGTTAGTGGAACTCCTCTGAAAGTTGAACATTTTCAGTGACCATTCGACTTAACATTAACCTTCACCTTCCAAGGGTTTTGTGGTATATGTTACTATCTAATACATGCCTCCATCAATTGCTCATTCACTTACATGACCCAAGTAAAGCTAAAATGCTTGAAATAACATAACTTTTTTTTTTATATCGGCTCAGAGGCCATATATGAAATTCATATATTATTATAGCCTCCAACTTTTTTGTTGACAGTGTTCGGCGGTTGGCCTCTGTAACAAATGACAGGAGGTGACATTTTGTTTGTTAATGCCATGTTATTGACTGTTTTAGGTGCGCAGTGTTGATTGGGTAGACCATGTATGGCCGCGCTATCTGAAACTTGGCCAAACTGAGAGCACAAATGTTATTGAGAAGATGAAATACCCTAAAGTTCAGAAGTGAGATGTGATTTAAAATATTAACATATTATTCTTGAATAACTGGCTCAAGATAATTAGATTTATTGCATGTAGCCAGCCACACATTCAAGTGCAATCAACATGTACTGTACATAGCTCTAAGGGTTTAATGATATTATAGATACTATAGTATATGTAAATTTTAATACTATTTTAACAAGCATGTCAATTGATTTTTGATTACAGAATGTGATGGATTACAGATTCTGTTCCAATAAAGTTTTGTTCAGCTCCATATATCATAAAAAGAATTAAATTCACGATTGCAGCATGTAGCAGTCAAATGACAGTTCTCCAAAATTAGATGTAGCTCTGTAAAATTATCAACATATAGTTTCTTCAGTCTTTCAAATTAAGAATAGATGGCTGCCAAGTAGTTACATCATGAGCCTTATTTTATACTCCAGACAAATAGATGTAATATTCCAAGTGACTTACAGTATTCTCAAACTGAACCCTGAAACATCCTCAATTTAAAGAAATGCAACCATCATTAAAGATTGTCATGGAATATATGAAGAAATGACAAATGTCTGTGTTTGTTTTTATATTTCTTCTGAATTTCCAAAGCTTATACCAAATCAAAGTTTAGAGATTGAGCCCCTTTAATTTTTCACTCTCTGTCTCATTGTAGATACTGCCTAATGAGTGTTGCTGGGTGTTACACTGACTTCCATATTGACTTTGGAGGTACCTCTGTCTGGTATCATATCTTACATGGAGAGAAGGTGAGTGGCTTTTTCTATTTTCTTCACAATGGAATGCAAGAAATTTTCTACATTTGGCAGGGGTTTTACAACAAACAGGCAAAATGTACCAGATTGAATCAATTAGGGGAATGTTTTTTTCTAGCTACCAATTGATATAACAATTGATATGAATGTTTCTTGATATATTCTTTTTGATATTTTTGTCAATTGCACCAACTGAGGAAAATATTTAAGTCAATTAGGAGTGGACTCTTTCTACCAACTAATGGGATATTTTCTAGCCACCAATTTAGATAAATAACATATCTCTATTTTTTAGATATTTTGGCTGATAGAGCCAACAGAGGAAAATCTTCAGATCTATGAGGAATGGACTCTATCTGCAAACCAGGGGGACGTTTTTCTAGCCACGCAGGTGAAGGAATGCCAGAAAATACACTTAAAGGCTGGCTACACGTTCTTCATACCAACAGGTAAACTGTTATTTTGTATTGGTCTGTTCAACCCATAGAGTACATGTATCTAGAGAGATTATAAGTCACAGAATATCTCACTAAAATGGGTCTAACTTGGACACATTATGTTCAGTCTACACAAAATATGTATTAAGATGTGCATAAAAGTTCTGTGTTCAGTAATATTACCAAAATGAACATCAAACTTGGCAAAAGGAAGGAAAAAGGAAAAATGCTGTGTATACCACCAGAAATTAATGATTTTAAGGAATACACTGTACATGCTGATTGCAGTTCACTATTTGTCACTGTGGGTTATTCTCACACTTGTCACATTGCTTTGTGTGTAAATAATTTATGAACATGTATGTTATTTTAAACATTTAAGCCCATTGAATTATTCCTCATGTATCTGAGTTTTGAAAGCCATCGCACCTCTTTTCATTAATTTGCTTGCTCTTGCATTCTAATTATGGGTAAAAATGTGTAAGTTATAATTTGCATGAGGTCAAATTAAATTCTCTGCTTTCAAATCACCTGAACTATTTCATTTTAGGTTGGATACATGCAGTGTACACGCCAAAAGATTCACTTGTATTTGGTGGCAACTTCCTACATAATTTCGGAATTCCGATGCAAATACGAGTTGCTGAAGTTGAGGAAAAGACACATGTAAGTAAAGGATGGTGTCCAATTGTTATGTGGAATTATTGAGGGGTAGGGGGTAGGGCTGGGGGGGGGGGGGGGTAGGGGGTACACTTAATAAAGATTTAGGTGATGGTGTCAACATTTGTAGAATGAAGTTAATGTGGGATTATTGATTGGGCGGGGGGGGGGGGAGTGGGTACACTTAATAAAGATTTAGGTGATGGTGTCAACATTTGTAGAATGAAGTTAATGTGGGATTATTGATAGGGCAGGGGGGAGTGTGTACACTTAATAAAGATTTAGGTGATGGTGTCAACATTTGTAGAATGAAGTTAATGTGGGATTATTGATAGGGCAGGGGGGAGTGGGTACACTTGATAAAGATTTAGGGGATGGTGTCAACAGTTGTAGAAGAATGAAGTTAATTTTAGTGGGTGAGGGGATGGTTTCAATAAATTGAAATTTTTTTCAAAATTGTGTTTTGTCTCAACATTTTCTATTTTATAAGGGGGTCTTTTATGGTGGATATTTTTCATGTTGGTCCATAGATGGTGCCAAAATAATCTGTTGTGGAGGAATAGACAAAGTCTATTAAGGAGATTAAGGTTAAATGTTGATTTTATTTTTGAAGTATGTTTTTGAAAAATTTGTATGAAAAAGCTAAATCAACAAATGAATACAAAGGTAGTTAATCAATCCTATTCAATATGATCACAAATAAGTATTCATTTTGGGATTTTTATTATTTAAAAAATTTCAATACGATTACAGGTAAACAGAAAATTCCGCTATCCATTCTTTGCGGAGATGCACTGGTATCTTTTGGAGCGCTACGTGAGTTGCCTCACAGGGAAGAAACACCGTGTGAAAACGGAAGAGGAAATAGACTTTGAGAAAACGTGTGAAAAAGAGGGAACTCGGACGAGAAAAAAGAAAGTTGTTGATGGAGAGGTGAAAGCTGAACCTGAATCAGTTAAAGTGGAAGAAACCACTGTTGAGAGGTGAGCAATTTATTATTGTATTTTAGGTGTTCATTTATATAGTCTCTAACTTTTTGTGGGTGGTTGTTGGTGTTCGGTGGTTGACATTCGGCATCTGTAACAAATGGGAGATGGTGGTGACATTTTGCATGTAAATGCCTTGTATAATTTAGGTAAAAATGCAAAAGGGTGTTCACTTGAATGAACCTTTTCCTACCAAGGTAAAAACTGGTCATGTCATATCTGGGTCATGTTATATCTGGCACTTGCACATACAGGTTTGTAACTCCTAACATTCCCCTTTGTAACTAGTCATATTATGATTATCCCATCGAACGAAGTTCGGAGGGATATAGGGAACGCCTCCGTCCGTCCGTCCGTCCGTCCGTCCGTCCGTCCGTCTGTCCGTCCGTCCGGGCAATAACTCAAATACCGTTGGCCCGATTTTGTTCATATTTTGTACACATATACCCTATGGGGGTAGAAGTTCTGCTCGAAAGCCGATTTTCAAACTGGCCGCTCATTTCAAAATGGCGGCCATTTTAGTTTAATTTCAGTTGAAATAGATTTAAATTATAGAGGTTGCCATCTGGTTCTGCAGTTCATGCAAAGGTCATGAACTTTTAATTATGTCTAGATCATCTAATCACTTCAGCTACTGCAGCCAAGCACTAAACATGTACTATTTTTAGCTAATGCTCTCTGTATTAATTAAGACAAAGTATAACAGAGAAAAATATAAAAATAATAGTAAAAACCATGGAGGAGTTTCAAGCCAGTAACAAACTTACATCTGAAACTATGAGGACACTTGAAGCGAATGGATTTGACTCTATTGAGGCACTCGTTACACTGCAAGTGCCTCAAGATTTACAGGCAATGAAACTAAAGCCTTTAGGGCAATTCCACCTCCTAGAAAAGGGACTTAAAGCTCTTAAAGGAGACATAGATGGCCCTGGGATATCACCAGACGCTGCCCCTCGGGGGGAGGAGTACCAAGCTACTCATAAGGAGAATGAGGCTGGTCTGTCAGCTGACCAAATGCTGAAACAACTTGGGATAAGTCCCCAGGCCAGTGGAGTGGAACCAAAAAGGAAAGGTGAGCACCTTAAAATTGTGGATTTTATCTCGAGTGCTCTGTCTATCAAGGAGGATTACTCAGAGGAAGTGATGGCTATAGTGGGGAGCTCTAGCCTGATTCTCAAGTCCTCTGCTAAACGCCCCACCCTCACCAGTGTCACCATCCCACAATGGAACCAGGCAAGTTTGGCGATATTGTTACGTATGCAAGAGCATTCTCCCCAAGTAGATGTACATTCCTATCTCCAACACCATATAAAGATAATGGAATTTTGTGAAAAGTTTGATTGGATAAGTATTTTAATATATGATGAGGAATACAGGAGGCGCCAGTATATACAAGGCTTCCAATGGGGTAGCGAAATAGCCCACCTGTTATGGACTTAATACCACACATGAGTTTTAATTCTCTGTTTTCCATTCTGCCGCAGGTCCGCAACTGGCTGAGCTGGAAGAAGAATTGGATAACACAATCGCTACGCTACGCATGAATTGCTACACCCCCTCTACCAGATCAACATATGCTGCCCAGCTCCAAAAATATCTTGTATTTTGTAACAATATGGGTTACAACCCAGTACCAGTTAATCAATTACACCTGGAACGCTATGTTGCTTCATTAGCTGGGGTCATTACTCCAGCATCAGTGAAACTGTATCTTAATGTTGTCAGGCTACTCCACTTGGAAAGTGGTTATGCAAACCCATTAAATAACAATTATAGGCTGGACACCATCATTTTGGGTCTCACAAAGACCCTAGGCAGGAAACCAATTAGGAAATCTGCTATTACTCCAACTCATTTGCTGGACATTAGGAAGCAACTAAATATGGATGATCCCCTTCATGTGGTTTTCTGGGGTGTCTGTTTAGTTGCTTTCTATGGCCTGTTTAGGAGATCTAATGTGTTACCTTCAGAGTTTGACAAGAGCAAACATTTGTGCAGGAGAGATGTAACATTTTTTCCCTGGGGGGTCTTACTTAATGTGAAATGGTCAAAGACTATTCAGTCTGGAGAGAGAATCTTGCAAGTGTCGCTTACTGAGATCAAAGGCCACCCCCTTTGCCCAGTATCTGCACTACTATCTGCCCTTGCTATTACTTTCCCCTCCAGCCCAGACTACCCCCTCTTTACGTTGCCCAGAGGTAAACCTTTTCCCCCCTCCCTTTTCTCATCTCTCCTGGGCACATGCTTAGCTAAGGCAGGTTATGACCGTACTTGTTTTTCACCTCATTCCTTTAGGAGGGGAGGCGCATCTTGGGCTCTACAAAGAGGCCTTCCCCCTAATGTCATCCAGATTCTAGGTGACTGGAAGTCAGACGCATATAAGGTTTATCTTGAATTACCTGTAGCTTCAAAAGTAGAGATGGCAAAATCTTTTTCAACTAACCTACCTTCTACTACTTCTACTTAACATCAAGTTTGGGTTCGGGCAATACGAACTTCAGTACGTACGTCCGTCCGTCCGTCCGTCCGTCCGTCCGTCTGTCCGTCCGTCTGGGCAATAACTCAAATACCGTTGGCCCGATTTTGTTCATATTTTGTACACATATACCCTATGGGGGTAGAAGTTCTGCTCGAAAGCCGATTTTCAAAATGGCCGCTCATTTCAAAATGGCGGCCATTTTAGTGACGATTTTACAGTAATTTAGGTGCAATATGTAAAACTGTAATAGCAATATGTTTTAAATGTAAAAAAATTATAAAGGACATTAATAATGCTACAAATGTAGATATTAAAGAAGCACATGGCAGCCATCTTGAAAAATGGCGGCCTTTACTCGTCATTTTACGATTTTTGCTGTAACTCAAAAAGTAGTGGAGCGATTTTGTTCATATTTGGTATGTGAATACTATAAGCATTGCACACTGTCTAAAGACACTTTTGGTAGAAGGCAGCCATTTTTCAAAATGGCCGCCATTTTAACGTATTTTACTATAACTCGAAAAGTAGTGGAGCGATTTTGTTCATATTTGGTATGTGAATACTATAAGCATGGCACACTGTCCTATGACACTTTTGGTAGAAGGCGGCCATTTTGAAAAAAAAATTTAAAAATGGCCACCATTTTAACATATTTTACTATAACTTGAAAAGTAGCGGAGCGATTTTGTTCATATTTGGTATGTGAATACTATAAGCACGGCACACTGTCCTATGACACTTTTGGTAGAAGGCGGCCATTTTGAAAACAATTTTGAAAAATGGCCGCCATTTTAACGTATTTAACTACATGTATAACTCGAAAAGTAGTGGAGCGATTTTGTTCATATTTTATATGTGAATACTTTAAGCATGGCACATTGTCTAATAAAACTTTAGAGAGTAGTCGGCCATTTTGAAACATGGCCAACATTTTTATGTGTGTTATTTCACAAGTACGTGTGCGATTTTACAAGAGGTGGCTACTTAAAAGCATATTATTTCTTCTGATGACAACTTGGCTAGTGAGCAACCATTTTGAAAATGGTGGCCTTTCTGGTGTGTTGTTTTATGATATTTGCGCTTCGTTTGTAAAAATGCTAGCCATTTCTGTTCGATGGGATTCGCTACGCTTTGGCGTTGCCGTTGTTCTGGTTTTTATTGCACATACATGTATCTAAATAAACCTTTCCTGACAACCACTCAGTTGTACTAATTAACTAAGCATCCGGTAATATAACAAGGATAAGATATGCAATTTCTCTTGCAAATAATCCTTTCAGAGAACTGTAGATGTCTACACTTAAAAATGTTCTTTTTTTCAGGCCATGCAGTCCCAAGAGCCCAATACTCAAAGACCATTCCTACGGCAGTCCAGGCCACATGCACGTTGGCTCTCCGCGAGTAGTCATTCATAATATAGATGATCTAGTCTACCCAAAGTCTCCAGCAAGTGGAGTTCAATCTCCTGTCTCTATAGACTATTCAGGTATGAGAATCATAAAGGTACAGGGTGGCCCACCCTGTATAAATGTCTGGTAAAAGCTTTATTGGATTTTATGGATATATTGAAGTTTGTATTGAATGTATTGAATTGTTGGGATGATAAAAAAGAATCTTAAATGTCCAAATTCAAAGACTATTCATACTTACATTTTATACATGTGATTTCATATGTAAAAAAATAAAAATGTTCTGAGCATTTCGGGGAGAGGCTGACACATTCAACAACCCAAAGTCTCAACCCAGTCAGGTGAAATTGCTTGTCCATATAGATCATTCAGGTGGGATAATTGTTGATAATTGTCACAAAATGTCATGAAAACAAATCATAAAACCCAAACTAGCAAAACACTATATGATGTATAAAAGGAGATATTAAGTCCTTGTTAAGAGAGTCTATTTTCATTTCAGATATTGCTTCCCCCAAAAGTCCAGAATCTGTAAGAAGTGAACATAGTAAGGAGGCTGCTAAAGAGGATGAGAAGCCCAGACCTAAAGTACATCTCACCAAAGCTGAAATTAATGGTACATTCATTGCTTTTAATGACAATAATTTTTGAATTTCAAATAATTGCTTTAGAATAAAATAATATATTTAATTTTATTGATATTATATTGAATTTTACACACAATTTTTCGAGATTCGTCAGAATGGTTAACATCTGCAACAGAAAAGAGAACAAAATTGAACATTGTTTATTCACATTTTTATGTCACCACCAGAAGTGGTGACATATTGTTATATACAGCTGTAGTTGCAAACTTTTTTGTGGATGGCGTTTGGCTGTTGCTGTTTTGTGTCCTGCAGTCAGCATCTGTAACAAATGGCTGGTAGTTACATTTTGCATGTGTATGCTTTGTTCAGATATGGCATCATCCCTGGTAATAAAACCCATATACAATACCTTCCAGTGTGAATACTAGAGATGTCACGGAACAAAAAAAAATCAGAACGGTTCGGTTCGGAACATTTTGCTTCGGAACGGAACAATTTCGGAACGGTTCGGAACAGAGTGACTGCGTGTATTAGATTAAAATAATTTGATCATCTAGGTCCATTTGGTAGCGAAAAGCTCTTCAAAACTCTTCAAAGAGAATGAGTAAAAAGAATGAACCTCTTTTGATACAAAATACTGAAAGAAAATACTGTTTTGTGGAGATTCAAGGGCAAGAAGTTGTGAAAGGGTAAAATGTTCTTGTTCCGGAACTGAACTGAAATTCTTAATTTTTGTTCCGTGTTCCGTTCCGAGGGCATAATTCTGCGGATCGGAACAAAATCTGGTATCTGTGACACCTCTAGTGAATACCTCTATTTATATTCTAGGTTTAAAGAGAGTATGCATCTGGCTGGATGAGTTGCCCTCCCAGAAGAAGTCCATACCAAGGGATATACCTGACCCGGAAGGACTCTTACGTGATGCACAGGTCAGACCCCTTAAGCATTTTAATGCGGAGGGTAAAGGTAATGAAGGGGGGGGGGGTGTTTCATAGCACTTTGATTTCACTTAGTTTTTTTCAAATGGTGGCTAAAAAGGGGTTGGGATTAGAGAGGTGTTTGAATTCAGGTTTCACTATACTTGACTTCATTCTTTTTCAAATAGGGAATATTTTCTAAAATAATTTATTAATTACGGTATCTTTATTTTCAGTCCATAATAATGGAACATGAGGCTGAAGATGACCCCTTGAAGGCTGTAACTGGGGAGATTGTGCTGCAGTGGCCTGCTGAGGTCAAGGTAACATTGAAATATATGTCCCATGATTGGTTAAATACATGTCACATGACAAAATATGGATTATGGGTGTATCTTAATATTGGAAATATATATCTGTGATTGGTTAGATACAGGTCACATGACATGACTTATGTGAATCCCATTGTTTTTGATCAGTCATTTCTTACTATGATAACAACTAGCCTCTAATCATTTTATTATTCAGAAACTGAAAATCAAGCGTGAGACGACAACATACAGTTTCCCACGTAAGCACGCTGTCTCTAAGAAAGGACCACGTCCTATTGGTAATGATAAACTGCGTAAACGTCGTGGAAGATGCAAGAGGTGTGAGCCTTGTACGAGGTCTAACTGTAAGGAGTGTACGTTTTGTCATGATATGAAGATGTATGGCGGACCAGGAAGAATGAAACAGTCCTGCATGAGTAGACGCTGTCTCGCGGTAAGTTGAAGAAAATAACAGCATGCCCACATTTACATAATGTTAATGATGAAGCCTGTTCAAAGTGAACTCTGTTGAAACTTGATCATGATGGTCAGGTCTTGAAATAAACAAAGAGAGACCTGGAAACGTATATTGAAGATAGCGCATTTTTAAAATTGGAGCTTATACTGGTGCATGATCATTGATAGATCGGTTAATGAGCTTTGTTACATTGGGAATACATATTGGCTGACTGTACAAGGTAATAAAGACAGCCTTGAATTTAAATGCTATCATTTTTCTCCATTTAGCCTGTGTTGCCAAGTACTGTTGAGTGTATGATGTGTAAAAACAACCCACTAGATGATGAGGGCCTGCCAACAGTGCTAGAGTGTGGTATATGTTGGGAGATTTTCCACCCTGAGTGTTTCAAGGATAAGCATGAAGACCTAAAAGACAAAGAGGGTGTCATTAATGAGGACCTTCCCAATAGCTGGGAATGCCCTAAGTGCTGTAATGAAGGTCTCCAGGGACAAATTGCTGTAAGTTTACAATGAAATGAAGACTTATTAGTTTACAATAAATTAACTCTTTACTCATTGCTGACCAGCCCCAGATATCTCGTCTATGACATCATAATCATATCTAACTAACCCGGGGTGAGGGAATGAGGCACTATAGGACCCTATAATGAGTGTTAAATGTATAATGAGTGTTAAATATATAATGAGTGTTAAATATATAATGAGTGTTAAATATATAATGAGTGTTAAATATATAATGAGTGTTAAATGTATAATGAGTGTTAAATATATAATGAGTGTAAAACACCTACTATGTTTCAAATAATTCAATTTTTCCAAAACCTTTATACATCTGTTATGATTTTACTCTAATTACATTGAGTGTATAAAAATGTGTTTACACTACCTGCCATATTATCTGTCAATTTTATTAATTCAGCCAAGTCGTATGCGTCTCATGCAGAGAGGCAAAGATGGCCGACAATCGTCAACAGAGAGTCAAGAACAGGATATAGATGTCACCACAAACTCAACCCAATCTGTCCAGGCAGTAAATGTCTTGAAATTAAAGTCAACAGTGCTGCCATCTCAAGATGTTAATCCTAAAGTGAAGTTGATTCCTCTGGTAATGAAAAGTGAAGGCTCCCTTGTTCCTAATGCTAATGGCCATATTGAAGAAATTACAGTAAGAAATTGTTTTAATTACAATTAAAGGATAAAGACAGGGTCATATGATTATTTTCTGGCATGTAATATTCATGAATGAATTTTGATGTTTGAATGACATTGATAAGATAACACACTAAATTTTAAACGCTCCAGGTGCTAAATTCTAAATGATCTAGATGCTAAATTCTAAGTGATCTAGGTGCTATATTTTGAATGATCTAGGTGCTAAATTTCACATAATCTAGGTGCTAAATTCTAAGTGATTAGATCTAGGTGCTGAATTCTAAGTGATCTAGGTGCTAAATTCTAAATGATTTCGGTGCTAAATTTCAAATGATCTAGGTGCAAAATCTAAGTGATCTAGGTGCTAAATTCTAAATGATCTCGGTGCTAAATTTCAAATGATCTAGGTGCTAAATTCTAAGTGATCTAGGTGCTAAAGTCTAAGTGATTTAGGTGCTAAATTCTAAACAATCTAAGTCTTCCATATCCCAATGAGATAATTAAAATGAATTGATTGTTTTGCAGAGTGGACAAAAACAAGTGGTTATCAAAGTACAGAAAATTGACAGCGAGATTCCAACAAAAATCAAAACTGAGATAAATGGAGATGGTATCACAGACAATGATAGTGATGTTATAATGCCAAGGAGTCCTCCCAGAGTAGCTCGATTATTAGAATCTCCAATCAGAAAAGAACCGAAGTTGGTTGCGATCCAACCTAAGATTGAGGTGTGCACATCACCAACCAATCAGCTTCAGTCTGAACCACCTAGACTTTCAAAACAAAGAACGACAAAAGTCGTTATATCTCCAAAACCCTCGTCACCCCCGCCCAGGACTGTCATCATACGTTCCCCAACGCGGGAACTCCTCTCTGCAGGGGGTGACGCAATCAATCCAGTTCAGATAAGTTTATTGAAAAATGTCAAAATTAAGCTCCAGAAATCCACCTTTGGTTCAGTTGACTCTAAAAAGTTGACGCAACAATCATCAAGTTCTGAAAATTCTCCATCTCAGAATTCTAATATGGGACATACCGGTAAATCGAAAGTGTTTGGCCAGAACGGTGATAATAAGAATGCGGTAGAAAGTCCCTGTCGCACATTGCGTGGGTCAACAAAAGGCCAGCCTCATTCTGATGACAAGATGTCTGACAAGAAGGGAACGAGTCCTGAACGACGGAAACGTACAAATAGTGACAAAGAGGGAAAGAATGTCCCCAAGAAAAAGGTACCTAAATATATGAACCTGAAGTTAAATGTCTCTTCACATTTGATTAAAAGATTCAGACATACTCTTAGCATTAGAATTGGATATCCTTTCTTTCACAGATGAGAACCCATATTTCTACCTATTTGAGAATGAAAATAGATACATGTAGTAAATCCGGGTCACATGGGGGTATTCTTGCATTTTTTGATTTAGCTGGTAATATGCTGTACTTGATGATGTTAAATGTTTAAAATATTTACTAAAGGTCAGGGTTTTTAACTCGATTTCACTATTCAATGATCTTATCATTATGATTTGGACTGTTATAATTTTGTCTGCCAATTTTGAAAGAATTGTATCACACCAATCTGCATCAGTGAAACAGTGCTGTTTCAACAGTGCTGAGCAGTATTATTCAAGCACAACGCTTTTTAGCTGTTGTATGACCAAACTCGACAGCACTGTTTACTATTGAATCTGTTAAACAGCATTGTGTTTGTTGAACAGCAATGTTGTTCACTGTGCTGTTTGATATTGGCAGTGACGAGACAATTGTTTTTTTTCAGGTCAAAGTAGAACCAGGTGCTAAATCCAAGGCAGACCCCACATCACCAATACAAAGCACCCCTGTGAGGAAGACCAGAACCAGAGAGGTATTAATGCCTAGTCGATACCTTTAGGATTTATTCATCTGCTAAGGGGTCTCAGTGAAAATAAGTGACATCTATGAGCCAACTTTTGAACTGAAACACCAATATGAATACAAACCTAAAATTTTTGTTGATTGAATTATGAAGCCATGCAAGGCTTAACTTGCATTGTGAAATACAAAGTGAAGGCCCAGCCATATGCTCCTATCATTTCCCAGTTTATTAAATTGTATTAGGTTGTGTTCCTTCTAAGGTTATGTGCCTTCACGTGTGTTGCGTTGTCACATTTTTGAATTAAACAGCATTGTCTTCCAAGCAACAAATTATTGTTTTGTTTTTGCTTTGTATATGAATTGATTGATTCAAATTCAGGCACATGTATGAAAAAATGAACAATACGGATTATGCCCAAATGACACCAGTTGTGGAAACAGTTTATTTCATTATGGGAAGTTGTCAATGACCATATCGTTAACATATAAATATTATGAGGGGGTTAAACCATAATGCAATTTTGATAATCATATTTTCCACAACCGTTGACAGTAGGATATAATAGTGTTTAACCATGTGCATTATCCAATTTTGATTTAGCATCACGTTCTTGCCTATCACTGAATTTATTCAGTTTGAATGATTCTACCTCTGAATTTTACTTATTTTTGTCTCTAGTTCAACTATTTGATTACCTCTCGTATGATACATCACTATTTCTACATCATTATATTTTATATATAAATTCATGTATATATAGCAATTTGTACATATTTCTGTAGCAAAAAAATTGTTGTTTTTATTTATTCCTGTGTTGCCTTAGAAACTGTTTTAACAGTTATTGTATAGTAAACATTTTTTGTGTTTCAATGAATGGCCATATTGTTAAAATATAAGACCCCTTAGCAGTGAATAAATATCTAAAGAAATATTTAAAATTGTATTTTATTTATATTTATTTAATTTAATTTCATTATGCATGAACTATGGGGTCTTTATGTCTTAACAATTATTAAAGGCCCGTTGTCATGGTTTCCATTATTGTTTTCTAGTGACCATTTTCAATAAATATAAGAATATTCATCATACATATAAATATTAAAAAAAATTCAAAAGTCATCTAGATATGTACACAAATCATGAACTCTCGTTTTTGCCTACAAATGTAATCTGTAAACCAAAGAACAAAGAAAAAACTTAACGTGCAATAGTTCATTTTGTTGAATAAAGTCGACGTATAAATTGTAATTGCTCACATTGAATATGTTTAAATGTTTTTAAACCAACAAACTATTCTATTTAGTATAAACTTTGATATATGCATATATCTTCCATTAAAGATTTTATCAGTTATAATTGAAGATATACAGGGTATCCATAAAGCCTCTTTACAATTACAATACAGTCCTGTGCAGAGACTTTACGTAGACCTTGTATATGAATATTTTGAAATTTAGGGTTCAAGAAATATGTTTATTTAATTTTTTGTATGATGGATTTCTTGTGTAAATATATGTAGGAAGATGGCTCGTTTAACTTTATTTTAAATTGATTGTACAAATTCATATGGGTCAAGAAGACATATGTAGATATCCTTTCTCAGTTAACTCATTGTTCACGTATTCACTTTTATCAAATGCCCTTGGAATTATGACTTCCCTACAATCTAGTCACGATTCTAAACCATATTTACCAGGAGGTTGATGGTTTTCTTGTTCCATATTGTCCCATTCACATATTTTAGAAAGATAAAATATTTGAACCCAGGTCTGTAGCCAAGATTTGCCAAGGGGGTTAACTTTTTTAAAAAATCCAGGGGAGTCGCTTTCAACAACTTTGGTCCAAAAAGGGTCAAAATCACTTGAAAAGTGCTCAGAATGGTGAAAAACTGCATGATTTTGAAAAAAAATTAGCCAGGGGTTGGCTATGGGCCTGGAACCGAACAATGCTTTAACACCAAATAGTGACATTGTGACAGTACCAGGCACCATTTGTGTTGTATATGTGTACATGTATATATGTTTGCTCACATTATATCTACCATTGGCGATTGACGATTGTTATGTAGTATCAATTAGGTTATTGCTGTTGTAACAACCAATGAGTGATTGTTCTGTACATTAGGCCCCATTGGTGATTATTGTCAAATCTGTATGGGAAATTAAGAAGACCCATGATGTACACTCTCCTCCATAAGTTTAGCAACTGAAAATTTTCATGAAGGAGACATTTGGTTGGCTAACTTATAGCAGGGTGTGTATATGCAGTCTGGGTGATTATTATGTGGATGAATTGAGTGATTATATAGTATCAGTTGTGTGATTGTTTTGTACCATCCCACACGTGTTTGTTGTGTAGGTGCTTACATATACTGTAAGCTCTAGTTATATAAAATTATTACAATTGTTGTGATAGAAATAAATTGTAAATATATTTCTAACTTCTGTTCTGTACTCAATTAGCTGAAATAGGAATTTTTAATTGCACTTTAAATATCACACCAAACATTCATCAATATTGATCATTAATTTTTCAAGTCATGTATGGATCTATGCCTATTATGTTATTATCCCCAAATGGTCATACTTAGCAATTATGAATTTCACATTAGTAAAATTTAAAGCATCCCACTCTATATACAGGCCATTACAGTGTGTCCATAAAGTCTCTTTACACTTCACACAAACTGTATGGTAATTATAAAGATACTCTTTAAAGTCTCTTTAAACTTTACAAAGACAGAGTTTATATTGTAAAAGAGATCTCTTTAAACTTTACTAAGACAGACTTTATATTGAAATTATAAAGATACTCTATAAAGTCTCTTTACCCTTTACAAAGACAGACTTTATATTGGAATTATAAAGAGCCATTATGAGCACCCTGTATTTTCTTCAATTAGAAATTGTTCTCCCATCTTTCCTTTTGCCATTATGCCCTGAACAAGAATGATAGCTAGTCTCAGTGAACGTCATTGCCAATTTCCATTTGATGATACTATTAATTCCTAGACATAGAGGGGTGTTATTAATTTTGACTTTAAAGCGGAGAAACTTGGTTTTCCAAAACTCTTTCTAAGACCTGTACAGTAGGCTCCCAGATAAGTATATTTTTCTGAGAGTAAGTGAATTTTCTTAACCAAAAAGGAAATCTAAGTTCATACTTCAGAGTTCTTTCTTGAAACATCACTGTATCTGTCTGCTCATACAACTGGTCGGAATCTAGCCCACAGCCCTAAAATCAACCAAGTTCAAGGTCACTAAAAAGGTTAAATGTCAATGTAAATATATGGAGGGTCCCCTCATTAGATAAGTCTGTGAGTCAGCTTGATAAATTAAATGATTAATGTCTCTGTCACATTTGATCCATGGCAACAGTACACAGCCGTATCTTCCAAAAATTGAGAAATCTGCGCATTAAAATATAGGGATAAGCAGTACCATATAGATCTTCTGTAACGATTTTGTAATGCTACAGCCGCAAAGGCAAATGTGCTTTAGTCATCAAACTTAGACCAAAACATTTGATTTTTGACAAATTGTGCTTGTATTATTTTCAGGTATGCTCTGATGCAGATTCCTCAATGTCAGACACAACATCTCCACGTACCCCTAGGGGGCGCACAACTTCCAGCAACTGGGGTAGTTCACCCGGGTCAACTCCTGGCAGTCATGAGAAAAAGAAAAGAAGGTCGAGGTCTGTCTCGTTCTCGAGTCCTGAATCTCCAGACAGGGCTCAGCCTGGAAGACGAGGCCGTGGTAGGGGTCAAGGTCAAATCATGAAACGGGGAAAAGGAAGTAGTCCATCTGGGAGAGGTACTAAAAAAACTCAAAGTTCAGAATTGTCTAAACCTGGGAGGAAACCAATGAAAAAAGATGGACTCAAGAATAAGGATCGTGCAGGTGGGAAGAAAAAGAAAAAAGACCCCTTGAAAAGAAAAACAAGGACTCCTTCTAAAGATGAAGCAGAGGTGATGAAGAAACTACGTGAAATTAAAGGACGTTACGTAGTTCGACCAGCTCCCATTAAGGCCCCTTCACAATATGTGCAAACACTTTCCAATGAAAATCATCCTCTGAACCGCAACATGTGGAATAAAATTTTCCTTCTACTTGATCAAAAAGACATGTGTAAATGTATGCGTGTGTGTAAAAGCTTCTATAGATGGTGCTTAGATCAGCAATTCTGGGTAAAAATAGATCTGAATCGGCAAATTATTCGTCAACAGCATTTGATTGGAGTTGTTCTCCGTCAGCCTCAGAGCTTAGATCTTAGCTACACAAACATTTCCCACAAGCAACTGCAATGGCTGGTTGCTAGGATACCACAGTTGAAATCCTTATCACTTGACGGGAACTCATGGAGCTCTATATCGGCACTATGTTCATCCCAGTGCCCTCTACTGGAGACCTTAGACATTAACTGGTGCACTGGAGTAAAAGATGACTGTGTGCGTGATCTAGTATCGCCACCTTGTGATCATCGCCCGGGTGTAAAAGACATCTCACGACTTAACAATCTGAAGACCTTGCGTATCGCAGGCTGTGACATTACTGATGATGTCATTTCAGTGATGACACTTCGTCTCGCTAGCCTACAGAATCTTGACCTGAGCTACTGTGTGCAACTTACTGACAATGCAGTTCAGACTATCGCCAAAAGCAATCAGTTGCACCTCAACAATTTGCAGTTAAATGGATGCAATAACCTAACCAATGCTTCACTCACATTACTGAAAAAATGTAAATATCTGAAGATGATAGGGCTGGAAAAGTGCCGAAAAATCAAAAAACAGAAAAAGTAAAAAATCAAAGACAAATACAGTCACGCTACAGTTGTGTGTTTAGCTGTCAGGTGGTTCTATTTGGAAGGTGGCACAAAGGATAAATTGAACGAGTTACTGTTATAATGTAGAAATAATTATCATTTATTCTAAAATGTCGAATCTCAAAAAGGTGCAACATTTCTATGTGAGGCTACAGAACTTGTAGTCAATTTTACAAAATTCTGAGGGATGATGTTCAAATTATCAACAGCTGTGGAATAACGAAGTTAGTTTCATGAGGGGGAGGGGGTAAATGATGGTTTCGTTAGTGAATAATGAACAAATATTTCACTCTATTGAGGTGAATACCTGTACATCTTTCACAAGTGATATTCCACGAAGCCAGAAGGGCAAGTGGAATATCACCTTGTGAAAGTGCTTCAGGTATTCACCGAAAATAGAGTGAAATATTTGTTTTATTATATCACTGTCTAGCTAAACATCCCTAATATTATTAAGTCATAGGTTAACATTGAAATACATTGAATCTACTCGGTTCGTCTGCCATTTTGACTTACACTGAACTAAATTATTTACACTGAACGAAAACAAATTCTTTGAAAATTCCCGGGAGCGTGGGATATCGCTAGATATCTCACGGTTGTCTTATCTGATTAGCATTGCCATTGAATATCGCCAGATATCCCACGACATGTGACCCGGTTTTGACCAATCATACTGTCGCTAGCTAGATAGTGATATAATAACGCCAGATATCCCGCCACATGTGACCCGGTTTTGACCAATCATACTGTCGCTAGCTAGATAGTGATATAATAATGTTTATTATTTTATTTAATATTCAAGTGAAAGACAAATTAACATTTTAAAATTTCGTTGCTGAGGGGAGGGGGGGTCAAATCATAACAAAATTAACTTGGTTAATCCACAGCTGTTGATAATTGGACACCATCCCTAAGCAATCCAATCATATCAATACTTTTGAATTTTAAGTGGAATCACATTGCACTGGGACACTTCTTACCATATGGATACTAATACGGCTGTCACATCATTTGTATATACTATTGTACATGTATCTTGCCTTTAAGTTTGAATAATGTGTGTACAGTAATCTAAAATACCTTACATAAGTTGGTTGAGGGGTATAGTGCTTAAGGATTTTGTTTGTACATTTATTCAATATATCTCACATTTATATCATTAAACTTAATGGCCAGTTTGTCATAGTATTAGCCTGCTAGGGTAAAACACCAGGTGAGGCAAATGTAAATGGGTGAGGCAACAAGGTACAACATGAGGTACAAGGTGACACAAAAATGCCACCCATTAGTTTTGGAATAGCTTTCTCAATAATGAAGGAATCTTTGTGATTTTTTGTGTAAATAGAGTGTTCAGTGGAAGAAAGGTTGTTGTACTTGTATAGCATCAACAATGCGATTTAGAGATATCACATTTTCCATCCAGGTATGCCATTCGTGAAATCGTTAAAAATGTTCGATTTTTGAAATTTCCAAGTTATTGACGCTATGCAAGAAGAGCAATCTTTCTTCCATTGAACACTCTATCTACACTCTAACACTACACTCTATCTTGGGGCTTTGCACTAGATTGTCATTCTGTCTATTGAGAAAGTTATTCCAAAATTGGTGGGTGGCATTTTTTGTGTCACCCTGTATACTAGTTTTATACTTTAATTCTATTTTCACTTGAATAAATGTTTCTGCCTCATGCCTATCTATGTCCATGCAGCCTCGGAGGGATATGTAGCAGGCTACCAACATAAATGTTTAGTGCAATTTAAGTCCATTTTTAACAACATAGAGCTTAACTTCCTGAATTCCAGGCTCTATATTCAGTTTGAATTTGAAACTAGAGGATTTTTCATTTTCTCCAACTTTTGACATTTTACTACATACAACAGGTGATTTTAGTGAAAGATTTTGTGACAGATTATCTCATCACTCTAGCATTCAAGGTCAGTTCTAAGGTGACAAGAAATCTCGTCGGGTAGTCAAGCGATTAAAGTGACTCAACCTTTATTGCCTTATTGAAATTGCCAGAAAATGTATATTTAAATTAGTGTCATTCACATTTTTTTATATGGAAATCAAAGCTTCATTTCAATACCAAGAGAGTGAAGGTAAGCTAAAAGAAACAACGTTTTTTTAGAAGCGAAGTTAAACGAATGGAGCCATATTATTTCAACTTACTACATGTAAGTTGGCTACATGAGTTTCTCCTATTGCTTCTCATAGAATATTCCAAGGCAATAAAGTTGCTTTCTAGTTTTTTTAATGAAACTATGTTACAGAAAAATGTTTGTACAGTCCAGTTACAGTATATGGTTCATGGACAATGATAATGCTTTTTCAGTTTATTTACGGGTTTGAAGATTTTTGTTCAGCACTAAAGTATTATTTTCATAATAAATAAATAAACACAATAAAAACTGAATATTTGTTTGGCATATTATATTATGATTGGTATAACCTACAGTGTCACATGGGTTATAATTATATGAGTGCATATATATGATGTCTTTAATATAAAAACAAAAACAAATTAAGCACATTATGACACAACAAGATTTGATTCCCATGACAACATTGTGTTTATGTCACCTCTGACCTTATAACATAATTAAGGTCAAGGTCAATATATTCACCATTTGTTACGATTAGATGAATTCTCTCGTCATGGCAACAGAATATTTGTCATGTCTGTTTCCTTGATATTCTCCACATATTCACCTTTGACATTCCTAGAATTTATTCCATAACTAGGTCAAGGTCAAAAGTCATTTGCAGAGAAGTCTACAGAACATTGCCTGTACTGAATCAATGATTCCTCAGTACAAATTAAAAGCTTATATAAAGATATCAATTTTTGCCAGTATTATCCAAATTAAACTGGTTTACTCCCTAATCCCTCAATCAAAAAATAACTTTGCTCTTACAAAAATTGATATTTTGATACAACTCTTATGGGGTGTAGAGCTATGTGACTGTGACCTGCTTGCATATACATATGTAGTACATACATATACAATGTACTGTATATGAGCTTCTGGGATGCATTTCACATAACATTCTTCCACGGAAATTCCTAAATACAATTTTGCAACCATGGAGACCATGATAGCATACGAGAACAATATATTTAAGAATTCCCAATTTTAGGAATGTTTTATGAAAAGTATCCCACGTATATAAAACCAGACAAGTCATTACACTCTACAAAAGAAAACACAACAGTATATTGGAGATAGTCCATATCAATGCTAACCTGCATTCTCATCTATTAAAAATCTACCAAGTTTTATGAGGTTAGACATGATATGTACTGCCCCTATGGCCTTTTCTTCACCAATGAAGCCAACAGCTTACATGAGTTGGCTTCATATAATGTATTGGCTAATTATGGCCACTGTAAAACCATTGTTTTCATACATTTTGACATACAATGTTTACATTTCCAAAAAGTATGGACTTTTACACCGAGTCCTTATGGACTCTTAATTTGACTGCAGTCTACTGCACAGACTCAAGATTTCAATCAGTTCTCCATTTATTTACAAAGGTAAATGCGACAATATCTGATTTTCTTGGGGCTTTGCACTAGATTGTCATTCATGTCATATCATATCGTATGATCATTTCCATATCATATTATATGTTTTTTTCAAGGTACATTACAGTATTTAATCACTTAAAGGTTACATTATATGATCTATTCAAGGTCATATTGTATGATCAGTTCAAGGTCATATAATATGATCAGTTCAAGGTCATATTATATGATCAGTTCAAGGTCATACTATATGATCAGTTAAAGGTCATTTTATTATGACCTGTTCAAGGTCATACTATATGATCAGTTAAAGGTCATATTATATGATCAGTTCAAGGTCATATTATATGATCAGTTAAAGGTCATATTATATGATCAGTTCAGGGTCATATTATATGATCAGTTCAAGGTCATATTATATGATCAGTTCAAGGTCATATTGTATGATCAGTTATTATGACCTGTTCAAGGTATTATATGATTAAGATAATATACTGTATACAGTATGATAAGTTCAAGGTTACATTTTATGACCAGTTCAAGGTCATGTTATATGATAACAACATCAGGCCTATATTGATTATTAGTGCAAAATGTTTCATGTAAATAAAACAAAGCAGATTGTATTTCCTATATGTTGTCTATGGATTATAAATCTGTACCCTTTTACACGATAATCTTGCATCAAGTCCTTCCTCCTAATCCCCACTCTGGGGCTTTTTAGGTGGAGTGGGGGAAAGAAAGGGAAGATCTTGATGCAAGATAAAAGACACAAATGTCCAGAATTTACACACTAAAATTAATACAAACATAAAATACTACGACAATACCACGTATAACATATATATAAATGTATAACTATGCTGTTGTTCATTGCCAAATATTGGCCAAAATTACACGAATTTAACATACAGGCCCCCCATGTTTTGGTGAATTCTTCAATATCATTATTACATGTTCTCAAATCTTTCGGAAACAATCTCTGGCGTAAATGGTGTGGGTAGAGGAGGATAGGATAGATTTGGCTTGTTGTAAATAATTTTAAACATGTCACCCACTTTAAATATGCCATTCATGACAAGCCTGCTTTATGCTGTTCTAACCAGTTAGGCATAAACAAATAATAAAAGACTACTGTTCTACAATTATGTACATCTACAAAATTCTCTGAGATTGCCCCAAGTCTCACAGGAATAATATCAGTGACAAAGCAAGGAAACTAACAAAAACAGAATATTATACTATACTCCATTGGGACATAATTTTCACTTTAGTCCAAAAATGTCTGAAAAATATTTTTTGTTAAAGATTGGCAATTCAGTTGACTTGCCTGCCTCAAAGCTAGCCTCACCTTCCCCATAGCTAGCCTCACATGTCTCATGGCTAACTCATCCCATGAATATTATATAAAAAGTAACTCCAAGTTCTTGCAATATAGGCAGCATTAGATACGAAAGCTTTCTTTTTTGCCATCAATGTGCCTCAGTCTTAAATACACATCAGTGCCTATGCCCTGCATGGACTCAATAGTTAATGTACCCCCAAGGTATTCTGCATAGGCCTTCGAGGCGGGCAGTCCAAACCCAAAACTGGAAGACAAAAACAACATAACTGAATTTTTCAACACATATATTTACTGAGACCTTAAAACATTTCATTTGTACATGTATTGTATAATAGATATTAAAATCTTTAAAAAAAACATTCACTCGATCCTTTTAACTAACTGCCCCCACACTCTTTATATATTACCCATGCATCCAGCTCCAGGTGCTCGTCATGTAACGAAACAGCCCCCTCCCCATCTACACCCCTTATATCCCCCATGCTATATCTTACCCATGCATGGCTGCTGCTGCTCTATTCTCCATAATGTTACCAAACACCCCCCCCACCCCCCTGCTATATATCTTACCCATGCATGGCTGCTGCTGCTCTATTCTCCATAATGTTACCAAACAACCCCCCCCCAACCCCCATGCTATATATCTTACCCATGCATGGCTCCTGCTGCTCTATTCTCCATAATGTTACCAAACAACCCCCCATCTACTTGGTGGTTGTCGCTCTGTCCAGCTGTGGTAAAATGGTAGTCCCATACTTTACGCACAATATTGTGGGGGATGCCATTTCCACGGTCTGAGATTCTAAAAATAAATTATTTATTACAAGTACATGTATATAAAAAACTTATTTTGATTTTATATGTCATATCTAATTTTTATACAATAAGCAAACCTTAGAATACCTGATATGGATTGAAGTAAAGTAATTTAAAATAACAAAGGACAACTAATCCCCTATTTTAAATCGCCTATGTTTTTTTCACAAAATCTGCCAAATAAAAATGGCCGCCAAATTAAAGGCCAGGGTCGGGTATAAAAGGCCAGTGGCAGTTAGAAATTACATCATATGATGATTTGATAATTTTGAAAATCAGAGCTCCAGAGGATTTATTTCGTTTTTCCCTCATAAAGTGAAAACTACTGAACAGTTCTTGCTACTTTTTGCTACAGTTTTGCATGAACATATGTCAATTTAATATCTTGCTTTTGTTAATTCAAAATATCACTAGATTTTGTGTAATTAAGTTTTTTTATTTGAAAATGTACTGGTTTTAGGGGAGGAGTTATAAGACAGGGATTTAAATATCTGTCCAATGAGAATGCTGTAAATTTGTCATGTGATATTTGCAAACACAAGCACATTGTATCATTCTAAGAAATCAGCTATTTGAAAAATATAGAAGTTGAAAAAAAAATTAAAGTCAAAACTTACCACTTGATTTGTATTTTTTCACATTATATATCCCAAGCAAGTGTAACCGTATACAGGTTGATAGAGGTGTATACTTCCACTTGTTCAAATCTTAGCTATAAATTCAATGTCATAGGCGAATTTGGTGAAATGTTTACAAGATTATTATGAAACAATCACATTTAGTACTTTATCCTAGATTAATTCCATGTAATTAAATATTTTAAGTTTGTAATTTCCTGTGAGGAGCAACATCTTTAGTCTGAACACTGGTAAATCCCTTTCTACATTTTCATTCCAGTATAGTGTGGTAAGGTCTGTCATCTTATATTGCATAATCATTTCCAAACTAAATTATCTTTTTATGAAACATATTCAGAACATTTTGTAACTTCTTCATCAAAGTGACAAGTGCACCAGTATAATTTTGTGATTGTCTGTATACTATTGTTTTCATAATTGATTTTGTTCACTTCAAGTTCACTTGCCATTTATTTTTCTGGTTAGACTTTGGTTCTGTTCAAGTTAGCTGTATCTGTGTCAGTGAAACTGAGAAAATTGATTCAAATAGTACTTGATTTCTCTTGACACCAAGAGTGTGAGGGGAGGGGGCATTTGATTACTATCTAGTAAGATTTACATATATACATAGGGTATACTTCAGTTAGTGAGGAATGATAGCTAAAGGGTTCTTCCCTGAGTTATATTTGGCCTATCTCTAACAGACCAAAGGAAATCATGCTGCAACATTGAAGTGAGTTACAATTAAAATCTCATTTTCAAAGTTCAATGCTCACATGATGAATAGTAATTGACAAGATCAAGGGAAATCCTAGATTCAAATTTGGAATCACTCTGTGGATCCAAGAATAATGTGTCCCTTGAGAAATGCCAGGGATGTTAATTTCAAAGATTTCTAGTCTGCATAGAAGGGACCATATCTGCATTTCAAAATTTAACTCTATACACTATATTGAATCCCCAAAAAATATTTCACACACCAATTTTGATGTTTCCCCAATAAGACAGTGAAAGATTTAATCCTCTAGATACATGTGCTTGTGTTTGTAAACATTCTGGCATAATTCTTGCCATATATGGTGACATGAGCTTTCACATGATTGGCTAGCCATTAATGACTATTAATGAGGTGGGCTGAACTCAACCATATGGCAGGGAAACCTGGCCTTTAAGGATGTTCCCTGGTCAGATAGGAAAATATTCAATAGTATTTAACTTTTTCTCAAAAATGGTTTTCTGGGATTCTCACGGGCAACAAAGAATATTAAAACTTTAAAAACCATATGTTAGTGTGCTTTTTTCTGAGCAAGAGGCCTCTAAAGTGTCAATATTTGACAAAAGTGGGCGTGGCACTTTCTCATTGAAACCCATGTTAAAAATCAGGTTTTCACCCCAAAACACACTTTTGAATATTTAACTTTTTCTTAAACTCACAGAAACACTTAGTTATGCTATGTACTTCACATTTTGAAAAGAAAAATTAGGGGTTGGTGTTCATCGTTTTCAACTTCGTCCAGGGAACATCCTTAAGTATAAAAGTACTGTAACATGTGTGGGAAATTTCTTGAGAATAACAAAAGGCCTCAGGGAGGTCCAAAATGCAAAAAATTGTGCTTTTACTCAAATATGCTCTTTATACACCAACTTGTATAGAGATACATAAGGCAGAAAACAGTAATAATTTAGCTAAAATTTGGCATACTTGAGCCCCACCTTTTAATTTTCAAGACATATTTTCTAAAAGTGAATTTTAATTGTACCTTATAACGAAGTCTATGTCATTGTTGGCTATTGTCACGGTGACATCTGGCATGTTTACGTTGTCAAGGTGATTCTCCACAGTGGCTCTGCAACATAATATAATAAAATACAACAATATTCAATGATGATGGAATTTCTAGCTATTTGATTGACCCATGTGACCTAAATATATCTTAAGTATTTTATCTCATAAACCACGTTCCCAAAATTCAATAATTTTTGAGGTAATAAAGGGTTTTGTGATCTTTTGTATAAAATTCTTCATCCCACTTGGCTTAAAAGAGAAATAGTTTCAAAATTCCTTTACTATGAATGCTTTAAAATAGGTAATGAGATATTTGCAACAATTTTATAATATTGAACATTTTACAATATACGAGTACATACCTCATGGCATTTTTCAAGATCTCCTGCAAGATATAATCCAGAGGCTGAGCTATGTAAGGAAACATGGTGTTCAGGTGACCATTGATGCGAACATTGGGCGCACGTCCAAACTTAAGTTCACAGATCTTACTGAAACACATAAACATTCAAAATTACACAGAGTACTACAGTAATACAAGCATAATCTGAATGCTAATGGAATTAGCCGAAATTGGCTGGACTGACAGGTGTTCATATTTAGAGGTTTTAAATGTGTTTTAAAGCCTATGCCAGGTTAAAAATTGATCTAAAAAAGCATTCACAATGAGAGGTGTTCGACTAGAGAGGTGTTCAGATATATACAGGTTTTACTGTATATACATATATTTATCCCATACTTAATAGTGTTAAAGGTAAATAACATGCAGGAATATAATCAATATCTGAGGTGAGCGGGTGATCAGCAATCCCGGGTCTATTTGATAAATATTATTTATACTACATGATGCTTCCCTAACATTCAATGCATATTTAATTCTCGTGATCTACTAATTAAAGTATAGGATAAATCAGTTAATCGAATGCTCAATTTTTGATACAGGGTATATCCCTCGGTAAATACAATATACCAAACCTCGGTCCCTATGGTCCCTCGGGTAGATATATTGTATTTCCCTCAGATTTACCCTGTATCAAAAATCTCCCATTAAATAACCTCTATTTATAACACACATTCTCATAATTTTTAATATTTCTATCCCGTGGACTAGAATGTTAATTAAACTAGTTCATAAATATACAATATGAACACAATGTGTATGTGTACTAATTCAAAATTAGAAATGTTATATTGAATTGATTGATGTTTTTACATCCAGGTGAAGGCTATGAGAAAAATAAATCATTTTAATAGTGAATTCACCCTGGGAGACGTGAGATGCAACATGAGTAGAGACTGCAATTAAGGTGGGGCATACTCTAGTGGATCACCTTAAAAGTCGAAGGATTATGCTGATATTAAGTCAGTAATATTAGACTTAAATATCTAAAAGGGGAAAATAACCTAGAATTCAGAGATGAACATATCTCCATGTAAAGATGAGGCTGTAAAATTGTGACATTTTCTACAATTTTTTCGAAGAGTACTCTCAACTTGTTTCTAGTTCCTTTAAGGAAGGGTATACTTGTCCCAATATCCCACCTTAACCCTGAATCACATGTTGAAGGAAGAAACCAGCGGTTAACTACAATATCAATTTACATAATTTTGAAACTTATGAAGGGATAGATTAACTGAAATCCCAATCATTACTTTCCATAAAAAGTATCTGCTTATTAATTCAATCTCTGCAGGTGGTTGGTTGTGTTATTAATATTCAAAATAGATTTGAATTTTTAAGTCTGTATTGTATCTAGGGGTGACTTTAGTTACATAATAACCCAGATGCGAGTAGAAATAATCTTGATTTACGTCATTAAAAATTCAAAATTCAGTCAAAGTAATATCATATTTGAAATATACATGTAAAATTACATCTAGAAATGTGGTTTTAAAAAGTGTTTATCAACTTTGAAAAATTAATTTTCTTTGAAAATGTGACTTCTACCTCGGGGAGATTCCCCATAGACCCCATGCTATAAAATCACAAAAAATGAAAAATGTTTTCTATTAGTGGACAGATAAACTTTGCTTTACTGGAAATATTTTCATTAGTATAAGTATCAGACACATAAGGGTTATATGAAAATTGAGCCACTTAAATTGATAATATTCAAGTTTAAGGGAACTTTCTTATATACCTGCCATGTTAATTGACCCGAATCAGCCACCTGGTGGTGAAACTGGTAACTACTTACTCGGATTTGGGTAATTGTGAAACTGTATGAGGGATGTCCCATGAAGTATTGATAAAAATGTATTAACAGTATTAACATATGAATTCACCCTCTACAGGTGGTCATACATTATTAATATATGTATATAGGTTTGAAACTGTTCACAGATTGAAGTGAAATATTGAATTCATTATTGATAGCTGTCTGTCAGTTACAAAAGTTGCAATTTTGTCAGTTTGGAAAATCTACGAACATCTGCTAATGACATATGAATATGAGAAAGCCCTGAACTTAAAACTATTTCATTAGAATGATCATAAGTAAATGCAGATGAATATGTACTTGTCTAAAAAGTTAGCCTTGCCCAAGTCGGTCTCTTTTACTTATTTTGATTTCTATTATGACCGCCGGTAATAATTTAAGATCAGATAAGTAAAAAATACAGACTTGGGCAAGGCTAATAAAAAGTGTACATTCAATGAATTTACATAAATAAAGGAGTGATAGATTATTAGAATTGACGTACTTGTACATTTTTGTAGTCTTGCTTCAAGACTGTGTATCCCCCCCCCCGTATCAATATGTACTATGTAGTTCACCTTGACCAACATACCTGGTGAGAGAAGTTGATCAGAGGAGAAAGGGCCTAGGGTCTTTTAAGCAAGACTAACATTTTTGCAGTTTAAGAATTCAGCTAAACTATCTTTTCTCATGCAGTTATTGTTGCGCAATAAATGATCAAAATTGCAAAATTAAATAGTGCCAAGTAATGGACTCAAAATAAGTCATATTAACATTCCAAAATTGAATAGTCTATGGGTCAATATGATCTATAAATGAGAACTTACGTCCAAAAAGTAAAGAAAATAGGATGTTTCATTCATGAATCTACAGACGTGTGTATAATAGAAATGAGTAAACATCCTGAAAAATCTCCGTAAACAAACTCATATATTTATTAGGGACTGTGGTTTTTTTTTAGAGTAACATAATTTATTGTGTAACTTGTAAAAACCCTCACATGTTTGTTTAACCTTACTGATCAAAAAATACGTTAACTTCTATTCAATGTTTCAAAGAATATCTTTAATGAAACCTGAGTTTTTACGAACATTATGATAATAGTTTCGCTAAAACATGATGCACTGATGTTTTATCTCGCCACTTACAGTACACAACTCACTTTCATAAAACACATGTTACAAACATATGATGCAAATAAGGTATTATGTAGTGTATGAATGATGTCAATGACTGTGTGTAAAACATCCAGGATTATCATCTAGGCTTCTTAAAGGTAACTTGGTATTTTTCTTTTCAGGATAATATCAGAGGGCCTAGGCTAAAACAATCACTGCCCCCCCCCCCCCCCCCCCCAGCACCCTTGAGATATGAACAATTCTCTGTTTGGAACAAAATACAATCAAATCTGAAACACTACCTATCACTTGTTGTTCCATGATGGAGAGCCAACTATTATTATTAACTATTATCACTCAGTGCATTGCCATGGGCCAACATTGCCATGGCCAACGACCCCTATGACATAACACTGTGCAAGATGCCAATGGCCCCATTTAAACTATTCATTTCACCTGTTAATCTGCATATGTATACCAGAATCTTGTTTGGGGATTAATACTGTTTTCAAATCAGTTAAAGCAGTGACCCTAGTTTTACCTTTCAAATATCAGCTGTTCTCTTCATGCCCAGTCAAATAATTTCTATAAATGCCAATGTTGTTTACCGATGTTATAAATAGTTGAATCAACCTGCTTAACTGTTAATCCAGATTTATACCATTTAAAGTCATGAGTTCATTGTCGGTCATTCAATAACTATTTGTTAACCTGAACGCCCACCTTAAGCCAATGATTCAGAGTATTTAACTTATGAGCTTTCAAGCCTAACATAAAATTGATAACATTAACAAGGCATTAACATGATAAAAATCTCACCACTTGGTTGTACACCCCTTGGTTGTACACCCCTTGGTTGTACACCCCTTGGTTGTAATTACAGACCACCTTTTGGTTATGCCATAAAACCTTCACTTTCTGGACTTAAATGGCAATCCCCAAAAAAAATGCAAAAAATGGATAGGTAAAATCAATAGCCCCTAAAAATAAAAGTATGCATATCTATACTTACGTTGCGAAATCCACTTTTCTTTCAATGAGTTTCTTAGGAGAGAAATTGACGCAGATAATTCCCACAAAGTTGGGCTGAAAATACATTACATTATTCCTTAAATATTATCAAAGAGGGGCAAAAAGTATTAATCAATAACATTAAAATAAACGTTTTTGTTTTGCTTAAAATTATACTCTTCAGACAATGTTTTCAAAATGATTCAATTTGATGTCATATTTCAATTTTGTGCTTTATAGAGAACATTCATAGATAAGGGATTATTGGTTCAAAATATTGGGCCATATGGGTAATAACACATACAGAGCCCCCCCCCCTCCCTCCCCTGCACGATAAGAACTGGGTGATCATTTCAAATATATATAAATAAATTAAATTGATTTTATAAAATAACAATAACTCACTCTCTCATCATGTAGGGCAAGATGGTGTTCAGCCAGCATACGTATGCCAAGTCTTGAAGTTAATGTGCGATCCAGGAAATTTTTCACCATTTGTTCATCCTGAAACATTAAAAATGATTGCTTTGAAACCAATGAAAATTTATGCTGATAAATAATATTCACCTTAATTAATTTTTCCTTGAACAGGTATTTGACCCCAAAACATAAGGCAAATCAAGAAGTCAACTTTACATAACCCCGGCCTATAACCCTGTTATCTATTTCAATACCCGATTTTTGAGAGGTGAATATGTACACTTGTAAATGGAAGGGGGTGCAGGCTTATGCAAGGCTCGGATTTAAAGAAAATGGGGATGACAAATGATTCAAATTTCTCATTCTCGATTATTGCAAGATTTAACCTGCAGAACATTTAACCTGCAGTTAAATATCCACTGCAAAAATCATTGAAAGTGCATTTATTAGCCAAGCATGGAACTTTATTAACAAAGTATAACTGAAAAAATTTCTATTGACAAGTCATTGAATAGTGCTTGAAAGTTTCTATTGACAAGTGCTTGAATACGAAGCAATTATTTCTGCCTGGGGCAAATGCCTGGGATAAATTCCATAGAAAAAGAACAGCAGCATATCAAGGCTTTTTTTCATAAGATTAGAAAATTGAAAAAATTCTATGTACTATCAATAGTACCTGTATTTCTGTCACAATATATGTACACAATATATACTCAATGGAGTAATTCTATATTATGTTTTAGAAAATCATTACATTAGAGCGCCCCTGGATACATAAATACACGATACCCATTGATATATACCACATACATGTATTGAACAGCCCATACTATTGATTCAACCCAGATATCGTGACATGATGATGCCTGAACATACAACAAAGTAGATTGATGAATCATTTTTCATGAGTATAAACATGCTACAGTTTTCTATAAATGTAAAATATTTAACAGGCTTGAGGTAAGTTAGGCGACACAGCCCCATCAACATTTTGTGCCATATGCACTCAATATGTGCCACCGAGTGCTAAGTTCTAGCCATATGCACTCAATATGTGCCACTGAGTGCTAAGTTCTAGCCATATGCACTCAATATGTGCCACTGAGTGCTAAGTCCTTGCCACCACTACTCGCTTCATAATGGCCTAGTCACATAGCCCGGCCGATGAGGTTACGATGAGCCAGCGATGCAATTTTCACCGAACTCGGCCGAACACCGGCCGGACATCCATGGCGTTTGTTGCTTAAAACCGCATCGGTGGTAGCTCGGTGAAATTTTAACTTCGGAGTTAAATTTCACCGGGCTCTCACCGAGCTCCCTCATCATGTCATCGCAGCTCCATCGTAACCACATCGGAAAACACGTCAGACGGTGCACGGCCGAGTATCGGCCGGTGTCCCGTGCTTCTGAGACAACCAAAGGACGAGGTTTTTTAACGGACAGCGGCCGAGCTCCGACCGAGCTCCGGCCGATGTGGGACAGAGCATCGCACGGTGTCCTGTTACCTGCTCGGGTACCGGCCGTATTCCTTCCGATGTCCGGCCAACCTCCGGCCGGTAGTTGCTGCCACATCGGCAAAAAAAAAATTACCATTTTGAGACAGACTCCGTACGGTCACCGGCCGGTGTTCGTTCGGTCGCCTGAAGATGTCCGGACGGAGTCCGTTCACGTCACCGAGCTCTGCTTCCGATGAGGAGAGCTCGGTGGCACCAAAAAAATCCACCGAGCTCTACCGATGCCGGACATCGGCCGGGCTATGTGACTTGGCCATTAGATGCTAAAATGTTACCACAAAATATCAAAATGACAAACATACCCTAATATGTTTTCTTGACTCTTTGAAGCCTTCTGCCAACAGCGTAACAACATCTTTATGTTCATCAAGTAGGTTCTTCAGCATACGACTAAAGGGTTCCTCCGATTCAAAGTCGGTTATCTATAACACAATGAACACATAATTCAATAGAATTTCATATTAAAATCAGAAATTACCTTTTTATTTTTTTTGATATGAAGGACAGAGTCACCCATAGGGGGATACAAGGGCTATCTAAGGGGGGGGGGTGCCCTCAATCATTGTATCACTTTAGTAATTTATAAATGTTTGTGATTTATGTTTTGACGAGTCTATAAAAATGACATCACTGCACACAAGCTACTGTCCCGTGTGCCCCTGGCCATACGAAAGTGATCAGTAAGTGACCATGTATAAGCTACTTGAAATTTTGCTTAGTAACAAGGGAAGAAATAGGTCTAGCAAAATGTGTAGAATTTAGAACAAAACTATTGATAAAATCCCTAACCCACTTCGATAATGCACTCAGCAGCTGATTCAAATAGGTTTATTATGCTGGTATTTTTCCAGGCAAACAGTTCCCATATGTTATCCAGGCAACCAGCTTGCAAACAGTTAGTGCAATATCACGGTGTGATCCATCTCAATTGTGAGGCATCCAAGATAATTAACTAATTAGTTTTATCAAAAAGCAATTATCCTGGTGGGAAGAACTAAGAATAATGCGTAGAGTTAATGTCTTTCTACACACGTTTTTTGGTCAAATATGGTTATCCCATTGAGAAATTTAAGAACTGAGTACTTTCATTTGCTGTTAGTCAACACACACTCTCATATAGTAATCAGATCAGGGGTAGGTTCGGGGGGGGGGGGGATTCGATAATCCTGATTTTGGGCCAAAGTTGTCAAATGTAGATGAACCTCCCTGGAATTTTCTGAAAAGTGAAATACCCTTTGGCAAAAGCTGGCTGTTACATGTACTGCTTGACTTTGAATTACTTTAATTAAAAAATACTCTCATGTTTTCAGAAAAATATAACAGCTTGCGTTTGAGCAGTTGCTTATTATACAAACTGACACATCCTAAAATAATATAAAACTAGAAAAACAGCAACTCCACGGAGTAGCAAATCCCACCGAACAAAACATGTTTTGATAAAAAAAATTGAGCCAAATACATCCACTGGTATTTGAATTATCAAAGATTATGTCTTTATGGTTGCCATTTTGAAATTCAGCTGTCATCTTTAGATTTCTTCTTTAGCAGAGAATATCCGTCCAATGGTATCTGGGTTATCAAAGATTACTTTTTTAATGAAAAACGGCAGCCATTTTGAAATTCAGCTATCGCCTTTGAAATTTCTTCTGAAGCAGATCTCCTTTTTCCCTAAACATCAGCATATAAAATTGGAACCAAATCCATCCACTAGTATTTGATTTATCATTAATTATGATTTTTACGAAAAATGGCGGCCATTTTGAAATTCAGTGGTCATCTTGAAAATTTATTTTTGAGCAGATCTTCTTTGTCTCTAGGCATCAGCATATAGAATTTGAACCAAATCCGTCAACTGGTATTTGAGTTATCAAAGGTTACGTTCTTTTATGAAAAATGGCGGCCATTTTGAAAATTAGCTACCACCTTGAAAATCCCTTCTCGAGCAGAGCTCCTATGTCCCTAGGCATCATCATGTAAAATTTGAACCAAATCCATTCAATGGTAATTGAGTTATCAAAGATAATGTTTTTTTATGAAAAATGGCTGCCATTTTGAAATTTAGCTGCCATCTTGAAAATCCTTTCTTGAGCAGAGCTCCTATGTCCCTAAGCATCAGCATATAAAATTTAAACCAAATCCATTCAATGGTATTTGAGTTATCAAAGATAATGCTTTTTTTACGAAAAATGGCCGCCATTTTGAAATTTAGCTGCCATCTTGAAAATCCTTTCTCGAACAGAGCTCCTATGTCCCTAGGCATCAGCATCTAAAATTTGAACCAAATCCATTCAATGGTCTTTGAGTTATCAAAGATAACGTTTTTTTACAAAAAATGGCCACCATTTTGAAATTTGGTAGCCATCTTGAAAATGTCATCTTGAGCAAGGCTCCTTTGTACCAAGGCAACAGCATATAAAATTTGAACCAAATCCATCCACTAGTATTTGAGTTATTAAAGATTACATTTTTTCCGAAAAATGGCCGCCATTTTGAATTAAGCGGCCATATTGAAATTTCCTTCTTGAGCAGAAGTCCTACACCCATAAGGCATAAGCCTATAAAATTTGAATGAAATCCGTCAACCGGTATTTGAGTTATTGCCCGGACACACGAACGGACGGACGAACGGACGGAAGAACGGACGGAAGAACGGACGGACGAACAGACGGACGGACGGACGGCTTCTCTATATCCCCCTCGAACTTCGTTCGGTGGGATAATAAAAATAGTACATCTGAATGAAGTTAATTTCTATAAATTCTAAAAGTAGATGATGAGGTCGATATGATCCGAACAGCATATTAATTGTGATATTTATTTAAATCTGACATCATTATGAAATCATCAGGTTGAAATAACCAAGTCAGACTAAACCAAAACTTTCATAGATTTTTCAAGTTCACTCCAACTTAAATATCTTACTTAGGTTGAGATGACCTAAGCTTTTAGACATCATAGCAAATGTTATATTTAGATAGCATTTGTTGACATTTACATAAATGGAAACTCTGAAGATGAAGGTTGAAATAACCAGATTAGACTTGGTTTCTATTTCAAATAAGACGTCACAGTGAATGCACAAAAAAGCGATCCCCAGCTCCTTCCATGATTTGTTCAGAAATATCATTCGATTTCGTTGTAACTGATTTACAACAAGGCATTAACATGACAAAATGTCACCACCTAAAACAATTTGGTCAATTTAAAGCAAGTTGGAAAATACCTTTTGACCTTAAGAAGAACTTCTGAGAACATGTAGATGATTTTGAAAAAAAATTAGTCAATTTGAAGCAAGTTGAAAAAAGACCTTTTTGACCTTGAGAAGGTCATTGAAGGTCAAAGGTCAAATCTAAAGTCAGATTTGAACTTCTGAGAACTTGTAAAGTCAAATTTGATCTTCTGAAAAGATGTAGATGATTTTGAAAAAAAAATTTGGTCAATTTGAAGCAAGTTGAAAACAGACCTTTTTGACCTTTTTTGACCTTGAGAAGGTCATTAAAGGTCAAATGTCAAATCTAAAGTCAGATTTGAATTTCTGAGAACATCTAGATGATTTTGAAAAAAAATTTTAGTCAATTTGAAGCAAGTTGAAAAAAGACCTTTTTGACCTTTTTTGACTTTGAGAAGGTCATTGAAGGTCAAATGTCAAATCTTAAGTCAAATCTAAAGTCAGATTTGAATTTCTGAGAACACGTAGATGATTTTGAAAAAAAAATTAGTCAATTTGAAGCAAGATGAAAAAATACCTTTTTGACCTTTTTTGACATTGAGAAGGTCATTGAAGGTCAAATGTTAAATCTAAAGTCAGATTTGAATTTCTGAGAACATGTAGATGATTTTGAAAAAAAAATTTAGTCAATTTGAAGCAAGTTGACAAAAGACCTTTTTGACCTTTTTTGACTTTGAGAAGGTCATTGAAAGTCAAATGTCAAATCTTAAGTCAAATCTAAAGTCAGATTTGAATTTCTGAGAACACGTAGATGATTTTGAAAATTTTTTTTAGTCAATTTGAAGCAAGTTGAAAACAGACCTTTTTGACCTTTTTTGACCTTGAGAAGGTCATTGAAGGTCAAATCTTAAGTCAGATTTGAATTTCTGAGAACATGTAGATGATTTTGAAAAAAAAAGTAGTCAATTTGAAGCAAGTTGAAAACAGACCTTTTTGACCTTTTTTGACCTTGAGAAGGTCATTGAAGGTCAAATGTCAAATCTAAAGTCAGATTTGAAGGTCAAATGTCAAATCTAAAGTCAGATTTGAATTTCTGAGAACATGTAGATGATTTTGAAAAAAAATTTAGTCAATGTGAAGCAAGTTGAAAAAAAGACCTTTTTGACCTTGAGAAGGTCATTGAAGGTCAAATGTCAAATCTAAAGTCAGATTTGAAGGTCCAATGTCAAATCTAAAGTCAGATTTGAATTTCTGAGAACATGTAGATGATTTTGAAAAAAAATTTAGTCAATGTGAAGCAAGTTGAAAAAAGACCTTTTTGACCTTGAGAAGGTCATTGAAGGTCAAATGTCAAATCTAAAGTCAGATTTGAACTTCTGAGAAGATGTAGATGATTTAGAAAAAAATTGAAGTCAGTCTAAACAGTATTTGTTAAGTTATAGGAAGTTGTAAGAAATTGTTACAGACGCCGGATGCCGGACGCCAACCACCAACCGCCGTCGCAAAAAAACGGAGACCATAACAATATGTCACCACTTTTTGGTGGTGACATAAAAAAAAACGGAGACCATAACAATATGTCACCACTTTTTGGTGGTGACATAACAAGTTACTTAACCTCCCAAAATGTATTACACTTAATTTTTCCTCATGTAAACTGATATATTGATAAAATTACCTCCCAAAAGAGATGAAGCATCGTTTTCTAAGTCAACTTGATACTAATCAATGCATATGGATGTCAAAAGTCAATGTTAGTGACAATATATCATAAAATCTTAAAATGAAAGTAAATACATTTTGAAGAGTAAAATTCTATTACAATTTTTAAGCTAATATTGATTACCATTACAAAGAATAGACTAACCATTTGGTAAACTCAATAAATTTTTGCAAATTTTTAGGGAAGGAAGGCAGACAACCTTAAACATGTATAAGTCTAAAGTCAGTTTACATTGTTCTTTTGATGTTCAAATCTTAAGCTAAAGTAACCAATGTCTCTGCAACCTTATCATTTTGACAAAGAGAAATTGCTTTAATTTTATTTCAAAGTCAGTTATTGTATCTTTTACAGCAGTTGATCAGTACAAATTACAGAACATGCAAAATTGCCACTATAGGCCAATACCATGACTAGATTCTAGAAATGTGATGTTTCTTGATGTGCAAAGTTACAAAACATAGCGAAACATAAACAAGAAAAAGTATGGTAAAAACATGGTTGGTTCCAGGAGGGATGGTATTAAAAGTTAACACCCATATGAAATGCATTTAAATACTAACAATGTTAAAGGTATATCAGAAAAATACACATAATGGGAATTGGGGGTCCCAATTTTTTTTATATGGGCCTTCTATTTGTATGAATTTTCTCACTAATAATCAATGTACAAGTATATTTCTGCACTCTTTGTGTAAAACTGGAAGATGTAGACCATGTATGGAATGAGTTATGTCTACATGAAAATAACATGCACTCCAATCAGGAAGCCATTTCTGAGCAACAGTTATATCCTAATTCATCATAATCTCCATGTAAGTTCAAGTTCACATCAACTTGAAACAGATTATAAAGATAAAGTAGAGAAATACTATGTAAGGTCAACAAGCGGAGGGCAGTGATATATCAAAGTGCAAGATCAATGTACAAATCCAGAGCAATATATAGGACTTCATATGTATTAAATGATGTACTGAGAACAAGTACAGTTTATTAAGTCTGCACTAAGCAGTTACCAGGTTAACAAACTGTTTTGTTTTCATAAGTGATTGATGTTTTATGTCAGCTAGAAGTATAGTAGGCCAGGCACATGTAGCTCAAGTGCACTATTGGGATTGAACTTTGGATCTATATCTGACAAATAGTATCCAAACCAGAGATTCACACTTCCCTATCCTGAGTTTCATAAATTGGTACATGTTGATGAATCTGAGTCTCTTCTAAAGAGGCAAAATCAAACTTTTGGAATTGGAAAGGGTACTCCTTTAAATTTATTTGAACTATCAGGGACTGCTCTATTGATGGAGAAAATGTTTTTGGAACTTATGCACTTCGTATTATAGTATGTATACATATTCTCTAAGATTTCAAGTTTTTATGCTGAATAAAATCTACTATCAGAACTATTTATATACAAAGCAGAACAGACATCAAATTCTGACATTCAAATTGATCAATCCACATTAATTGTTAAGTGGATGATTTGTTATCATAAATAAATGGGTCAATGTCCCTAAAGTACACAAAATAATCTTTATAGAATTATAAATAGACATGTTATGGTTTAGAAACTTTGGGCCTCTGTATTAAAATATGATTTTAGAGTTGATTTTTTGGGCATACAGAAGCAATGGTCCATTTGCAAGGTAAATGTCCCCTTCCAAAAGTGGTAATAGGTATTGTCATGGTAACATCAATTATCACTGTAAATAAATGCATTGTCTGAATCCACATTCAAATTCAATTTTTCTTTGAAAGTAGAAATGATTTGATTGTTATATACATATAATGTACACATACAGGGTGTCAAATAAATATGTTCTACCCCCCCCCCCCCCCGTAACTTTAACATCTACATAATATTGCATAACTTTTTTGTCTGCAAGTTATCTAAATTGTTTTTAGCACATTAAAATTAGGCATCATGAGACTCTACTTGAAACTACTGTACATATAAACATGGCAGATTAAAGTCCAGTAATGCCTTGGTTACATTTGCTCCGATTTTCACTACGGCGCCCGGCCAATTGAGTATTTTGTTCAAAATTAAATACAAAATTGAACAAAACACTCAATCGGCGGGGCGCCGGCCGATGGATCGGAGCATATGTGACCAAGGCATAAGTTAGAGTTATGAATGAATATGAATATGGACATGTACTGTACTATTGGTGAGGAGATTTATGTATTCATTCATATCACTGTACCACTGAACATGGCAACAATCTGGTCAGAGAGATACAATATCTCACATTACAAATGTCAGAACTAACTTTAGAATTATGATCAATTAGTGTATGATGGCTTTGAACTTTTTCTAGAAATGGGTCAAGGTGAAGCATTTCTTGACACATGAAAAAGCTTGTAGTGGTCTGATTTATTGAAAGACATACGGACCATAATAGAATAAAGTCGGCAAGAAATAAAGTAAAGTAAATAAAGCGTATAATCAATGTTCAATATATACAATGTTCTAATGTAGAAATACTAGAAATCAGGTTTCTTTAACCCCAAAAATTAGGTTAATTTCTCCAAAGGATGTAGCTTAAATATCTACAGATTAGTGTTTCCTTTTTTGTAAGATATAAAGCTTTTTCTAGGAACTGACCTTTTAAAGTTACATATATCCTATTGGGAACTCAACAGAGCATGTAGATTAAGGTGGAAATGAGGTTAAGGTTAAATGAGAAAAGTTGTTTTTTCACGACTTTGGTTCATGATCTAGTCAGCATATGAGATGAGGGCCTAATTTATGGCCCATATGTTTTAGGAGAATTGGTAGCAGCCTCTGAGCCTTAAAAATCAAATCCATTCACTGATTCAAAAAATGTAATTTTTATCAAAGTTTGATTTGTCTAATGAAAGAATATTTGTCCTATGAATTCTGCTGAGTTTACCAAATAATCCCAAGAACTCTATTCGAGTCGAGGTAACAAAAAGCAAAGGTCAGAAAGAAACAACTCCTAAAGTCCTTAAATAAAGACCAAAGACTGTAAAATTTATGTAAAACTTACCATGGGGAATTCTGAGATCAGATGAAAGGCTCGAATGTACATTTCATGCTGTAAGAAAAAAGTTATCACCATTAAAAAATACATAAATAGATATTTGAAAATGGAAATTTTAAATACTATAAACAGACAAGATCTTTAGATAGTAAATTCATCATAAAGTATTTCATACACTTAAAATATTCAGAATTCTAGAAAACTGCATGGAAGAAGTAACATGTTTTACAATATACATCGGCTGCTTTTGATATGAAAAAATATAATCTTAATTCAAAATTAAAGATGTCATCCCCATAGACAAACTTACAACAGAGAGGATTGTGGGATTGCATCCAACGATGAATGGGAGGTTCCGGAATCCTGCAATTCTGTGAGCAATCCTTACAGGCAGCTCTTTATGAAGGTATTGGGCACTTCTCTGAAAAAACATAAAAAATATTAAAGTTCAATTAATTCTTAGACAATTTTTGTGACAATGAAATGCAACAAGATTACATTCTCTGCCAAAGCTTGAAAGGCATCAATTTGCAAACCCCCATTTTTATTTTATTTTTCAAAAATATTTCATATTAAAACAAGGCATTAACATACAAAATGTTAAGACTCAAATAATGGTTGAGGACTAGAAATCTGGGACCTGGTTGCTGCATACAAAGGTTGCACTAACACAAATAATGTTGAAATTTTCGCATCTTTGAAATCCTGGTTGGCCACATAAAAACCTGTGAGGTCAGACCATCAGAGTACTCTTCTAGCAACATTTATGAACTGTATGATCATAGCTTTGTTGTTGTTATTGTTGAGGTCAACTGAGGCCAAGACCACAATTAAAATTGTTTACTTGGTTTTACTTGGACCTTGTGTGAGGCTACAGTCAAGCCACAACAACTACTGAAATTAAATCTTACTGCCCCCCCAGTCTTCTGTGATCTATATATGACCCTTACCATACCTCCCAGCCCCTTGCATTTTATTTCTTCCTCTTTCCCCTATTTCCATTCATTTCCAAATCACCAAGTTACTGAAACCCCTTATTTTTCATATCTCCTTCATTTCACTATTCACATATCAATAGGTAAATCTCATATTTTAAATACAATGATATTGTATACCTTGACAATGAGTAAATGAATGATGCCTAGATATAATTTGCTTGAAGGGATTCTGACTAATGTCTGCACTTAAAAAAAATTTATTTCAGAGAGAGAAAATATATGATGATGGACTTGAGTCATCCTCAACTTGACAACCTTTAATATTCATTTACATCCTATTTGGCCATATTTTCTCAGGCAAAGAGGCTAGACTATTTCTATGTGCTTAACGGCACATATATCGATCAATGAATCACTTGGTCACTCTTCAAACACGTGCTAGTATATTGAGACCTATTTATATACATGTAGTCTACTGGTAATTTATAAAACGTGCAGTCATGCACTAACACTGCACTAATTGCAACAGGCCTGATTTGAGACCCAGTGCAATAGGAAAGACAATATTCATCCATGTATTGATTCTTACAAATATACCTTTATAATATAAACATTTAGAAAAAATTAAAGATATGAAAAACAAACAAAAAGAAATTAAAATCTGTAGTCCCAATATTACATCTGTATTCTATTCAATTCATGACAATTCTAGGGTTGAATTAGGTCAGGGGGGGGGGGTAGTGCACTATTTGAGATTTTGGTGAGTTTGTAAATTGTATTTCGATAGATATCTGACTTGCATATGACGTAATTATGATCTGGGTGGGGAGAGTAAAAAGGTGTTGGATATATTGCGAAATATTACTGAACTTTGCAAGATCTTGTGAAATATACAAGCATGGAGATATATACAGCCATATACGTGGGAACAGGTCATTGTGACTATTACTGGTTCTCCTAGTTCACCCAATCCCTTCATATTGAACTTAACCATGTAAGGATGAAGAATTCCCATTTGGAAAACAAATGAATAGAAAGTCCACTTGTCGAATCAATAGCAATAGACATGATAGAAGCCCTCATAAGCGTGAAATGAAGAGGGAGTTTGATAAATCAGAATAGGAAAGAGCCTTTATTCTAAAAGTAATGACTACATTATAACTCAACCAGCCCATTAGAGGTCTACATTAACGCCAAGCTACATGCTGGCGATCACATTCACAGAGTTCAATTTAAACTATCCTTTCCATAAGTCTGATATTGATTCTTAAAAGAAAGCTTCATATGCAGTGTACTAACAATTACTAGGCTCTGACACTGTAATTTATATTTTCATTATTGGATATAAATTGATGATGACTTAATTTTGTTTTCAACACGCCCCCCCCCCCTCTGCCATCTTAACATAACTGACTGCTCGATGCAACAGTGCATACATGTACATGTACATACGCGTTTCATATAGCAACAATAAATAAATGTACTTGCTTAGATTTTTAAAAGGGAGGGGGAAATCAAATATAACTTGTTTACGTTCAAACTCATTCCCAAACGTTATTCAATACAATATATTTAAATGAGATTACAATACAAATCAAAATTATCTGACAGGGATTTTAGCTTTTGACCTTTTCTTAAATTTGATTAATACCCATTATATAATATGCAGTGAAATGGTATTTGTACTGGTGACCTTAAACTGTTCCATGAACTTCAACAAGATGATCCTTAAGTTCATATACAACAAAACACAAAGATTTGTTTTTTGTATTAACAAATATTAATGTTTAAATCTTGTTACTCTTTCAAATTCCAATTATATGTTATCATCAACATAACATTTTATCTTTACCTTAATATACCCCCCCCCCTCCTTCATGAGATATACCCCTAATCAGTTAATGGGCAGGGCATGCTGTTTAAATCCTTTAAAGCTTGTTTATTAAAAGTTCTGGGTCAAATGTCGAGCATTTAGTTCTTTCGACCTGATTTGTCTTGGTTTTCAGATGTTGCTGTTTGTGATTTATCAGAACGAGCTACTTACGAGGATATGACTTCCATCTGCACTTTTGCCGGAATAGAGGATTGAAGTTGGTGTAAGACGCACAGAAGCCTGAAAATATAATACACATATATATGGCATATTCAGAAAAATTACCTAAAGTGGGTTATGTTCAATGTTTATTTTAGGCCTGATTTGGAATAATAAGTTAGTAAGTTCATCAGTTTCATAATTTTTCATAAGAATAGCATAGCTAGAGCAATATTCTTTACTAGGCCACTATGGGATAGCAGCTATGTAGGTTCTCCGTCACGTAGTTGTTCATGACCTGACCGGAGCTTTCTGACCCAAATTCGGGTCGACTTTGGGTCGTGTGACACCTCTAGGCTTACCCATCCCTTCCCCTTCTTATGAAAGTGATCTACCATGGCTGTCATACCAATATAAACACTCAAAGTGTATGCAGAAGACAAAACCCTGGGAAACTAAAAGTCAATGTCCGTCACCTAATTATAGCGCTTTGCCCCACCCCGCGTAATTAATAAATACATTTTTTGACGGACATTTATTGACCCGGACCCTTACTTATCGGCTATCTGCAGATCGAGAACTATTAAGGTGGAGTGAGTATGGATCTCATAAAAAACATTACTGCCTAAAAATCTATACACTGTTGATTGAACCTGAATCATGCATTTGGATCATGCTAAGCTTAGACTGAAGGTCAGTCAGAATCAGCTGATCGACTCAGGACATGTGGATACAAACCTTGCTCGCTGATGCATCAATGGCACTCTGATTGTAAAATGATGTTACTGCTTTTTGTGTAGATTCCTTAGGTTGACTATATCCATCGGAAAATTGTCTATTTGATTGTATACTGATCAAATTTTGAAGTACAATTTTTTCCCTGAAAACTGACTGAACTGACGGGTTGAAAGAACCCCTGCATACTTTAGAGAGCCACATCTTTGCTATGCGTTCAGTTATCATTACCTAAATCCACCATAATTAAGATGATATACTGTTAATTGTTTATTATGCCTATAAATAGAGTATTTCTTGGTAAAGGTAGGCCTATTTTGACCCATATTTCTCTCTCCTTTTAGCGTGACTTTTTCCCGATTTCACTTCCCAGCTGTTGTCCTGAAAATGAGATCCACCAATATAAATGCTCGAATTCTAATGACGTTTGTCACGTGATCTTGGGAATTCCCAAGGAGCTCCCTTGATTGCAGGCGATGGTGACATCTTTTGATCATTTCTATTTTTAAAATGATAATTTTTTGTTATTAGCCAATTTTTATTTATACATATCAGATAAGATAAACAATCATTGTGTGTGTGGGGGGGGGGGGCATTGTGGGATCCATACTGGCCCCTACTATCCCTTACAAGGTTTAGGCAAAGAGAATGATACAGTTTACTTTATTATGATGTTCTATACATACTTTAAGTATGTGTAATCTGAATCGAGGCTTTGAATAGGTGAGGCAAAAATCAAGTTGAGGCAATATAGACAAATTTAACTGATGGGAGTCAACATTCTTTCGAAACTTGGCATTACACTCAGAAGTGTAATTTGTTATTTGTGACTGAAATTCCCTTGTTTTCCTGCTCATCACACTACATGTTATTTCCTGATTCAGAGCAAAAGTAAGTATCCTATAAAGATATGGAAATAACTGAATAAGCATTTCCCTAGTCTTTGTTGCCCCTAATAGACAATATGCTTCAGAAACTCCATGCAGTAAATAAATGATCAGTGATGGATTATCATTTTCATATATTTATATTTAAAGTTGTAAACTCCATACATAATCCCAAAATATACCATTCATGGTACAATTTTTTTTTCAAGTGTACAAAATTATAATTTTTTCTCTTTTTTTATCATGTGTGTGAATCCCAATCAAAACTTGGGATCTCTGGAAAAAATCCTTATTCAGAGATTCTGATTTCACATGAAAAACAAAAAACAGTATTACTGACCATGAAATTAATATTTATTCTTAAAGTACATACACAGTAAATGTACAGTAGGCTATATCAGACGAATCTCCAAAAGAGAATTAAAGCACATTGAACATGACTTGAAGTTGAAAATTAATTCACATTGCCATTTAATTACAAAAATAGTCCTACATCTAAGCATTTCAAGTCTAAAGCAGGAAGGGAGGGGAAGAAGAGGACTGCCAATGGTCTGTGTCAATTTTTAATTTTCCAGTAAATTCATATACTGAACCCCATCTCTTTCCTGTACATATTATATCATAAATATACACTTATAAAAAGTCTCGCAACAAGTCTGAATTCTCCATCTGTATGTGGGTGGGGGGGGGGGGCATTAGGCTTGAAGTAAGATCAAATGCTTAGCTGCCCAAGGAATTTAATTGTTGCTTGGCAATCAATATCATTCCGATAACAAGTTGTTAAAGGCCCCATGCAAAGTCTGAAAATATGTTTTTATCATTCATTTACTATTGTTCATGACTTCAAAAGTTATTTTGAGATGTTTGGAAACATTTTTTTTGTCAGATACTTATTTCTCCATCCTCCTATCACAGGGCTTCAAAATCCAGAATATTTTCTTTCTTTTTACACCCTGCTATAAGCAGTGAGCATTTCCCTGATTAAGAACACGCAATCTGATTGGCTGTCGCAACACTGCGACAGAAACCATGTATACTGTAAGTCATTGCGCATAATTAGATCACGTGATTCAGTTTAATTGGGCGCTTCCAAATTGGTTATAGCAGGGGGAAGAAGGAGGAATGGATTCGGGATACCTGCTTAGGAAGATGGGGTTTGTGTAAAAAACCGGGTGACCGGGTAACTGGGTGACCGGGTGACCAGGTACTTAACGTTCCTAGCAGGGTTAGGAATTTTTTATTTATAACGTTGGATCTGGACGATACATGTACGTTATTTTCGACGTCACGTTTTGAGGTTATTTCACACCGTAAGAACGTTTTGCCAACGTTTACTTTTAACGTTAAAATAACGTCGGTAATGAACCGATTTAGTGAGAACATATTGACGTCTTTGTAACGTTTCCTTAACTCAAAAATATTTTGAAGCCATTTCCACAATGTTGAAATTCAACCATCCATCGACGTTTTGCTGAATATTTGAATAACGTCAGATCAATACGCTCCATGAACGTCATTATCGACGTCACGTTATGAGGTTATTTAAAATCGAAAAAAACGTTTCGACAACGTTAAATTTTAACGTTAACAATACATCGGAAATGAACCGACTTAGTGATTGATATTAAAAGCCTGTTTTGACAACCTTGAATTTTAACGTTTGAGTTACGTCAAATATGGACGAATGTAGTAAAAAAATCAAACGTTTCTGTTTGTTATGTTTTCCACACTAACGAACTTTACGGACACGTTACAACAACGTTCTTTTATACCATCAATAGATGTCTCATGTTTACGTTTCCTCGATGTGTAAAGAACGAAAATGTGCAACGTCTTCGATAGGAACTTATATGCTACTTATGAGCAACTTGACATGGACGTCACTCTTTGCTGGATCGATTATTTTAACAAGGCACAGACGTGAACAATATCGTACCTAAAACACAGCAGTGTGACAGTGAAGAATTTAGGACGGAAAATCCAAAATGGCCACCTTTAAATTTACCCAGAATGCCCAAAAACTAATCAGTTCTTAACTTTGATACGTAGAAACATCCCTGAAATTTTCAGATGAATCCATCAAATGGTTTGGCTGGAAACCTGTAGACAAGTCTTGATAGTGAAGATTTTAGGACGGAAAATCCAAAATGGCCACCTTAAAATTAACCTAGAATGCCCAAAAACTAATTAGTTGTTAACTTTGATATGTAGAAACATCCCTGTAAATTTCAAATGAATCCGTCAAATGGTTTGGCTGGAAACCTGTAGACAAGTCTTGAAAGTGAAGATTTTAGGACGGAAAATCCAAAATGGCCACCTTAAAATTTACCCAGAATGCCTAAAAACTTATCAGTTGTTAACTTTGATATGTAGAAACATCCCTGTAAATTTCAAATGAATCCGTCAAATGGTTTGGCTGGAAACCTGTAGACAAGTCTTGAAAGTGAAGATTTTAGGACGGAAAATCCAAAATGGCCACCTTAAATTTTACCCAGAATGCCAAAAAACTTATCAGTTTTTAACTTTGATACGTAGAAACATCCCTGAAAATTTCAGATGAATCCGTCAAATGGTTTGGCTGGAAACCTGTAGACAAGTCTTGAAAGTGAAGATTTTAGGACGGAAAATCCAAAATGGCCACCTTAAATTTTACCCAGAATGCCAAAAAACTTATCAGTTTTTAACTTTGATACGTAGAAACATCCCTGAAAATTTCAGATGAATCCGTCAAATGGTTTGGCTGGAAACCTGTAGACAAGTCTTGAAAGTGAAGATTTTAGGACGGAAAATCCAAAATGGCCACCTTAAAATTTACCCAGAATGCCCAAAAACTAATCAATTCTTAACTTAGGAATGTTAGGTACCCGGTCGACCGGGTACCCGGTTACCTGGTCACCCGGTTTTTTACACAAACCCTAGGAAGATGTATTTCTCAAATATTCAAATTTCAAACCATTTTTCAAATAAAAGTCCTTTATTCTTTAATTCATTATATATGTATTCTTTAAAATTAAGTTTTAGCTAAATTCACGATTTTTCAGCAAAAAGCCCTTTGTTAACCACTTTTTGAAATTCAAAAAAAGTTTCACATATCACAATTTGATAACATTGGGTAAGACTGCAATGTAAGACAATGTGGGGAAACTATATGGGGCCTTTGATGTAAATGTTTGTTGTTGTTAGGCTTTCTTTATCAATGATTCACTGTTGCTATGCACAGGCTGTATTGTTGCTAGGTAATGTATATTGTTATGTTGTTGCTAGGCTGCCTACTTGGAAAATGTATCATTGTTCCAACCACACTCTGATGCAGGGAGATCTCTAAAGCTGACATACATTCTGAAATCAGAAATGAGAAATAAAGAATTTATATCTGTTTTAATTAAATTCCAAAAAACAATAATGAATTCTTTTTATTTACATGCAAATCTTCCTCAATGCCAGGTAATATAAGGAAATTAGGTATAAGGAAAATATTTTGTTTTTGGTCACCATGTTTTCAATTGTTCAATCAACCCTCCAAGTCAGTTTTTATTTCTTATTGAAAAATGTTGTGTTTCTTCTAGTCTAGCTACAATCCTTTGTGTGCGCCCCTACACTTAACACCTCCCTACTGGTGAGTATGGGGAGTAGTGGGAGGGGCTTGTAGCTAGACTATGTATGTAGACTATGTAAATATTATGCTCTTTCAAAAAATAGCCGAACCTTAACCGGAGTAGCTAAGAAAAAATAATATATTGAGCAGTTATCTCACCTATCAGCCTCCACATTTAAATACTTTTTGACAAAAGCTGTGATTTTTTTGGTGTGGCTTTTGTTTTCTTCAACTCCCAATTTGCCAATGCATGTGAAACTGACCAAAGCGCAGGGATCTCTGGTGCCCCCAAAGGACATCAGTTGCTCAATATGTAAATGGACCGCTGCATACTGAAATACAAGGGAAATATTTAAAACAAATACTAAGAGTAACTCGTAAAAATTCATATATTTTCCAGATTTTTTCCTCACAACAGTTCACATGCCTTATTTCCAAAAAGTTCAACAGTTCAGAAAATGTGGATTCTGGATAACCCTATTGGAGCTCCAAAAAAAGATGTTCTCATATCTTGTTAATGTTTCCCCTTTTCTGCAGCTTTTCAAGATGGTGGCTAAGTCAACGATACATCACACTTCCGCTCCATATCTTGGTCTCTGAGGGAAAGATGGCGATCTCCGTCTAACAACTGTGCCACTGGGTCAATTTATGGTTTTTATTATATCCCAAAACTAACACACAACAAGATTTTTATCTTATTGGATTTTATTAGTAAGTAATGTTACTAAGATGATTAGAAGACCTGACAATATTTCTGCTTTAAAGGTACTAGGCCTATATACTTCAAGGGAACTTATGCCAGGGCCAAAATATATACAGGGCGAGCCAAAAAAGGTAACCCAAATAAATGTCATCCAGCATGGGTTTAAAATCATATTTGGCACAATTGAACTTTGTTCAATGTTTTTTCATTCATTTAAGTCCCATTGGTCTATCTCAAATGACCACGATTTTATGGTTATTTAACAAAACATTATTAAAATGCTGGTCTCATCTCTTGAAGCTAATTTAAACATATGTACCAGGTGACAAGATGCTCACAGATATCATGCATAATAGCTCTTATCATCCTTGTTATCTCTTGTTTCAACTCTCTGATGCTTCTCCAAGGATGTAGCCATGATTTACCAAGGGGGTTCAACTTTTCCCAAGCCTATGGGTTTGATTTATAACAAAGAAAAAAATAGTCAGCTTTCTGAGAACTGGGTTAGTTCCCGGCCTTTGGTTTGTTGATCTTTCAGTAAAGGGGTTGCTACCAGCCGGGTGTTTTTTTTATAAAGAAAGGGGGTTCAGGCCAAATGGGAGTTAGCATGAAGCCCACAAACCCCCTCTCACTATGCCCATGCATCTAGAGTTGTAAATGTGGACAATATCTTTGAAATGGCTCCAAACATAAAAAAGTTTGGGGATTCATATCGGGTGATTTTTTTGCATTTGGAGCACGTTTTTTAAAATGGCCATATCATGATCATAAAAAGTACACTAATGAAACTTAGTAGAATGAAAGTACATTAAAAATGGTTTAATTGTTCAAAATTATGAGTTCAAATCCATGTCGGAAGACCCAGTTATTAACATTTTTTTGGCTCACCCTGTATTTTAGATCTAGCTTTGATCTTCATTTTACCTTGATTGGTTTTCCAGTCATCTCCACAATCAAGTTTGAGGCTGCCGTGTAGAAATCCTCTGGAACTTTGTCCTCGGGTAAGTTTGTGTCAAATACTAGCGTAGGCATCTTGAAGAGTTATCTGGAAAAAACAGGACTATGATATTGGATTGGCGGGATTTGGACGAATGGGATTTGGATTCGGACGATTGGGGTTTGGAAGAATGGAATTCATATTTGGACCTATGGGGCGCAAAGTTAGCACCACCTATCCTCTATAATATGTAGTGCATGTATACAGCACAGCATATGGCTCAATGTCATTTGACTGTTATCTCGTACTAAGACCATCTCTTTGTTGGTCTTCTTGGTAGAGTAATTACCGGCTCTATTTGTAAACATGACCAGAATTTTTGCAACATATATATCGTCTTCATTTATATGTAGAATACAAATATTTGTTCTTGTAGTAAGCTTTGCATTAGATATCAGCTCCTCTTGCTACTGGTCTGTACAGTACATGTAATCCACCTCATCTACATGTAACCTCATTTTTAGGCTTTAAGGTACAGCTGGAAAGTAACATTTTGGTAAAAAATTGCTATACCTGCACATGTTATTTTCTGGTACAAAATAAAGTATGAAGGCATGTATCAATTTCCTTGCTTTTTTCAGGAAAGTATCATTACATTGTCTTCTTTTAGAATATCTGGTAGGCGTTCAAATGGGACTCCAGGGAATTCTGATATTTCACACTTCCTGTTTTTCCAAATTTTCTTTCAAAGTTTCCAGACAACACAGGAGCTACCATTGACCTGTTTCCAGGTTTACTAAAAGTAGACAGTGTAATGATACTTTCCTGAAAAAAGCAAGGAAATACACACATGCCTTCATACTTAATTATGTACCAGAAAATAACATGTGCAGGTATGGCAATTTTTTACCAAAATGTTACTTTCCAGCTGAACCTTAAATAAAATCAAGATTTACTCACATGCTATCTATTGCAAGACTAACGCCTGGTGTAACCGTCACCATGTTATTCGGTGTTTTTTAAGTAGCGCAAGGATCCTGCCATGACCGTGGCAATGCTATATTATATTACAAGGCCTGTCGTGACCGTGGTAATGCTATATTATATTGCAAGGCCTGTCATGACCGTGGTAATGTTAAAGCCCCGTATGACCGTGACAATGGTTGCAAGGCCTGTCATGGCCGGGACAATGCTATATTATATTGCAAGGCCTGTCATGACCGTGGTAATGTTAAAGCCCCGTATGACCGTGACAATGGTTGCGAGGCCTGTCATGACCGGGACAATGCTATATTATATTGCAAGGCCTGTAATGAATATGGTTGTAATGCCTGTCAAGACTGTGCTAATGCTGAAGCCTGATATTACCGTGACAATGCTTGCAAGGCCTGTCATGACCGTGACAATGCTTGCAAGGCCTGTCATGACCGTGACAATGCTATATTATATTACAAGGCCTGTCGTGACCGTGGTAATGCTATATTATATTGCAAGGCCTGTCATGACCGTGGTAATGTTAAAGCCCCGTATGACCGTGACAATGGTTGCAAGGCCTGTCATGACCGGGACAATGCTATATTATATTGCAAGGTCTGTCATGAATATGGTTGTAATGCCTGTCAAGACTGTGCTAATGCTGAAGCCTGATATGACCGTGACAATGCTTGCAAGGCCTGTCATGACCGTGACAATGCTTGCAAGGCCTGTCATGACCGTGACAATGCTATATTATATTACAAGGCCTGTCATGACCGTGACAATGCTTGCAAGGCCTGTCATGACCGTGACAATGCTATATTATATTTCAAGGCCTGTCGTGACCGTGGTAATGCTATATTATATTGCAAGGCCTGTCATGACCGTGACAATGCTTGTAAAGCCTGCCATGACCGTGACAATGTTATGTTATATTGCCGTATATATTATATGACCGTAATAATGATTGAAAGGCCTGTCATGACCGTCAGAATGTTAAAGCCTGTCATGACCGTGGTAAGGTTAAAGCCTGTCATGACCGTGGTAAGGTTAAAGCCTGATATGACCGTGACAATAGTTGCAAGGCCTCTCATGACCGTGGTTGTATTTAAAGTAGCATGATCGAGAACACCGTAATGACAATTTTTCTTCGTGTTTAACTACCTTAAAGTTGTAAATAAAGACTACGAAAAATGTGTATTAATTTCACAACGAAAACCTAATTTTTACTCATAAATAATTTGCTAACAAACTATATCTCTACTCTCATTCAAGGAGCTTCGATTCGAAAGCATATACTTCCTATAATGATCAATAAATAAGATTTATCCATAAAAAATACAAACAGCAACGGGCGAACATAAAGGTCATTAATGTCATATAAAGGTTACGGTCGCGACAGGCTTACACGATTACACTACCACGGTCATGGCAGGCATTTTAATATAATACAGCATTGTCGCGGTTATACCAGGCTTTCACGATAACATTACCACGGTCATGGCAGGATCCTTGCGCTACTTAAAAAACACTGAATAACATAGTGACGGTTACGCCAGGCGTTAGTCTTGCAACAGATAGGGTCTCGATTTACTTAGAGTACAAAAAAATGTATACTGGCCATAAAAACCTTGTTGAACACGATGACAGTCCTTGAAATTACACAGGCAGTTAAACGAATCTCTGATCTATTAGAAAATACTACTGAATTAACGATGTTAATATTTCTAGTTGTTTTTCTTACCGTTTAGAAATGCTAGAATTTGTTTCAAGAATTTGCCAATCTGTTTTCCGGATGTGACGTCACCTTTTAAAGTCATATAGTGTGCCCCACCCACAATTATGTTTTGCATTGGAAATACAGGAGTAATTTGTAATGTCATGTGGTCATTCATTATATAATAAGGTTACTTGACGGTTATCATGTGGCAAAGAGATACAATCCTATGTCATACATGTAGATGTATTTACAATTCTTACTTAGATGTACACAACTATATGATATTGTGTCAAAGAAGAGGTATGATCATGGTGTCATAGAGGTACATGTACATGTATTATCATGTCAAAGAGTTATTATCATACAGTATGTCATAGATGTATTTATATAATTGGATCTTAGATGTATGACATTGTGTCAAAGAGGTATGATAATGGTGTCATTGAGGTATCAGTCAAAGAGGTACAGTTATATGTCATAGCGGTGGCGGATCCAGGGGCATTTATAATTGTTACTTAGATGTATGATATTGTGTCAAAGAGGTATGATCATAGACATGGTGTCATAGAAGAGGTATAATCATGTGCCAAAGAGGTATAACCCTATGTCATTGATGTATTTATAATTGTATCTAAGGTGTATGCCATTGTGTCAAAAAGGTATGATCATGGTGTCAAAGAGGTATGATCATGGTGTCAAAGAGGTATAATCCATGTCATTGATGTATTTATAATTGTATCTAAGATGTATGCCACTGTGTCAAAGAGGTATGATCATGGTGTCATAGAGGTATAGTCATGTGTCAAAGAGGTATAATCCTATGTCATTGATGTATTTGTAATTGTATCTAAGATGTATGCCATTGTGTCAAAGAGGTATGATCATGGTGTCAAAGAGGTATAATCCTATGTCATTGATGTATTTGTAATTGTATCTAAGATGTATGCCATTGTGTCAAAGAGGTATGATCATGGTGTCATAGAGGTATAATCATGTGTCAAAGAGGTATAATCCTATGTCATTGATGTATTTGTAATTGTATCTAAGATGTATGCCATTGTGTCAAAGAGGTATGATCATGGTGTCAAAGAGGTATAATCCTATGTCATTGATGTATTTGTAATTGTATCTAAGATGTATGCCATTGTGTCAAAGAGGTATGATCATGGTGTCATAGAGGTATTATCATGTGTCAAAGAGGTATAATCCTATGTCATTGATGTATTTATAATTGTATCCCAGATGTCTGATATTGTGTCAAAGAAGTATGATCATGGTGTCATGGAGGTATAATCATGTGTCAAAGAGGTATAATCCTATGTCATACATGTCATAGATGTATTTATAATTGTATCCCAGATGTCTGATATTGTGTCAAAGAGGTATGATCATGGTGTCAAAGAGGTATAATCCATGTCATTGATGTATTTATAATTGTATCTAAGATGTATGCCACTGTGTCAAAGAGGTATGATCATGGTGTCATAGAGGTATAATCATGTGTCAAAGAGGTATAATCCTATGTCATTGATGTATTTGTAATTGTATCTAAGATGTATGCCATTGTGTCAAAGAGGTATGATCATGGTGTCATAGAGGTATTATCATGTGTCAAAGAGGTATAATCCTATGTCATTGATGTATTTGTAATTGTAGCTTAGATGTTTGCCATTGTGTCAAAGAGGTATGATCATGGTGTCATAGAGGTATTATCATGTGTCAAAGAGGTATAATCCTATGTCATTGATGTATTTATAATTGTTACTTTGATGTACCGTATAATATTGTGTCAAAGAGGTATGATCATGGTGTCATAGAGGTATTATCATGTGTCAAAGATGTATAATCCATGTCATTGATGTATTTATAATTGTTACTTTGATGTCTGATATTGTGTCAAAGAGGTATGATCATGTGTCAAAGAGGTATAATCCTATGTCAATGATGTATTTATAATTGTATCTAAGATGTATGCCATTGTGTCAAAAAGGTATGATCATTGTGTCATAGAGGTATTATCATGTGTCAAAGAGGTATAATCCTATGTCATTGATGTATTTGTAATTGTATCTAAGATGTATGCCATTCTGTCAAAGAGGAATTATCATGGTGTCATAGAGGTATTATCATGTGTCAAAGAGGTATAATCCTATGTCATTGATGTATTTATAATTGTTACTTTGATGTACCGTATAATATTGTGTCAAAGAGGTATGATCATGGTGTCATAGAGGTATTATCATGTGTCAAAGAGGTATAATCCTATGTCATTGATGTATTTACAATTGTATCTAAGAATATGCCATTGTGACAAAGAGGTATGATCATGGTGTCAAAGAGGTATAATCATGTGTCAAAGAGGTATAATCCTATGTCATTGATGTATTTACAATTGTATCTAAGAATATGCCATTGTGTCAAAGAGGTATGATCATGGTGTCATAGAGGTATTATCATGTGTCAAAGAGGTATAATCCTATGTCATTGATGTATTTGTAATTGTATCTAAGATGTATGCCATTGTGTCAAAGAGGTATGATCCTGGTGTCATAGAGGTATAATCCTATGTCATTGATGTATTTGTAATTGTATCTAAGATGTATGCCATTGTGTCAAAGAGGTATGATCCTGGTGTCATAGAGGTATAATCCTATGTCATTGATGTATTTGTAATTGTATCTAAGATGTATGCCATTGTGACAAAGAGGTATGATCCTGGTGTCATAGAGGTATAATCCTATGTCATTGATGTATTTGTAATTGTATCTAAGATGTATGCCATTGTGTCAAAGAGGTATGATCCTGGTGTCATAGAGGTATTATCATGTGTCAAAGAGGTGTAATCCTATGTCATACATGTCATAGATGTATTTATAATTGTATCTTAGATGTATGATATTGTGTCAAAGATGCTGAATTTGACTGATTTTAAGTGTGTCCAATATAGATTTTTAACACTATTTATGCCAATTGAAAACCTGTCTGGCTGGTTAAACAGTAAACATTAAAAGTTTCATTGTTTGATAGACCTTTAACCATATGTCATATCAATATATAACTTTTTTACTATATTTCAAAGATAAACATAAACACAATTTAGTCCAATTTTACAAATCTAGTTTCTATAAGCTGTTTCAAAATACATTTTCTCAATCGACAATCTTTCTCATATATTTTTCATATTCAAAAAGTACTATTATGTTTTTCTTTCTTTCCTTTGGAAACTTAAAAGTAAATATTAGAGAAATGTGTAGCAGTTGTAATACATGGATTACCATGGCATTATCCTGCATCATTGAGGTTGTAACACATGTGTACTGAAACAGTTGTCAAAGTTACTCGTATGTTGACATGGTGATATGGTGATTGACAAGTGTGTCATTAACAATGTAAATGATTAACATCTACAATATAAAATCAATGCCATTCATATTTAAAGCCTTTTTGTAAATAAATGATGTGAGCAACAAAGTTGAGTAATGAAATAATAAAAAATATCTGTATATTCTGTGATTTAAAAAGTCATATTTTTAATTGGACTCAAGTTTTAGCCAAACTATTCTGAAATCCAAACCAGTCCTTGAATTTCCCTTTTGTATATAGCTCAATGGTGACCCAAATGGATTTTATAAGTATTCATGAATGTTTACAGAATCTTTAAATATTTGATTTCATCCACATTAAAATCATAATGTATTTTAAACCAGAAATCAAATGTATAGGGATATAGAATGATAGGAAGTATTCTTGTGAATAGGATATTTATATTTAATATCTACCTACAGGATAAACTCTTATATTTAGTGTCATTACAATTGATGTGGATTGGATTATGTACATGGTCTTTAACACAAATGAAATAAAGGACCAGATATAAATATTACTTTATTTCAAGTTCTTGATGACAGGAACACTAAAACTTCAATTTGTTAAAAGGCAATGTGATGGACTTCACAGTCATTGAGTATTCTAGGACATTTAACCAAGTAGACAATTACTTATGAGCTCTGGATCCATAGACAATTTTTAGAAATTGACAATTATTTAGGTGCTCTTTGTAAAAGCTCACATTCTACCTACATGCCTCCATAATGGAGCATTACTAAGCTCAATATGAATACTTTCAAGCTTTCATTGAGACAGGCTTTATCCTGGAGTTCACAATAAATAAATTTTTCAGGAGCTCTCATTCTCTCCTTATGACTTGAAGCTGTTTTATTTAAGAGCTTATTGTAAATAATTGCATTTAGGAGCTCTCATTCTCTCCTTATGACTTGAAGCTGTTATATTTACGAGCTTATTGTAAGTAACTGCATTTAGGAGCTCTCATTCTCTCCTTATGACTTGAAGCTGTTATATTTAAGAGCTTATTGTAAGTAACTGCATTTAGGAGCTCTAAGAACTCACAATGTTATCTTCAAAATGGATATATATTTTTAATGGAGTTGTGTTAACAGGACTGAGCATAGTTTGGATTCTCTTAAAGCACCAACAAATGGTTATATTGAACAAATCTGTGGACATATCTGATGTGATAGGATTATCAAGATTTAATACAATGCTTCATAAGGTGACAGACAAGTCAGCGTCACCGAAATCACAAAAGAAAGGTGTCTGCATCAGTCCAAAGAATTATAAATGTGGCGACACTTTGGCCTTTAATAATGTTCACTGGTGGTAAGATAATTAGTCAGACAATTTTTCACATTGTTGACCTTAAATGTGACCTTGACCTATAAATGTGACCTTGACCTTCATGATCCACACTCAGCTTGATTACAAACCCATTTGTTGATTTCAACATTGCATTCTTCCCTCCATTTTCAGGAATATTCAAGGTCTGAATGTAGGGCCTATTTTCTAAATTTTGAATTCAAACACATTTATAGACTTTCAATTTTGCTGTGGCTACTAGTATTACAAGGTCAGCCAATAAAGGTAGCCAAAACAAATACTAATAACAGTCATCTAGGCACGGGTTTTATTTGGCACAATTGAACCTTTTCAAATTCATTCTACTAAGTTTCACTGGTCTATTCCCAATGGTCACAATGTTATGGCCATTTTATTACAAAACATGCCCCAAATGCCGAAACATACCAAAATCACCCAATATGAACACCTGTAATTCTTTGGGTTACCTTTTTGGCTCACCCTGTACAGTATAGTTATAGTGTACATTATTAATGTAAACGATGATTTTATTTAATTCTATTGCATTTCATGCATTTTAAGATCTGGTTTTGGGCTAATAACATTCACTGTTCACATGACCAGCGTTTTGATTTTTTTTAAAGTTGAGTTTTTGAATTCCCTTTAACCCATTCATCAAAATAGAACCTTCCTCCCATTGCAACTTGTAAACCATGTAAACCTCAACTTTGTATATTTATTTAAAGGTATGATTGGAACCTTTATGGAAACTACCACAAAAACAAACATTGTAGCAACAAGCAGGGACAAGGTAGGATTCCAATGATCTGGACATGGAGCCATAGAAAAAACAAGCTGAGGTTTTTATCAAACTCTGACAAAATAATTTTGGGATTTAATGAACCAAATTTTGTTGAACAGGCAAATTTATTACCAGAAGAGGCTGCAGACTTGTGGATGGAGATACAAGAAAAACTCCCTGATGTGCAACTTGTAAGCCCCTCAGCATCAACATGTGTGGGGTCTATAGATAAGTGCAATTCAGGGGCTGTGAAATGGTTTGATAGATTTTTCAAAGCTTGTAAAAATTGTGAAATTAAATACCTAGCCACGCATGCTTACTGGTGTGACCCAAATATGACTATGAAGTATTTAGAGGCACTCTGGAGGAGATACAAAAAACAAATATGGCTGACTGAATTTGCGTGTCCATTTAAGAACACAACTGAGGGCCAATTAGAGTTCATGAAAGCTATCTTGCCTTTGTTTGAGAGGGCTGAGTATGTGTATCGCTATGCATGGTATAGTAGTAGGGTGCCTCCTCATGGCTGGATACCTAGAGAGGCCAGTCTACTAAGATATAATGACTCTACTCTTACCCCACTAGGCATATTTTATAACAAGTTCTAATATTTTAAGTTGAGTTACAGGGTGAATCAAAAAGAATTAACCTAATATACATGTACCAGGTCCATCAATAAGTTCCGAGAAAAATCCTCTAAAATCAAGAGTTTTGTGATTTTTAGTTTGAAATTTTCACAGAATATGTAAAATGAATTCAACAATTAGTGTAACGAGCACTTTCCTCTTATTGGACTAAAAATATGGTTACTATGGTGACTCGTGTTTTGGGTAGGCGGGTCAATTTATAAACATGGTTCATTATGATTTTTATCAGAACTTATTGATCGACCTGGTATTTGGAAAATCTTTATCAATGCAAATGGAATGACACATTGATGTACTGACATTGTATTATTTACAATTCAAATATTAGAATGAGCATTTTTTGAGTCACCCTGTACTTGTTGTAAATCTTCTCCAAGCATAAAAAGTTTTTTTCTTCAGACAATTTGACAGTTAGTAACATCAATATTCATATTATGATTTTTAAAGACAAAGAAAATACAGTTTGCAGATTTTCAAGTTACACTATATTTCAAATAAATATCAGATACAATATCAAATGACATGTTTAAGTTATATATCATACTCGTCTCATGTAAACTTCTCAATTTAAAAACATGCACTTAATTTGGCGCCATTTAATTTGTTTTTTCTGCTATCTTAAAATAATTGGATGAGACTTACTTTGGTCCCTATCATACAAGTTGACATACAATCTTGTTTAACGCCAACACTACTACATGTATTTTAGCACAAAACAAGGAATATAATATCAGATCTTTAGTTTAAAAACTATCCCTATGCCCAGGGCAAATAGTAACAGACTGACATTTTATGAGATATCCATGCTAAAAATACACACTGTTTGTATTTGAAAATTCACATTTTAATAAGTCAAATCAATATTTTGTTGAAAACTGTCTAATCTGACACTGACTTGAATCGTTTGACGAACGAAAAAATACAAGATGGATAGATAAAACTATTGAAAATCCAACATACAGCTGTGTTTACACATATTGTGCACATTACTTTAAGTTAGAATCAGAGATACAAGTAAACTTTCAAAAAATGTGTGTATTTATATTCAATATATCAGTCGCATACAATTACTGTACATGTACTGATCAAAGATGCCCATTTTCTTAAAATCTTAAAACCTCATACCATATTCAAAGAAATTTTCAATGAGATTTCAAATTTTCGTCCTCATTTATCCATATTTATAGTTAGATAGCGCCAATGTTCATATTTATTGTATTCTAATCAGCAATGTCTATTTTCTTTTATAAATTCACCATTTGATAAGACATCATCTTGTTGAATTCAGGGGCTTGCTGTCTAAGTCAAAATCTGATTGTTTTTTTAAGGGAGCCCTAATAAACTAATCCACCTTTCTCTTCTGTTTCACTTTATGCAACTTCTATAATGAAACAGCTATTTGACATAAAATAAGTCTAACAAACATAACAGATTACAGATCATAATAGAGAACTTCCCACTGCAAGATCCAATTATATTTTGTTTCGTGATCAAATAAGTGATGTACGTATAATCCTGTCAACTATAAAATGGGCTCCCTATGATTATTTTAACAACCAATCAAAGAATGGTCTCGAGTCTATGCAAAAATTGGATCAGACCAATAATCTACAACACCAATATTGTTAAATGTCTGTCTTTATGGATTTCTTGTGATGACATACACATATTTACAGTCCAGTGTTCCTATAATAAGCATTTAATTGAGTGGTTCTCTCTTGAGTAACGGCTATGTGAGATCAGTATCTGACCAGGCATCCTCCATATCACTGCCCTCTAGATCAGCCTGCAAATACATGAACACATAGCATATTGGCTTGTATAGATTGCAAGTCACAATTAATGCAATTATTTGAAAAGTAATGACTATATCACTTCCCTCTAGATCAGCCTGCAAATACATGAACACATAATAAGAGCATATTGACTTGTATAGATTGCAAGTCACAATTAATGCAATTCAGGGAAAAGTAATGACCATATCACTCCCCTCTAGATCAGCCTGCAAATACATGAACACATAGCATATTGGCTTGTATAGATTGCAAGTCACAATTAATGCAATTATTTGAAAAGTAATGACTATATCACTTCCCTCTAGATCAGCCTGCAAATACATGAACACATAATGAGAGCATATTGACTTGTATATATTGCAGGTCACAATTAATGCAATTCTTATAAAAGTAATGACTATATCACTTCCCTCTAGATCAGCCTGCAAATACATGAACACATAATGAGAGCATATTGGCTTGTATATATTGCAGGTCACAATTAATGCAATTATTTGAAAAGTAATGACCATATCACTGCCCTCTAGATCAGCCTGCAAATACATGAACACATAATGAGAGCATATTGGCTTGTATAGATTGCAAGTCACAATTAATGCAATTCTTATAAAAGTAATGACTATATCACTTCCCTCTAGATCAGCCTGCAAATACATGAACACATAATGAGAGCATATTGGCTTGTATATATTGCAGGTCACAATTAATGCAATTATTTGAAAAGTAATGACCATATCACTGCCCTCTAGATCAGCCTGCAAATACATGAACACATAATAAGAGCATATTCTTGACTTGTATAGATTGCAGGTCACAATTAATGCAATTCTTATAAAAGTAATGACTATATCACTTCCCTCTAGATCAGCCTGCAAATACATGAACACATAATGAGAGCATATTGACTTGTATATATTGCAGGTCACAATTAATGCAATTCTTATAAAAGTAATGACTATATCACTTCCCTCTAGATCAGCCTGCAAATACATGAACACATAATGAGAGCATATTGGCTTGTATATATTGCAGGTCACAATTAATGCAATTCTTATAAAAGTAATGACTATATCACTTCCCTCTAGATCAGCCTGCAAATACATGAACACATAATAAGAGCATATTGGCTTTTATAGATTGCAAGTCACAATTAATGCAATTATTTGAAAAGTAATGACCATATCACTGCCCTCTAGATCAGCCTGCAAATACATGAACACATAATGAGAGCATATTGACTTGTATATATTGCAGGTCACAATTAACGCAATTCTTATAAAAGTAATGACTATATCACTTCCCTCTAGATCAGCCTGCAAATACATGAACACATAATGAGAGCATATTGACTTGTATATATTGCAGGTCACAATTAACGCAATTCTTATAAAAGTAATGACTATATATCACTGCCCTCTAGATCAGCCTGCAAATACATGAACACATAATGAGAGCATATTGACTTGTATATATTGCAGGTCACAATTAACGCAATTCTTATAAAAGTAATGACTATATATCACTCCCCTCTAGATCAGCCTGCAAAAACATGAACACATAGTAAGAGCATATTGGCTTGTATATATTGCAGGTCACAATTAATGCAATTTTTATAAAAGTAATGACCATATCACCCCCCTCTAGATCAGCCTGCAAATACATGAACACATTAGAGCATATTGACCTATATAGATTGCAAGTCACAATTAATGCAATTCAGGGAAAAGTGAATGACCATATCACTTCCCTCTAGATCAGCCTGCAAATACATGAACACATAATAAGAGCATATTGACTTGTATATATTGCAGGTCACAATTAATGCAATTCAGGGAAAAGTAATGACCATATCACTTCCCTCTAGATCAGCCTGCAAATACATGAACACATAAAAAGAGCATATTGGCTTGTATAGATTGCAAGTCACAATTAATGCAATTCAGGGAAAAGTAATGACCATATCACTTCCCTCTAGATCAGCCTGCAAATACATGAACACATAAAAAGAGCATATTGGCTTGTATAGATTGCAAGTCACAATTAATGCAATTATTTGAAAAGTAATGACTATATATCACTTCCCTCTAGATCAGCCTGCAAATACATGAATACATAATAAGAGCATATTGGCTTGTATATATTGCAGGTCACATTTAATGCAATTCAGGGAAACGTAATGACCATTATCACTCCCCTCTAGATCAGCCTGCAAATACATGAACACATTATAAGAGCATATTGACTTGTATATATTGCAAGTCACAATTAATGCAATTCAGGGAAAAGTAATGACCATATCACTCCCCTCTAGATCAGCCTGCAAAAACATGAACACATTATAAGAGCATATTGGCTTGTATAGATTGCAGGTCACAATTAATGCAATTCAGGGAAAAGTAATGACCATTATCACTGCCCTCTAGATCAGCCTGCAAATACATGAATACATAATAAGAGCATATTGACTTGTAAAGATGGCAGGTCACAATTAATGCAATTCAGGGAAAAGTAATGACAATATCACCCCCCTCCCCGTTCCGTGTGGTTTTGTTGACATAATACGGAATAACTCATACCATTTCATGAAAAATTGTAACCTTGTCCTATGTTAATTGAGATTATGTTTCACAGCAAGTTCGCACAGCAATACTGTATAGCACATGCTCTAGGGAATTGATTCTACTCTCTATAGACACCAAACACATCCCTGTCGATAGAATAATGAATAATGAAAAAGCCTTAGGGTCCCAACCTCCTTTGTTTACATTTACAAAAACGTGAAAAAATGACAAAAGTTGTCATAACTTTTTAAATTTAACTCTTAAAACCGATTTCACTCGCCAGTGACAGATACTTTAGTCTTTCACGAACCGAACATGTCAATTTGGGTCGTAATATCTCCAAATAAACAATTTCAACATTTTAAAAAACTTGATGCCTGTCCACATGTTAATAAGGAATGGGTATACGGTTTCCAAGTATTAATACAGAATGGGTGTTAAATCGTATATATTCCCGGGGAAATCACAATTTCCAATTGATGTGCCAAGAATGTATTACAAGACATTTTGAAAGAGGGAGGGAGGGCGTAGAGAAATTGCTAAAACGATTCAAGGTTTAGAAAAGACGAGTAAAAGATGAGCATTCAAATGAGAAATAAGCAATTGGAGAGTTCAACGTATTATGTATGAAAACTTGTCTTTAATGGTTCAAAAAGAGATAAAACCCCTTGTGTGGTGGACTGGCAAAGTGTAGTCCCATGCTACTTAAACCATGGTTAAACTGTTGACTGGGGAGGGGAATCTAAAATGATAATTCTCATTCAAATGTACTTTGATACCCCTTTCCTCCTCTTCCTTATTTGCATGACTTACCTCCCTTCTCATGCTGCCACTTAGATGATTTTCTTGCGGATGTTTTGGTACATGTACATTTAAATGGGTGTGAAGGAAATTATGGTCCCCCTTTTAAAGGCCCTTACCTTTTAAGAGTTCTAGATTTAAGGAGTTATGACAACTTTTGTCATTTTTTCACATTTTTTCTAAATGTAAACAAAGTAGGTTGGGACCCTAAGGCTTTTTCATTATTCTATGGACAGAGATGGGTTTGGTGTCTATAGAAAGTAGAATCAATTCCCTAGAGCATGTGCTATACAGTATCGCTGTGCTCACTTGCTGTGAAACATAATCTCAATTTCCGTAGGACACTGTCACCATTTTTCATGAAATGGTATGATTTATTCCATATTAATGTAAACAAAACCACTAATATGGAACAGTCTAAACGGGACCGTGTCTAGATCAGCCTGCAAACACAAGATCACATAATAAGAGCATATTGACTTGTATAGCATGTATAGAGCCTATAGATTGCAAGTCACAATAAACAGTGGCGGATCCAGAAGTTAAAAAGGGGGCCCAAATTTTAAGTCAATAAAAAATTTAAGGCACATTTAAAGCCCATTTTTGAAAATTTGGCCTAAAAAGGCCGAAAAAGTCCAAATCATGTCTTTCAAGAAACATGGATTAATTGATTACACAGCTTACAGTGCAATATCATGATGCCCTGGTGATGCCCCATGACATTGGAAGTTTTATGAGAATATATCACTTAATCATATATCTGAAGATTGACTTGAAGTACACCTAGATTGGTGATGATCTACAGGATGCCAATGTCAATTTTTGTCACACTACCACATGGAATCAGCAACTGTCCCTTTGTCCTAAAGCAGGGAGTAGTTCATTTAGAAGATTAAATCTTTTACGCTATTCATGTGTCTGCAACACACTGATATTTCAAACGTCTGTTGCGTGGGCAATGCTTTTTCATGTGACCTCATTGAATATGTAACATGGTAGAATCATATTGGTTTTCTAGGTTAACGTTCCTTATTGCAGGTTTTAGAACAGCCAGATTCTATTCAAAATCAAAACAATTATTGGGCTGTGTGTATAAGTGTATACATTGATGAATAGATGTCTAAAATTACATTCAAAAGCTTCAATGTGGTTTATAAAAAACAGACAAAGGCATTTCAAGCACATGAATAGAATAAAGAGTCTGTGAAAAAATGATTGTGTGGACTTTAAAGGTTTATATAAAAGGCATAATAATCTCCGAACAGTGAGGACATTTCTATATAAAACGGGTGTAATTCTAATTTCTGAATTCTATCAAAATGGGAAACGCCTTAATGCAATGGAGAGCTGCTATCGGAACATTTTGTGGAAATCACCTTCCTCCTCTGGTGTTATGTTGCTCTACAAGCCCAGAGCCAGGAGAGACAGAGAACTCTACCACATTGCTGGTAATCATCGTAATGCTACTGATTATTGGTGGAATAGAAATGAACCCAGGACCAAACCAATCAAAATCAGGTATCTTCACATCTCTAATTTTTTAATTAGAATCGAATATCATAATGCAGAGAAAATATTTTGAACAATTACCTTTAATCATCCGAGGGTTGTCCAAAAAGTCTTGAAATTTTGTAGCAATAATTTGAACTCTCAACATTATCCACACTACAGGGTGGGCCATAAAAATGAAACACCTCTCATCATTCATATTTTCACAAAAGTTACAGACAATAACTTGACAAGAAATTTTACAATTTGCACTGCTGCACAATTTGGTATTGTCATAAAGTAAAGGAATGGGGCGTATTCAGGTGAACTCCTACATAAGTTTGGGTAACTGAAATCTACATGTTTATGCTATCCACCTGAAAAGCAAATTCCCTTTTCAGACATTACTCAAAAAATGTATGATCTCGGACATAAAATAAAAGCTTGTGACCAGGAATCTGCCAGTGAGCTGAAGAAACAGGCAGATCTAATGTGTGAGCTTGGTAATGAGTACATTGAATCAGCTGAAACATCTCAATACTGGTATGAACATTATGTCTGGGCCTCTGGACTGTTCAATGCTGCAAAATGCCGTCTGGAGAGGTTAGAGGGTCAACCTCTTAATTCATTAGGGAAAATATTTCAAAGATTGACCTTGTCTCATTCTGAATCTATGTATGACAAATTGTATATTGAACAACGGCTTCAAGATATTGAGACAAAATTTCTTCAAAGGTTATCGAAACAAAACAAACAGTCATATGATTTGACAAGAAAATACAAAGAAGACCTTGAGAAAATACGCAATTATTCTGAAGAAACTGTTAATGCCATTATAAACAATGACATGATTGTACATCCTCTCACTTCAGAAATGAAGGAACAGGATATTGATAGCACAATAGAACACAGTAAAGCATTCTATTATGAGCTCACAGAAAAGCTTTTAGAGTTTTATAGGTCGATTATCACAGAATGTATGTCTGTTTTAGAGATTCAAAATTGTAAATACAGGTTTGCAATAATGGCACTAGGGTCACTGTCCCGTAAAGAAGTGACAGCATACTCTGATATAGAGTGGGCAATATTATTTGATCCAATGGGCCAGCCAGTTAATCAGGTAAAGGAAGAGTTGCGAATGTTAGTCTATTATGTGCATCTCCAAGTTTTAAATTTAGGTGAGACAATTTTGAATAATTTAGACATACCAGTTTTGACTGATTTTAATGACAGACTGCCACCTAATATGACTGACGTTGACTTTTGGGACAAAGTCACAACACGTGGTATTTCATTTGATGGAACTCATCCATCTGCAAGTAAGACACCAATAGGACGAAAATCAAGAAAGGACCTTACAAAACCAGCGACACTTGAACTTATCATGACAACAGAAGAAATGACCAAATATCAGTCCATTGATGCTTCTTTAAAAGAGGGTTATCGCCTTGGTGATGTGTTGATGAATTCAACATTGATTACAGGAGATGAAACCCTCTGGCATGCATATAATGAAAAGGTCCATTCTATATTAAGATCCCCATCTAAGAACCCAAATGTATCAATAGGTACAGAGAGAGGACTAAAAACACTTAATGAGGACTTAGATAAATATGCTGAAAAACCACTTACAGGCAAATCGTTCCGTCAGGATGTACATACCAAACATAACGTCTACAGATTAGCAACTATTTCAATTAACATTCTTAAGCTGATCCATGGTTGTGAATCCTTTGCTCCTTTAGATGTTTTAGAGGAGTTATTTAAGAAAGGCATCTTAACTGAATTGGCAAAAAAGGATTTGCAAATGATGGTTTGTATTGCGACAAATCTAAGGCATATGGTATACAGTAAATACAAACAGCAGAAAGAGTTAATATCATTTCTGTCAAGTGAATCAGAGAATGACACATTAGACTCAAAGACTGTTTTACCCGTTAGAGGATATACTGCAATCATTCTATTCTATACTATTTTCATGTCATGGTCTAAATTCTTAATTTCTCAGAAAACGAATAAAAAGTGGATACATGAAGATAAATACATGGAAGATAGCAATGAGATCAAAATACTGTTATATAAAGATATGTATTTCTCTGAAAGAGCATTAAATGCTTATCAAAGTGAATTAAACAAACTTAAGAATAAAGGTATAAGAGGAAATGAGAAAGAAATAGCTTCATTACAAAATGACATTGGTTTATTTTATCAAACCTGTGGTAAGTATGGCAAAGCTTTGCAATTTAATGCAGATTCTTTAGCTATGAGTATAAAGATTCATGGCAATGATGCTCATCCAGATGTGGCTTTGTCACTGAACAATATAGGTGAATCACATAGAGAACTCGGGGAGTATACCACTGCCTTGAAGTACTATGAAGATAGTCTATCAATGAAAAGAAAGATTCATGGCAGTGATGCTCATCCAGATGTGGCCACGCCATTGAACAACATAGGTTTAGTGCATAGCCAACTGGGTGAATATACCACTGCCTTGAAATACTATGAAGATAGCCTTTCAATGAAAAGAAAGATTCATGGCAGTGATGCTCACCCATCTGTGGCCATGACACTGAACAATATAGGTGAATTGCATAGAGAACTGGGTGAGTATACCACTGCTTTGAAATACTATGAAGATAGCCTTTCAATGAAAAGAAAGATTCATGGCAGTGATGCTCACCCATCTGTGGCCATGACACTGAACAATATAGGTTTAGTGCATAGCCAACTGGGAGAATATACCACTGCCTTGAAATACTATGAAGATAGCCTTTCAATGAAAAGAAAGATTCATGGCAGTGATGCTCATCCAGATGTGGCCATGACACTGAACAATATAGGTGAATTGCATAGAGAACGGGGTGAGTATACCACTGCCTTGAAATACTATGAAGATAGTCTATCAATGAAAAGAAAGATTCATGGCAGTGATGCTCACCAAGATGTGGCCACGACATTGAACAACATAGGTTTAGTGCATAGCCAACTGGGTGAATATACCACTGCCTTGAAATACTATGAAGATAGCCTTTCAATGAAAAGAAAGATTCATGGCAGTGATGCTCACCCAGATGTGGCCACGACATTGAACAACATAGGTTTAGTGCATAGCCAACTGGGTGAATATACCACTGCCTTGAAATACTATGAAGATAGCCTTTCAATGAAAAGAAAGATTCATGGCAGTGATGCTCACCCATCTGTGGCCATGACACTGAACAATATAGGTGAATTGCATAGAGAACTGGGTGAGTATACCACTGCCTTGAAATACTATGAAGATAGCCTTTCAATGAAAAGAAAGATTCATGGCAGTGATGCTCACCCATCTGTGGCCATGACACTGAACAATATAGGTTTAGTGCATAGCCAACTGGGAGAATATACCACTGCCTTGAAATACTATGAAGATAGCCTTTCAATGAAAAGAAAGATTCATGGCAGTGATGCTCATCCAGATGTGGCCATGACACTGAACAATATAGGTGAATTGCATAGAGAACGGGGTGAGTATACCACTGCCTTGAAATACTATGAAGATAGTCTATCAATGAAAAGAAAGATTCATGGCAGTGATGCTCACCCAGATGTGGCCACGACATTGAACAACATAGGTTTAGTGCATAGCCAACTGGGTGAATATACCACTGCCTTGAAATACTATGAAGATAGCCTTTCAATGAAAAGAAAGATTCATGGCAGTGATGCTCACCCATCTGTGGCCATGACACTGAACAATATAGGTGAATTGCATAGCCAACTGGGTGAATATACCACTGCCTTGAAATACTATGAAGATAGCCTTTCAATGAAAAGAAAGATTCATGGCAGTGATGCTCACCCATCTGTGGCCATGACACTGAACAATATAGGTTTAGTGCATAGCCAACTGGGAGAATATACCACTGCCTTGAAATACTATGAAGATAGCCTTTCAATGAAAAGAAAGATTCATGGCAGTGATGCTCATCCAGATGTGGCCATGACACTGAACAATATAGGTGAATTGCATAAAGAACGGGGTGAGTATACCACTGCCTTGAAATACTATGAAGATAGTCTATCAATGAAAAGAAAGATTCATGGCAGTGATGCTCACCAAGATGTGGCCACGACATTGAACAACATAGGTTTAGTGCATAGCCAACTGGGTGAATATACCACTGCCTTGAAATACTATGAAGATAGCCTTTCAATGAAAAGAAAGATTCATGGCAGTGATGCTCACCCAGATGTGGCCACGACATTGAACAACATAGGTTTAGTGCATAGCCAACTGGGTGAATATACCACTGCCTTGAAATACTATGAAGATAGCCTTTCAATGAAAAGAAAGATTCATGGCAGTGATGCTCACCCATCTGTGGCCATGACACTGAACAATATAGGTGAATTGCATAGAGAACTGGGTGAGTATACCACTGCCTTGAAATACTATGAAGATAGCCTTTCAATGAAAAGAAAGATTCATGGCAGTGATGCTCACCCATCTGTGGCCATGACACTGAACAATATAGGTTTAGTGCATAGCCAACTGGGAGAATATACCACTGCCTTGAAATACTATGAAGATAGCCTTTCAATGAAAAGAAAGATTCATGGCAGTGATGCTCATCCAGATGTGGCCATGACACTGAACAATATAGGTGAATTGCATAGAGAACGGGGTGAGTATACCACTGCCTTGAAATACTATGAAGATAGTCTATCAATGAAAAGAAAGATTCATGGCAGTGATGCTCACCCAGATGTGGCCACGACATTGAACAACATAGGTTTAGTGCATAGCCAACTGGGTGAATATACCACTGCCTTGAAATACTATGAAGATAGCCTTTCAATGAAAAGAAAGATTCATGGCAGTGATGCTCACCCAGATGTGGCCACGACATTGAACAACATAGGTTTAGTGCATAGCCAACTGGGTGAATATACCACTGCCTTGAAATACTATGAAGATAGCCTTTCAATGAAAAGAAAGATTCATGGCAGTGATGCTCACCCATCTGTGGCCATGACACTGAACAATATAGGTGAATTGCATAGAGAACTGGGTGAGTATACCACTGCCTTGAAATACTATGAAGATAGCCTTTCAATGAAAAGAAAGATTCATGGCAGTGATGCTCACCCATCTGTGGCCACGACATTGAACAACATAGGTTTAGTGCATAGCCAACTGGGTGAATATACCACTGCCTTGAAATACTATGAAGATAGCCTTTCAATGAAAAGAAAGATTCATGGCAGTGATGCTCACCCATCTGTGGCCATGACACTGAACAATATAGGTTTAGTGCATAGCCAACTGGGAGAATATACCACTGCCTTGAAATACTATTCTGAGAGTCTAGCAATAAAGCAACATATATATCCAAATAACTCACATCCCTCAGTATTAAAAACATTGAAAAATATAGAAACATGTAAAAGGGCTCAGAAAAGTTAAATCTTGAATTATAAGTGAACCCCTAACAAAGAATCATAATATGTTTTACAATGGTAAGAAAAACAAATTACAAAAATAGAAAGCTAATTTCATATTCAAGTAAATTCAGTATGCAGTTGTAATATTGTATATGCAAACCCAAATAAAGTAGATATATCCAACATAGAATATGAATGTTAGGGTTCAGTATAATATATCAGAATAAACTAGTAAATGGCAGTAAACTGAGTAGCAAATCCCAATGAACACTAACATAAATCATCAATCTGTACAGTCACAATGTAATATTTACCATCTACACTTTACTTCAACAAATATTTTAGATCATTGTAGTATAATGTAACTATACTTTCAAGATAACTCTGAGTAATGACGAATTTCTGCTCTCGAGCCTTCGACCGACTGCAGCCTGTCAACTTGGGAACACCTAACATGAGTGACTTGCAAATGTTGAACACCCTTGTTCATGAGTGTTATGAAATATTTCAGGCAAAATGCATGACATATACGGTATCCGCGTGAAACGTCCGAACAATATGAGTTCGTTTTTTCGTCGTTCGGTTTTATGGTGTATTGCCAATCATTTTTTTAAAAAATTCTACAGGAATATTTTTGCTGGACAATAATCAGGTAAAATGCGTATTTGCGTGACATACTCTGTCACACAAAATAAACTGGCGTGACTTCAAATTTTCCAGAAAATGCGTGACAAATACGCAAATTGCGGGACAGTTGGACTGCGACGGGGACAGAGGGCTTCACTATATCCCTACTGAACTTCATTTGTTGGGATAATAAGAAAAGGTGCTGGGTTGGTTTATCGCCATGACAACAGAGTGTTTGAGCTTGCACTGTTTTTCACAGCATAAACCTGAATGAAAAGTACATTAATCAGTAAAGGAATATAAGCCCTTTAGTCTACTTTAGATACTCATTTATGTTCAGTGACATGGCCACGTTTGGATGATACCCATTTAGATACCCATCTAGCTAAAGACATTTGTGTTTCGAAAAGGAAAATTTGAAATTTCACGTTGCTGTCGACAGGAACAATATACTCATGTCTATTGAATACTACTGTATGTTGGCGAATTTTCATTTCGATGCACAGCATGATTTTTCTGAAGAAGATGATGTATGTCATACATGTTGTAGCTCCAAATATCTTACGAAACAAGCTTGATTAAAATATGAACATGTATCAGAAAGCCAGCTATTGGACTATCAATCAATGGCATATTACATGCTGCAGTGTCAAGGCTGTGGTGTCGTCTTAGCATAAAACTGAAGTTGGATGATTATTTAAACAAGAAAACTGCATGCAATGTTCATGGGCGATTGATAGGTTATACGTTTCCGTTTCGATTTTACAAGCAAGCTTAAGGTGACTGTTAACTTAATCGATTTTCAGAAAAAATTGAAAATTTCACAATCTTGAAATTTTCAAACTCTTCCTGAGAAGTCGTTTTTATTATTTCACATATGCTTGTGCACTGTAATCATTAGAAAGACATCAAAGAACAACAAAAAACTTTAGTTTGAGAAAAAAAGTGCCGTTTAAAGAATTTGAGAAGATTTTTTTCTAGGAGTAGCCCGTGAAAAACCGCTTATTCAAAATATTTGAACATTTCAGAAAATATACTTCAAACATATATCAAAAACGAAGGAGCAACGGGAATTTGAAAAATTACCCGATAAAAAAATTGGGATTAAAATAAGGAAAAAAGTACACTTCTCAAATTGTTTTTTTCTATTTTTTTAAATTTGTATGAGAGATTTCAAAATTCTAAAGCTCCTTCCATTTTTGGCTATATTAAAGGGATGTTTCAGAGAAATTAGAAAAAAAAATGTTCAGGGAACTTTTGCCATGCTACTCTTTTTGTCAATTTTTCTGTCACATTTTCAGAGGACTCAAATTCCCATTCCAAAATGTTTACTGTTTCTGTTTGCATAACCACTGTGAGCCTGGTTATATACATGATAAGTGGAACTAAAAAATTGAGAGAAAATCCAACCAAAAGACAGTTAATTTTGATGGTCAGATTATGCTCAAATGCCATGTGCTTCCTGGTTTCGGCCATCTTGGATTTTTTGATTAAGTTATAAGTTACCTTAACTCCTTATTACCAAAGAGACAAAGTTCACATGAATCAATTATGAAGTTATTTAAGGCCTTTGACAGTACCAAAATAGAACAAATAATCTCATACATGAAGCCCTAGTGTAACCACCATAGAATACTACCTTTAATACTGTACGCTACTCTGAGAAAACGAGGACAAGAGATGGACATAAGACCACAAGTTGCACATAATAGACTTTCATACAAGGCTAACTGATATGCTTGTTAATGTTATTTCACACTCTGACACTCGTCTAGGTCAGTAAGCCTGTTGAGTGAAGGTTACATTAACAGTGAATAACTACTTTGAAAGTGGTAATGCTATGTCTCGGTTTTAAAAATGTATTTTAAACCATGATAAATAATGAGGCCTCAAAAGTGTTAAAGGATACCATTTACAGTGAAACCTGTCTGATTTGAATTCTACCCAGACAAGCCAAAAGTGTTTGGATTGGCATGACTGTATTCACAATTTGAGTTTTTATGGTAAAATTAAATGGCTGAGGTGTTCAGGTTTTATTGTAAATACACATATTAAATATTATATATACTGTATATAGTTTTAAACATAACCTGTACATAAGGCAATTACAAAAAATGTACTTCCGTACGATGTATTCATTTCCACCTATGCATCTATTTGTTATGCAATGCTAATTACCTGTAAAGGTGTTCAGAGCATGTCTAATATCCTAAAATACACCTATACCTTGAATATTCAATGGACTTTAATCAATCCTTCTAACTGTTAAGTATTATGATTAGAACTTTTGATAATGTAATGAATGAATCTGCTTTCATTGTGCAGCATATCTTACAATTTCTTGTTACCGATTTGCTTGCTGTAAAAATCAATTTTTCAAGCTTAAAATATTTTCAGAAATCAAGGTCTGAGTTAAGGTCTGTTGGTTGTGTGGATTTAGGTACATTGAAATTCAAATTAAATTTTTGTTAATTGGAGCAAACTGCTACACAATATCTTTGTTATAATGCTATAACAGACATACATTGTGTTACTGAAAGCGCAAAATAAATAAATATTTTTTATGGAAAGTGCCAAACTTTCAACAGTTGAATGAAGTTAATTTCAGTAAGAGAGTTTTGATTATTCCTGAGTTAAAATGTTTGAAGTGAAATTCAGATGTATGCAAATCTACATTTTCAAAGTGGGCTATATATTGAAGGAGGAAGAGCAGAAGGGAAGACCAGAGGGGGAATAACACCAGAGTTCAAAGATGACATACGCATATGATGTAAACCTGTATTGAGATGACATACATCTCAGATTGGTCAAAATTTGACAGACAAATGATGTCATCAATCGCGGTTTCAAAATTTTCGAAATACGCTTCGAATAATATTATGTTCATTTCTGGCGTGTTAACCAGTATCATAGCTTCTCATTTCACATCGAGATAAAGAAAGGTGTACG